CCAATGCCTCTAGTCTTTTCTTGTTATTGTCTTGGGGGAGGCAATTGGTCTCGGAGTCGAGTAAGGAAATTACTTGCACTCTTAACAAAAATCGCGCATAGTGAAGCTGGTCGCAGACTGGGGCAACCGCTCTCGGCAAGGCTAAGGTAAAATCCGTACCGATCAATACCGAGTGTGGGTGTGGAGGTCACTCGGCAGACCAGTGCCGGTCGCAATTGTTGGTGCGTTGCTGTCTATGGGCGTAACATACCGTACAGATGAATACGGATGCAGAATTTTTCTTTAATGAACTGCTACGCGTCCTGATCAAGTCTAGTTCATAGTTCTCTCCACTTAGTCATGTGGTACTCCGAGACCATTGTTAGAAGAAAGAAAACGTCAATTGCTATCGTGTAAATTGGAATCCTCGAAAACTCTACATTGAACAGAAGGACAAGGAAGGGGGCTAAAACGAGTAAAATACATCAACATGAAATTCGGAAATCTAATGGGAATATCCGTATTGGGGAAAGCGCAAAACCGCAAAAATTCAAAACCTGGAAAATAAAAAAACATGAAATAAAAAACAAAAAATAAAAAAATAGAAAAAAAAAACTGATCAGTGGGTCCTGGTACATACTCTTCCCCCAGCAACCAGGTACCTATACTCCTACGCCAAACACGGGATCGGGTCCTCATCTAGCACTGCTACTATGCCATTTTTTGTTTTTTATCATTTTTCCATTTTACTCCAGTCTTTTTTGATTTAATTTTTTTTTCGCCCATTTCCCTCAACACGGACATTATCCACTCTACCCACTCTGGTTCCTTCTCTTACTCGTTTGCCCTCCTCCACTCATTGTCCCCCCCCCCCGTATTATAAAGTAGTCCCTCTTCCTCACCCACAATCCTTCTTCTTTTCTCTTTCTTTTCTCCATAGGAACATTCCGTCTCGCGTCATACCTGCCTGTGTGTGTCTGCATCAGCTCATATTGTTTGGGTCCCGAAAGGCTTTGTGAGCCGAAGCAGCAACAATGGCGTCCAACACTAATGTGGCGTCCGAGCGGAGGATCTCCTATGCTGTCGACGTGGAAAACGGTGAGCGCCACGAGCGCCAGACTGATATCAACGACGGCGGAAACCTCGACGAGTACTCGGCTCTTAACCGCTACATCTCGACTGCCCGCGATGGCCGCCGTGGCTCTACTTCCAGCGCCGCTGCTCACTCCGCCAAGGAGGGCAAGAAGCCCTGGTACAAGTTCGGTGGTGGCAAGACCGACGGTGTTGAGGAGGGCTGGCAGGCCCCCGATGACTGGCTCGAGACCGACCTCCGTTCCGGTCTGAGCTCCGGTGATGTCGAGCCCCGTCGCAAGAAGTGTGGCTGGAACGAGTTGGTCACCGAGAAGACCAACATCTTCATCCAGTTCCTTGGTTACTTCCGTGGTCCTATTCTGTATGGTGAGTATCCAATTGCCTCGAGACCTGGTCAATTGACGCGTGAAAGGACCTTCTTCTAACGCGTTTTCTTCCCATAGTTATGGAACTTGCTGTCCTCCTCGCTGCTGGTCTGCGTGACTGGATCGATTTGGGTGTCATCTGTGGTATTCTGTTGCTTAACGCTCTCGTTGGTTGGTACCAGGAGAAGCAGGCTGCCGACGTCGTCGCTTCTCTCAAGGGTGATATTGCTATGCGTGCTACCGTTGTCCGCAACGGTCAGGAGGAGGAGATCCTCGCCCGTGAACTGGTTACTGGAGATATCGTTATCGTTGAGGAGGGTCAGGTCATTCCTGCTGATGTCCGCCTCATCTGTGACTACGAGAAGCCCGAGATGTTCGAGAACTACAAGGAGTTCTTGGTCAACTCTGCCGACGACACCCTCAAGGAGAAGGATGATGATGAGGATGAGGATGAGCGCCGTGAGGCTCACGCCGGTGTCTCCCTCATTGCTTGTGATCAGTCCGCCATCACTGGTGAATCTCTCGCTGTCGACAAGTACATGGCCGACACCTGTTACTACACCACCGGTTGCAAGCGTGGCAAGGCCTACGGTATTGTCACTGCCACTGCCCGCCAGTCTTTCGTCGGTAAGACCGCTGCTCTTGTGCAGGGTGCCAAGGACCAGGGTCACTTCAAGGCTGTCATGGACAACATTGGTACCTCCCTGCTCGTTCTCGTCATGTTCTGGATTCTCGCTGCCTGGATCGGTGGTTTCTACCGTCACCTGAAGATCGCTACCCCTGAGAACTCCGACAACAACCTGCTTCACTGGACTCTTATCCTGCTGATCATCGGTGTCCCCGTCGGTCTTCCCGTTGTTACCACCACCACCCTCGCTGTCGGTGCTGCCTACCTCGCTGAGCAGAAGGCCATTGTCCAGAAGCTCACTGCCATTGAGTCCCTCGCTGGTGTCGACATTCTGTGCTCTGACAAGACCGGTACCCTCACTGCTAACCAGCTGTCCATCCGTGAGCCCTACGTCGCTGAGGGTGTTGATGTCAACTGGATGTTCGCCGTTGCCGCCATCGCTTCTTCCCACAACATCAAGAACCTTGACCCCATTGACAAGGTTACTGTCCTTACTCTGCGCCGCTACCCCAAGGCCCGTGAGATTCTCTCTCGCAACTGGGTTACCGAGAAGTACACTCCTTTCGACCCCGTCTCCAAGCGTATTACTACCGTCTGTACCTGCGATGGTGTCCGTTACGTCTGCGCCAAGGGTGCCCCCAAGGCTATCCTTAACATGTCCGAGTGCTCCGAGGAGGAGGCCAAGCTCTACCGTGACAAGGCTACCGAGTTCGCTCGCCGTGGTTTCCGTTCCCTCGGTGTCGCCGTCCAGAAGGAGGGTGAGCCCTGGCAATTGCTGGGCATGTACCCCATGTTCGACCCCCCTCGTGAGGATACCGCCCACACCATCGCTGAGGCCCAGGTTCTTGGTCTCTCCGTCAAGATGCTTACTGGTGATGCCATCGCTATCGCCAAGGAGACTTGCAAGATGCTTGCCCTTGGTACCAAGGTTTACGACTCTGAGCGCCTGATCCACGGTGGTCTCGCTGGTTCCGCCCAGCACGACCTTGTTGAGAAGGCTGATGGTTTCGCTGAGGTCTTCCCCGAGCACAAGTACCAGGTCGTCGAGATGCTCCAGCAGCGTGGTCACTTGACTGCCATGACTGGTGACGGTGTTAACGATGCTCCTTCCCTCAAGAAGGCTGACTGTGGTATTGCCGTCGAGGGTTCCACCGAGGCTGCCCAGGCTGCCGCCGATATCGTCTTCCTTGCCCCCGGTCTGTCCACCATCGTCGATGCTATCAAGCTTGCCCGCCAGATTTTCCAGCGTATGAAGGCCTACATCCAGTACCGTATTGCTCTGTGTCTTCACCTTGAGATCTACCTCGTTACCTCCATGCTTATCATCGAGGAGACCATCCGTTCCGACCTGATTGTCTTCATCGCTCTGTTCGCTGATCTTGCCACCATTGCCGTCGCTTACGACAACGCTCACTTCGAGGCCCGCCCCGTCGAGTGGCAGTTGCCCAAGATCTGGGTTATCTCCGTCATCCTTGGTGTTCTCCTTGCTGCCGCTACCTGGATTGTCCGTGCTTCCCTGTTCCTGTCCAACGGTGGTATCATCCAGAACTGGGGTTCTCCTCAGGAGATCCTCTTCCTCGAGGTTGCCCTTACTGAGAACTGGTTGATCTTCGTCACCCGTGGTGGTAAGACCTGGCCCTCGTGGCAGTTGGTTATTGCCATCTTCGTTGTCGATGTCCTCGCCACTCTGTTCGCCGTCTTCGGCTGGCTCGGTGACTGGGACCAGACCCACCCCCACGACCCTGCTGCCTACGGATTCTCCCACGACAACAACGTCGACATTGTCACCGTCGTCGTCATCTGGGGTTACTCCATTGGTGTCACTGTCATCATCGCTGTGGTCTACTACATCCTCACCATCATCCCCGCTCTGGACAACCTTGGCCGCAAGACCCGCTCCAAGGCTGACACCCAGATTGAGAACATGATTGCCCACCTTTCCAAGCTGGCCATCGAGCACTCGACTGACCGTGAGGGCAACTCTCGCTACACCCTCGGTGCTCGCGTTGAGGATGTCGAGGAGGACGAGTAGATTACTCGCCCCCGGCACCTTTTTTTCTGAGCTCGATACTGGACCGAGATCAATTAATTTCCTTATTTCTTTTCTGATCCCCTTGCTACATACTCACACAATGTTGATGCCACCTATCTGGACATGCATACCGTGAGAAAAAAGAGGCCGGGTTCCTGTGTCTTTTTTTTTCTTTCTTTCTACCCGTATTATAGACTTTTGTGTGTTCCATTTACCCCTTGCTCTCTGTTTTTGTTGCTATTGCAGTGGATAGAGTCGAGTTTTCTTTCTCTACGTGTATGTATGCCGTTAATAGTGGTACTTCGTTAAATCACAAGGGTTCTAATCAAATCTTCCTCGTAAATCCATCGTAACTTGACTCCAGTAGACTAGACTTGAGTATTTCTGCAATCTTCGACACCCCATGCCTTCCTTGTCCATTGTTTCTTGTGCTGATCCTTGCAATCTTTGCTGCACCTCATTCCCTCCCCGGCTTCCTACAGGTGGAAGCCCAATTCTCCGTCTCCAACCACAATCCTGTGGTTTCCCCGGCCAGATTTTCCACCATGCGCGGCGAAGAACAAGCTTCTTCATCCCCAGCTCCGTGGGGGAAAATGCGGAGAAGAGCATTGACACCCCAACTTTTATAATTTGTGAGCGGGCATAATTCCCAAACTCGGCTGTAGTCTCCTTTAGCTTGACTCGCGCTCGAAGATTTTCCGTCTGGGCCGCTATGGTTCGATATTGCTCGATTGCCCTTATAACATGCAGTCCTGGAGTCCGAAGTATTAAAGGTCATGCTATTTCCGGATTCTATCTTTTCCTTCTCTTTCATGGTTGTCAGTGCTAGACCTAACTAGTCGATCCAACCAAACTACACCTATTCTTTCCTCCGATCCATACTGCAGCCACTGGCAATTGCACAATGCTTCTCAAACCCTTCCTCTCCATTTTAGGCCTTCTAGCGCAAACAACGCTGGTCAATTCAGCAGCATTAGCCACCCAGAAACTCTCAAATCGAATAGAATGCCAACGCACAGCCCACAACTGTCCTAAAGGCACGATCCTTGTCTCAGCAACCGACACCCGCGCAAAGTATAAGACAATCCAAGGCGCCATCGACTCTTTACCCAATGATCACACAACCCAAACAATCCTTATCCTGGAGGGCAACTACACTGAACAACTGAATGTCACCCGCGCAGGGCCGATCACCATCCTCGGTGAAACGGACTCGGCTACAGATGCCTCCAAGAACAAGGTTACTGTCAACTTTGCCGCCGCAAACCAGGATAGCACGGGGACAAATGATAATACCTGGTTTAGTGTGCTGGTTGTGGCGCCTACACTTAATGCGAGTCTGGTAGGCTCGGGGACCACTGGGTTTGCAGTTCCAGCTGACACGCCATTTGGAAACCGGAACTTCAGGGTTTACAATGTGGATTTCAACAATGATTTCGCACCGTATACTGATGGCCCAGCTGCGGCTTTGATGTTCAGTCGTGCTAATGGCGGTTTCTACTACTGTGGATTCTATTCTTACCAGGATACGGTATGTGCATGGTTTCTATGGACTGGAAAGCGAGACCCCGACTGATTGAACTAATCGCTCGCTCAGATCTACGTTGGAAAACTCGGAAACGCCTACTTCTACAAAAGCATCATAGCCGGTCAAACAGACTTCCTTTATGGCTTCGGCACTGCCTGGATTCAATCATCGGATATCAAACTCCGAGGCTGCGGCGGCGGTATAACAGCCTGGAAAGGAACGAACACCACCTTTGACAACAAGTATGGAGTTTACATTGTTGATAGCAATATTGCCGCGGCGAATTCGTCCATCGCACCTGATATCAAGGGGAAATGTTCACTTGGTCGGCCCTGGAACTCTCAGCATCGATCTATCTTTGCGGATACTTGGGAGGATGGAAGTATCTTGCCTGCGGGGTACACTCACTGGATATCTAGTGGGGTTGACCGGTTCGAGGAGGGGATTACGCTTATGGCAGAGTATCAGGCTTATGGGCCCGGATTCAATCGGACGGCAAGAATCGAAGGTGGAATTGATACTTTGCTTACGAAGAGCGGGTATAAAGAGTACTCGACCCCTGCACTTGTGTTCCAAGATCAGGAGGGGGTGTTTGGGGATGTCAGTTGGATTGATTGGGAGACCGTTGAGGGGAAGTGATATGGTTGCCGGATGTTTGTGAATTGCAATACCGGTCTCAAGGCGTGAAAGTCCCGAGAATGTAAATAAGAGGTTTCTAGTGAAAAGCACCAAACAATCTCCGCAGCTTCTCTCTCTACTCCCCGGCTTTCCATTGATTCCCTAGGTGGGTAGTCCACCAATTCTAGCAAGATATGCTGCTCCCGTATCTGCCCAAACCTGATACTCAGAAACCAACAGCCGGCCCTGCTTATCCTTATCCTCACTCGTATCCCTCGCAAGTGCAACTCGATAAACAAAGGTCTCATCCCAGGACTGACCTGTCTCGCGCCAGATGAACGTGGCTGTTCCGCGCAGACAGACAGCCATGTTGGTATCGTCGACGAGCCAATTGGACTCGGGTTCGAATTTCATGGATTTGATTTCGAGGGTTGAGATCATGGTGTCAAAGTATTCGGATATGCCGTCTATACCTGTAAAGGTACGACCGAGGAAGGGAGCTAATTGTTGGAGGCCATGTTCGTGGGCAATGGGGGCGGGTTGGGTGGTGAAGGTTGAGGTGATGGTTGAGATGGGATTGGGGGTTACGAGGGTGGCCAGGAGGGATTGGATTGGGCCAGTTAATGTTGAACGGGGAGTCATTTTAAGAATTAATGACAGGGTTTTACAGTAAGGTTAAGGTTAAGGGTGAGATCGATATTGAGTAGGATTCTCATTCTTATATCCTGGATTCCAAGGTTGATGTTCTTACATAACAATGACGTGAAGAGCTATTTTATTTGTTATTTTTTTGGAACATGAAGATGGACGCCTTGAGATAGATATTTCAATACCTTGAGTGAGACGTTCTTTCCACCCAATTAAACGAATCCTGTAGATTCAGTCGGAGCTTGGGAAAGCCCCAGGCACACCGTTGCTTTCCACCGTGGAAAGACTGCAACGAAAAAAGACAACTCCAGGACTGGCCGAAACAGTCTTATGTGATAAGAGGTAATTGGCAAAAAAGAAATGAAAAACAAGCAGAAGATCCGAAGAATCAGTTCGAATGAAAAAAAGTAAGAGAATAAAACAATGAACACCGAGCCCCAGTAAAATCATACAGCCCCTCCTGAACGCTCTGCCCTCCCAATCCCCAATCACTGTCGCCAGGACTTACCGCAGACCACACACGTACAGAACAGGGTCATCGGTTCATCAGCAGCACGGGTCTGGGCTTCGGTGTAGGTCACCTTGCGTTGGCCACACTTGCCGCACTGCAGGCTGGTACTGATACTGCGCTCTCCCTGGGCAACCATGGCATCGTTCATGTTCTTCTTCTTGATTGCCTCGTCCGCCTCGCGCTGTTGCTCAGATCGCAGCTCGTCACTAGTCATGCGCACAAATTTCTCCGGGGTGATTTCTCCACTCAGCACACGCACGCGAAGCATGGGGTTTGACTTGTTCTTCAGGTTCTGGAAAAGACTGCGCATCTTCTCTTTGTATTCCGGCTTGGTCTCGGGTCCAAGGTAGCTGTGTGCTGCCTTTTCCACGGCAGATGCCTTTGCCAACACCGTCTTGGGTGATTCAGTCGACCCCAGACACAGCCCATCGTACATGAGTCCGGTGCAGCTGTCTCGTACTTTGCTGGACGTAACGTTGATATCCACCCCATCTGCCTTCCAGGTGCGCTTGTCTGGTGGCACCGACAGCTTCGACGCCTTATCAGATGGCGTCGCGCTCGCAGGTGTAGATGAACCAGTACCATTCTGTGGTGGCCGCGGCGAATTGGAAGCCCGGCTCGATGTTGCTCCGCCGCCTTGCTTTTGCTTGTTGACTTCTGTCCGCCACTTCGAAACTATGTCACTTGCCAGCCGGGCCACTTCGGGGGACTTGCTTTGCTTGAACCGGTTGACAACGACTCCGATCTTGGTCCGTCGAAGCAAGTCCTCCGTAGCCCGGATGCCTGTTTGCAATTCCTTGAGCAAACCGAGAATCACTGTCGCCGACTCTTCCTGTCCCGAGGCCTTGCCCAAAGCCTTAGCCTTGGCTTCAATTTCTCTGGCGTCCATGACTGCGGAGGTGTGGGGCGAAGGGCGTGGTTGTTATTCAGTCGGAGAAGGGCAAATGAATGGAATGAGAATATTCAAAAGACTAGATTCTGTCACAGCCTGTAACATGACATTGTTAGTGACTTGTGCGTCAATGGATTGTAAGGTAAAAAAATTGCACAGGCAGCTGCGGAGAATCGGAATTTGGCGCAGTTGAATTGTACAGCGTGCGCGTAATGGATAACAGCCAGAAAACACATCTTCAAGACAAAGTAAGTGCCACAAAGACTTTACACCCCTCCTGTAGTTCTGGACAGGCTGCGCAATCCAAACCAAGAGATCTCGGTCGTATGCTCAAGATCCCACGCTGATGACTTTTATCACCGCGTCACATAAGCGCTTCATATACCCCAAAAATCCTAATGCGCTGATTGGGATCCATTTCGCGATTGCCGTAGTCCTTCCTGTACGTAGACACGAAGCGGGATGGGCTGGGAGGGGCAGGATGCGCGAGCACTTACTCTGAGGGTACGACCAGGGGATAGTAGCTGGCGTGGGTAGGCGACTTATAGGAATAAGGCGAACAGCGAGGGAGGAGTCGGAGGTTAAATGCGATCGTGTGTTCGAGGAAATCGTTGAAGAGGAAGAATTGGAAGCTCCGAGGTTGAATGCCAAGACGTGGCTGCCCGATTGGGAAATTTCTCACTGGGAACTAAATAATTGACGATCGAGGATGAAGATATACTAATGAACAATTTAAATTTGGAAAATATTGAATTGAAAGGCGCAAAGATGACCACCCAGGCTATTTAGGTGTATCCGCTTCTATCTCGCTTTTCTTTCTGTATCCTTTGAAGGGACCAGTTTATGGTAGCTATGCATATGTTGAGAGCAACAGGGAATTATGTGCAGTCATCATCGTCAACGGGGGTATAAGGGGGTAAAGTGGTTTTTGCAGGGAAATTTGGCATGAACATCGTCAGTCGGAGCCTCATGAGCCGGTAGGAAGGACCGTGGGCGCAGACAACAACCGCTTCGTCCGGGAACACGCGAGCGGTACACGGAGAGTGCTTGGTACAGCCAAAGGGCAGTTGACTTGAGAGTTCGTCAGGATCAAGATACTGCGGCCAAAGTAGCATTAGCCCAGACGAGCTGGTCAGCGAATCTAGATGCCAGTCTTGCCCAGGACATCAGCCAAGGCATCGACATCCTTGTCCGACTTCTGAGCAACCTTCTCCTCTTCAGCAAGGTCGGCAGCTTTGAGATCCTTCTCAGCCTTGCGCTCCTCCTCCTCCTCTTCTTCCTCCTCCTCATCCTCCTCCTCTTCGTCCTCATCTTCCGACTCGAGCTCATCCAGATCATCAACACCCCAGGTATCCTCAGGGTCATCATCAGTTCCGTGCTCCTCCTGACGGGCCTCCAAGAGCTCCTTAAGCGCAGTGATGTTCACATCTTCATCCGAGAAAATGTTGCCGTTCAGCTCGACACGGCGCAGACTAGGAAGTGCGGTCTTGGCAGCGTGGGTAATGGCCTTGACACTATCGGCCTTCATCTCGTTGTACTGAAGACGCAGGGTCTGCAGCTTCTGGTTCTTATTGGCAGCGAGAGCCTGAGCAACCTTCACACCACCACGGGCAGAAAGCAAACAATCGCCGACGGCCAGCTCGCGCAGAGATGCCCAGCCCTCCAAAACACCAGCCAGAGCAGTGGATCCCATAATGGTGAAAGTGTTGTCCTGCAGATCCAAAACCTCCAGGCCATGGGCATGGCAAAGACCATTCTTAAGCAGGTGCGCAATACCCTCCTGGCGGATTCCGTTCTGGGTCATCTTAACGGACTTCAGGCCTGCAGCGTGCTTCTCGTAAGCGCGAGCCCAAGCCTCCATACTGCCGTTCTCCAGGCGGTTGCGACCGCAAACAATGCTCTCCAAAGGAGCAACCTCCTTGCCCTCCTTGCGAGCCCCCTCCTTGCGCTCAGCAAGCTGGCTGAGGGCATCGGCAATCATGGTTCCGGCGAAAGGACCCAGACCATTGTTGTTCAGGATCAGGTGGCGGAGAGGGGTGTGCTTGGACAGAAAATCGACGAGGGGTGCCTGAGTGTTAAGACCAAAGGCATTATCGGAGAGGTTGACAGTGTGGGCAGTCGGGATCTCGAGAATGGCATCAAGGAGAGCCTTGAGGGCAGGAGGGATCTCGGAAAGGAGACGGGAGGTGAAGATATCGGCCAGATCAGCGACTTCGAGGTTCTTCTGGGTTGCGAGGACGGCGGCGAGACGCTCGGAGGCGCCGATGCCCAAAGTGTTGCCACCGAAATGGATCTCAGTGTAGTCGGTGCTCTCAGTCAAAGGCTTAATGTGAGCCTCAATGTCCTCTGCAGTGTCAAGCTTGAGGCTTTTGCCGTCGAGCGAGAAGATCTTAGGAGGGGCCATGGCGGGGTAGTGGATTAGGACAATGGGAGGATTGAGCTTGGTAAAGAGAATATGAAAGAAAAGAAAGTGTAGAGAACCGAACAGGGACCTGACAGCAATAAATAAACCCGACCCAAAATGAAAGCAGGGAGAGTCTAAAGTGAGAAAAGGAGGAGGCGAAATCCAGAAGTCGCCGCATTGTTATTGTTCGATAACCCAAAAAAAAATAGTCTACGGTTGCGCATAGTGACCAGCCCCGCATGCATTAATAATATCGATGGTGACATCTAACCCATTTGACCTTCAATCGCACTCGTTCAAGACATCTTCAAACATTCAAATTCCCGTCAATCGTTTATAGACATATCGTCTCTGTCAAAATGTCGTGGCTCTTTGGTTCTTCCAGCGGTAAGTCCCAGTTGACTCAAATCTCGATTCGCGCAACCGTAACCGACATGCGCCATGCGCAAGGGTCCACGGCGAGGCGATAAACCTAGCATAGAATCATGCTAACATTTGCCTGATACAGAAAAAAGTGCTCCCGCTCCGGCCGAGGTGCAGCCCCAGCAGCCTGCTCAATCCGAAAAGCCCAAGGTACGCCTCGAGACAATCTCACCGACATAAGCATACGCAATGCGCTAACGCCTGTCTACTACAAATAGCCCTGCTGCGTTTGCAAGACAGAAAAGACGGCCCGCGATGACTGCATGCTGTTCTCCAAGACCGATGATCCTGCGAAGGAATGCCAGTCGACGATCGACCAATACAAGAGCTGCATGGCCGGCTTCGGCTTTAAGGTCTAAATTAGAGCCTTCTGGTTAGATGGGCTAAGGCAGATCTCCATGGACGATGCGTCTGTCTTGTGTAACACCACCTCTGTATTATAGCATTTACTGGAAGGAGTTTCTCTTTTGCTTGGCATGTACTGTACTATCGGGCCGATATATGCGCTCCGATTTGCGATTTAATCTTGGAATCCAAGTGTTGGATCATGAATATAACAGATCTCACCTCCAAAAAACCGGGGCAAAAAGAATTGTATTTCTCATTAATCCAGAATGAATTCACATGTTCTAGAACATTTTTATCCCGGAGGAAATTATAATGGGGTATCTTTGAAAGACTATATAGCCGCTGCCCAGAAGATCACTGATTCTTCTTCCGATTTTCCTCTTCGGCCCCACGGCGGTCAATTTGACGGCACTGTGTAATCAGTTTCCACATACACCATAGGTAAGCAATACCAAATCCACCGGCTCCAATGAGAGCGTTAAGCACTACCCACAGGTCCGGTTTGCCAGGGAGGGGAGGGACGAACGCTTCACCGACGTGCCAAGCAATCATGACAATATAGAACAAGATGTGCAAGAGTTTGGCGAAAATGTTTAACTCGAAATGCGAGCTGGGATCCTCCGGGGATGAACGGCTCCGATAGGTCTCAAGGGAGAGAGGGGGCAGACCGAGCAGATAGGCCCATAGAAGGGTCATGACGGCGTATGGCATGCGGAGCTCCTCACGCTTCAACAGGGGGAACATGGTCCACGAGCCAAGAATATTAGCCCAACCAACCCAGGCGCGATTCTCCTTGCTCAATCCACCATCACCAGCAAGCGAAAGGGTCATGGGTAGAAGAGGAAGAAGGACGCTCTTTTCGTGAACCTGGAAAGAAAACAGGAAGAAACCCCACGAAACGCAAGATAAAGCTGGGAGCAAAAGGGAAGCTCGAGGATGGCGGAAAATAATACCACATGGGACAACAATCGAGCCCAAGGTGGCGCAAAGAGACGCCCGCTGGAGCAAGGAAGTGTCGAAGTGATGCAGCTTGTAAAATGTATGAATCGCGCACCAGGCATTAGCGACTTTGTCCTCGAACAGGCCACGGGCGAATGGGAAAATGCGGTGGACAGTTTGCGTTAGCTGGAACAGCACTGCATACGCAACGGAGTTCTTGTCCAGAGAAATTGGAATCGATTGCAGCAGAGGAGGCTGTGGTGCGGACGCAAATACCTTTCGAGCCTCAATACTTGTTGCGCCAAGCAAGAGCGGGGCGAAAAGTAGAGCGAATGCAGCGGCTGTGATGAGAGAAATGTTGATAAGCCGAGTGATGTTGATCTGTGGGAAGACACAGACACCCAGGAGATAGGCGAACATGACCGGCGCATAGTACAGAGCCATTTGCTTGAACCCTAAAGCACCGACAAAGAAGATACAGGCCCAGAGCATGCGTCCCGCCATGATCGCATCCAGGCTTGCAACCATTAAACCCAGCATCACCGTATTGTATTGGAAGTGACCATGGTCGATAAGAATGGTTGCCGGTTGGAGCAGGATTGCAACGAGGGCGATAGACGCGGACCATGCATGCACGCCATGCATGCGAGTATAACGGCGAAGGAAGTTGACAACTGCAGGAACATAGATAAGGTATTCAGACACCACGACAGTGGCGCGCATGTAAACCTTCAGGTCCGGATGCTCAAAGCCGCGGGATTCATCGAGTGCGAACCAAGCTGGCTCAATGGCGGTGCCACTTCAACGGTCAGTCATATCCAATATTTGTTTAGAAGGACGTTTGGGCATACATCTTTCCAAGCAGCCAACTGTGGTATGCGGTCAATGGGGGGTAGTCGAGGCCCCAGTATGGCAAATCGTAAAGGTACCACTTGGGCATGGGCAAATGAGTGGTGATTTCCATCCAGTGTCGTTGCGCTTCAAAGTCACCGTGCATAGGAGGTACCTGAAAGCCTAAAGTATGTCAATTGGGTCCCAATGCTACGATAAATCTTGCCGTTTCTTACCTGAGTAGCCCCATAGACTGACAGCCCATCGGAAGAGACCGACAGCCATGAGGGTAAGTGGCAGGATCAACCATTGTGAGATTCCTGCTCGTGCGGCCCACAGAAATGATACCAATGGAAATGCTGGTGACTGCTTTCCATCTCCGATATCTAATATGAGATTGTTATTGGAGCCGGGAGCTGTGGGGGTCTTTCTCTTCTTGCGCGGTCGATGGGAGGAGGGAGTGGGAGGGGCCATTTTGAAACAGGCCAGATGGTAGGTTAGGCGCAGCCCATAGATAAAGAGATGGTATAAATCGCAGTGCAACGCCAACAAGATGTTGCAATAAGGAAGTGCACGTATCTATCACTCTCCGTCGGATAGCTTAGCTAGCTATAGGCCAGCGAGAGAAGTGCCGACTTGATTACATAACTTACCTGTGGCCTTTCGCGCCACATGTCTGATTAGGTAATGGCAATCTCCACTTGGTGTTTACAGTGGATCCAGAGTTGCTTATATCAGCGTCTGAGTTTTGCGGTCAGTGCCTGAGTCTAACGGTATGTAGCAGGCGGAATACGTTTCTGCCAGCCTCCGAAAAAATTTTGAAAATTTTTTTTCTTATCAGAGAGCTTGCCCAGCACCGCCTCTTCTTTTTTTTTTCTTCCTCTTCATCCATCCTCTTCCCCCTCCCTCTTTGCTATCACATTTCATCTGTGCTAGCATTTTATTACCTTGAAGCTCCAATAAAAAAAGCTTCTCATGTACGTTCTCCCCTTCCCCTTCTCCCCAAACTGACACAACTGTGTGGGTGGTACATTGTACTTTCAACCAAAGTACTTCAACAAGACATCTGTGGGCTTTTAACACATCGAGGGCTGTGGGCTTGTCATACTGCATATCTATTTCGTGGGCTCTGTGGGACTTCTATTTCCTCGTGGGTTGCGTATCATAGTTGCATATCGTCGGTCGGTCTCTGTGGGCTTGAACTCTGTCCGTTGTGGGTTACTTGAGGGCATCTACCAGCTGTGATCAGTCACTCCTGGCATTCTTTCCATTTTCCTGAGGGTTATCACATTGTTACACATCCAAAACACGGGTGCTTATTGAGGGATTAGTTGGCTCCGCCGCACAAAACCAAAGCACTTCGTCAATTTTTGCTACCACTGTACGTGGAGATGTGAATAAAACCCGATCTTGGTAACACCGTGCTGACCTTGCTTCTCTTTACAGTTCCAAAATGTCGAAGACCAAGGTTTCCTCCAAGGCTGACAAGCCCAGCAAGACCTTGAAGGTCAAGGAGTCTGCTGTCACTAAGGCTTCCCCCAAGGTCACCAAGAAGGTCGCCGTCAAGGAGGAGAAGTCCAAGAAGAACAAGAAGAAGGAGCCTACCCCTAGCAGCTCTGAGTCTGAGTCCGAGTCGGAGAGCGAGGAGTCTTCCTCCAGCTCCAGCGAGTCCGAGGATGAGAAGCCTGCCAAGAAGGAGGTCAAGAAGGTTACCAAGAAGGAGGAGTCTTCCTCCGAGTCCGAGTCCGACAGCGATGAGGAGATGAAGGATGGCTCTTCCAGCAGCGAGAGCGAGAGCGAGTCTGAGGACGAGAAGCCTGCCCCCAAGAAGGCTGAGAAGCCCGCCAAGAAGGCCGAGAAGAAGGTTGAGTCTTCTTCCGAGTCTGAGTCTTCTGACTCCGAGTCTGAGTCCGAGGAGGAGAAGCCCGCCAAGAAGGCCGCTAAGGAGGAGTCCGACTCCGACTCCAGCGACAGCGAGTCTGAGTCCGAGGCTAAGGCCGAGAAGGTATGATACCACTCCGTTTCTAATAATCTACAACAACTAACATGTCATGTCTACAGGAGTCTTCTTCCGAGTCTGGCTCTGACAGCTCCGACTCCGAGTCTGAGTCTGAGGAGAGCGAGGACACCGCCAAGGCTTCCAAGAAGCGCAAGGCTGATGATGATGTCGAGGCCCCCGCTAAGAAGACCAAGACCGCTGAGGTTCCCGAGGGTGCCTCCGCCAACCTGTTCGTCGGCAACTTGTCCTGGAACGTCGATGAGGAGTGGCTCCAGCGCGAGTTCTCCGAGTTCGGTGAGGTTTCTTGCCGTGTTGTGACTGACCGTGAGTCCGGTCGCTCCCGTGGTTTCGGTTACGCCGAGTTCTCCGACATTGCCGATGCCGTCAAGGCCTTCGAGGCCAAGAAGGGTGCCGAGCTTGACGGCCGTACCATCAACTTGGACTACGCCACTGCCCGCCAGAACAACCAGGGTGGTGACCGTGCCCAGGCTCGCGCCAGTGCCTACGGTGACCAGACCAGCCCTGCCTCCGATACTCTCTTCGTTGGCAACCTGCCCTTCAGCGCTACTGAGGATGCTCTGCGTGATGTCTTCGCTGAGCAGGGTAGCATCCTGGGCATCCGTCTGCCCACTGACCCCGAGTCCGGTCGCCCCAAGGGATTCGGTTACGTCCAGTACTCCTCCGTTGAGGAGGCTCAGGCTGCCCACAGCCAGCTTGCTGGCACTGAGATCGACGGCCGTCCTCTGCGCCTCGACTTCAGCACTCCCCGCCCTGCTGGTGGTGACCGTGGTGGCCGCGGTGGCTTCGGCGGTGGCCGTGGCCGTGGTGGTCCCCGTGGTGGTGGTGGTCGTGGTGGCCGCGGTGGCTTCGGTGGCCGTGGCGGCGGTGGTGGTTTCGGTGGCCGTGGCGGTGGCCTCAACAAGGCCAAGGGTTCCATCCCTGAGTTCAAGGGTACCAAGGTTACCTTCTAAGCATGTTCCTGATTTGCATTTTGCCATTTCTTGGAGTCATTAGGCCTCTGGGAGGCCTTGGATTTTTTAAAAGTTTGTATGATTCTGTAAGGTATTTCCTATTTAGTTCGTGATACGATGAATCCACTGTAATTTGCTACGTCACCATTCAATTTCTTCCAGGCCGGTATCAGTAGTTCCTCGTCCACATGAACGGTGATGCCATTGATGGTGGTCATGTACTGCCACCTGTCACCGCTCCCCTCCCCCGCATCTCCTTGTTCCAACGTGGTCTGGCAGACCTCATTGCGTGGTTCTCTTTGAAATGCACTTGAATGCACTTGAAACTATATTTTTCGCATCCATATCTTCCTTACTATTTCTTCACCACTAATCACTTTTCCGTAGTAGCTTCCGTTTCCTTGAAATTTGACTCTTTTCATATCTTGAAAAAAACTCCGCCCCTCGCGTCTCATCTAATCGGTGGCTTCCGTCACGGGCTGCAGATCACCTGCTCCGTCGGCTGATCACCTCATCATCCTATCTTCAGCCCATTTTTCTCCTTTCTTTGTTGTCTATCCTACGATTAAGTATTGAAGTCCTTCCTTGATCCTAGGCTCCAGATATTTTTTTCTTGGTTCCTTGGGATCTATCTGGAGGAGTGAAAGAAGATAACAAAGCGGTTGGGCATCAGTGATGGGGCAGATCATCCATCTCCACACTGATAAGATCCTCATTGATTGACCTTCCCCACGCTTGACCGCTCCTACTTCTTCATACCGGGTGGCCTGATCCCTGAATTCCCATCTGCCATTTTAAATCATCATCCCAAAGATAATTTCCCCCACTGTGTGCTTTATTTAAACATCTCTGTGGCCATGCAACCAAATCACTGCGACCAGCTTGGTCAGGTGCGCGAGCCCAGAGCCGCAAGTCAACTGATGCGCGATGGCCAGCCGAGAGAACATGGTCAGCCCCGACCGTCCGGTGCGGCACCCATGAGATCTGAAGGTATGTTAGGAAGTCTTTTTATACCCTTGGACCCGCAGGATCTCTCCTGCAGATCGAGTCTAAATGATGTATATTCTGTTGCGCCCTATCGTTCGTCTAGCATGTACTCACTGCGGTATTACATAGACTCGTGGATCGATGTTTCTTCCCAACCGTCATCCTCATCACTATCTTCAGCGGCCACAAACGACGACATCATCACAACTGGTCTTCAAGTGGAACCTCGAGACGCTGGCATTTATCAGAATCGTAGTCGGCGACGGCGCATGCAACATCTCGCAGCGGTGGCCACGGCGCATGTCGATTATTCGTCGCGCGAGGCTAGCCTGGCAAGCAGCAGTCAAGAGGAATACGAAGAGAGTGAAAGTGATCCGGATCCAAACATGAGCAGCTCCAATGAGGATATTCATCGTCCAACCTTGCCTGCTCCACGATCGGTGCCCTCGGCTCAGTCCGACGCAGCCTCCAGTGATGATGAAGACGATACTTCTACTGCCTTGGGAATGGGCATCAGTCCATCGCCATTTGTCCCTCAACCAAACGTCTTTAGCCATCCACCGCTGACCAATGATCCTTCCTGGACTCGACCAAGCGAGTCCCGCCGTTCTCAACCCAGTATGCTGTCTAATTCGAGTCGCCGCACAGCCATTCGTCGAGAGTCCTATCCTTCTGGCTCACGGCAGTCTCGCCGATCTCCTCAGTCTCAACATAGTCCTTATAATATGATATCACCTTCGCACCATGCGGACCATGATGCCGCCCTTAGAGCCAGCCTATCTACCCTTCTGTCCTGTGCTGCTGCTGCTCGTGGACTCCCCAAACCAGAAAATCAACGGCCTCAGCCTCCCACCTCCTCCCGCCCTGCCCAACCATCTTCATTCCGACTTGTTGGCGTGTCTGTGGCCATGGGAGAAGAGAGTGATGATGAAAACGTTTCCTCGCCTCAGAATGCTGAGACCAGCCCCTCAGTGGGCCCGGCCCTTCGTCGTGACCCTCGCTCCCCCGTGCCACCGTCTAGTCCGCCAGGGAAGACTAAACGACGATCTACCTCCCCTAAGGATCGGACTTCCACCTCTAAAAAGAGTCGGCGTGCAAGCCTCACGGATTCGACAGCCCCCGTCAGCCCCACAGTCATGACGTGGGTCATCAGTGCTGGTGTGGTGGTCTTGTTCTCGGCGATCAGCTTTTCTGCGGGGTATATGCTCGGTCGGGAAGTTGGTCGGACGGAGATGGGTATGATGGGGGACGGTGGTGTCCCTGGTGCTCGTTCTTCGGCGGCATGTGGTCAGGAGGCTGTTCGAGGCGGTCTTAGGCGGCTGCGTTGGGGTACAGCGGCCGCTGGATCTGCGAGCCTGGCCTAAGATGATCCAGTGTTTCTATATCCAGTGACGACATACAATGCCGTGATATGAAGTATGACTTTGATGGAATACGATGGTTCATGATCTGCCTTTGATTTATCTTCTGGATTTCTTTGCTATGGGCTTTTTACCTGTAATGCCCTCCCCTTTCCGTCGCCTTTAATTTTTTTTTTTGACGAATTCTCATCTCGTCTGTCTTACTCTGTCGAAAGAGACGGAAAGTCCATCGTTTAGTCGCTGCCGACCAAAATGGGAACTGTCTGAGGTTGAGTGAAATGACCACTCTGGAGCTATGGAGTTTAGGAGAGCATTCTGCCTGTGGGCCGGATGTGATTGTATTGTGACATTGATGTTGATATTGAAATTATACCCTCTTCGTGTGGTTAATGCTCAAAGAATGATGTAGGATGTGTACAGGCATGAGATCTAGTGAGATAAGAGCCTTCCAAGGTCCATAGTAGCCTTAGGCGAGTCAAGGGAGTTGAACGTGAGGCTGTGCTCTAGTCCGGTCCATCCCGAGCTGTAACTCCTTGAAGCACGATTCCAATTATTCGAATAAACATCCATGTTCAATTAGAGTCCAGCCTCATCGGCATGTACGGGATTGGCTACCACTCGGGTAGGACCGAGCATGCACCGATATCACATCGCGCCTTATATGCAACCAAAATCAAATCCAGCAAAAGAAAAGGAAAGAAAAGAAAAGAAAAAGGAACGTCACCTCATGGTCGAACGAACACACCTAAAATAGCATCCCGATGTAACCGACAAGTACCCGCATGGAAAAAAGCAAGCGCAAGTGGACCCCAATGACGCGACTTAATATGCATAAACCCCACTACACAAAGAAAGAAAGGAAAATACAAAAGTACTCGCCGTCTCCGAATCCCGCACGAATCCCGCACCAGCCACACCTGCAAGAACGGTTATGTCCGCATGACTCGTGGGCCGGTTCCCAGGATCCAGGATCATGAATGCCGCCAGGATTCCATTCCCGTTGCCGGGATTCAAGGCAAGAAGCAATATGGATCCTTTAATTCATTTGGCGACTCCGTGAAGGCTGCGTTTCATCTGCACGGGCATCTACGAGAAGTACTACTGTAACCCACCTAGAACGAGAACGAGAACCTGAACCAGGACCAGAACCAGAACCAGAACCAGATCGGGATCGAGTCGATCGATCTGTGATCTTCTTTCCTATCCACAGACGTAGGAGATAGGGAAAGGAAATGGGATCTATAGTCAATAGTATGCCCCTCATCTTCAGTGTTGCAGTTCCAATATGATGAACAAAACCGAACACCGAAAGTCAAATCAAAAGACTATCCTCGCGATCTAGGGATTCGATACAATATCCACAAAGTAGATCCCATCAGGTGTTGCACAACATTCATCGCCCCCTCACCCCGCTCCCAGTTTCCTTATCAAGGATGCTTGTTGCAAGGTTCATTATCTCAAATACCTTGATGAAACGGGGGGCGAACTATTGGATCTGCACGGGCCGGGCCACGGCACGGAGAGCCAGATGAACGATGAGCAATTAGACCCAGGGGCAACCCCATATGCAGGGAATATGAAATAATTCTTGATTATCCAATCCTTAGATCATCATTCTCATCAAGCCCCCGTTTGCTTCCTTGTTTCGTTAAGGAAAAAGCAAAGAAAAATTGAAATTGGAAGCTGAGGCACCAATAAGAAAATTGCATTCAGGAATTCAGGCCTCCCTCGAGCCTAATTGCAATAGTCTCTTATCGAGGTCATCGTGCATATGCTAGCCTGTAGCTTTGTAAGCGCTTAGTTGCATGGTGGTTTGGATTTGGGGGCGGAGACGGTTGATCTCTTGCTGCATGGGGCTTGGTTTGGTTTGATCGGCGCAGGGGCCACTGCGTGTCATTAGGTTTGGTCACTTGAGACACGTTTGCGTTTGAGGGGTTAGAGTTGGATCCTCTTTCTTGCCGAGATTCCAGGGCCTGCATGGTGCCGGTGGAGGTGCCTGGTTCGTGCCGGTTCGTGCCTGGTTCGTGTCAGGAATTGGGTCTGGTTTGTTTGTGCCGGTTAGGCTGGATTTGCCCCGGTGGTTGCTCGTCGGCTTTGGTGTCTAGATGTTTATGGAATGGGGCTGGAGGCAACTGGGAATGTCAGATATGTCCGAATATGTGCTATTATATTTGCATGGGAGATTTGCCTCCTGTTATGTACATGATATTATTCTCGTCGAGCGAGATCCACGTGAAACCCCAGCCTTGTCCCTCTTTAAACGCCTTGCTAACCCATCGCTTAAGAAATCAATAAAAGTAAATCTAGGAGTCACAAAAGAAAAGATGCAAGTCCGATCAGAATGCCTGTATCGAGACGTTGGTAAGATTCGCGCAGAATCGAAAAAGATCATCGAAGCAAGTGCCAAGTTCAAAGAGAGGTGGTCGTGTGCGTCGAAATGAATGTAAAAATGCATCAAGAGAGTGTTGTTCTTGTGGTTGCCTCCGATCGTCGGCGATGTTTTACATCGTCTCGGTTCAGGAAACGACGAAGCTTTGATACAAAGCGGCGACATGGTTGTTCTGGAGTAAAAAGTTAGTAAGTAGAAACACAATGATAAAGTGAGATAGACATACCACTGCTTCGTCGTGTTAACATGGCTGACTCGTCCAAGGGCTGTGTGGTGTAGGCTGCAGCCCAGTAGTCCGTTTGACGGTAACCGGTAAAGGTGCAGTTGTTGGGGTTGTACTGCGGCTGCATGGCCGCCACATGCGGATAGAGCGTTGCCAATGGGGAGAGCAGCTCATCTGGTGGTGGCGAACGTCTGCTATCAATGCTTTCGCATTTCTATAGGAAAAATATTAGTTGAGGTTTGACGTTGTGGTAGGAAGAAACATACGTAAATATCATAGTTTGTCTTGTACATGATGAGATGTGTGGGTGGGTGGGTGGGTGTGTGTTTCGGAGAAGGGCGAAACAAGGTATTGGTATTAGGCAGGGATATGGTTGCTAATGTTCAAGCCCAGATCAGCTGTGGTCGGATGTCGAATATGCAGTTGAGATGTTGGGACACAAATTGCAGACATGCGCGCATTTAAACAGACGAGATCATCTCAGCCGCAGGGCGGGGGAACAGGGTTCAGACGTCAGTCTGATGTGCATCTAGTTGGGGCTAGTTGGCGCGAGATATGACGGTCCAGTGTCCAGAAAGCCGGGATTTGGTGGTCATGGGAAACGGAGCCCGATCATTGGACGAGAGGCGCCCAGAACCCCGTAATCGTCGATTCGCGATCCATCGGCATGACCGAGATCAATACGAAGAGTCAAATCATAATTTCGCAGAGCGGGTTCCTGGATCATCCCTGCAGATTCTTACATTCTTCGCTGCCTGTCTCACGTTTCCTCGTTCCTCCCCCTTGCATCTCGCCTGGTTCTTTTCTTTTCTTTTTCCCACGTTTTTCCCCTCAGGAACATCATACCTTAGATTACAACCTTTCGCGATAACGATAAAATGCAACTTGAAACTATTTCAAATTCTGAGATGAAACGGTCCGTGGTTAGGGGCGTAGTGTAGGGCAGGATTTGTCGATCTGTGGGATAAGCGATCGGCCGAATACATCCGATTCATGGTAATTTCGGAGATCAAATTCTTAATGTATGACTATAGTCCTGATTCACGCTCTTTTGATCAAGGTTTTCACAAACGACCAAGTGGGGCCATCAAGAATGTCACACAGGTCCATCGTTGCGAAAGTCAACATTGACGCTTACCCGGGCTTAGGCTCTCCGTTCTAGGCCTGCGATCTATTCACCCTTCCAAGGTCTGAATGTGTAGATAGATAATAAATGAGCAATAGTTCCGTCCCTGACGAAAGGAAGATCTCTGATTTCATTCTTCCAAATCATGGTAATAGTTGCGTGGGCTCGACCACACTATTGGGACGCTAACGTGGGACCCGATCCGAGGAGGTTGGAGCGACAATCTCTTTGTCGGACTCCACCGACGGTCACAGCCACATCCCTTGCGAGCAATGCACGAGCCACACGCTCGGTCGTTCCGTGGCTAGTGATGTGGCTCAAGCTTGATCTGTGGCTGAACTTATTTGTCGCCTTACTCGATAGCTTCTCCTGCCTGATCCACTTTCTGTCAACCCCGAACTAATCCGCCCTTGATCTTCAAATGTGATAGTTTCTGACATCACACCGATGCTGAGGGGGCTCGGTCGTCCCGCCGTGGGGGAGCTATAAGGACCTATCCCTCTCCCCCAGATTCGTGCCCTAAACTCATTCTACAGTATCCCCATCTGACTGAACATTGGTGACCATTTGGTGACTTGAACACTTCTCCAACACACGTCTTCTGGACCATTTGAATTTCCTCATACATGTCAACAGACGATCATGTCACTCAGCATGCAGGGCTCAGGAAGAGAGTGCTGGGAAAACTCTCCGCATATGGATCTATGCGATCCTTATTCTCGCGAGCGTCTCGCTCGAGGTAAGCCACCTTTTTTTTTTTTTTTTTTTTTTTCCTTGGTGTTTTTCCCCCTACTTTCTCCCCCTTCCTTGTCCACCTTTTTCTGAGACCTCCCTCCTCCAGGATCTGTCGAAAGAGAGGCTGAACGCACCTCCGGCAGGCGGGCACCTCACTCCGAAGGAGTAAACTACCCTGAGGCACCATCTGTCTTAGGCGATGAAGAGTTTGGCCGGGTGGATCCTACTGGCTGGTATCCGCACTACAAAAACTGCTTGCAATATTTCCTTGAGTGCAGCCAACATGCGCCGACGGTACAATCCGTGGCGGCCTTCATCAATATCCGTCTTCCATTCCAGCGTGCGCCAGAGGCGGGTCTATCTACACAGCAATCCCCGTCATATGTTTCTCTCCGACCTTATGTTCGGCGCTTGATAGTCACGGCGCAAGACTCCCCTACGACGATGTGCGCGTTCTTTGGGGATGACTGGGAAGCTGGGGTGGGTTGCATTTACAAGCAAGAGCGCATCAATTACCTCTTCACGGCTAAGAGTAGTGGGTGGGCGGATACCAAGACAGCCTACGATATACAACCTGACGAGCAGACTCCTTTCTTGCGTCCACTGCGGGACCCATCCGAGGAGGAGATTCGGGCAGCAGAGGCCCGATGGAGTGAATGGCTAGCCATGGAAGATTGGATGGTGGGGGCACGGAGCCCCTGGTGAAGCAAAAAAGGGGAAAAGGCTAAGGCTAGGGCTACCCTAACTTGATGAGACATGACTATTATTTTCTTTCTTTTGTCATTTCATTAATTTATTCTTTCATTTGTTTTCATTTGGCATGAAATGATTATTGGGGCTCGTGTCGAGGATATAGTTCCGGCGTTAGAGATTTACGAACACTTTAGGCGTTGGTGACAATCAAACATCATCTATTTTTCGTATACAAAGTACATCTTCAGCAAAGTCAAACACTAGGGACCCAAACTACTGGATCCTAGACAACTTAGCACCAAATGATCGCCCTGAACCCGCACGCCAATGCACAGATGACAGTGATCGTCAGCGGATCCCCTGTCAGAATCAATAGTGCCGCACCGCCACAGGCACAGACCCGCGTGACAAATAATTCAAGGGTGGATTTACCTAATCAGCCTTTCGTACAGGTAATCCTGCTTATCATCTTTAGCGCGTTGGAATTAATCTAGAAGTCCTTGAATTTTCCTACTTAGGTCTAGCCAGGGTCGGAAGCATGTCTTCTCCACTTACACGACCCGCAAAGTGAGTCACTAGACCGGACATAAACGTACACATCAACCTGTCAATTCCACAATTTCACCCCAACTGCAATAGTCTCCCAAGTTTATTCCGTTTGCTAGGCTGAGCTGAAAGGTTCCGATCGTCAGGGTCACGAAGCGTGTGATACGTCCAGTTTGTCGTAACCAGGTTCCCGGGAATAATCGTCGCCCGGATCGCAATTAAAGAAAAAAAAAAAAAAAAAAAAAAAAAAAACAACAACAACATGGCGGAAAATGAATCCCCGGAACCGCGCATCTACAAACATGATGACAAGGCCAGCACGCTCCTTCCTCTGCTAGCTTCTCATCTACCACTCTCTGCTGCACTTCTGCGACGTATCCAGCATGGATTCGCCTACCCAGCTCCCACTGCCAAGATCTTAGCCACATTCCCCCCATCGGCCTCCGTATCCCCTGACAAGCCATGGCTGGCTGCACGGGTGGATCTTTTCCGCGGCCGCGAGACCCAGATCATCCTCTATTCCAGCCTTGAAGCGGAGCACACGTCAATCCAGCCGATCGGTTCTGGCGGAGCTGAACCGGCTGTCACCGTCACCCCTAGTGACGGGTCCAGTCCCGGCGCAGTGGAAAGCAACAATCACGCCAGTCCCGATTTTAATTATACAGTTGCTACACTGGACTCGGCTAACCCAGCTTCTCTGCGTCTGGCCCGTGAGCAACTATTGGCTTTGCTCGCTTATATCAAAGCCAATCTGTTGCCGGAGTACCTGGCTTCCCTGCCACCTGACAGTGAGAAGAAGTCAGCTGAAGCGCAGTCGCGGAATGGTGTTGCCTTGATCCCTGCACCGGATCCTAAGGCTTTTCTAATTGGAACACTGCATACGGGCCTGTTTACTTTGCTTTTGGAGTCGGGTGTTTTCCCGCATCCTGATGTGGGGGACGCGTCACGTCTAAAGCTTTTGCCTGGGCTGAAGGTTCATCGGTATGATAACCCGCCGTATGTCAAATATTTCTTTCCCCGGGAGGCGTTCACGATGCGGGATGATGAGGCTGAAATTCCGTTGCCGGCTGGGTACCGGTTCCACGATCGGAAGGGAAGAAGAGGTGTTTTGGATTCGCATTTGAGTCTTGTGCAGAGTCGGACGAGTATTCCTCGGTCGAGGGCGCAATTGTCCAGCCTGGTTGGTATGGCGATTTACTATGATTCTGAGCCTGAGACGGAAGGCGATGAGGATGAAATGCCTGTTGCGTGGGCTTTCCTGGGTTGTGATGGGCCGTTGGCCACTTTGCACGTTGAGCCTGAGCATCGGGGCAAGGGCCTCGCGCTCTGCTTGTCCAAGGAGACTATGCGGCGCGGTATGGATCCTACCGGGATTTTTGGGGCTGATAGACTTGATTTTGTGGATGAGAAGCTGCGGCAAAAGACTACCGCTTGGGTGCATACTGAGGTTGCACAGGCTAATAAGGCCAGTCGGAGGGTTATGGACAAGGTTGGTGGAGAGGTTCTGTCGACTGTGATGTGGGTGGTAATCGAGCTTTGTGATTGATTTGGAACCTGGATACCAATGGGATAATTGCGTCAGGACGGGCTTAACATAGAGATAGATACCGACTACTCGTGAGATTGATAAATATACAGCGACGTACATTTTGTACGCCTTGAACATGCTATGGTGTTAAAGAGATGTCTGCACATGCTTCCTGAAGTTTTCGTTCGTACCTATGCTTGTATGGGCATCAAGTTTGTAAGTTGGCATTGCTTGTCCAGATACACAAACCTTTCACGGATGAATCCGAAGTTCAACCCATGAGGTTTATGAATTTAAGGAAGATTGGAAGGCTAGAAGCAGAGGCATGCGTCCATGGGTCTGAATACAGATATAATTCACTACTAGTCGTCATCCACCTACCTAGGTAACCCAGACATAGGTATAGGGATTGAGGTGTTAACAACTAAAAACCATTGATACACAAAAAAGCATTAAAAGAAAGCATTAAAAGAAAGCATTAAAAGAAAGCATTAAAAACCACAATTAAGGCTTATATCTTTACAAATACGACTTCCAACGAGGAAGAGATAGTCAAGATAACATTGATTTCAAAATATATATCCAGGTGGTCCCGACCACCAAAGTTTGAATTCTAAAGGGGATTTTAATCACTTCTACATCTGAGCTACCTGGATACAATGATATCTGAATAAGAACAATAACCATGTGTAGTATGGAAGAAAGGGCGGTCTGTACTTCAAAATCTATGCATCTGGCCCATCCGTGTCGCTCCTTCTCATTCGTCCATTGGCAAGTGATAAAAATAACTTGCGAACGCAACAAATTGAACCACAACAGACCCGTGGGCTTTTCTGTCTATATCGGCCGCAAGATGTATTATGCCTATAAGTTCAGACCCAATTGATTCTTTCAAACGTATTATAAGTGGTTGAATTGTAATAATCAAAGGCGCTGTCATAGTTAAACACCCCACCGTCGATCCCCCCAAAACGGCTTAGCGCTCCGATGATCGGGTTGAACACACCATTATCGGTCAACCCTTTCTCGTCTTTCTTCTCTCTAAACACCCCTTCCAAACCAATTGACCACTCTCCAATTCGTCATAATGAGCAACAAGGCTGTCGCCGAGAACATGCTCTGGGGAGGTCGTTTCACCCGTAAGAACCCTTCCAACCCCGCCAATTCCCCCACCAAACTCCAATCCCGCATTGACTCATACTAACAAAAAATAACCAGAGGGCCTCGACCCCCTCATGGTGAAGTACAATGAGTCCCTGCCCTATGACCGCATCATGTGGAAGCAGGATATCGCCGGCTCCATCGCCTTCGCCCGTGCCAACATGAAGAACGGCATCCTGACCCCCCACGAGTTCGCCGAGATCGAGCGCGGCTTCAAGGTCATCTCGGAGGAGTGGCGCACAGACACCTTCGAGGCTAAGCCCAATGACGAGGATATCCACACTGCCAACGAGCGCCGTCTCGGCGAGATCATCGGAAAGGAGATTGGCGGCAAGCTGCACACCGGTCGCTCGCGTAACGAGCAGGTCGCTACCGATATGCGCTTGTGGCTGCGCGATGAGCTGCGCGTCCTGGACAGCCAGCTCTGCGACCTCATCAAGGTTTCCATTGCCCGTGCGGAGAAGGAGATTGACTACATCATGCCTGGTTACACTCACTTGCAGAAGGCCCAGCCCGTCCGCTGGTCCCACTGGATGCTGTCGCACGCCACTGCCTTCGCGAGCGAGCTGCAGCGTCTGCGTGAGGTGATCCGCCGTGTGAACCGAAGCCCTCTGGGCTGCGGTGCTCTCGCTGGTAACCCCTTCAACATTGACCGTGAGGCTATGGCCAAGGAGCTGGGCTTCGACGACCTGCTTTACAACTCGATGAACACCGTTGGTGACCGTGACTTTGCTATGGAGACCATGCAGTGGGGTAGCTCTTTTATGCTCAAGATCTCTCGCTGGGCTGAGGACTTGATCATCTACAGCAGTCTGGAGTTCGGTTTCGTGCGCCTGTCCGATGCGTACTCCACTGGCTCTTCCCTGATGCCCCAGAAGAAGAACGCCGACAGCCTGGAGCTGCTCCGCGGCAAGTCTGGCCGTGCTTTTGGTCAGATGGCTGGTCTGATGATGACCATCAAGGGCCTGCCCACGACCTACAACAAGGATCTGCAGGAGAGCATCGAGCCCCTGCTCGACCACATCAAGACCGTTAGCGACAGCATCCTGATCGCCACCGGTGTGCTGTCCACCCTGACCGCCAACCCTGAGAAGATGGTTGCCGCTTTGGCTCCCGAGATGTTGGCCACCGAGATCGCTGACTACCTCGTCCGCAAGGGCGTTCCCTTCCGTGAGGGCCACCACATCTCCGGTCGCGTGGTCCAGCTTGCTGAGAGCACCAATGTCCCCATGGACACCCTGTCCCTCGAGCAGCTCCAGGGCTTGGACTCTCGCTTTGATGCGGATGTTCAGGCTTGTCTCGACTATGAGCGTGCTGTTGAGCTGAAGGATGCCATTGGTGGCACCAGTAAGCGGGCTGTCATCGAGCAGACTTCCGTGTTGAAGAAGCTGCTATAAATGTCTACGTTTGAGTAGATGGGGGGTCATTTTGTGCAGTATATCATCAAAAATATCAGCGGTCTTGGGTTTATATCTCGGTTAGAGTAAAAAGACATCAGTTTCTTTGGTTCACTTCTTTCCACTCAAGCATACACCAGCCCAGAAGCTAGCTTTTAAAATAACAAGCTAGCTCTTGTATTAGAAGCGAAAACGGATGTTCCGTACTTTTCGCTTTCCAAGCTATACACGCGCCACTCGGCGTTGGTTAATAACGTTCACGAGAAAGAATCGCAAATGGTACATGTAGCAGGATCGATTTGTTTCAAGGGCATACAACGGGATCTTGCTCTTTCATAGATCTGAGGCTTGTACATAGTATTGAGGGATTCATATTTCCAAGGCATAACGTGTGATTCGAGAATACATAACATGAATAAGCATAAGAGATAGGTATGTACGATAGTAAGGCCGATACTGAAGATTGCGCAAGCCATAAATAAAGAAGAAAAATAAAGAAAACTTGAGATACAAGATTAATCAAACCGCCTAACCCCCAACCCCATCGTCCCAGCCGGCGTCTTCCTCTCCCCATTCACTTCAAACTCACATTCTTCCTCAGCCTCATAAGCAGGGGGCACTTCACTCGGTGTTGGCGAAAGGGGACCAACATCCATGAAACTCAGATTCCCAATCTTGTTCGAGACAGGTGAAGATGTCGGCGGAGAAGCAGAAACAGCAGTAGGAGGAGAGATAGGAGTAGATGACTGTCCCGCTTCACCATCAGATACGTCCGTCAACGGTAGACTGCCATCAAAGTTCATAAAACTCATGACATGATCCTGCGATTCCCCTGAGTTCTCTTTACCTTTTGCCATATCCGCGTCTCCATTTCCATTTCCATTCTTGTTTCCATTATCAATCCCATTCCAATTTTCAATAGAGAGTTCCGTATCTTTGGGATTGCCAGAATACCTGCCCAGATTCGCACCCATTACAACCTCTTCCTCCGTAACTACTCTCCGTGCCGTATGGCGCGCCATAAATCTGGGACTCATATTTCTGCTAGGCGGAGAAAAGCCCGAGACAGAGCCCGAGCCAGAACCCGGACTGCTGCTGGTAATCTTGGGCGAAGATGATGCCGAAAAAAGCTCCAAGGAATCCCGAGAAAAGACGTTGGCAATATCACCTCTCTGATAAAGCATGACTCCTTCTCCTTGTCGTTGATTTAGTGGCATGTTGATAAGATCTCTCTGAGGGTCAGTTGGTAGCTCGGCGCATGCGCGCCGAGCCCTTGTATCAGGGAGTTCGGGCGTATAACCTGCTCGTTTGGGGACGGAGGCGAGAAGCTCAGCCGTTGGAATGGAGGGGATCGGTTGGAAACATGTTGCACCACCATTTAGACTGAGGCTTGTTGTTGATGTGTTAGGACCACCTGTTAGGGCCGAGATGACGGTGTTATTGTGGGAATCTGTGACTGAGGGCTCGAAGTGAGGATACGAAGAGCCTTTGGTGCGAATATTAACAAACTTTTCTTTGGGGTGGATGGCATTGTGCTTACTGTTGCCATTGTAGTTCCCTGTACGTTCTCTTTGCCAAGGTGTTTTTCTTGGGTTGGGCCATTGACTCTGGTCGATAATGCAAGGCTCGGTATTTTTCATGCGATTTCTGCGCTTCCAGAAACAGAAGAGAATAATTGCTATGATCAGAAGACCTGCTAAGCCTCCAATAGCACCGCCTATTATGGCTGAGTGGTTGCTAGAGCTGGATGATGCCGGAGCTGTTGTTGAGGTACTTGTAGATGTCGCCGCTACGATAGTACTCGGGCTGGTACTTCCAGTGGTCGAAGTCGAAGACGAGGTTGTTTTGGCTATCGCAGTTGTTGTATTTTCCGTGGGGCTTGTCGAAGTTGAAGAGTGGCTAGAGGTACTCGAGGCTGTGAAGGTTGTGGTGTCTGTAGACGAGATCGTGGTATCATCATCTGGGCATACACCCAATGTACACGGATTGCTTGAACAGCAACCTTTGTAGTCGCCAGCACTGCAGACATACCACAGCGTATCGCCAGTGCATGTTGTGTCTGCCCGAGGGACCAACTGATCCATCAGGTCCATTCCGGAGAAGCGCGAGGGCAAAAACAACCAGGTAGTAGATCGAAGTAAACGGGGTGGGTACGGGACTGGACATGCATACCAAGAAAGGAAGAGAAAGTAAAGGAAAAGCAAAAAAGAAAGTCACAGGCAGAGCAGGAGTTGTTATTTCGAGTTTGTTCTGTTCCATAGATAGTAAAAGTAAGTGGCTTTGAAGGCGAGGGACAAGGGTCATCTCGGTCAAAGACATGACTTGGGGATTTCTTTGTTTTCAGTTATCTTGCAGTAGCCCGTCATATATAGACGTAGAAAATCAAAGACACGCGTAGTAATGCCGAATGAAAATAGGCAAATGATATGACAAGATCCATGCTAAAATCGACGTGCTGAATATGGGTGCATCCTATGCATTTAAGTGTTGCCCAAATAGTAGAGATTGCAAGGACTATGGTACCCCAACAGATGCCACTTTCAACGTTGTCTAGGAACCAACTCAATATTGAGAGTATTTCAGGGGCTGAATATAGATGTCAAAGAATAGAGATTGACGCTGTATAAAGCTACACATTCGAGGTCTACGGCACTACGCATGGAACAAATAAATTGAGAACCAATTAAAAAGAAAATTCCAGTGTATCAGACAAAGTGAGGAAAAGCACTCAGTACACCGACTCTTCGCCTGTAAGTTAAAAGGAAATAGGAAATATGGCTATACAGGATGGTAAAATAACAGTCAAAATAAGAAACATGCTCTTTTCGTGGATTCCTCCGTCAATACCACGACCTCGCAGATGACCCCAAAGAGCATCTGAATCAAGGACGTAATATCTTCTTTCAACTCCGCTCCTTAGTAAGTACGCTTGAAGGGGGGCACGGGCTTGCACTCTGCAGCATCGAGGGTGTTGGCCTCAACGGCACGGTAGCCCAGATCGACCTTGCCGTGGGCCTCCTTCTGCCAGGTGAGGGAGTGCTTCATCCAGTTCTCATCATCACGGTCGGGGAAGTCCTCACGGGCGTGAGCACCACGGGACTCCTTGCGGTTGGCGGCGGCAGTGGCGGTTTGGGTAGCGCAAGTCAACAGGTTACGGAGCTCAAGGGTCTCAACAAGATCGGAGTTCCAGATCATGCTGCGGTCCTTGGTTCCGACCTGGTCGTACCAGGTGTCGATCTCGCTGATCTTCTGGACACCCTCATCCAGGGACTCCTGGGTACGGAACACACTGACGTCAGTCTGCATGGCCTTCTGCATGGCATTGCGGACCTCGAAGGTAGACTTGGGGCCATCGGCGTTGCGAGCGAAGTCAAGGTCCTTGATGGACTGAGCACCGGCGTCGGAAGCCAGCTCCTTGTGGGGCTTGCCGGGGGAAGCAGTGTCACGGACACGGTGGGACACAGCACGACCGAAGACGATCAGATCGAGCAGGGAGTTGGCACCCAGACGGTTGGCACCGTGGACAGACACACAGGCGGCCTCACCACAGGCGTACAGACCGGGGACAACCTTGTCGTTGCCGTTCTCATCGACGTCCAGGACCTCACCGGTGTACTTGGTGGGGATACCACCCATGTTGTAGTGGACGGTGGGCAGGACAGGGATGGGCTGCTTGGTGACATCGACACCAGCAAAGATGGAAGCGGTCTCAGAAATACCAGGCAGACGCTCGTGCAGCAGCTCAGCGGGCAAGTGGCTCAGCTGGAGGTAGATGTGGTCCTTCTCGGGACCGACACCACGGCCCTCACGGATCTCCAGGGTCATGGAACGGGAGACAACGTCACGAGAGGCCAGATCCTTGGCGGTAGGAGCGTAACGCTCCATGAAACGCTCACCCTCGGAGTTGAGCAGGTAACCACCCTCACCACGGGAACCCTCAGTGATCAGACATCCGGCACCGTAGATACCGGTGGGGTGGAACTGGACGAACTCCAGATCCTGGTTGGGCAGACCGGCACGGGCAACCATGGCCATACCGTCACCAGTGCAGGTGTGGGCGGAAGTGCAGGAGAAGTAGGCACGTCCGTAACCACCAGTGGCCAGAACGGTGTGGTGAGCCTTGAAACGGTGCAGGGTACCGTCCTCCTGGTTGTAAGCAATGATACCACGGCACTCACCGTTCTCCATCAGGAGATCAAGAGCGAAGTACTCGATGAAGTAGTTGGTGTTGTGGCGCAGAGACTGGCCGTAGAGGGTGTGCAGCAGAGCGTGACCGGTACGGTCAGCGGCGGCAGCGCAACGGTAGGCCTGACCACCCTTTCCGTACTCCCTGGACTGACCACCGAAGGCACGCTGGTAGATACGGCCATCCTCGGTACGGGAGAAGGGGCAACCGTATCCCTCGAGCTCTCGGACGGAGGCGGGAGCCTCGCGGGTCATGTAGTGAATCGCATCCTGGTCACCAAGCCAATCAGAACCCTTCACGGTGTCGTACATGTGCCATCTCCAGTCGTCCTCGTGCATGCTATCGTCCAATTAGTTACCGTTCCGGGGTAAAATCCACATCCATACGAAGTTTGGAGGGGGTGAAAACCTACTTTCCAAGGGCAGCATTGATACCACCCTGAGCGGCGACAGTGTGGGAACGAGTAGGGAAAAGCTTGGAAACACAGGCAACGTTGAAACCAGCCTCGGCCAGACCGAAGGCAGCACGCAGACCGGCACCACCGGCACCAACGACAACGGCATCGTACTCGTGGTCCTGCAACAGGTCAGAATCTCCGTGTCTCTAGTATCCTTTCATTGGTGCGGCAGTGCTTACAATGACGGGGTACTTCTCAGAAATGTAGCCATTGGCGGCTTTGGCGCGCAGCGGCTGGTTGGCCCAGATCTTGGCTGTTAAGGATGCGGTTAGTGATGAGGACGTGATGTGACGTGATACAACTGAAGGATTCTCAATGCGTACCAGCAGGGCGAGATGAGGAGAAAAGACGTCTCTGGTCCCTTAAGATGCGGGAAACCTGTAATTCGCAAACAACTCGGTCAGTTCAACCATCGCACCCGGGCCGAAAATCATCGCAAGTCGGCTACTAACCTTGGAGGCGGGAGCCAAGCTCCGCAAGCTCATGGAGCTCATTATGACGGGTCTGAAGAGAAGGAGCCCCCTAAACACCCGAAAGAAGAGAATACACCGGTATCACGGTGGAGATAAGATTGGTAGAGGGGAGGGTGGAAGAACTTCCTTTCGAGAGCAGAGCAACTTCGGCGATGGAATTCGGCTTGCGGATGGCAGTTGGTGCTGACATAATCTCCAGCTTTTTACAATTGAACGCGTGCTGATTGGCTGCACCGGGTCCTGCTCATTTTCGTGCGCCGTCACTTGCCTCGGGCTGCCGGGTGACACGTGACCCCGTTTTCGTAGATCCAGCTTCATGATCGTGGACCATGAAGTATTCCTCCACGATACAGCTGTAAGATGAGGGCATTGATATGTCTAGAGCACATATACCTTACTTTGATCATTTCGAATATACTAAATTTACTTGCTACATGCCAAGTCTCTGTCATTCTTGCTTCAATCCATTAGCCGATGCATCTTCTCATCCCTTTCCCCGGATATACGATCTTCCCACAATCTCGGGATCTAGTTTCTCCGGTCCCGAGATATCGGTAGTGCATTCATCACGCTTATTGGCGATCGGGTGGATCACTCCTTTGGACGTACGAGGCTAAATAAACTACTAGTATATACGGAGTAGCTATATGAAAAAGTAGGAAGTATGGTAGATTATAGATTCGTTCACACGGCTGAGGTTGAACACCACCAACCAACATGCAAAAAGAAAACTGAAGTGATCGTACAATCTCATGCACCATGCCCATGCTAGAACCAGCTCATATTTCTAGTTGTATTGCATGTATGTGGCGGTCGAGTTGAACTTCAGGTTGCCCTTGATCACCTTCTCTACCGACGCCAAGAAGTCCTTCTCGGTTGCGACCTTCCGTCGAGCACGGATGGCAAACATACCCGCCTCAGTAGCAACACTACGCAGCTCCGCACCAGTTGCGTTGGGGCATAGTCGTGAAATAAGCTCCCATCGAATGTCCCGCTCGACGGACATACTCTTGGCGTGAATACGCAGAATGTTGGCACGACCTTCAACGTCAGGAAGAGAGAACTCGATCTTTCGATCAATACGACCAGGACGCATCAACGCCGGGTCCAGGGTAGATGGTCGGTTAGTGGCGAACATGACCTTGATGTTACCACGGGCGTCGAAACCATCCAGCTGGGTAATAAGTTCCAGCATGGTTCGCTGGACTTCGTTATCACCACCGGCACCGTCATCGAAACGAGCTCCACCGACTGCATCGATTTCATCGAAGAAGATGATACAAGCCTTCTTCGTCCGAGCCATCTCAAACAGCTCTCGGACCATGCGAGCACCCTCACCCACGTACTTCTGCACCAACTCACTTCCAATGACACGGATGAATGTAGCATCGGTTCGGTTGGCCACAGCACGAGCGCAAAGAGTCTTACCGGTACCAGGAGGACCGTAGAGCAAAGCGCCCTTGGGGGGGGTCAATACCCAAGTTCACGAACCGCTCTGGTGATAGCAATGGCATCTCCACAACCTCTCGTAGCTTCTCAATTTGTTCCTTGCAGCCACCCACGTCGCCGTAAGTTACATCTGGCTTATCTTCGACTGTCATCATTGTCACACTGGGATCGATCTTGGGCGGGAGCGGCAGCATAATCTGGTACTTATTCCGGTCGACACTAGATCATCATCAGCACCTCTGCAGTATTAATAGACTGCGGATCAAAGATAAAAACCTACCCGACTCGCATACCCTCTTCAATATCTGTCGGACTCACGCGCTCTCCTAGGTTGACCACGAATTTGGCGATCTGTTTCACGTTGATGACATATTTGCTCTTGTCCGAGTCCTTCTCATCCTGGATAATCTTTGTGCAACGAGCCACCTGCAGGGGCTGCTCTTCGGCCATCCGCTGTCGATCGGCAGCGACATCCCAAAGGTGTGGAGGTGCGAGACCGGTGTCGGATTCCTGGAGCGGGTATGAGCTTCGGCGGGTTCAAGGGATCGAAAGAGCTGAATAAATAATCACCTTCACACCAATCTTCTCGTTCACGCTGGCTTGTTTATCCTTGATATCCTTCTCGAGCTTCTGAAGCGCCTTAGCGTAGGGAGCCGCGCCGTAGGTCTTGAGTACTGCGATGTCACTGGATGAGACGTTAGCGATCCATCACTAGACAGAAATCGGCGGCAATCCTTGAGAATTCCAACATGCGACAAAACTTACTCATCTGTGAGAGGTGTGATCTTCTTCTCTGGTTCTTCGTCATCCGCGAAGTTCTTCTGGTACTTCTCCCAGTTCTGTCCCGTGGCGCTAGGCATACTGAGGTGTTGACAGCCCCGGGCTGAGGACCTAGGATCGAGACAAAAGAACGAAAAGTAGCTAGAGAAAGCAAAAAAGGCAAGAGAGAAGTCGGAAATTGCTGAACCGGCAGAAAAATGGAGGTGGATGGTATAATGAAAGAGGATGGAGGTGGTGATGTAGCAGAGAGCTGCGGTGGCCGAGCTCAACTCACTAATCAGTGCCAAGCTTCATCACCGCCCCAGAACCTCGCAGAATTTCTGTGTGTTCACTCCACCACCGCCGATTCTACTTCCCCTGTTTGTTGTTTTTACATAGGTTGCTTTTTGATAACAACATTCAAGATGGCGACCGCAGTGGCTCAAGGAACTGCTGGCAACAACTCCTTCAAGGTGCGATTCGCGAACCTCTTGTGTGTGAACTGAATTCTGATAGCGAGCAGGACAAGGAGAAGCCTATGGCCGTGCGGGCCTCCAACATTATGGCAGCTCGGGGTATGTCATTCGTTCATCTTATTCAAGAACCATAATGCTGATATTTAATTTCCAGCCGTCGCCGATGCTATTCGCACAGTATGCATACCTAGAACATGATCATTTACAGAGATGAGGGGCTAACGAGGCGACAGTCATTGGGACCCAGGGGTATGGATAAGATGGTAAGTCGACCATGACCACTCCCAGCTGGCATGATGCTAATACATATATAGATTCAAACACCCAAGGGAAACACAATTATCGTATGCCTGCCGTCCAATTCCTGTCGATAACCTCCCGACTAACCCCCCGCAGACCAACGATGGAAACACCATGTTGAAGGATATGAGCGTCATGCACCCCGCTGCCCGCATGCTGGTCGACCTCAGTGCTGCACAGGATGTTGAGGCTGGTGATGGAACAACCTCGGTCGTTGTCATTGCTGGCAGTCTGCTCGGTGCCGCTGAGCGTCTGTTGTCCAAGGGCATCCACCCTACCGTCATTTCCGAGTCATTCCAGCGTGCCGCCAGCGCCGCTGTCGAGATTCTCCACAACATGTCCCGCCCTATCAACCTTACCGACCGCAACACCCTCCTCCAAGCTGCCTCAACCTCTCTCTCATCGAAGATTGTCTCCCAGCACTCTGGTTTGCTGGGCCCTATGGCCGTCGACTCCGTGTTGAAGGTTGTGGACCACAAGACTGCCGAGAACGTTGACTTGCGAAACATCCGGATCGTGAAGAAGGTCGGCGGTACTATTGAGGACAGTGAGATGATTGATGGCTTGGTCTTGAACCAGCCCGTTATCAAGAGCAGCGGTGGCCCGACAAGAATCGAGAAGGCCCGGATAGGTCTCATCCAATTCCAACTGAGCCCGCCCAAGCCTGACGTATGTTTCCCGGTCCTGAAACTTGACATTGAATAAATACTGACTATCTTTCTTTCGATAGATGGAGAACCAGATCGTCGTGAACGACTACCGCCAGATGGACAAGATTTTGAAGGAGGAGCGCCAGTACCTGCTCAATATGGTTAAGAAGATTCAAAAGACCAAGTGTAACGTGCTTCTGATTCAGAAGTCTATTCTGCGTGACGCCGTTAACGACCTCTCCCTGCACTTTTTGTCTCGTCTGAAGATTCTCGCCATCAAGGATATCGAGCGTGATGAGGTTGAGTTCCTCTGCAAGTCCCTTGGCTGCAAGCCCGTCGCCAACGTCGACTCTTTCACCGAAGACAAGCTTGGTACTGCTGACCTTGTTGAGGAGGTTCAGGCTTCAGGTGCCCGCTACGTCAAGATCACCGGCATTAAGGCCCCCACTACTACCCCCACCAACCAAACCGTGTCGATTGTCGCCCGCGGTGCCAACAACCTGATTCTGGACGAGGCTGAGCGATCCCTTCACGATGCCCTTTGTGTCATCCGCTGTCTGGTCAAGAAGCGCGCTCTGATTGCTGGTGGTGGTGCCCCTGAGGTTGAGGTGGCCCACACCCTTGCCATGCGGGCTCGTGAGCTCACAGGTACTGAGTCTATCTGCTGGAAGGCCTTTGCCGATGCCATGGAGGTCATCCCTACCACTCTTGCCGAGAACGCTGGTTTGAACTCGATCAAGGTCGTCACTGAGTTGCGTCACCGTCACGCCCAGGGTCAGCACAACGCTGGTGTCAGCATCCGCAGTGGAGGTGTCAAGGATGATATCACTGAGGAGAACATCCTGCAGCCCCTGCTGGTCAGCACCAGTGCCATTGAGCTGGCCGCTGAGACCGTGAAGATGATCATGAGAATTGATGATATTGCTCTGTCGCGGTAAAAGGTTCACACTGCACAGGGATGTATGATGACATGCAATGTGATTGCAATGAGTAATTATCAACAAAAAAAATAACCAGTTTTCATAGAATTCTTCTAGATTCCTTTTTACAAACTAAGGTTTCGCAGATACGCCTTAGGGAATCTTCTATAGAAGCATATAGGCATATTCAAGGTCTTGGTCCCTAAGACTGCCCAGGTGATATGATTGACCAGTCTTGAAATCTGCACAGCAAAGTATCGTATTGAGTCGCTTTAGATTGGCGTATAGTGAAACTCCACATATATGTTCACAAAGAGTCTGCCTTGAGGACGATAGATTAGCTCATGGAGATTAGTAAGGCGTGGTCTGTTTAGGCACAATTGAACGCTTCTGGCATGCGCATTGTCCCCTAGCATATCTAGATTAGTTAACGATACACATACGATACTCGAGCATCGGTTTATATACTCCGACTGGAGCTAACATAGTATGGCACACAGTATCAGCTTATGTGGCAACATACAGTGAAGCCCTAAGCACAGATAAAGGTCAATTCATAGTTACTCATGGCCCTTTATCAAAGATGATCTTATGACTTCCTTTATATGAGGAAACCCGTCCCTTTCGGCAGAGATATGAGCTATCTAGAAACCAAGCTTGAAGAGAACAGGAAAGAGAAGCAACAGCTCATCAAAGATGTAATAGGCTCTCATCGTATATTTTTGCAGGCAGAAGGGAATCTCTGTCTCGCCCATTTTCGTGCCCTCAAGCGACAAAACTCGACTCTGATGAGGGACATTGACCACACTGAGACTCCATGGAAAGAGGGTCATGCCACTATTGACGAAGTTGTGGTTTTACCCTGAACAGACACGTGGTCTATTAGCGGAGATCGAGGGTACTAGATCTATGCTTGGTGGAGCAACCTTCTACGCCCCAGTGATCAACGAAGAATGCCTGGCCGTGTTGGTCCCTATGACGGACTTCAGAGACACAAGGCACTTATAATACGGTAAAAACGGGCACCCGCTTACGATTGGAGAGCGTTGACTTGCAATGAAGTTGTCAAAGTGTCCTGGTTGTGGATTGCTTCTTGGTGGTCAGGATCATCAAGCAGTCACTGGCGTGATACATTCGCAGGACTTGGAGGCAGGTGTGGGAAACCTCAAACCGCAGTGATACTTGCGTTTGAACTAAGGCGGACTTTGCTAATTTAAATTTGCGGTATCGGAAGTGGTGTTTGAGAACGAGACGAATGAAGACTGATTTGAGACTGGATCAAACCTGATCATTATGGAACGCTCATTATTTCCCATACACTGTATGGCTTCACCAGTGCGATGCCAATTTAGCATTCCATGGGCAACGAGAATTCTGAGCCCTGTAGATAATGGTGAATCTGTTCTATTCTAAGTAGGACTATTCGGGATTCGTGTTCTCTCGACTACGATTCAATGGGCCATCGGAGATTACAATCTAGGCAGCTTTGAATGTATGAAGGTTTGGATTTTCAATATTTTACTAAATGAGGCAAGTCCACTATATATAGTAGCCCCGGGAATCTATTTACAGTAAAGTGTAGTTTTTGGCCCCCGGTTTGATCGCCGCGGATCATTACCGCATTAACGTCACGGCCGTCAGTCTAGAGACCCAACCAAGGGCTTAAATCCTTCCTTGATTCAAGGCTTTTCATGAACTAATGCTCAAGCATGCATGCCAGTAGCGGTAGTATGTTTCTAAAGACCCTGAGCTCTAAATTAGCTTTATTAGAATGTTTATAACTGGTAGACTCCAAACATCAAAAGTACCCCACACCGGAGTTTCATGATCGCGTTGAACTTCTGGCCCCCATAGCCCCCAAGGACCCCTGCTGATGCAAATCTGCAAAAGTAATCAAATCTCCATCTTCATGCCGAATGAATATTTTCACCTTCGCGACAATATGCCACGCCGCTGCCATACTAAGTCCAGGCGGGGCTGCGTACAATGTAAAGAACGACATGTCAAGGTGAGTTTTGACTCCCAAGTTCAGATCTATAGTAAAAATGCAATCATTTCTTCTCACATCAATGTCTTGTGATTTTTTTTCGAAGCTAAAACTTCAACTGATATTCCAAATAGTGTGATGAGAATCGTCCAACATGCAGCCTCTGCATTCGACGCGGGTTAGAGTGCGTTTATGTAGCACCTCGGCCCAGACGAAGACCCACGTCAACAAGCACAAGCTCCCCCAAGAATGCAAGGTCCGACAGGTCATCATCACAATCCAGCATATCCCACTCAGATGAGTTTATAAGACTCCCACGCTTGCAGGAGATGCAACTCTTCTACAGGGCGTGCGAGTCGACTCTCCCCTCAATAGCCAAAGACGACGAAGACCGCCGCTTCTGGAATGGGAAAATCCCCCAGTTTGCCGTTTGCCACGACTATGTCATGGACAGTCTACTTGCTGTGTCTGCTCTCCATCTGGCATCAGAGCAACTTGACGCGGATGAGATTCCTACGTGGTTGGAGACTGCTTTAACGTATCAGACCCACGCGACTACCGGGTTGCGACAGGAGCTCGTGACAAACCCGCAGAATATTGAGGCGTCTTTCATGTGCTCTGCTATCATCTTAATACTAGTGACTGCTTATCCAGGCATTTGCCGAGATGAGACACCGGTCGATCCGCTGTGCGAGATCATGACACTTCGATCGATTCTTAGCGGAGCCGCATTTTTATGGATGCAGATGTTCCACGGTACCGAGCGAGCCTGGCTTGATGCTTGGATATATCAGGATGGAAATAACAGGCTTGCAATTGCCAGAGCAAAGTAGGTATTCCTGCAATTCTTTGATCAAATCGACTTAGTCTTAAAGCTTACCATCAATCGCATTATAGTGAGGATCCAAGCATAGTAAAACTGCACATGTGAGTGAAACAATCAGAGACTGAAGGCTAAGGACCAAAGCCAAGTACAAAGCTAATTCAAACGCCAATAGGACTATTTTACAAAAATTCCACACCTTGCGCCCATTCATCGAAGGCATTCCCGGGCCACAACTGAATATCTACCGGGATACATATAAGCTGCTGCTACAAAGCTTGGAATGCTGGCCATCCGGGCAGGGGAGCCTGGTTTGGCCAATCCGGGTAAGCGATGAATTCATGAACCTAGTCAAACAAGGCGAATGGATGGCGCTTATCTTCGTGCTGTTCCACGGGCTGGACAAGCATCTATCTTCACGAAAATGGTTTGCTCGAGAGTCAGGGAAGCGATTGGTTCACGGTGTGATCCAGAATTTCGCTGGAACTTTTCCTCCGGAATGGGTGGGCTTGGTTGAATGGGTTAGGCAAGCTGTGGAAGTGTGATAGGGCATTCCTTCTCTATAGCCCTGGAGGCTTTGATCTTTTAATCATTTTACGGCAAAGGTCTATGAGAGGCCCTGCCTTTAAGGAGTTGGGCTTATGATGTGATATGATAAATGACATTGAATAGATATACTGATCTTGGTAAAGATATTAAAATGATAGTCCGTTCTATTTTAGATCGTTTTGGCCCGTTGATTGGTTGATGTCATTGGCCGAGGATTGGATGCGCCACTGTCCCGAAATGGGGTCCAATAGGGACCTGCCTTTGTCTGTCGATGAACATAACAGCCTCGCTCTTCCCTGGAGCTTATGGTTCCACCAATTCCTAATTCTTCAATTTCACTCGATCCTTCATGATTTCGACTTGATCTGCTTTGCATTTCGCATCCTGTCGCGTGAGCTGCTGGTGCCCCCACGGATCCACTCTTCTCCCTGATAAGATCCGCCCAGGAACCTCCAGCTCACCCCGAGCTGCATCATCGATCATGGGGAAACTCGACAATGAAAGCACACCCGAGGAGGTCCCGCTAACTCGACGACGGTCGGCTTCATTGGAATCACAGACAACCTCTGACTCGGGATTGTCGGTAGCTTCAGCCTCGTTCATGGAGGCACACAAGGAACAACTGTTGGCCGCGGCCGACAGGGAGGGGAACGACGAAGACCGATACCGCGATATCGAAGATGGCGCTGAACTCGGATCCGACGAACCATTCCTCTCCTCTCGCAATAAAAAGCCAACCGCATCAAGCAGTCGTATGCGTCGGGTACTCTGGTTGCTCGGCTTCCTCTGCGTCGGTGGCTGGGTGCTGGCATTCGTGCTGTTCCTCGCCCAAAAACGACCCACTGCCTCCGCCCTATCGTCTGTGTCTACGGTCAGCATTCACGATCCAGATTCCGCAACGGGTGGTACGAGTTACGGAAGCCCGGTGACCCTGGAGCAGGTGTTGACGGGACAATGGGCCGCGCAGTCACATGCAATCTCGTGGATTGCCGGACCAAAGGGTGAGGATGGTCTTATGCTTGAGCGCGGCGAAAGCGGAGATGGCTATTTACGTGTTGAGGACATTCGGAGTCGCAAAGATGGCGCTGATGGCCTCGATACCGAGGTGTTGATGAAGAACTCCCACTTCATGGTGGACAAAGACTATGTCACCCCAGGAAAGACATGGCCAAGCCCAAATATGGAGAAAGTATTGGTCGCATCTTCGCTCAAGTCGAACTGGCGACACTCGTTCTATGGAAAATACTGGATCTTCGATGTTGCAACTCAAACGGCCGAGCCGTTGGATCCGAGTAACTTGAGCGACCGAGTGCAGCTGGCTGCTTGGTCGCCTCAGTCCGATGCTGTTGTTTTTGTTCGGGATAACAACGTATACCTGCGCAAGCTGTCAAGCTATCAGGTGATCCCGATCACAAAGGATGGAGACAAAGATCTCTTCTATGGTGTTCCCGATTGGGTGTACGAAGAAGAGGTCTTCTCGGGAAATTCTGGGACTTGGTGGGCGCGTGATGGCAAGTTCCTTGCGTTCTTGCGGACTGAGGAAGCTAAGGTTCCCGAATATCCCATTCAATATTACCTTTCTCGCCCCTCGGGCAAGAAGCCTCTACCTGGACTCGAGAACTACCCGGAAACTCGACAAATCAAGTACCCCAAGGCCGGTAGCCCGAACCCTGTGGTTCGTTTGGAGTTCTATGACGTGGAACAGGATGAGGTGTTCTCTGTCGACATGCCGGAAGATTTCAAGGACGACGATCGTATCATTATTGAAGTTGTTTGGGCCTCCGAGGGCAAGTTGCTTGTCCGAGAGACCAACCGCGAAAGTGATATTTTGAAGATCTTTTTGGTCGATACGAAAGCCCGGACCGGAAAGATTGTTCGTTCACAAGATGTTGCTGGACTCGATGGTGGCTGGGTCGAGCCCTCACAGTCCACACGGTTTATCCCTGCTGATCCTGCAAATGGCCGGCCGCAAGACGGCTACATTGATACTGTGATCTATGAAGGCTATGACCATCTTGCATACTTCTCACCTCTTGATAGTTCCGAGCCCATCATGCTCACCAAGGGAGAGTGGGAAGTGGTGGCGGCACCCTCCGCTGTTGATTTGGAGAGGAATCTTGTATTCTTCGTCGCGACGAAGGAGGCACCAACCCAGCGTCATGTGTACCACGTGAAGCTGGATGGATCTGATCTTCGTCCACTGACCGATACATCTAAAGCGGGATACTTTGAGATCTCATTCTCAGAGGGCTCTGGATATGCACTGCTCAGCTCCAAGGGACCCGCAGTCCCGTGGCAGGCTGTTATCAACACCATGGGGGAGAAGCTCGAATACGAGGTTGTGATTGAGGTCAATACCCGGCTCACTCAAATGGTAGAAGACTACGCTCTCCCTGCAGAAATCTACACCAACGTGACCATCGATGGTTATACCCTCCAAGTTGTCGAACGCCGTCCACCGCACTTCAATCCGGCCAAAAAGTACCCTGTGCTTTTCTACATGTACGCTGGCCCCGGTTCACAAACCGTGGATCGCAAATTTACGGTGGATTTCCAATCCTACATTGCATCTAGCTTGGGGTACATTGTTGTTACTGTGGATGGCCGAGGAACAGGATGGACTGGCCGCAAATCGCGGTGCATCGTCCGAGGCAATCTTGGCCATTATGAAGCTCACGACCAGATCGAGGCTGCTAAAATCTACGCAGCCAAGGACTACGTGGATGAAACGCGCATGGCAATCTGGGGCTGGAGTTTTGGCGGCTTCATGACTCTCAAGGTTCTTGAGCTCGATGCAGGCCAAACCTTCCAGTACGGCATGGCAGTGGCACCTGTGACCGACTGGAGGTTTTATGGTAAGAGGTACCCTTCGCACATATTTATGAATTGGTACTAAAATAATTATTCCAGACTCGATCTACACTGAACGTTACATGCACACCCCTCAGCATAACCCATCGGGCTACGAGAACGCAACCATCAGTAACGTCAAGTCTCTGGGTGAAAATGTCCGATTCTTGATCATGCATGGCAACTCTGATGACAACGTTCATCTCCAAAATACTCTCACCCTTCTCGACAAGATGGACTTGGCGAACATCGACAATTTCGACATGCAGATTTTCCCCGATTCAGACCACAGCATCATTTTCCACAATGGACATACCATGGTATATGAACGTGAGTTTGTCTCTGATTCTTCCTGTAATACCCAAATAGCTAATGCCCTTCGACAGGCCTTTCTAGCTGGCTTATTAATGCGTTCAATGGAGAGTGGCATCGCATCGCTAACCCGAAGCCGGAAGAGGATTCGGCGTGGAATAAAGCTAAGCGCTCGCTATCACTTGATTTTCTTGCATGGTAGTCAGTAGATCCTACCGGTGAATCGGATACATTTGTTTTATGTCATGGATGAATATACTATTTCGGCTTTTTTCTACTTTGCTTCCATCCTTATGTACAGCAGTCGAACATAATAATTGAAACGAGAGAGAAACGTTTCAATGTCATTCTAACTCGACGTTTTAGAGCGCAGTATACGGATTTTGCAGACTACAAGCATAGGCAATTCTCGCAACCCCTATCATGAAGGTGGCGGTAGTCATGGTGGCAGATGAAGAACAAACAGCTTGATATGAACAGATATGTATAAGTACAAAGAGAACAAAAACAGCACACGGAACACAGAACCCCATGTTTGAGTCGTACGGCGTGTCCTCAAGATGCTTCAAACATCTAGCCGCTCCAAAGCATACCAGAGCGCAAGAAATCCTGGCTCATGATTAAACTGACGTCCGAGCTTCGAAACTGCATCAAGTCCTCCCGACGTAGACCACGCAACTGATCACGACCAGCACTCGACATAGAGCCTGCGTGAGACTGCGACTGAAGCTGATTGGCCAGGGAAGACCTGAAGCTTTGGGGCCTCATTGGGTTTGTGGCTTGGTTCCTGCCCAAGGTATTCTTTACTGAAAGGCTAGAATGACGGGGAGTAAAGAGCTGTAGATGGCCGAGCGACTCGATGTCGGTATCGGAATTGCTCGAACCGAGAGACAGACTGTGGGATGTGGTTGGATTCTTGTTGCCCTGTGGTGCAACATGGACGAGTCTCGGAGTGGTAGTGACTATTTGGTCTTCAACAGTCGCCGGATACTCGATCGCCGTTGTATACCTAGCCATTGCTGTGGCAGATTTGCCAACCCACAGCATCTGCTCATGCTCTCGAAGGTACCGGGCGCCGCTAAAGGACTTTTGCACAATCTGGCGGGTCTTCATACCTAATTCACGACGTTGCTCGGTTTTCTCATACATGCGACGGGTAATTTTCATGACCTCCTCGGGAGTGGGTGATGATGTGAGAATCGGTGTAGATTCATGATCCCCACTATACTGGCTCCATTCACCTAGAAGGGCTAGCATGGATATTTGAGCTTTTGCCAAGGCAAGAGCATCATTTGGTGCGACCACTGCACTAAAACGAGAGAAATCATCTGGGTCGCTAAGTACACGAAGTGAAGCACCGACATCTGTACAGACAACGGGTGCACCGGTCAAAGCTGCTTCACCAAGAGCAAGGGGTAGACCTTCCGAGAGGGATGAGTTCAGGAAGAGCCACGTTTTTTCCAACACTTTCATCGGATCTGCAGTGCCACGCAACGTCACTCGTCCACGAAGACCCTTGGAAGCGATGATCTCCTGGCACTCGGTTGAGTAAGTTGGTGCTTTGTCGATGGCACCATAAATGTCTAGATGGTAATCACCAAACTTCCACTGGTTAATGACAATATCGGCAGCAAGTAGCGCGGTCTTGATATCCTTGGCATACCACACGTGAGATAACATCGTCACTGTTGGGCGCTCGGTCTTGATCTTCTTCACTGGTGTGAACTTTTGCATGTCTGTGATTCCATTGACAACCGGGTCAATCTTGCGATGAAACTTGCTACGGTGCTCAATCTTGCCTTGGCATATTCCTATCTCAACCTCCCACCCTGGGTTGAAGAAATCTGCACATGGAAGAATAACGTCCGCGTGGTGAAGAGTCAAGACGGATGTGATGCGTATCAGGCCAAGAAGAGCATTGCGCACGAAGGGTGAAAGTTTAGACAACGCAGATGAGAGACAAAGATTTGTTTCTCGCCAGGCAATGGCGTGGTCCCAAATTTGTAGGGTACAGCCTCTTTTGATTTTGCATACCACGCCGTAGGAGGCACTCACACTGTGGTGTGAAGCCTGGAAAACATCGGGGATCTTTTCAGGCACTGGAATGGAGAAAATGAAAAGATAGCGGTACCAAAGCTCCAGAGCAACATCCAAAGAGGGTAATGTTGGGAGCTCAGTATCGAACCACTCGGTAGATGGGATCGCATTTGGCATTTCTTGGGTTAGCCAAAGATCGCGCCAGGTCTGCTTGACTAGCTCACTGTTCCAGACCTGCGACCAGTGCCGTGACTCTTGAAAGTATGTGTTGAGGTTGACAAGTGCCCTTGTACATTGGTAAATATCAGCCTTAGAAAGGTTCACTGAGCGTGCCCCTTTCACTAATGCCGTCAGGATAGGAATGAAGTTCATTCTGAGGTCAAATTCGCTTGCTGTAGAGAAGACATCCACTTCTGAGTCCAATTTATTGTGAAACAGACCATGGGTTGGCGTCAGGAAATCCAAGCCCCAAAGAGGTATTATTTTTAGAGACTCAACGTTTTGCTCTGTCTGGTGCTTTGGAATACCAAAGTCATTTGCTGATTCGCAAAGCATGTGCCATCTGACGGTGCTCAAGGAATTGACCATATCACGTCGACAGGCAGAGACGCCCCCGCCTTCATTGGGCCACGTTCCAGTGTCGGCAGCCATGACATGAAGGATACTATCGGTATCGGAGGAACATTCTTTAGAGCGCCTTGTGACAACGGCATCACCACCAGGTCCAAAGCTGAAAAGATCACTCATTTTGACTGCCAGCGGAGCCCAGCTGGAGACATTATCATTCATGTCCGCACCGGCCATCACGGCATCCGCGTGACGATCCAGATATTTCTTGGCCGCGGAGAGATTTCCCCAGTCGCGACTGCGCCAGTAGGGCGCAAGAACACTATCCCGCCGCAGAAGTTGATCATCCATCCACCGAAGGACAACTCCGTCAAATTCGTCATGATCCTTCCACGCCTTCCACATCAATGATCGAGCCCGGGATGTTGACACAGAGTAGTGCTTCTTTGTCAGTCCCAAAAACCGAGTGATAACATTCGAGTTGAGATTTTCGCAACAGGAAAAGGGGTCATCGTGGACAAAACTGGTATTTTGTGGCTTGGAGAGAATCTTGAACAAGTCATGTTCGATCATAGGAGGCGTTTTCACCTCTGTTCCATTCACAGTGGTGATAATTGTAGGATGGAATTTATGATCATACATCCAACGACTGTGAAAAACATCGGTACCCTGCGAAAACGTTGTTTCAGTCACCCTGGAATGTGGGATCCATCGATCAAACTTTTCAGCATGGCGACGAGGAGGCGCACACCAAGATACCACGCACGAGATATGAGGCATAACGAATTCGGCTCGCAGGAGCTCGTCGCCAAATTGGGGGTTCTTTCGATAGTGGTACTTGAATCGGACGAAAGCATCGTCTTTCATGTAAGATCCACTTTCTATGAGACCCTCGGGGTTGTATTGAACGGTTTGGAGGTTATTGCCGCCTTGCACACAACGTCGTCCAAGTGGAATGCGCATGACTGCAAGTTTTCCCGATTTGACGCCCATCTTTGGGGGATCTCGGTGGTCAAAGTGGTATTCATTAAGCAAATTTCCGTCTTGAAATTCTTGTTTGCTGAGAAGCAGCATATCATCCGAGTACGTGCTGCGGTACTTGAGCGCCTTCGGGTCCAAGGGCTCGGTTTTGTGATCGCCACTATACTGATACACCTCCAAGATGCCGTCAGAATTTTTATGCTTGAAAGCTGTGAACATGCCATCGAAATTTTCAATGGTGACTCGACTCTTCTCGATGTGAATGGTGACGCCTGTGGTCTTCTTCCAGAGCCGCTGCACATCCATGCGCCCATGGAACAAAAACAGCGAAAGACCAAAGTCCTGCATACTCTTGGCATAAACCCACACCATGTTTAAAATAAATACTATGGGCACGCGAACAATCGTCGGCAGGGGTTTAGTGACATGGTCAAACTCTCTTTGGAACTCAGGATCAGCAACCAAGGCAATCACAAGGAACTTGCTGATCAATCCAAGCTTGGAGTAGACAAAGCTGAAAGGAGCCAATGCTAAAGAGACTGGACTTGAAAGTCTTCGGGGCAAATATTGGGCGTGGTCCGGAGGCTTGAAGTCCCTTGGGAGGCTAGACTCGCCTGTCTCAGGGTAAGCATATTCGAGGATGCTGATTGCCGTGGTCACTCCGAGGTTGCATCTTGCTATATGCACATCTATATCGTCGGCTCCAAACCGAGAAAGGCTTTCATTGAGGGCCTTTTGTTGACTCGAAGTGAGACTACACGGCTGGCCTAGACAGCGGCTCAGCAATGCAGTTCGAACCTCAACAGGCAGTTTATCCCAGTGAATATCCGGCTCGAATCCCAAGCAAAGATATTTAAGAAGTTCTCTTTTGGCCCAATGTTCAACAGCAGCTGGATTTTCCTGCTCACTAAGCTGTGCCGCCATGGTCTGTGTTGAACCTCCAAAAACAATTGTTTCGGCCAACGCTGCGTGCTCATGAGGGATGCCCATGGTCATCTCGGCCACGGAGTGAATTAAAGTCTCCGCAATGACCTTGCAGTTGGTTGAGATATCCAGTCGCTGATCATGCAAACCATCGATGCCGATAAATATCATCAGCTGCTTTCCAATATTGCAGCTCAAAGCTCGAATTCCTGGACGAAAAGAGCTACGCGATACTAGCTCGACGTATATTTCTCCTTGATCCCAACCAGAGATGACGTTATCGACGATTGATTTCGAATTTGGAAAGGCTTCCTCTATCAATATGTCTTGACTGTGAGAGGAAAGTACTCTTTTTATCTCTATTGCAGGGTGGGCCGCAGGGTCAAGGCCAAACCGATCATCCTCGGGTAAGAGTAAGATGGAGTCAAACAAACTTTGGAGCTCTTGTTGCGACCATTGAGCATCGGCCCAAGGGGCAGTGAATGCGTGAAAAGTCTCTCCAAGCTTTACGAGAGATGTGCTCTTGGGAGGTATACCCAATCTTGCGCTCCAGAACGACAGTAAAGCAGCGGACCAAGTGGCAACCCCGAGGCCAACAATCTCCGAGTAAATAAAATCAGGAAGACAGACCCTGAGAGCGATTGCGACTGGAAATCCCATGCAGATTCCGAGAATGAGTGGTTTCAGTGCATACGGCCCAGCGAATATCTTGGTGTATTGGTACCAGATGAGACCTGTATATGAAAGCACATAGGTAAAGAAGATACCCATGCCTTCCACGGTAACTTCGAAAGTCCACAGGAGAGCTGTGGAAATTGCAAGACTCCAGACGTGCCACAGCAAGAATCTGAGGAGAGTTCTCCCGTAGATCTTTCGTCGGAACCGCACGACTCTCTTCTGGGAGGCATGGATGTCGTCATCTGTTTTGATGGCAGTTGGCCTTTGCCCACCAATTGTCTCATGAATTTCCTGCGCTTTGGTATCAATGAGAATGGCACCGATCAGATAATAGGCTAGCGCAAAGCCGGCTGCCTTGCGATTAACATCAGTCAAAGCCCCACTTAGGCCGAGGAGGTGGCCACGGCACAAGAGCTGCGTCCACTTATCAAGCAGAGCGACAACAAAATACAATATACCGCAACCAATGTCATTGCTTGATTGCCGCCAGTGGATAAATGCACTGTGCAGTCGCAGGCCCTTCTGAGAGCTCCGTAAAGTCTCCAGAGCGACTTTTGTTTGAATATTCCAACTTGAGCTGAACGGAATGGGCTTTGGAATGTCTGCGTATCGGCAGTACCAGTCTAAAAGAAAGTTGGTTGACTCCCAATCCCGGACAAGCTCTTTGACCAATTGATCAGTCGTTGAACTGGAGAGAAAGCTGCGGCTTCTCTCTAACATGACATTTTCCAATAGAGTTTCCCTGGCCAGCTTGAGTGCACCTGGATCACTCATGTTGGCGAAGACCTTTTCATCGTTGTTACCATGATTGACAATGTACCATTTGCGGACTTCGTTGTCGTCAATCCGTCGAATGGATTGATACCATGTCACCCACTTGGAGGTCGTTGAGCGTAGGCAGAGAAGAAGCACTCCAATACAAAAGTATAAGACAGCAATGTAGATCGCTGAGTCATTTCCAACGAATGTGGTGACAATGGGTGAAATAAACAATATTGGTATACACAGTATGATTGCCTTGCGCCCCGAGAGAAATGTAGACCCTGGGTAGCTGAAGCTGGCGAGGCAAGCAAAGACCGAGAAGTAGATGGTCAGGGCGACAAAATAAAGATAGAAAACGATCCCAGCACGAGGTGTTTTGACAGCAGAAATGGCGATGAAGCCAATCAATCCTCCTGCCACCGTGAAAGCAATACCGGCAATCAAGCGGATAAGAACAAACATATTGGCAGCAGCAAAAGCCATTGATATGAGGTAGTATGGGCCACCACAGGAAATCCACGTGCCAATAGCGCCCGATAAAAGTAGAGAGATCATCAAGGCTATGGTCGCACTGTCTTGTTCTTCAAACGTCATGTAGGCAGACAGGTATAGGCCCCGTCCGATAATGCTGAGCAGAATGATGTCGATTAAGGCTGGAATTGCAAAAACCCCCAAGAAGGTGAATCGCTGGTAAGGTCTTATCGGCTTCGCTTTTTCGTCCGGATTGACATCAATCTGAGCTCCGGCATATGTGGTCGCGAGTTCGGGTGCCCCATTAATCCAGTCAGGAGGTTGATGCACATTATAGTATGTCCGAAATCGATCCGAAAGAAGTTTTCCAAATACACTCGGGGAAACATCAAAGTATGCCTCGCATCGTGAGCCAAGTGCGAAAGATTCAGCAAATGAAGCAGCCTGGTCCGACTGATTGTTGAGTAAAGGGTTGCGGTCTGTCACTTCAGTGTAGATTTCATCGAAGGCACCTTTTCTCGCAACGCAGAATAATGCCAATGCTATCATATCAACATATGCATCAATCTTGCCATCTCTAACTAGTTCACTGAACCCTTTCGTGATGCTAGCAAGATCATCTTCTCGATGGGTTCTCAATATTTGAGTGAAAATATGGTCAACCTGGTGAAACAGATCTATGGAGGCTTCCAAAGAGGCATGTTTGCAGTTCTGATCCCTGTACCAATTAATTCGGCTCTCAACAAGGTCTTTATCTGAAACAGATTGCTCCAGGTATCGGACAGTGTTGACTTCTTTGAGTTGAGTCAATGAGGGAGCATCCATAAGTCTTGTGTGGATGTAGGATGATATGCTGTCCATCATGCGACTTTCGGAGTTTGTAAGCGACAGGTGCTGCAATAATATTATTCGTTCTTCTGGGCTGAGATCATCGATATCCTGAACCAGTCGGCGAGGAAGACCGGTGTGTGGACAAAGATCATGCGACCATGTTGCGAATGCTGTTTCGGCTTCAAAACAAGCATGACGGGAGAGCCCCTTTGCAGAGAGGAAAGTGTGAAGGATGATCCCGGCTAGACCCTGTGCGTTCTTGGAGATGAAGATCTCACATCCGTCATTATCAATTTGATGAACAGCCCAAAATCGAGTATCAGTGTTCTTTTTTAGACCAGAGTTCAACGCGAGGTTGACACGCAGTGCATCATTTGAAGCCAGGTCTGAAAGCTCTTTGACTGTGGCTATAAGCTGGGCGTCACCATTTGAAGCCACAAGACTGGCGTGGAATTTACAAAAATAAGCTCCAATCTCCTGGACCTTTTCGGTGGGAACGGGATCAAGAAGACCTAGACCTTTCAAGCGTTGCTGGGACTGCAGAATCTCAGAAAATGCAAGTTTATCTGGGTCTGAGCCCAGAGGAAAACAGCCGAGATAGTTGTACGCTTGCCCAGTTGCCGAAACAGATAATGGATTTCCCTGTGATCTCACGTGCGTTACCCAGTCTTGGGGATCGGGGAAATGAAACTTGGGATCCTCCGGATAGATGTGTTCATCTGCAGTGGATTCAAGAAACCCCTTGATTGATGGAAAAAGACGTTGAAGAATGGTCCACCCCGGTTGGTCGCCAGAGGGTGGTAATACGCCAAGATTTGAGCGCCAGACTTCATGAGTCTTCATGATCTCCGCGTCTTTCAGCCAACCAAAAGCTGGAAGTGGCTTAATTATTTGTGTGTTCAAATCAGAGTTGCGAAGAGCAGACTCAGTGCCTATCCACGGAATCGCACTGTAGAAGTTCGACCACTGAAGTGATCTTCGAACAACAGCATTGGATAAGACTGCGTCGTCAGTCACTGTTTCCCACACAAGAACAGCAAAATTCCTCATGCAAGCCTCAGAAACACAGGCTTTGATAGTTGATTGGACATTGGTCATCTGGAAGTAATCACGCTTCTCACCCTCAGGCGATATGCTGGCATTCCGAATGACCAGACCAGACACTGCTCTGCTTTGCAAGGTTTTTCTAAATTTCAAGAAACCCGGTGGCTGCGTTTCCAAATATACAGCCAAGCCAAGGCTGTTGATGGCCTCAAAAAACTTTTTCTCGACGGAAAGAGTAAAGACTGCCTCCCAGTTGGCAAATAGAACGCCGGAAAACGCTGTATTACTGAACTTGCTATTCAAAGCATCCTGGATCTTTCCCATTCTTGTCACTGTGCCATCTTCTGAGGAACCAAGCGTTGCAAGATCAAGCCTTGCGAGTGCAAAAATTCGTTTGCGGCAGCGAATGGCTTCTGCGACGCCGTGTTGAAATGGGTCCACAATCAGAGTATCCCACTGCTCCAATAGTCGCTCCTGTGATTGTGTTGGAGGATTGTTGAAGCCTCCAAGATATACGCCAAATGAGGACGGCTTGTGGCTTTCTGATTGAATACCGGCAAGTTTGAGGTCTTCGAGAGCCAATTGCTCCAGACTTAAAGAGACCTCAGAAGGTACAACATCTGTCTGTGGTCTCGACTATAAGGTCCCGTCAGTAACCCATTGATGGCTCAAACAAGACAGGTTGACAAATGTGAAGCATGGATTTACCTTATAAAGTTTATAGATCCTCAAAGCGACAGACCAAAGTATATATACACCTCCAATGATGATACATGCGAGTAGAACTCCGATTATGACCTTGATACTGTCAGTATTGTGACTCATGGGTAAATATCAGGGGGATGATCAGGTCATGCAAATAGCTACTTACAAACTGCCACCAGTGGCTTTTCATTCCACCCCACCCTACGGGGTGTACAGGAAGAATTTCTGCCATTTTATGGAAACTCAGCTTCCAAAAGTTCCGAGGTTTCCGAGGTCTACGTATCCAATGCAAAGGTCGGATAAGACGTGTAAACCAGTTTGTCTGAAGGGCCTTCCCTCAAGTCCCTGTCATACAGGTACCATTTTCAACTTCTTCTGGTGGAAAGGTACCACCACTCACGAGCAGAAGGCTAAAACCAGAGCCGGTCGTTCGTGCAATAGACGCTGAGATCGATCATATACCGCGAATGCGAAGGCAATAAAATTTGACCCTCTCTCGCCGCAAGTCTCCGGCCCGGCCTGCCTCGGCCAATGATAGAGCAGTGGTTAAGATAAAATTATTTTCTTGCTTGTGGAAAAACTCGTGGTTTTAGACAAAATTTTTATGCCGGAGTGCAAGATGACAGAAAGCCTTTAAAATCTTTTAACGCACTAATTGGATTACGTGGTGGGGTCATTCGCGGGGCTGCGGCTCCTCCGACGTATATCCGGCAAATCCCCCAACTTTCACTTGCAGTAGTGAAGCTTTAAAGTCACCGTAAATATGCTCTGATCTATCTAAATCCTGCAGATAAGCCTACAAGTGCCGTTGCAGATCAAAATTATGCACGGCACCGCGGCAGACGAAACAGGGTAACCTCCACACCGTCTGCGTCGGATGGACCCACTAAACTCAGGGGCCAGGGAGACACCCAAAGTTCTATTTAAATCTTGCGGTTGATTTATCCGGTTCAAATACTGGATCGTCATTGTCGCTTTTCATTTTTGGGTCGTGCAACGCCAGCATTGACACCCGCAAGCCAAGTCAAATATCAACCCTTTTGGATTGCCGGGATCGTGGGTATAGGGTACCCACTCTATCGTTATTTACGCTTGTACAGCCAATCAAAAGCGGAGTAATTGTAGAAATGAAATATGATTACCGGAGTTCTGTAATTTATCCACGCTGGGCATGGGAAGTCGTAAATTTCGTGGCCAGCCACATTATGCCTTAACCAGTCCTGGAGAGGAACGTGGTCAGTTTCTATATATCTATGGATCTAACATGTGTATCATAAGAAATGGGATCTAATCTCCCATTTTCCAAGCTGCAAGACTTTTGTATCGCCATCTCATCGCACGATGCTCATGCTTTTGCAGTTGTCGAGGTCCGGTCTTTCATACCAATGCTCATGCATATCGAGCCTCAGTGTATCGTTGTCGGGGTTTTTCAAAGGCTCCAAAGGGGAATTCTTGGAAGCATTAGCCCACGTGGACCATTCAAGCTCTGCCAAGTTCTCTGGGCAAGGTTTATATTACTGCTTGTGGAGACTTGGGCCAGACCATCTTAACTGAATGGGGCGTCTGTGTAGCTTTCCAAGATGCTTTTTGCGGACCAGCCGTTCACATTCGTTGGACTCCGGTTCTCTCCGTGAGCAATAAAGTTTTTGAGTGAAAAAAAGCAAACTCCAATGGTCGAAGGATTGTGTAGTTGCTGCTTGAACGGGTTAAGAGCGAATTTTAACGGTTCTGCTGGCAGGTCTGAAGGTCCTCATAACCCAAAGTGACAAGGTTCCTCATGATAGTGTTCCGTATGTCCTCTTTGCAGCATTCTCAACTTGTTGGCGTTTTCTTGTTTGTGCAAGGTAATTTTGAATATACTTCCACTGAGCTGCAGAGTTGAAATAATCAACAGAGCCATATTTTTGAGGGAAGGCAGTTTCTTTGACCCAGGCATTAATCACTTCGCTTTCTGGTGCGGAGATGGCGATGATCGAGGGCTTTTCAACAATCTTCTCAGCGGAAGCAGGGCGTGCAGCAACAGGGTTCATTTGACGCGCCAACAGAGTTGCTCTGTCATGTCTGCAGTCAAACTCGTCCATGATGTCTTCTCCGATTAATTCTTCAAGGATATCCTCCCGAGTGACAAGTCCAAGGACCAAATTCCTCTCTTTTTGGCTAACAAGCATCATGTGGTATGTTCCTTCTTGGAAAATCTTCAGGACATTTAGACAAGTAGTTCTCGAGTGTATGGTCGGAATTGGAGACCAATCAAAATCGCACACTCGCTTGCATAACTTGGGGTTGTATCTGATCAGTTTCTTTGTAACGAATATGCCGAGAATATCCAAGCGGTTGTTTGGGGCATGCACGGGGACCCGGGAATACCCTTGAATTCTGATCCGGTCAATGGTGTATTCGTCCAAGACTGCGTCGGCAGACAGCGAGAAGACATCTTCGATGGGAGTCATGATGCGTGTGGCAGCTTTGTCGATCAATCCAAGAGCGCCATGGACAATCTTCACTTCGTCGGAGTTGAGGCGTTCTTCGGGGTTTCCCAGAACCGTATGGAGGGAAAACAGAGCCTTGAGCCCGGATCTTGTATACCCCGCGGCGTCGTGATCTCCGACGAGGACATCGAGCAACTTGGCAATGGGCCACGCAACCAGAGCCATGATATCCATAAACATGGATACGTAAGGTACCATAAACGCACCGACCTTGAGCGAGTGACGGGCGCAAATGGATTGTGGAACAACATCGCTGAATATCACGACGAGGGCAGTACTTGCCAGGACTGCGAGCGGACCATCAAGAAAACAATCCAGGACAACAGGCAAGGACTCATTGGTGATGGCATTGCCAAGTAGGAGAGCTACAAGAATCCAATGCTTTCCTCGCTTTAGAAGCGCAATGACCTTCTCGGCGTTTTGTTGATCGGCGGGTTCGCCGGAAAGTTCAAGAACGCGGAGATAAATTTCATCTTGAGTCATCAAAGCGATCGTCAAGCCTGAAAAGACCCCGCCCAGTAACACAAGCACCACTGAAATACACACGTGCAGCCATAAGCTTGGATCTTCCATTTCCTTTGGTAGAGCAATGAGCAAGTGAGAGAACCTGGCCGGCAAATAACGGATTAGAAGCCGTATATGAACGAATTGAGTAAAAACCTAGGTCTGGCACCCTACTAGCCTTAATTCGGCCAGATTTTCTGGAATCAACGGCTGTCTCCATATTATTTGCCTTCGACCCTATTCATACTGTGGCTCCCGGGTCCAATTCTAACCGATTGAGGTTAGATGTTTACCATTCCATACCAGGAGGTATTCCGATGACGAGGCTTGTTCTAGAACCAAGCCATAGAAGGGAAAGAGTATTCGACACGCATCGAATTTACGATGCCGGGAACCCTATCGAAGAAGTTCAATTCAGTTCGAATCTTTACCAATCGGAGTCCGTTCCAGGTTGCTTATTGTTGCTAGCTTGCTGGCTTGCATTTAGTAAAGCCCTGTAGGGATATTAAAATGCGCGTGGCGCTCTAAGGTGCTTTCTCCTGAATGCGCAAATTTCACTGTGAGCTTCAGTGCTAGAAGGGTATGTTTTGACAGTCTCCGCCAACCCACTGTCATGAGGGCCAGTAGATGTACCACGGGGTAAAAGACTCCTCCCTCAGTGGCTAGCTGGACGGGCAAAGTGGAGTATCAATTTTAGCCGAAATATCTCTCATTGGCTCCTGTCAAGTGGGGGCGGAGACGTGTGCCAATGGAGGCGGGGACTCTAACTTGTGTACCTTGGGAAGTACTACATGGTTTAGATATTTAATTTTTTTTTGGATGGTTCAACCAAATCAAAACAACATGATTGTTGAGCTTGAACGGGTTGTATAATCCCGTGGGCCGTGGTTCTAGGGGTTCAATGAGTTGTATGATCCATGGTTAGACTTCGGGACGCCCGACAGTGTCCACTGTCAGGGTGGCGTGTATGAAAATGTTTACTGGATTACGCATCGGGTTCAATCGGGTGATTGAATGCACGCCCTGTAGATCGGAGACATGAGTCGCACGACCACCTTCTCCTTTCAGGCGAGATGCACAGTATTTTTTGCCAATCCCTTTTCTGATACGCGGACAATACGTTTCGAGCACAGCTGATGTCTACCGAAGTCCGCTTTCGATGCCTAATGATCCACTATACGAATTAGTCAACTAACGCTATCATTCTACAAAGCCACTAGGGGTAATTTGGAAAGGCATTCCGACGGAAAAGAACCCGCTGGTGTTATTCGGCAACCTAACGCCAAGACTGCGCAGGTACTCGGTACTGATGTTGATATCTGTTCGGATTTTCCGACCTATCTCCTAAATAGGATATCGGTCCACTCAAGATGCTCTTCCATTGCCAGGCCTAAGATGAGGGACTTTATAGAGAAGGAAAGACCGTATTTGATGCATGTACAAAGCATATTTGATTGAATCATTTTGGATCACGCTAATCTACTCCACCTGATTGACAAGAATATTGACCTGCAGCCACTATGTGGGTCAGTTTCAATCTTTTACAACACATGTGTAGAATCCTCATTGAACCCTGAGCACGATTCCGGGTTTCCGAGCGCTTGAGAAAACCTACATCGTGCGCGAGTGGATCCTATTGCGGACGCATCCCGCTCGGTATTTGCGCACTATATCTCTCACACACCTATGCAAGAAGTAAGCAATTTGTCAAGAGTGGCGAGTTGAAACTATTGGGAAAGGATTGTGTTCCCATAAAAAATTGTGTTCAAAACGGCTCATTCAAAGCCAAGACCTTATTGAAGGCCAGAGCCTTCTGTTTCTCTTTTACTTAGGCATTGACATCTCATCACAGAGGGCATTACATCTTCTAGTATCATCTTGACTAAGAATCCTCATCCTATCCGTGTATTCCCACAATTATGTAATTACCTTCCATGCCTCCAAGGCCCTGTTAAAAAATGGTCAAAAGCCTGGCCTTCCCAGTCTCGAAACATCACTTATGAACCTCGGATTGCTCGACTACCTCGAAATCTAAGTATAGTGATGGAGAAAGTAGCTAGGCATTACCCAATGGCAAGCATCTCGTTGCCTTTTTGTCTCTTTCCCTTTATACTCAAATGCTACAACTAACTTCCACCCCGAATCCGGATATAGCGATCCCCATTGGTTGGACTGTGCCCAGCCTCGCTTGTCTACCGATTTCTTCCTAATCGAGCGTGTGCTGGATCTGAAAAGAGTAAGATAATAAGTGGGTTACGATTCCAGGGGATGGAACATTGTCGGACTCTTCTTCGGCAACCCCAATCCGATACATTATTAGAGTCTCGTTCTCAGTAAGCCAATTGTAAAATCCACCATGAGAGTTGAAGGCGGTCGAAGTGACGCGTCCTCCTGAACCTATCAGGGCTCTCGACACGCTGGACCAGAACCTGACACAGGCCACTGTCCTAAGCTCGACCAAAGCTATCGTCCATGTCCGAACTTTACGCACTTGCGTGGTAGCCTGCCTCAGGTTCCCGGACAAGATCAATAAATCATTTCTTGAATATCGCGGCAAGTTGATAGAAATCTGACCACATGGCTCTCTGGCATGTCTCAGCAAGGAATGAGCGGAAATGTAAACGAACCATTTCTCTATATTCTTTCCATTTGAAGCTCAAGTGGCCAATGATTCCCAGTGGAGGTGCATTGCACATGGGCTCAAATACAGCCCCGCTGTCTTTCATTCTGTGATACGGGGGTCCTCGTGGCAGTGTTAGTGGCCGCGGTCGCGGTCGCGGTGCTCCACACGGGACTGTAGGGTTAGTAACTCTCGAAACTGAAAGAATTTCGAGAGGGCCGCGGGAAAGAATTAAGTAGCCCTTAGGCAAATACGCAGGTCAGTAGTAGATTTTTTGAGAAGCAACCAGGGCTTACCCAGGAAGTTTCTCAAACTCATGGCGTTGCTAGTGAGGTATCATTTCCCATTGACCATTGTGAAATCCCAAAGCACATGCGCAGTCCAACCTATCCGAATATTGTAGCCAACCTCTTCAATGTCCATGCTTGGGGAGCGCTTCTCGAAGGTCTTCAAATTCCCAACGAAGCACATCGAATTTGGTATCTGCAATGTTTGTTTACCGCAATCGCTTGTTGATCTTCCCAAAAAATTGAAAGTGACAGGTCTTGCCCAGCTTCGTGTAGAAGATCAACCGAGACAAGCACCTTCTGCTTCGATAAATCTGCCTTTTTGCTACCTCTAGGGGATTAAAGCGGGGGAGTGGGACAAACAAAAATCCATGCCTTTGTTGATGAGGTTACTTATTCAAAGCTTGATAACCCATAGATCCTGTTCCCATACAGATGACTTTCGCGTCTTATTATTCCAAAGTCATACAATTGGCGTAAAAGTTTCATCCATAATATGGTATGTGTAGTAGCTAACCTGCTTCTCACTCCACGAAAGAAAGACTAGCTTTTCAGGGCAATAAAAGGGCAATAAAAAGGCTCGTCGATACTTCCTTTACAGAATCTCCCTATGTGCCGTTCTCCTTTTAGTAGACGAAGCAGACATTGTATGCAGCCGACTCTGTTACCATCTATGAAGAGACCCTCATGGCCTTTCAAAGACCGTTCCCTTTCAAGAAAGTGTGTCTTAATAGGATGCACAAGCACTCAATTTGATCATTGTCACAGGTGCATCTGGCTGCTCCCAGATATCTGAGAGTAAAAGTACCAGCAAACCCCCGTCTTATTTTAGTAATAAGAGCAGAACGCGTATTTATTGAAGTGGGAATCCCAGTGACTACAGGGCTTAGTTGAATCAAGGAAAATCCATTGCTTTTGTGCAATTCCTCTGGATATCTGAAAATGAAGGCCTTCCGAAACCGATTACGAGACCAATCTTTTGAGACAGATACTTCACAGGCTTAAAAAAGCATCCCAGCATTAGCGCTCACTCTGGGGAGCATTAGGCAAGTTCTTCAGAAGTGATATTAAGAGCTCAAGAATTACATTTCAAAATACCAGAATTCAGACTGGGAAAAAGCTTTCCTCCAGATCAAAGGGAGACTTTGCACACTGGCAGAGGTATTAGCTCATCGTAAATGAAATTGGAAAAATGACTGGGAAATGGTTGACAGAGAGGCTTCTGAGGCGTGGGAATTTTCGAAAAGCCGCATGACCAGCCCAGACGGGAGTGACTGTGAGTCATGCTTAGGATAGTGGAGATTGTCTTCTTTCTGTTTATCAAGCAGGCAAGGTTTCATTGAGGGAACAGGAAAGGGATGCCAGATTGGTTGCGTCTGCAACGACCATGAAGTTTCTCTCTGTTTCAATGGTGGGCCTTGTTGCTTCTCCTTTCTGTAAAGCTTACTGGAAAACCTTGATCTTTGCTTTTTGAACTTACTTATCTTTCTCTCCCTATATTGTTCGCAATCCAAAGTGCTTATGGTTTGGTCCTTGCACCTCTTGAGCAACTCATCTAAGTAGAGCTTTTTATGGGTGCGTCTAGGACGAAGATGATCGTGATGGCTAATCTGATGCCGGCTTGTTTGTTTCATTTGACATACGTTCACCCCATATATGGATACCGAGCCTTCTCATCTATCAAGTCAACCAAGCCCATGTGAGGGCTTTTTACAATATTCCCAAATGATGATTGCTTTTGTTGATCCGATATCTACGCTCAAGGTCAGAGGTTGTGGGCTAAGTGTAGGTCGAATCATGATTGTATCAACTCTGCCTCCTGTGGTGCACCTCAACGACCGCAGCCTTTGTTTCATCTACATGGAGCTCGTGAAGCCAGGTACCCATGCATGAGGAGCTATGTGTATAAGTAATCTCATTTGCTGATATCAATGGCATTTCGTGGGGCAGGTAGCTCGGTATGCAAAATTCCAGATTTCTGGGTGAAGAGTGCACTTCAATTCACTACGAAGAGACAATGCTCACACCGAAATGTCAACAGTGGAGAAATTCAGAGGATGGATTACCCTCCATATCTAACATTCGAGACGGATGTTCCTTTGTACGAGCACAAGTGCCGCTGAGTGCTTTGATTTAAGAGATCAAGTCTCTAGATCCTGGCAAGCAAGAAGTCCAAATACCAGTTCAGGGTTTATGATGAAGTATGGAGAAACTAGGATGGCTTGTATCTACACCACCTACGCAACAGAATTGTTGTCATGATATTGCAGGCAAGTAAGGCTCGATTTATGATGGGTGCCAGACCAGATCTCCGCAACCAGTGTCCACGGTGGCGCGTGAATACGTGAGAGCCTGGTTCTATTTCTCATGGCTCCTGGCCCACGGAGATTAATTACCCTGGTTTGGCTAGCAGGCTTGGTGTGACTGAAAAAGGCTTCGGAGGGATTGTTCACGACACAACACTGTTCAAACCTGGGCACTGGGGTTTACCCGAACCACAGTGGACATTATCAGAAAGCTCCCACGTGTAGCCACCATGTATGGCGTCTTCCACAGGCCAGCCAATGCGTTCAAAGGTGCTTCGCTGGTGAATCCTTGGGAACTGACAGCGTGGCTAGTGTTCGATAGTACTGCGCCAAAACAGCCCCAAGACATCGCCACGAAGCTGGACATGCAAGAGGAGTCGAGCATTGGCGGGGCGAACCTGTGGAAGCGGGTAATTGTACAGCCTGACATCCCACTCATGCAGACGCCATTTGCCTTGCGAGGGGCTCGAGGTCCTTGCTGCGATCATCAGGAGCTTTAAGACGGTCTTTTGAAAGATGTCATTGGTCTGGCTACGTCCGGACATTACTTACTAAGATCAGGAAGTTTGGAGATGACGTGAAAATCATACTGTTTTACGTACGAGATGACGACGTATACTGCCTTTAGATGTTTTTGTTATTTTCAAAACCCGGTACCAAAGAATCAAACCGTAAACTTAAACAAAGCAGGATGACTACACTGAATGCCAGCGCATGCATTTGGCCTTTTTTTCATTGGTCGTGTTTGACATCGTGCATAGGATCCGACCCGAGAAAATCCCCCTGCATCTCCCCTTCTCGGATACCCAATTGACTCACGTCGTGATCTCGGAGACCGTTGTCAGTAGGTCTAATTAAAGAATATAGGGTCCTCTCGTGTTCGGGGAGTACATGCACCACGGTCCCTGAAAGCTGAGCTCGGCATGATTGCCCCCATGCCCGGCGAAAGCCTCTCGGGCTGAGTTTAAAGCAATGCCGGTTATTTTGAGGCGTGCAGTAGATTTTCTTAGTGGGCGCTTGGCATCCCGGATTTGGAGTTGGATTTGTGTCGGGGCCGAAATGCTCTTTTTGAGGCGTTTCGCCACTTTGTCCCACTGCCATGGCTTTGTAAAATTAGAAGGAATGAGCCGACAAATCGATCTAATGATGCCTAGACTTTTACATTGGGCAATTGACTTTCTGCGTTTCGCCTAATAGCACTCTTGACCAAAAAAAAATTATGATGCCTAAGCCATATTATGACACCGATGATCATGTTCATAACTCGGTAGATCAACATTGGCTCCACCACTTTATCTCACAACCCTATCCTATTTCTTGGACGCAACTCTAGGCCCTTGCATCGCACTCACCACGCCATGGATGAGCACCAGCGAAGGCCCTTCATTTGCGGCTAGGCACCTTGGCCAGGAATCTAGGCTGCCGGATTACTCAGGCTTGTGGTCTTATTCATCCAATCAAACAGCCGCTCTCCCCGCCTTTACTTTGTCCCCGGCACGAACAACTGGATCGTTGGTCTCCACATGATAGTTTTGGGAGCCTTGTGGCTCGCAGGAGCGAGGCTGTCCAATCCTGGAGCTGTGCCTCAGCCACTGCCCAGAATCCTCTGCTTTGGCTACGCGCCTTGGACCCTGAATCTCTTTCTGAGTTTAAAGATGTCTATTTCCTCTGGACCCTGGTCGTTTTATTTTGCACTTTCATGACTCTATGAGCTGAGCCAATGCGAGTAGTAGGACTGTCGCCTGGTACCTCTTGCTTTAAAGGAACGACTTTGTCATCTTACGCGACATGCCCGCAAAAGGGGGCTGGATGGCTTGGTCCGCCAAAAAGAAGGCTCTCATCTTCGGTTCTATCGGTCTTCTGATTATCGCTCTGGGTATCGGACTGGGGGTTGGCCTCGGACTAGGACTGAAGAACAGTGGCGGAGGTGGTGAAAATGAAGGAAGTGGAGGAAGTGGAAATGGTGGAACAGGAACAGACACTGGAAGCGGCAATGGCAATGGAAATGGCACGACAGGAGGAAACACCACAGCAATATGGCAACCGGAAGTGGGAACCAAATGGCAGATCGAGCTGCTTTACGTTTTGAACGACACATCAGTAGACGCGGACATCTACGACATTGACCTCTTCAACAATCCAAACTCAACAATCAAAAAACTTCAAGAGATGGGACGCAAAGTGATCTGCTATTTCTCAGCAGGTACCTATGAGGACTGGCGCAATGATGCAGATGAATTCAAGACCTCCGATCTGGGAGCCAGTCTTGATGATTGGCCTGGCGAGCAATGGCTCGACACAAACTCGGAAAACGTGCGGAAGATCATGCGACAGCGTCTCGACCTGGCTCAAGCAAAGGGCTGTGATGGTGTTGATCCTGACAACATCGACGGATACAACAATAAGAATGGTCTCGGATTAACCAAGGATGACGCCATCAGTTATGTAAAGTGGCTTGCTTCACAGACACATGGTCGAAACATGTCACTCGGGCTGAAGAATGGTGGTGCCATTATTGACTCGGTCATTGACAAGATGCAGTGGTCGGTGAATGAGCAATGTGCCGTTTATGAAGAATGTGATATTTACTCGGCCTTCATCAATGCCAGCAAACCGGTTTTCCACATCGAGTACCCCAAGGGAGATGATACTAACAGCAACAATAAAGTATCAACGAAGCAACTGAATTCGGCTTGCAATGCCGCTAGCTCCGGCAGTTTTTCTACGGTCATCAAGAATATGGACCTGGATAGTTGGGTCGAATACTGCTGATATTGAGTCTGTATAACATGTACTAATACCTCAAAATCATCTGATTTTTTATATCCCCAAGACTTGTCGCATTATTGATCGAAACATCAGGGAAAGTTGCCTTTTTTTCACTCGAATATAGAAGTGGATCAAGGTGAGGAATCCCTAAATTGTCCGCGGCCGGGGTCAACTTGCGACCCTTGGGACCCTTGGCAAGCTGGAAGGACCACAGTCCTGTCAGAGCACAATTGGTCAAGTTTCGAGGGGTTTCTTCGACTGTATGCAGATGGTGAGAAAATCTGCATTAGTGCACGGCATTGTTGCCTCCAGGGCCTCGTACATTACCGCCTCCAAGCAAATGCTGGCGCTAGTAATTTTTACAAGCTGGTAAGACATCCATCGGATTACCGGTAATTTTCCAAGGTGACTTGACTTGTCCATCTCATTTATAGACGCAGCTCTCACCGACCAATTGAATTAGACGTGTCAGAAAAACTCATCGGAGTAATTAACTTTGATTACTCCGTATACTTTGTCCTGCATCTCACGATATTCTACGAAACCATGGAAGGCTTCACGAGTTACAGGGGCCAAAGGGGAAGCTAGGACACTAGCTTGGGGGCGATCCTCCTGATAATCCCCAACTGCTGCAGGGAAAAGGAATTTCACCCGAGGAGACCTAGGCCGGTGAGCTCGTAGGGGCCTCTGGCTGGGTCTGGGTCTCCAAAAGAGAAAAAAAAAATGTATTAGCGGAGGAGTCTTTCCCGTGTACTAAAGCCGGAACCGCCGGGATGGGTGGATCCCACGATGGATCACATCGCGAAGCGATTTGAGCTTTAGACCGACGCCGCTCCGCAAACCAGATTGATCATTCCTATATCGAGAGAGCACAGGACAAAGAAAAGAAACCTGCAATGGGCGAGGCGTCGAGAGCGCTAAGATCGGCGCGCCCTAAATGAACCCCGAACGGATCTGCCCGGTTCCTGAACGCGAACCACGGGTACGGCTTTTGGATTGGTGGACGAGATGGAGTTTAGATTGATCAGGGCGGAATCGATGAGATAGACTCCATTACATCCATTTCTCCTCTCCTGGAGGACGATTATTTCCTAAACGGTCATGCAATCCTCCTTGACTATGTCTAGGTGCATATCGTGGGGCCAGGGAGAAAAATAGGCTTAAGCGAGGCTTGCCTCTTGCTCGGTTTGTTTGTCTTTTGCCAAGCACTTCTAGAACTCGTCCCCTCAGTCGCTGGCTCAAAATGGGTCTGATGTGTGGCTTGTTATCTGGTGGCTTTCACAAACCCCAGTGGCTCACAGGAAGGAACTCGAGATAGCAGGATATCTGAGTTGTGAATCGCGCATTGCTAATGGAATCTCAAGGCGGGCCCAAGCTATCTCAACTAGCGTGCCAGCGAACACGGAGTTTGCCTCTAGCCTCTATATGAAGCGCCACTAAAACACTGGTTCGCACTCGCCAACACCAGCCCCTCTTCCAGCCTCTCGATGTAGCCTAAAAGAGACGACCACGGGCGCTAATTCGACTAGTCAGGAGGGTGCCGTAATCCCTTCAGGGATTAAAACGGGATTCAAACCCAATGCGCTCGCTACTATCTTTGGGCTGCCAGCTATGACAGTGCGCAATACTCCTACTTGATTCGTTCATCGAACCCTTTCGAAAACTTTGGAGTAAGTTCCGGCTCGGGGGCAGACCGAGGAATCCTGCAGTTACATCGATGGGCAAGCGAAACTTCCCCTTTGGTCAACTAGATATTGGATTCCACGAGGGTGTGGCTTCAGCCACTTCTGTCGACGATTCAATGGTCAAGGACACAGGGATCGGCGATTGCATTTACAGGCACATGTAATGCTTATGCAGTAATCGGCAGGAACGAACTGTCGTGTAACCATGAATGACGTGAAGATGTTTTCTTTTTTCGGAAAATTAGGCAGTCGGGATTTGCAATCCACCCGGTCTTTCCATTGTTGTGATACTGCAGCGGGGACTCTACCCGTGCTGGCGGTTCCCCAACATGAAGGATCCCGGTCAAGTACCGTCCTCAAGTTTCAGTTGCGTTGGCTCGGGTTTGATGTTAAACTTGGACTGGCGACCAGAACCCAGACCGTATAGACCCGGTTTCCATGGTCCTGCATGTCTCACTGAGAACTAGGCGGGGCAAGCTGGTTGTTGAATATCATTACGGGTCTCGTAGGCTATGGGAATCATGTTGATTGGGGGGCGTCAACATAGCGTTGCATCTTTGCTGCACACAAGTCCTGTATACTAGGAAAATCCCAGATTATCACGGCACAGCCTGTCGATATGGTCGGCATATTACACCATGTCCACCATCGCCTACCAGAGAAATATGTTTCGGCCGGAGGCGCATATAGGTCTATATAGAGCTTTTTTATCGGAAATGCACGACCAGAACTACGTACACATTTGACAAGAATTGTCCCCCCAGTGGTTCTCGAGATCGATCGCGTCCGGTATCAAATACGGCACAATCATGAAAATTACAACAATACTGTTCCGGCCCACTTGGCCAGAAAAGGCAGACTGGACCGGGATCCCGTCGATTGGATTTCTTTTTTTGCCTTCTGATCCCAACATGTAACTAATTTTTAGCTTTGCGGTAAGGAAACAGGAGGGGTGAAAAGACTCCACAATGGAAAATTTCTCTCCCACGAGAAGCCGACCATGGATACATCCACATTTCCAATTGCTCCAAAGTTCGGCAGCTTTGGTCGAGAAAGATATCCGAAACTCTAATGATGCTCAAAAAATCGCTAAAATGATACACTCCGGTATGCGTACACGATATTCCAAATCAACAGATCGTGGAATATTCACGATTGGGTTCATACAATCTGAGCCGAAATCAGATCGACAAACTCGGCCCACTTCGACCCAAACTTAGCATAGTAATCGGTGCTAAGGTGGGTGATGAAAACCTCATCGGCAACCTCGCGGACCGTTTCGATTAGATTGCGTAGTTCCGACCCTTCCACACCCTCCGGCACAGAGTGGATCAAGACAGCGCGCTGGGTGCGATCTTTGCCCCGTATTGGCGTTAGTAGGTTAGCTCCATGCCGCTCCTGGAAGGTGCGGTAGGTCTCCTCGAACACGACGGTCGAATCTGCAGTGGACAGGTACCGGGAGTCAGGAACGGCGCCTGGGTTGTGGATGACCTGATCATGACATTTACATTAGCTCTGCAGCTGTTGATAGAACATCGCTTGGAACCTCCGAATGGGGTAATTGATATGCAGTATGGGGATCATGAGCTGCTACCCAGAAAAAGCAATGACTGCAATATATACGATACGATGTGCAGCTCTCCAATCCAACCGGCAGGGGAAGCCACGCGGGAACTGGGGCTTACAGTATCGGAGAAATATGACAGAGATGCAGGGGAGTGAGCCTTATTGTATGGCGAGCGACAACGCAGAGTGGATGGAGTAAGATCAGAAATTGCAAACTCACATAGGGATTCGAGCCAAGTCCATCGAGACCCTTGGTCAGTTGGGTCAAGTTTTGCAAGTAAGCCAAAGAGTGGACACTGTATTGCTGCGGTGTCTCATCGAAAAATATACCCCGAACGGCCAAATCGAGGTTGGCAGATTTAGTCGGCCATTCAGCGTAGGTTTTGATATCCCGGTACACTGCGGCTGCGTTGCGGGTTGTATAAGAGGTATGCACATAGCCTAGAAGCCGTACATTGGCGTACGACGAGAGGGTCGGGATGGCGCGAGTGTAGTTGGCATCGGGCAAGTCGTCGGGTCCTGGACCGTTACCAGGATTGATTACAATGGTAAAATTGACATTTGGGTGGGTGGAAATCCTGGTTGGCACTCAGTAACAGGTTTTTTTATTCTTTCCTTTTTTGCGACCGGCAATTTTCAACGCTTTTGTGGTCTGGGGCCATTGGAGCCCAAACATGAGAAATCTATACTGTGTACTCCGTGGTGAGGTACCAGTGGCTTGGGGTGCAGATTCTTTTTTTTTTTTTAGAACCGGGAGAGGGGCTAAGGATCATGGGCCGAATAGGAAAGGACAAACATACACATCTTCTAGCGGAGACCAGGCCCCGGGGCTAGGGTATATGTAGAGTGGCACGATGATTGTTGTTAGGCTCATATTGATTGAAGCTGACCACCGTAGAAGAGGATGACGATATTTAGAACGAAGATGAACTAGCGCCAAATTGAAGATTACTGGTTTGGGTCAGTCGGCTCACGTGCTTTTGGGGGTCTATAGTTGAACGAAAGACCAGAGTAAATTACAGGAGTATAGATCGAGAACACCATGGATTTCGAATAATACTTGGAATTGAGATTTTACCGTATACTTGGTGAGTTTTCTGGGTTAGAATGGGTATAACAATACAGAAGGACTTTTGTTTTCCGTCTAAGTCATTAGCGTCCTGCACTGGCTTTAGAACGATAGTCTCGACCATGTCTCGACCATGGCTAGGATGTGTAAGGTCCATCTCAATTCGTAATGCCGTCATTAGCCCCAGCTGAAGCCCTGAAGTACCCAGTCGATGCGCTTAGGGCAATCGGGCCGTGGAGAACATGTACCAAGGCCCCAGCCGCACATCTGGCCCACTGTCCACGGGGAGTCTTGTCTGTCTGCTATTTGGTCTATGCTTTTCTCGGCCGCCCCCATTTATTATTTTATTAATTCTTTATTGCCATTATTGTCACTTTCGTTTTTCTGTGGCTTATGCTCGGTGAATCTTCTTCCATCCATTTTCGCTGACGGGCATCACCTTTTGCCAAACCCAGGGTAGCGCTAGATAGAATCTAGAGCTGTGGGGCGACACAAGGGTTCTCTTCTCGCACTGTATAAATCTCGCATGGTCATCTCCCGGGTGCATTTCAGTTGTTTCAAGCGCATATAAGTTTTCGGGGGTGAATCCTCTGTATTGCCAAAGATTCGTTTCTGGCGCATTTTGACGCCCTGGTTGTCTGTCTATCCTTAGCACTCCAGTCCAATCTTGTTCATTATGGACAGTCGACGTCGTTCAGACACGAGTACTCCCGTGGAGGGTGACTCTCCAGACTTCGTGGATACTCCGGCAACGCAGGTTTCGGACCTCTTCGACCATTTTAATGAGCTGTTGCAGAGACTCCCCATCGAAAGTCCGTACATCCTGGTTACGGGCGGGCTAGGCTTCATTGGTAGCCACACGACATTAGAATTGCTCAAGGCCAATTATAATGTGATTGTCATCGATAATTTGAGCAACGCATTTGAGAATGTTCTCGACCGCATCGATCTTCTTGCCCGCAAATTCCATGAAAAGAATGGGACCGAAATGCCATCACTGCGGCTGCATGCTCATGATTTTCGAGACACATCGGCTCTCCAGACTCTTCTAGAGGAGTACCAAGTTCCCTCAAGATGGGGTATGGCGAAGTCGAAGATTGCAGGCGTGATTCACTTTGCCGCATACAAGGCTGTCGAAGAGAGTATCCGGAATCCATTGAAGTATTATGCCAATAATGTGAGCGGCCTAATTGACTTCGCAACAACGCTTGGAGATTTCGGTATCAAGACATTCGTATTCTCCTCTTCCGCCACTGTGTATGGCACTCTGGCCACTTCTGGCCTGCCATTGAAGGAGGAGCTTTGTGTTCACAAGGAGGAAGTATATACGGACAACACAGGAGCAGCACGACTTCTTCAACCCGGATGCACCGGTATCACCAATCCTTACGGACGCACCAAGTGGATCGGAGAGGCCATTTTAGCAGATCTTGCTGCTTCGGATCCAGAATGGACCATTGTTGCTCTGCGGTATTTCAACCCCGTCGGGTGTGACTCGTCTGGTCTTTTGGGCGAAGACCCCCGGCAAGTCCCAACAAACCTTCTTCCCGTGGTTGTCAAAGTAATGACTGGCCAGTATGCGGAGTTGTCAATGTTTGGAACCGACTGGGAGACCAAAGATGGCACGGCTGTCCGGGATTTCATTCACGTCACTGATCTGGCCCAGGGTCATATTGCAGCTCTCAAGGCGGCTAATGATGGTCAGTTGAGTGAAAATTTCCGCGCCTTCAACCTGGGCACTGGATCAGGACACTCTGTGCTGGAAGTGGCCACCACCATGGAGGCTGTCACCTCAAAGCCCATTCCCAGGAGAGCAGCAGATCGTCGTGCTGGTGATGTGGGGTCCTGTGTCGCTGTTGTCGATCGATCTTCAGATGAGCTTCAGTGGAAGACAGAGAAGTCACTGAAGGATGCTTGTCAGGATATTTGCAATTTCTTGGATGTCAGCGGCCTGTCTTCATAGGGCTTCATGATTCGTTTTCTATTTCTTTCATTTCAAGGGCTTGTCTGGGTTTTTGTTCCCTTTCTTAATTCTGATCTGCCCGACTGGAGGTAACTTGAAGTCCTGCAGGTGTACTTTTCAGCTTGATGCTTGTGCCTGTTTAATGTTCGGACTAGAGATGCATGTCGGTCCTTTGTGTTTTTTGTCATCGATACCACAGCGTTATTGTTATGTTTCGGAGTTTGTTTCATGCTTCCAATTTGTACCCAAAGATTGCCTTTCCATCGTCGCAGCGATCCAGTCTCTAGATATACTGGAAAGACTCAACGTTGTAGATCTGATGGTCTTTTCTCATTGACTCATTTTCAATATTCCCCATTCATTTTCAATCGACTCATTTTCTCATACTAATTCACTATTCGACGCGGCTGTTGCTGTGTGCTGTCCCAAATGATGTAAGGCGTTGACCATATGTATAAGATTTTGGTTTCAATTAGTCAATGAACGTTCAGCCTGAAGATTCGCAGCAGGCCTTTTTACATTAAAGGGGAGTGATAATGAAGAGTGAGTCTTGCAACCAGGAAGCTTGGAGCATTGAATTCCTTAAATGGAAGGAACCCGTTGAGGTGGCCACGTGACCCCTCCGGCTTGGCATCGGATCCGCGCCGCAAGTTTTCTGATTGAGTCTCCGCGCCAGCAACATTGCGATTATTCCACATTGACCTCGGTATACATCACCGTGGTTATTTCCAATTGACGCGAAAATGATCTGCAGAAGCTGCCGGACGAGCATGCTGTCTCGGCTACCACAGCAACAAGCCCTGACATGGACATCATCACCAGCACGCCAGCTTCCTCTGGTTCGCAGCCAATTCCGATTCTACAGTGATAAAGGCACCAACCCTCCCGTCAACCCCTCATCTCCTCCCAGTCCTCGCCAGCCCGTGGTCGGCGACGTCACTACCCCATCCGCTATCTCCTCCGCAACCCCCGGTATCTCCCAGCCGCTGAGCACCCCCGAGAGTGTCCACATTGATGTGAACCCCGGTGCCACAAAGCCCGTTGTCGAGCGCCCACCGAGTAGTTGCCCCGCTGGCACTAAGCTGAACGGCCTGAATTATTTCAAGAACAAGCCCGAGGTTCTTGCGAAGGAGGACCATGAGTACCCCGACTGGTTGTGGGATCTTTTGGGTGATTCAAGCAAGTCAGCCAAGGCCGAAAAGGGCGGAGTTGACCCCAGCAGTACGTTGGACTATTACTATGCGTTTTCTGCTTCCTCATACTAATGTGACTCCAGCCCTGAACAAGAAGCAACGGAAGCGCTATGAGAAGAAACTCGCCGCCCGCGTTGGTGTTCTCCCTCCTAAGATCCCTGCCCACCACCACGCCCACGACATTACGCCAGCATCATACAACCGTGAAGGGGTCCCCGAGGGTGGATTCACCGATGCCACCGAGAGTGTGGACCAGCGTACCGAGGTCACCAAGAGTGCTCGCCAGGCCCGGCGGAAGGCCATCAAGGAATCCAACTTCTTGCGTGGCCTGTAAACATCCGATTGAGCGTATTTGTTTCGCTATAGGCGTCGACCTTTGGTCTTTGAAGCAGCGGGCTCCTCATTTTGAAGCGGTGTTTTGACTAGATTGGCCTGCCCATTCCCATCGCCGCGGTGGACACATAAAACAGGTCCAGCCTCCGGCATGTATTATTATGTCGATTTGATTTCTCCATTGTGCTATATATTCAATGATTTTTGATCTTCACATCACTCCAGCTCCACTGCACTCCATATTGACATACTAACCCACAGTCTTAAGCATCCTGCGGTATCGGCCACTCCTTCTCCTCGCCCTGTCCCTCCAACCAGGGCAAGGTAGCATCCCACAAAGCTCGAAACTCCCCGTCACCCAAGCCCATAAATTTCTCCCAGATCTCACGATCAAATCGGTGGAAAAATGCCAGGAGACACGCGAAGGAAAGATCCGCATAACTAGCCGTCTCCCCTTCGAAGAAAGGACCTTTTTTCCCTTCTCTCCCCTTCAACATCTTGATCAACGTCTCACAACCCTTCTCCATTGTTTCCCACATCTCCGCAATCTCCCCCTCATCTGTCGGCCGGACCTCCGCCAATGGCTTTCCAAAGGACTCAGACCTCGTTCGTACAAAATACTCCTGTCCCCGCGGATCGAGGTGCTCCGGCACGCTGGGGATAATGAGCGTCCGAACCGCCGGTCCCAGAGCCAAGGTGAGCTTGTTGACCGCAAGGAAGAGCGCATAGCTAGCGTCGCCCGACGGGAACAGCGGACGATCGGGAAACACGTGGTCCAGATGCTCGACAATGGGGAGAGAGTCCATCATTGCGCCTTGGTGGTCGAGTATAGATTCATGTACGATTGCGGGGAGGGTATACGCATGGCCGACTTTATTGGGTTCGACACCGAACCCTTTCATCAAGGGCGCGATGTCTGGGTAGGAGACCCAGCTTTGGGTATACGGGATGCTCTTGAAGTTAAGCACCGCCCGTACTTTTAGAGTATTGGGGGACCAGGATTTGTATGCACCTGGTGCCTCGTTAGCCGTGCTTCCTCATTGGCTTGGACTTGCGGGGTACGGACCTGGGAGGGTCGAGGTGATGTCGAAGAAGTGGACGGGCTTTGTGTTAGTCATGATGGGTAATAGATCGAGTTGAGTATTCCTGTATAGTTGGATACTGTAATGTTTGTATGCTTTAGAGAAATTGAAACCATGAATGTTTCCAGGAATTGCAATTTATAATGTGGAGCTCATGGATTTGGATTTCTCAGCAAATGAATAGGCTTTAGTCCCTTTTAGTCCCGGTCTTATCATGCATCAAGCTCGGAAGGGCAATCTGGAATTGATCCTGAAACATGAAAACCTCATAATATGCTTCATGATATGGCCTTGAAGAAATCTGGTCCAGCCCTAAGGCTGAGTATATGCCAAGCTCTATATCGGGGCTCACAAATGGAGCCACGTCTTAAGAAAGTGGAGAGTCGATCACGTACACACGTGTCGCATGTTAATCCTTTTGCCTAAGTTCATTCTTCTCCCTAGAACCTACCTTGTGCTCTACAAAATTCAAGATCATCAACACTAATATCTACTCTGAGTCTGGGGATCAACCCTGCATCCCCCTGAATCTCTACTGCGGGGCAGCTCGCAAGTACCAATAAGCACACCGCAAGTATCAACCTTGCACAACCCCACCAAACTCCCAGGGAACAAGGCTTTGTCAAAGCACCATATCGCATTCAAGATCTGATTGCAATCAGACTGTACCACAAATATTTGCGATAATGCAAAGAGTCGAGAGCCTCGTGGAACGAGCGCGTCATCTATCGCTCCACCCAACCACAGAAACACCTCTAGACACATTCCACTCAACAGTCGATAGTCATCTGCAGAAGATCTACGAGTCACTTTCCACACAGAAAGTCACAAGCGTTGACTTCTTCAACCATATCCAGCGAGATGAGAGTTCTCCTGAGGGTCAACTTGACCCGTTGAGCTCGCTGGATGCGTTTCGCGCGTACATGAAAAATCCTGCTTCCCGTGCGCTGGGTGAAGCAAAGGAAATGGATCTTTCGGCGCCTATTTCGGATTATTATGTTTCCTCCAGTCATAATACGTATTTGACAGGGAACCAGCTGTATAGTGATGCTGCGGCGAGTGCGTATACGTCGGTATGTAGATTAGTCTTAGAAATGTGGGATCTAGCTAACTGGATTCAGGTACTTCTACATGGATGTCGATCTGTTGAGATTGATGTGTGGGATGGTGAGCCGAAGGATGCGGATTCCGATGGGGAGACTAGTTGTAGCGAGTCTTCGGACAATGAAGTGAAGAAATCGACTTTGAAATCCAGACTAAAGGCGACAATCAAGTCTAAACTCGGCAGTGAAGAGAAAGCCGCCAAGGAGCTTTTAGACGAGAAGTTGCATCGGAAGAGCTCCACGCCTGCAAATGTAAGTGCCAGTAACGAACAGACCGTCGCACCTGTGCTGGAGCCTCGCGTTTTGCACGGGCATACTCTCACTAAGGGAACATCCTTCCGCGAGATCTGTTATGCAATCCGTGATGCTGCGTTTGTGAACAGTGATCTGCCTGTGATCATTAGTTTCGAAGTTCATGCATGCTTGGAGCAACAGCAGATGATGGTTGATATTGTCAATGATGCGTGGAAGGGTCTTCTAGTCGAGGTACCATCGGACGTGGAACCTGCTAAGCTGCCCACATTAGGGGAATTGAAGCGGAAAATTTTGATCAAGACCAAGTCCACGCCTCTGCAACAAGCAGATCTGAAGGCTGAGCTAGAGGAAGCGTCCGAACCTTCGGCCGAAGCCAGTGATCAGTCTGTGGACGCGCAACAAAAGCCCGCGAAGCCCTCCAAGATCCTGGAGGCTCTCGCCAAGTTAGCTGTATACACGCGAGCGTATCACTTCACCCGCTTCGACCAGCCAGGTATGAGCTAGATCAGTTATTCAACACACATGCAACCAAATACTAACTCTTTCCATAGAGGCGAAAGTTCCCCACGTCTTCTCCTTATCCGAAAGGGCAGCCCGCGACGCACACACAAACTACCGCGACGCCTTATTCGAACACAACCGCTGCTCACTGATGCGAATCTACCCGTATGCGCTCCGTGTAACATCCTCAAACCTGGACCCGGCCTTCCACTGGCGCCGCGGTGCCCAGCTGGTTGCCTTGAACTGGCAAAACCTCGACAAGGGTATGATGTTGAATCACGGCATGTTCGCCGGAACCCAAGGCTGGGCCCTCAAGCCTCGGGGGTACCGTAGCTCCGAGGGCCCCGCGGACTCGATTACGCGAACCAACATCGAATTGAAAATCGAGGTCTTCGCAGGCCAGGACCTTGCGCTCCCGCAGAACCACTCGGAAAAGGGATTTAAGCCCTACGTCGTTTGCCAACTGCATGTTGAGGAGCCCGAGGGTCCTGCTGCAGCGGACCGGGACGATGCGAGCGATGATACAGACAAGAGTAGTTATCGGCGTCACACGAAGACGGCATCAGGTAGGAATCCAGATTTCGAGGCGCAGGGGTTGGTTTTTCCCACCGTTGTGGGTGTTGTTGAGGAGCTCAGTTTCGTTCGGTGAGTTCTCCACCTCTCTTTCTCGTACTCTTATTCGGTTTCTCGTTGTTCTTGGCTGCTGCTCTCTTTGCATTTCCTCCTCATTCGATGCACGTTGTCTTGCGTGCATATGTATGACGGTTCGTGTGGGGCTAGCGGCCTGCATTTCTTCAGCTACTTCCCGCCTGCTATTTATGAACTGGAACAGGGGACTGTGCAGTAGTTTCGTGCTACCAGAATGCCTCTGTGTTACTATGCTTTGTTGCCTTGGGAAATCTGCGACACCGTTCAAACTCCCCAACTTCCCCACATCGACATTTGCGCAGTTGAGATGTTGTCTGTCATGTGCATCGGCTGACTTTTAAATTCTGCTAGGTTTAAAATCAAGGACGACGAGTTTGTACGGGACTCGTTGGCTGCGTGGGCATGTATCCGTCTCGACCAGCTGCGGGAAGGATATCGATTTATCCATCTCCATGATAGCACCGGGTTAAATGCAGGGGGTGTCCTATTGGTGCGGATCAGCAAACGAATTTCCTAGTCGCACAAGGATGGGCGATAGCAGTTTGATAGGCCTTTTCTTTCTTGATCGCAATTATTCGATAGGGCATTGGGCGTTGATGGAATTCAGGCATCAATGCTGCCTCACAATTACACAACATAGTGTCATCTCTGTAATAAAAAGAAAAGAAAAAGCAAATAAAAATAAAAATAAAGGGCCGAGCAACACGGACTACCGCTCTTCAGACGCAGCAGGGGAAGGATGGGGGCGCCTCGCATAATCTTTGACGGACGGATACAGCGCATATATGTACCTCGACAGTCTGGGAACTTTGCACCAAATATACCGGACAATTGCAGAGCAGATCTTGTTACGCGCATATGCGCAACGTGGTCAGTCTTGTACTCGCGATCACGTTAGCCGACATCGGCATCAGATCGAGTCATTCTCATTTTCGGAGATCAGATGGTGGTTAGGCCCTCGGGCATGCAAGGGGGCATCATTTTCATGCTCCGCGGATATGCTGTAGTGCCACAGACCCCGGATCCCCTGTGAAGATCCCTTGACTGCAGACAAAACTGCATGGCACTTCCACGGGCGTGGCTATCTTCCAGAAGGCAGCCTGGGATGCAAACATCAGGAGGTCAGGATCTGATATGATGCGATGCGATGCGGTATGTACGGCTAGGTGGTCTGGAATTGATGGATCCGCAGCTTTCTGCGAGCTATAGGGGTACATGGACTTGATAGTAACTGGTTAAACCATCGGGAAGGCTGGGTAAAGAAAACCCTGTAGCTGTGTTGAAATAGGGATGGATCCCGAAGTTTGGGGATGGTTTTGGAAACGTGGATAGCCAGACTCTCGGGCCACTTGGACAGCAGGAGGTGGATTGCATATATAAGCAAACAAGAAAGTTCTCCTGCATGATGCGCGCCATTAAGCCCCACTGGGTGGTTTGCCATGCAAGTTGGGGCTGTTGATCCTGTCCAGAAGGGAGTTCGCAATCAAGAAAAATCAATCACGGAACCAAGATTCTGGTATTGTTGCCCACTGTAACACGGATTGACCGAGTCCAATCAGCCCAAGATCACCGCCAAGGGCCATGCATCAAATTGATCAACAAGAGTGGGGCGAAGCAGAAGGACCGGTAAATGCTCCGATTTTGGCGATGATAAGGTTATTAGAGAACCATCCTGCTCGTCAGGGGTATAGAGCTCCCATTGTCGCTGTGACTGTGACTCGACGGACAGGCATTGAAGCAAAGGAAGTAAAGCCCGTTGTTTCCTCTTTTAACTTCGAGCGGGTGGAGTGGTTCACGCATCCCGTGACAGCTACACGGACAAAGAGGCATGCATGCCACGATTGGACGGGAGAGGGAAAACAAAGAACGAAACGACGATCTTAAACTAGGCTCAGGCCAGTGCATCGATGCACCAATAATCGGAGATCATCGAAGACGACCTATCGCATGCGCAAATGATTGCAGGATGTCAGAAAAGAACGGACAAATCACGGTTGATTGACTGCGACCGAGGCTGACCGAGCGGGTCCTAGCGATCTGGGGCAACGGATACGTCAACTTTTGCTTCTTTGCTGGGACTGCAGCAATCTCGGATCTTCCGCCTTCTTGCCTGTTTCTTCGGTCTCATTTCCATTCATGGTAATGGGTCACCATGCAATGACCCGCTTGACGAGTCTCCTGTAGGTTTGTATGAAGACAAAATCACATCCCATCACACCCATAGCAAACAAGAGCGAACACCCCTCCCGAAGGGCTATGAATTTCATGATTGGCTCCGATCGTGGTGGCGTTTGGCTTCGAAATTACTCCATGTTCAGCTGTGTAGAAATGGATCGATCGTCAGGGAGAAGCTTTTCGTGTACGGGAACTTCCGAATGTCGACTCACCGTGTTTCCTTTCTTTTTCGATTTTGAATTTTGAATTCCTTAGCTTCGATCCTTGTCTCTGTTCTATCCCCATTCGGTCCGGTGTCCTTTTCATGCCTTATAAGGGCTGCCTGCCCTGGATCGACTTCTTCCTTAACCTCCAAGTCCAAGCTTCACCTTGAGCCCTCGAATCAATTTCCCCTCCAAGCCACTCCATATTTTCATTTCCTCTCAGACTCAGCATGTCTCCGTCATGTGTCCCCAAGGGCTCGAGCTCACCAGCAGTCAACAAGGTTTGTCCATCATCCCAAACCCATACTCCTGGGACGAACACCTATAATCTAACATGTGGGTCAGATGCCCGGTGTCCGCTGCCCAAACTGTCAAGCAAAGGGCCAGGAAGTATGGGTGATTCCCGGCAAAAGCTGTCACATCTGCTCAACGCCATGCGCATGATGCCTGCCTGGATACATCTTGGTCGATCAAGATTGTCACCCGAGTAAAAAAAGCTCGCTTTGGAATGACCACCCGTCAGGGATTTCCGACGAGCTGCGATATCAGTTTTTTCGATTTCAGCGACATTTTCAATAGTGGATCTCAAGAGCACGGGCTTGTATACAGTCATGGGGTTACTGGTCATTTTTCTGGAAAACAACGTTCTTGGGAATGGATTTGGTGTTATGCGATTCTACGAATTACGATATACTTTCAACGGATTGTTCTCGGATGTCTTTAAGGTCCAATATACATGAAACTGTTTTTAGCATTTTTAGCGGTCTATCATTTCTTCTAGAATCTATCATCCGCGTCGTACTTTGTTCACGACGCAGGTACTTTTGTCTTTGTACGTGTGACGTCATTTGTATTAATAACCGGGACTCGCTCCTCCTACCGTGACATGCTAATCCAGATCTCGTGTAGTCAGTTACTCTACGAAAGTTGTCCTTATAAAGCTTATGCGACTGCGGAAAGGCGAGACAATGGAGAAATATCCGATCGGAACTCGTTCGGAGAGTGAGCGTCTGGTACGCGAGTGGGGTTTCCAACATGTCTTCACTTGGTCAGACGGGAGGTAAGTGTACAGCCGTTTATGAAGACATAGAGACTAAATAGAGACTAACTGCACTTCAGTAATGCCTACTATTCTCCTCATACTCATGGTGGCCTGACTACTCATCTCATCCGTCGTGGCTCAATGACGGTGGCCTATCCGGAAGACAAGGTCAAGAATGGCCGAGAGGCCAAGGAGACCTTTGGCGTTGGCGCTCGAGTAGATGTACCGGCAGGAAAGGTTCATGAAGTATGGATTGGAGACGAGGGATGTGAATATGTAATTGGAGAATAATTACTGGTATCTTTTGATACTAGATAAATCGGATCCAGATCCGAGTGGGATATACAAATGTGGATGTGTTAATGAACGAAACGGAAATCAACTCTATAAAGAAAGTAAGCGACTGGCATATGAATTATATCAACCTTTGAACGTACCTTTTATTGCCCAAGTGGCTATTCTCGGCGACATAGCGCTCCCTCTCTTCGCTTGACATGTTGTCCCAGATAGCAGCGTTTTGCCTAATGATGGTTAGTACGAGGTCATCACATCAGAGGGGCAACAACATACTTGTTTCGCCATACATAGTACATTTTGGCCGCAATAAACAACAGCCCACTCCAAACCGCAACACCAATCAACGCAGCATTGCCAGTGCGATAGTACGGCTTGTCGCTGGCTTGGTAGACATTATTACCGATGATATTGCTGACCTGAACCGACATGTTGTATAGCGCAGTAGCAACCGTTCGTGTCCTTACTGTCCCTGCATTACGTGAGGCCATCGCCACAATTATCGCGTGAACGTACGGCATAGAGAGCAGCAACACGATTAGAGCCCATCGAGCCCAGGTACTGGCTCCGTCTGGAAGCACTTCCAGAGCGATCAGAAGGACTAGCGCCCAAAATTCGGCAAAGACACCTAGGAGGAGACGCTGATTGAATCTTTCGGAGACCCACGTAATCCACAACAGGTTCACGATGAAGATCACATAGGCGGGGATGGTCAGTAGGTTGGTGTGGAAAGTACCGAAGCCCAGCGATTTCAGTTCTAGACTGATATAGCTGGCGGTGGGTACAGTGGGAATCATCCAGCTCAGGCCCAGGATGTAAATGATCCACATATCGTAGTCCTTGAGCGCGCTCCAAAGCATCTTGGGAGTAACCGCCTGGCGGTTGTGCATGCCTCCCTTACTAGGGTCATCGCGCAAGATACGGTTAACCATGATTTTCTCTTCACGCTCATTAAACCAGCCATTTTTGCCACGGAACCATCCAGCGGTCTGCGTTGGAGATGCGGGCATCCAGACTGCGGCGATGAGTCCAATCACACCGGTAATCAGACCCTCGAAGGCAAACAGGTATCGCCAACCACCTGTTCCTTCCGAGTTTCGAATGTGCAAGAATCCGTATGCGAGAAATGCGCTGACAATTGAAGTTCCTTGGTAGGAAACCCAGAAGTAGCTGAGACGGATAGGCAGTTCCTTGGTTTTGTACCAGAAAGATAGGAAAAGGATAGTATCCGGGATGCTGCGATATGTCAGTGATGAGTAGGAAATGATGTCAATGGTCACTTACAATCCACCTTCCAAAAGACCGAGCATCGCTCTGCAAGCGTAGTAGCCACTCTTATTCTTTACGAAGGCTTGGCAGGCTGCAATCAAACTCCAAGAGACCATTTGGATGGGAATCCAGCGGTCGGGGCCGACCCATTTAGAGATCAATTGAGATGGCAATTCAGCGAAAAGAAAAGTCAAGAGAAAGATTGTTTGGCCGGTGTTATAGTTGTTTGTTGTCAGGCCTAAGTCTGCCAACATGTTGTCGGAAGTGGCTTGAACCACATTACCACGGTCCAGCTGGAGAGCGAAAAATGTCATGCAGGCAAATGTACAGATCCGCCAGTCGATCTGAAGATACCAGTTAGCGAGCCTCGGAAATTGAAGTTTGTTCCAACACGATCATACCTTCCGGACAACTGCCTTCTCTTCCTCTTCGGTCCATTCGAATTCTGGATCCCAGCGGTGATACCCTTCATAGCTCTCAATAGGCTTATAGTACCGGGGATCCTCTGTAGTATCGAACGCACAATCAACGTTCTTGACAGTCCCACGTCGGTCCTCTATCGAAGAAGCAGAAGCGGAATCACTTGTCGAGTGGACCTTAGTGCTATCCTTAGTATCATAGTCCGGAGCCTCACCAGGCCCGATGTCCTTCACCTTCTCGCCGGTCATATTGTAGGACGTTCGAATGCGATCGGAGATGGTAATCTGGAAATGATCTGGAAAAGGTTCAGAACTGCACAATGCGCTCAGAAGAGACGGGCTTCCAGCTTCTATAAAGGTGGAGAATTTTTACTTCTGACATGAAGCCTTCATGGGCGTCTATCACGCCATTTCGTGGATTTTACTTGGCTTGCACGTTTGCGCGCTGGGTGGGTATGAGGGCAGCATGGCGTGTCCTGATCTTATGCAGGGCTATAGTTCCCCTCAGAGATAGGAAGGTGCCGAGCTGCTCACTCACGAGGTCCTGATGGCTTCCAACCCCACTCTGTGAGTCTAAGGTGTATACTGTAGAAGCATTTGGGAATCCACATTACGATTAATATACGAGGAATCCTCGGATCCTATGGTTATCACTATAGCGATCACAACGTTTCCAGGTAAATAAAAACATTCAATGATTCAGACGAGAACCGACCTGAGTGCTATCTCAAGAGGTTTTTTTGCATTAGGAATTTGCCAAGATCACGCAAAAGTGAAAGAAGTGACGTTAGTTTGGACGAGTAGCGGATGTCGCTCTATCAAGCCCCACTAGTCCCCATAGCCTGGAGCACCAAGTCCGGATTTATTTCCTATATGTAAGAGTGTGTTTAGCAGTACGTTGGCTAGAGTTTTATGTCATTTTTCATTGGCTCCTACCTAGCAGATCTATCGACAGTATCCATGGATCCTCGGTACGTCTCCGAGGTTCAGCAACTATGTTTCGCTGATACCAAGTTCTAGGAGACGCGCATACATAGAATTCCTCGTATCGGTATACAGTAAATATACATATGAGGACATTTCAAAAGGTTCACGTTTTCCCTGAAGTCAAACCCCAAACGAAGCCGAAAAGTCGGCAAGTTCGCGCAACAAAAGTTGTATATCACGTCATCACCAATCATGAGGCCCGGAAAAGGAGCCTTTTCAACATAACTCTCGCAAAGCCGACATTAAACCCCGGATTTCCTCCAGTGATAGTTTGCACGTCATCAGATAACACGTAGTTGACGAATCAGAGATCTTATGGCCGCACGTCATCTTCGCACGCCATTCACAGAAATCATGAGGACTTCTAGATCTCCATGTCAAGTCTGGGAGTTGATGCCGAGACCCCGCATCGACCTGCTTCAGGCACTGATATACTGACTACCTTCTACTTTGACTCGGGCGAGTCATGAACCCCGCATGGCGCAATCTGTATCATCGGAAACATACCGCCGATAGTATATAGTGCGCAATTCTCGCTTCATGTAATTGGAGTTGGCTTTGAGAATAAACATACATATATCCTCTCGAACATTTACTGTAGGAGGACATTGGAGCCTGAGATCGTCGAGATGGCCCCTTCAGTTACCGAGACCGTCGGACTTCGCTCCGCGACATTCACCGTGCCCCTCAAGACCGATACAGGCCATAACAAAGAGAATCTCATTGGATACAAGTATGAGAAAGAGGCCGAGCTCAACGGCACAGACAAGATTGCTCCAGCCTCATACCCCAACTATCTTCCCGTGTGGGATAATGAAACAGAGAGGTACACCAATACACGAATGAACGGCCTTGATCACGTATTCCTGACATCGCTTCGATAGATACCCACCTCTAACTCTTTTCGAGCACTACGATCACGGCAAAGATGCAGATCCGAGCTTCCCCGACTTGTTCCCAAAAGGCCAAGCCGAGGTCGACGATATCACACCCTTCATTGGCACAGAAGTCAAAGGCGTACAACTGAGCAAGCTGTCCAAAGCAGGCAAAGATCAGCTCGCACTCTTCGTCGCTCAGCGCCGAGTCGTCGGTATGTACCAATCCAACAAGTCAATGACTGGTCACTAATGATCGACAGCCTTCCGTGACCAAGACTTCGCCTCCCTCCCAATTCAAGAAGCAGTCGATTATGTCGGCTACTTCGGCCGCCATCACATCCACCAAACATCTGGCGCACCAAAAGGCTTCCCGGAAATTCATCTCGTCTTCCGTGGTGCTGACGACCGCACTGGTGGAAAGTTCCTCGAACAGCGCACAAATACAATTACTTGGCACAGTGATGTGACTTTTGAGAAGCAGCCGCCTGGCACTACCTTCTTGTATGTACTAGACGGGCCGTCGACTGGCGGAGATACGCTTTTCGGAGATATGGTGCAGGCTTATAAGCGGCTTTCGCCGGATTTTCGAAAGCGATTGCATGGTTTGAGGGCTGTGCATTCGGGGGTTGAGCAGGTGAATGCTAGCTTGAATGGAGGTGGGATCGCGAGACGGGATCCTGTTACTTCGGAGCATCCCATTGTTAGGACACACCCCGTTACTGGGGAGAAGGCTCTTTATGTGAATCCGCAGTGTACGTTTTTCCCCTTTGAGTGTGCGGGTAACTCTCTGGCTAATACTAATGGATTGATGCTTAGTCACTCGGTATATCGTCGGGTATAAGAAGGAGGAGTCAGATTATCTGCTCAAGTTCTTGTTTGATCATGTGGCTCTTTCGCAGGATCTTCAGACCCGTATTCGTTGGAAAGCTGGTACTGTTGTGGTTTGGGATGTGAGTAGCCCATTTCTTATTTTAGATCATATACTGACTAGGGTAGAACCGTTTGGCTTGTCACTCTGCTGTTTTCGATTGGGAGGATGGTCAGAGGAGGCACATTGCTCGTCTGACGCCACAGGCGGAACAGCCCTACGAGACACCGTTCGAAGGATGAAAGAGAGTAGATGGATGAATGACTGGAGTTTGAATGTTTATGTACTAAATCGAAAGCACGACGTAATTCATATCTTTGCCCTGGAGAAAACCGATAGTAGTATCATGGTTTACAATTCCGTCTTCCTCTCCCACTCCTCCTCCTCCTCTTCCCGCTCCATCTTTTCCCGGTCTATCTTTTCCCACTCCTTCTCCTCCTCGGTCTTTTCCCCCTTTTGCTGTATATGATAAGCAGGATGGTCTCTGTATGTAGTTTTATTGCTCTCAGGATCCACCATTTCACCTGGCAATGACTTTGGAGGGACATCATCTTCGACCCAGCGGATTAAAGTATCCAGCGCAGTCTTGGGTAAAGCACCTGGACCACTAAAGCAATGTCCTACACCTGGAACTTCAAAGTGACGGTAATACTCATCAACTCTGGGATCCAGAGCACGCACTCGATCATAATAGTCACTTGTGCCACGCATGGGGATTACCTCGTCAATGTTGCCGTGCCAACTGATCATTTTACCACCGGAACGCTCAAGTCCAGATAGATCTGGGTCATCGGTTTCAATTATGGACCGATACCAATTTTGCGACTCGTGGAACAGGTCATAGAATTCCTCTCGTGTGATACTGGAGAGGTCATAGTTGGGATCTTTCTTAAGGAAGAACTTCACCCATTCTCCTGCAAGAAAGAATGGAAGGGCGGTGCATTTATTATCCGAGTCGCATTGTGAATTGGCGACTATGGTGAGTGGAGAACCGGGAGTAAAGCCATACCACAAGAACTCCCCATCCTTTGAGCGAGGGCCTGCCCAGATACGTTGGACAACGTCTGCATCATCGGAAGAGATGACTATCTCAGAACTGTCGCAATCGACCTTTTGCCCCACGATGTCAAATGGGTCAAATGTACACTTTCGGTAGTCATCGACGACGCCGTCAACAACACCGTCTAACCCATCACAAGCCTCGATTGCTGCAGCGGTAAACTTTTCGAGAACACAAACCGGTACAGGTGAGCTCGCAGTTTTCATGACCACGTAAGCCCAGATTTCTGCCATGATGAACGTGCCGAAGTTTATAGCTGGGCAGCTCGAGAGATATCCGTCATAAGCGGTGGGATAGCGCTGCGCCAGCATCATCGCTTGTCGACCGCCAGTGGAACAGCCAGCAAAGTAAGAGAACTTGGGCTCCGATTTATAAAAAGAAGCCGCGATAGCCTTGCCAATGCCGGAAGTTTCGTATAATGCAACATGTGCAAAATTGTTCAGAGCGTAAAGGTCAACATTCCCTGGACTATTAAGAGCCCACTCCCCCACTCCTATGAGGTTGGGATCATGTCCTCCATCTGTATTCACAGCTGCATAACCACTCGCAACGGCGTTCAGAAGATTATCGTCGCTTGGCAGTCGGGTTCCAAACCCACCGCCGCCAAGGCCGAGAAGGCGGTTATTCCAATTTTCGAGTGGGAGAAAGACTTGTGTTGCTATTTTGTCTCCTTGTCCAGGGTGTGTATAGGTGACAGTGACATTGCAGAAGCTGAAAAGGTCATCTGTCTCTGGCAGTGGGTTCAACTGTAATACTGGAGGGGGGTTCGATTGATTGAAAACTGGATTCGCGGTGATTGAGAGTATCTCGGTACCAAAAAGGACGGGTTTTGATATAGCTGCTGAGCTGCAACTTGAGCTCAAATCAGCTGAAGCGAGTACGAAAGGAGTCAACAAGGCAGCCGCCCAGAGCGGGCTGCGAGGACTTGACATGCCGGTACAGGCTTGATGAAGAACCAAACAAAGATATCAGTTATATGGATTTTACAAAATAAGGAAATGAACAGAAGAATTGGACAAGTGAGAGAGTAAGCAAATCAATGAATTGCCAGGAGCTATAGCCCGGCTTATGACTTTCAAGGCGGGGAATCACCGTGGACGCCGCTGAATGGCCTGCTCCACCAGCGCTAACGGTGCCGAGGCCGAGCTAAGTATCGTAGTCAACATTCTCCACCTTTGCTGGGCCAATGCTATATCCCACGGCACAACACTGCCCACGAGGCTGCGAGTATCTAACACGTGATTGACACCCCTGCCAATCATTTCCAAATTGTCAGTATCTGGGTGGCCTAATCCCCAACAGATGCAATATGAAGGGGCCAAATGACCGGTCAACCGTTTATGACCGGATGAAGTAAAATTCAATGATTCGGCAATGATCGAGTATGATTCAATGATCATACGAAGAAAGTAGACTTGAACAACATAAAGGTCGATGCTGAGATACCCCATTGACGTTGCCTAGATAAACTGCCATACATGACCGGCTACTATTGAATGGAAGATTATGAAGGACAACTAGTATCTTGTAGGACTGGTAACCACTCCGGTATCATTATTTTGATGTAGCTCGGCTATAGCGATCCAAAAGTCCAACGGTCCACTCGTTGAATTGTCTCGCCGAGAGAGGCAGCATCTGATTGCTATGCGTCAATGCAGCAGACAAGGCTTGGAAAATCATTGAAGGAAGTTCCAGCTCCTCTAGAGACAGAGGGGACGGTCTACCCATGTCACGATTCAGTATTGAATCAACATCCTCCGTTGTCTGATAAAACACTTTCATCGCTTGTTGTGCATTGACACTGTATCCTGAATTGGAGTTGGAATAGCGAAGATCTGGGTTGAAGACCCAAAGCTAATACTGAATTAGTAAGGTTGTCCACGCAATGGTGAGGAAATAGATGTACCAGAAGTCCACTCTTTTGTCCACAGTGGACTACGAATCTCCGTGCGCTTTCTCGCTCAATTAGTTCGAGTAATTGTGCTGCGACGATGATTTCGGCGGGGTGGCTTTGCCACTGCTCTTCGGAATCCTCGGGGCCGTTGGTATTTAGAGCCACGTTCGCCTTCAGCAGGCGCCATCCATTAGCAGTGGGATCCTCCATGCCGATGATTGCGTTGCAAGATACACAGTCCAATGTTCTTTGTTGAGCTGGCGTAGGATTTGATTTTGCTTCCTCTTCATTCCCCTATAGAACATGGCATGTCAGCAGGTGAAGCTGAAGAATACGTAGGAACAAGATTATTTTGCGTAATTATAATTGAATTTCAGATCAGTGCAATACATTGAAGGCTAGGCCTATCAGACATGGAAAAATTCTGGCCACATGGGATGTGCCTTTCCGTCTTCATGTCAATCCCACTTCTCTGGGAAAGGCAGCCCCAGACCGTCATTGGAGACTGAAAGGGTACGAAGAAGGTTCGAATTAGTTGGCAGCTAGAGCAAGCCCAAGGTAAGCGATGAAGAACGAGATCCATCTAACTGGAGAGGATGACTGAACCGCAAAGCTTTGACAAGGGTTGAACTGCTTACCTACCAACTCGAATCCGGAATAGCTGGGTATCGATATAGGGCAATAGTATCGAAGGCCACAACATTGAACGAAATGGTCTCCTTCTAAGTTGCCCAGATCAAGGGTATCATAGCAAATTAAAGAAAGACGGATTATAAAAATAGTGCAGGGGGTAACATTTACAGGCGGATCGATCTCACCTTTTTTAATCCCACGCAATCTGATTCTGCAAGCAAGAACGTAGCCACATCGATGAGAACATTTCCAGGAATGGCTTCAACGCGGCTACCAGCTCCGTATCCTTTTATCTGAGCATTCTGTTCCTCAATCTTAAGTGCCGCATTGGCTTCGGATTTGGGGTCATCCTCGTGGGGATCCGGCTTGTGGCAGTGCCAGAAGTCCATCATCTCGGCCCAGTTCCCACTTGGAAGATCCTTCCACGTCCACCCTGCAGTGTGATTCTGTCCCTCAATTGACAGATTCGGAGGGCCAGAAGCATCCAAGAAGTGGGTTCCACAAGTACGGCATCGAATGCGAGTCGATGTTGACATATCAGCCGCCGTCCAGGGTTCATGGTCATCGGTCAGTTCATCTTTCAACATTAGAGTCGGGTCAGTCGGGTCGATCTGCATTCTAAACGAGTAGTCATAGCTCGCGTCTGTGGGTTGTTTGGTTGGGGCCATGTTGGTATTCAATATCCGGCGAGAGGCATCGCTGACACGCGCCGGTAACTTGATCGTCTCCGTTACATTATGGAGAGGTTCTGGTAAAGAAACCGTGACTGCCTTGCGAGATTCCGAGAGCTGTATTTGTGGTCGAATCGCATGGAGAGCTGGTTTGCGAGGAATCGAGATGTAGAGGGTGATTTGACGAATGTTAGGGAGAAGTTCAGCGTGCAGATAGAGGGACACGTCTCCATCTGTCTGCAGTGATTCCTTGGACATGTCCACTGGCAAACCTAGAACCGTCAATTGCTGGACCATGCGGTTTGAGCAGGAGAAGGCAGTGGCCTCGCGCAAACGCGGTCCTCAACAAACAGCACAAATTCAATCACGTGGTTAGGCGTCATTTCAGATGTGGCTAGGCCACATTGGGTCATCAATTAGATTTGCGGACATAAAAAGCGGACAAAAGAAAGGGAGAAAAATCAACAAAAAAGAAGGCTGGACGAATCCAGTTCTGATGGTTCCAGAGGGGGTCGAACCCTCGACTTTGGCGTTATTAGCACCACACTCTAACCAACTGAGTTATGGAACCGTTGATGAAAGTGTGGCATTTTGTGCGTTAAGAGGGGCAACTGTGGATCTCGCTTGAGTCATCCCCACAAGCTTGGAACCTAACATCGATAGGACGAAAAGAAAAGTGCTCTGAGCCTCAGGATTAGTCAAAGGTCAAAGTTCAATCAAAATCCGGTAATGATTTAGGCAATTATATCTTCTGCTTCCGTGGACGAATTATCGTCTTCAGTTTGGCTGCATTTACTCCAGGAGTAACTACGGAGCTTTCGTTAGCCAAGTAGCTACGGGCTGGATTATATGTATCATAACGATGTCTTTTGCATGAGAGGCGCGTATCCAAAACCAATGATGTATATATACAAAAAGAAAAATAGAAGCGCAAACAAGGCATCGGCACAGTGCAATGTTGTTTTAAGCCGGCATAGTAACACATTAGTGGGTATAACCATGCTATTGAAAACAGAACAAGTCAGGCGCAATGGTAGTGAGTAGGAAATCTGCATTAGAGGGTCCGTTCGTTTGAGAGAAAAACACCAAGCATGAGAACCATTATTATCCGTCAAGAATGAAAATCTAGTCATCGTCGAAGATCTGGAAAGTGTTGTTGAGGATTGTCTCAATGACACGGACTTGCCAGCCAGCATCAGCAATGTTGCCACCCGAATTGGCGCCCATTAAGGTTGGTCTGCAGGCTTGATATCAGCGAGGGCTCAGAAATGTTAATTCAAGAGAACTTACCCAAAGCAGATAGCAATGTTGCCAGCATTCATGCGGTTTTGTGAAGAGTGTTCTTGAACCTTGTTGAGGTGCTATGAAAGTATTAGCATGAGCAATAAAACCAACACCAGTGGTTGGCTTACCAAAATAATAGCACGTAGAGTGGCGTAGTGAGCATCAGGCAAATTGTTGATAAGGGCATGCAATTTATCTCGGCGTTGAGTATCGTCATCGACGCCTGGAGTTTGAGTCAGCAACATGTTGGCTAAAGGCTTGACAGATTATGACTTACGCGCAGCCTCAATGAACTGGGTGTAGTATTGAGATGTGAACAGAGGATCAGGTAGATCCCGGAAGAACTGTTTCACAAGCCCAGCGACACTGTTAACATCATGATAGAAGTTTTCAGGGTTTGTAAGGTCAATCTGTGACGAATCTGTACGATAATCAGCACGAATTACCGCTGTTTGACTAGATCCAAGCGCTTACCATTGTCGAATAGTGCCTTCATGTGGTTAATATGATTGGCACTGCCAGATAGTCGATAGATACCCTCCAGATCGAGACCAAAAAGCTCAATGGCCTGGAAGCATTGATACACAATGAATGGCACCGCAGTTCCATCCCGAACATAAAGGTCATCCAAAGATAATCCGAATACGGGCTTCAGAGGAGGTAAACTGGTTTTATCCATCTGCGGCGCATGCATCATTGGCGCAGCGCCCATTGGAAGGGTTTCGTGAGATGTTGGCCCGGAGGGATAAGGAGGCTGCGCTGGCTGAGCTGGTGGAGCTGGCGGAGGCGCAGGAGATTCCCCTTGAGTTGGGTAAGGTGGCTGCTGGAATCGCTCAGTGCTCCCCAGTTGAGGACTGGGAGAAACGTTTGGCTGGGAGAATGCTGTGGGAATAGACGACTGGCGTTTGGCTTGAAGGCTCTGTTGCGAGGCTGCGGCAGGTCCACCACCAAGAGTCTAATTGATCATTAGCATGGGTCGAACAAGAGATCGGTTTTGGCAACATACAGGGTGACGCTGATATTGAACCTCTGGACCAGCAACGGCGCCAGGGTTTCCTTCATGGCTCAAAATAAAGTCATGCAAATCTCTCTGGTTGTCAACCTGGCGAACAACCTCTGCAAGGCTCTTGGGCGCAATTGACCCATTCATTTCTGTTTTAATGGGGCTCACACAAAGACCCTGGCCCAGCAGGAGCTTCTCGTTGAAAGTAGCTATGACGTGTTAGTAAAATCCCAATGGACGCGCCATTTGAAAAAGGAGAAGAAAAAAAAAAAAGAAAGGCACATACCAAACTTCTGCTGCTGTAGAGTCAATCCAGAGTCGCACTCCGCAATCAGCTGCTGGAGATTGTGCACGGCCTGAGGCCGGTGGGTAGCCACCAACTCCTGGCGAGCCGCCTGCGCTGCCTGAACCTTTGACGCATAATCCCCATCTGCATGCTGAACCTTTCGCAAAAGATCCTCTTCATGCTGTGCAGCAGATTTGTGGCCCTTCAAACCAAACTTGCCGCCCTGTTTGTCACCGGTGCGGACACGGTCATACTGTTCCGCCAAAGAGTCGTACTTGGCCTTTGCCTTCTCCGCTTGTGATTCTGCATCGGCGACCCGCTTCTCCGCAGCTAAACCCGTCTGCTTCCACTGCTTGCGGCCGCGTTCGATATTGGAGGATAGCTCTTGCAAATCATCGGACATCTGGTGGAGAGAAACGGAAAACTGCAATCCACATTCGGCCATGCGCTCGTGAAGTCGATGGATATCCTTGTAGCTGGAGCTGTATGTGCCTTGGCGATTATCGCTGCGGAGCGCGGCATCGTTCACGGCCTTGGCCAGCTTCCTTAACCCCTGAGCATGTTCATCCTCCAATGCGCCACGTTTCTTCAAGAAGGTGGAGAAATCCTGTCCAGATCTGTTAATATCGGCTCAGTCTTTATCAATTGACACGTTGGTGGGGCGTCACGAACTTTGGCGGAGGCTACACTCTGCTTCAATCGAGCCAGGAGGGTGGTGATACCGATCTGCATATGCGACATCCGTATTAGCAAGGGATTCCCGATGCGCTGTTTCCAATAGCCTGGGTGCCCAGTTCTCACCTCTGAGTAAATAACTTTGTCGAGGCGTGCCTTAAGCTCGTCGGAAATGACGGCAGGTGGCTGTTCGGGCGTTTCTTGGGCATGGCCGGACGAGCGACCGGCGCTGCTCGGGGGCGCATCGCCCAGGGTGGGCAAGGCGGTCGGTTCTGGGAGGGCCGAGTCGGACATCATCCAAGGGTGTTGATCGAGTCCCAAGCAAAGGGAGGAGAGGGGGTATTAAAAGGAGTGGAAAGCGACTATTATTATCGATGACACCTGAGTGGGCTTGGCGGTGGGGAGTGCGGTTAGATGGCGATCAATGAGGTCAGACCACAGGAATGCTGCCGCCTGCGACTGAACCCAAACTTCCGCCTGCGTTTAGTTTAGTCCCAGGTACAACTCCGCCACAATCGAATCCACCAGTTCATCGTTGCTAAGTGGAATGGGTTTTATTTGGAACTGGTACGTTGGGATTGCGTTGCCCTCCCGGTCGTACAAATTTCTTCTGAACCTTGAAACCTGAAACATGCACGTCCGTCCTTCGTCGTATGTCGTATCAAGTCGATAGAATTCATGGGGTAAATGGATCATCACAAAACTTCTTAATCTCAAGTCATAATTCTACGTCCAATGTTTCAATTTTACACACACAGGCCTTGAAACCTGTCCATTATCCTCAAGTAATTGTTGAGAATATTTCCTCTGCACCTTGTGTTACTGAGCCTGATTTTTCTCTGGTCCATAGGCGAACTATGAACCTTGGAATTCTGGTAAATCGAGTAGAACTACAGTCCCAAGCCCTAATTTATGAGAATTTATGCGTATTAATAATCCTACAAAGCACCCCAGAGCGATCTGGAGAAGATCGGACAGCCTCATCCAATGCAGACCCACATGCCACGGCCCGAGGTTGAAAGTGTTCTCCGCTACGCACTTAAAGTCCCGCCCATTCTTTCTCGATTACCTTGTCTGAATCTATTACTACTGGTCCATTGTAACGATATCTGAATCAAGGTTACTGGTCTGTCCTGGTGTTTCTGGCAGCCTCCTGATTATTCCAGTCATCCCGAGATCCCATCATGTCTGGAGAACTCAACGTCGCAGCAGTGCTTCACCCGAAGCCTGAGAAATTCCAAGAGGTTAGTTCTTGAGCGTCTCTTTTTCTAATTTTATCTTTTTCCCCCTTCAAATATTCCAGCAATGAGATTCTCATTTGCCACCATGGATAGGTTGCTGCCCTCGTCACCGAGGTGGTCAAGAAGGTCAAAGAGCACGAAGCGGATACCTTGCTCTACTATGCTTTTTCCGTCCAAGAGAAGAATGAGATTGTGATCATTGAAAGGTGAGACGACCCATGGTAGCCCGCATCTGGACATTTTCGTGACTAACCCTGAACCACCACAATTCTCTAGATATAAGAATCAAGACGCCGTCCGGGCTCATGTGCAAGCCCCTTATTTCAAAGAGTTCGCGTCCAAGATCCCCGACTTGTCAGCGAAGCCCTGGGAGTTGCGAGCGGGAACATTCTTGGGAGGCGAGCGGGGAGTGTCGCGGCTGTAATCTTAGAGGCTGTCAGTCTGGATATAAATAGCGAGTTCCCTGTCCATTCCTGTAATCTTAGCGTCGTTCCAGCCGCCAGGTTTCGCCCGTGATCTGAATCCTATGCGATTGGTGCATGATGGCGGGAAATAGGAGACTGTGGAGAGAGCAATACGAATGATGAATTTGATGTTATTCTAGAGATAGGAAGATCGAATCCACCTGAAAGCTGAAAGGCGAGACTGGTGAAATATAAATCAGATATAAAAGAAATGCGAGCGTTGCTCGATCAAGTAACTCAATATTTAATGTGGAGACCTGAACCATCCAAAGTGTTTGGAACATCTGTAGCATCCTGGGCTTAGCTGAATCCATCATTTTCATCTGTGCTTTCTTTCTTTCTTTCCTCTTATATATTACTCCACATCGTTTGGGTCTTTCTAGGTAAGCTCCTCTGTCCGCCCCTCATTCTTTCGCGACTCTGGTGGTCTCCACACCCTTTTCTCCCCCTCTTTCCCCTAGCTTCAACGTCGGCTCATCCCCTGAAGCTCCTTAGAAAACCAACCAGATCCCACATTTGGGGTACTCGCTTTCTACGACCCGCGCCCTTATCGTTCTCCTCTTCCGTGTACATACTTTCACCATGGCGACGGGCCCGGCTACTCAATCGCTGAAGGTGAGCCCTCGAATCATGGATCTTCCCACTGGCACAGACAACTAATTGGAGAACAGTGCGTGGTGACTGGTGACGGTGCCGTCGGTAAAGTCAGTATCCCCAAATCTGCAGGCCCCTTCAGCTCCAGTCGCGATGGAAAGATTGACAGGATGGTTCGACCAATTTTAGACATGTCTTCTGATCTCGTACACAACGAATGCGTTCCCCGGAGAGTACATCCCGACCGTGTACGTCCTCCCCCTTGGCTCCGATCCTGCAACGTGCAATAGAAGTGCTGACACCAGCTATACAGGTTTGACAACTACACCGCCAGCGTGATGGTCGACGGCCGGCCGATCAGCTTGGGACTGTGGGATACCGCCGGACAAGAAGATTACGACCGCCTCAGACCGCTATCGTACCCCCAAACCGACGTTTTCTTGATCTGTTTCTCCATTGTCAGCCCTCCGTCCTTCGATAACGTGAAAGCCAAGGTAAGAAAGCCGCACCCAGGGCGCCTGAAAAAGGGCGAAGCTCCTCACTCTCCCCTCTCTGCTTCCCCACGACTGACATCGTGATCGCAATTCTCCAGTGGTACCCCGAGATCGATCACCATGCCCCCAACGTTCCCATCATCCTTGTCGGCACTAAGCTCGACTTGAGAGACGATCGCGCGACCGCTGAAGCCCTTCGAGCCCGCAAGATGGAGCCCGTCTCGTACGAGCAGGCCTTGACCGTGGCCAAGGAGATTCGCGCACATAAGTACCTGGAGTGCTCTGCGCTTACGCAGCGTAACTTGAAGAGCGTGTTCGACGAAGCTATCCGGTATGTGAATAATATTCAATTTTCGGCCCTGAATTCCGCAAGAAGCTCATCATATCATACAGTGCCGTTCTCAACCCGCGCCCTCTCACTAAATCTGGGCGCAAGAACAAATGCAAGATCTTGTAAAGATGTTATGCATGGCCGTTTCCCTCTTTTCACGTATGCTATAATGAGTAATATATAGTTAATACGGCGTCCGGATAGCCTGAGGCTTTCGTGAAGGTCTCTTTTTGATGAATCCATTGAATCGTTTTCTTTTTTTTCCCCCATTTCTTCCCTAATGGGGGCTACCACGTTCTTTTTGGCGATACCATCGTTCGTTTGGATCTATAGATAGGCATTTTGAGTGATTTTTTGGTTCGATCCCATGTTCTTGTAAATCTAAGGATATTCATGGATGTAGCCATGACGCCAATTTGAAATATAGGGTTCCTCTTGGTTAGCTCTGGAGTAATACTGCTAATACTGCAGGACCTGAAGCAAATGGAAAGGAAATGTTCATTGCATTCTACTATGCACAGAAGACGGAAATTGGTATCGTCTAAGGAAACATGAAAAAAAACATAGCAAGGCTTTTTAGACCTCGTCCCAGGATGTACAACAAAAGAAAAGGGACTCGGAAAAGAGTATCAAACAATGCAATGGACAGTCAGCTACCCAATTCGTAGCTTTGATATAGTCCATAAACACCATTTACCACAACTGACCCCGGCGACTGGGGTGCACACCGGCATATTTATCTTCATCAGCAGCAGGAGCAGGAGCAGCATCGCCAGCACCAACCGCGTTGGCACCAGTGGCACCCTTGCGAGCAGATCGCTTGTCATGATCGTGCTTATTCTGGACCTTCTTGGCTTCCTGTGCCTTGCGCTGGCGCTCGTCGTTGAGCTTCTCATTCTTGGCCTGGATCTTTGCCTTGCGGTGATCGGACTTAGCACCGCCGCCGCCAGCACTATATCGTAAAATCTGGTTAATATCTGATCGGACAAATTGTAGCTGCGAGCATCCATGCGGCGCGCAACATGTAGCTCATCTACATTAGGAATTAAACTCACGTCAACTCAACATTGATGCGACGAGGCGGGTACTTTCCATCGTCGAAGGTGGAATGGTGGTATAGCTGGAGACAGGTCTTCATGCGGTCGTAGTTGTCAAACTCGATGAACGCAAATCCACGGCTTCGGTTCTTGGGGTCATCCTTGTTGGTGGCGACACGCACGCTGGCGGGAGGGTTCTTCTCGAAGTGTTTTGTGACAGACTCAGTGTTTGCGGAGAAAGGAAGGTTGCCTGTGAATTGTGGACTTGATCAGCTGCAAATTCTTATCCGGGTGCCCGGTGATTTGGCGGGCACTTACCGACAAAGCAGATAAATCGGGAATTCTTTTCTTGTGAAGCTTCCTCGGTCTTCTCGGTCTTCTGAGGCTGCTCTTCAGCATTGGCACTGGTATCGTCCTCGGCAGTCTCCTTCTTGGCTTTTTTCTCCTTCTTGTCCTTCTTCTCTTTCTTTTCCTTCTTTTCCTTCTTCTCCTCCTTCTTCTCCTCGTCGCTCTTCTCCTCCTCCTTGTCGCTCTTCTCCTTCTTCTCTTTCTTGTCCTTCTTCTCCTTCTTTTCTTTCTTTTCCTTCTTCTCCTTCTTTTCCTTCTTCTCTTTCTTCTCATCCTTCTCATCAACATCCATAGTATCGGCAGACTCAGCTTCAGCCTCGGCAAGCTTGCGCTTCTTTTCCTTCCGTTCCTTCTTTTCCTTCTTCTCCTTCTTCGCCTGCTTTTCTTGGACGTCGTTCACCTCCTCCACATTGTCGGTAGCCTTGCGCTTCTTGTCACCCATTTTCGAGAGATTTGAGATATAAAAGGTGTAATTGAGGAATAAGATAAAAAGAAAACCGATGTCGCAACGCTCAAAAAAATTGGGCGGAGACGGAAGAGAAAATCATTTCTGCCGGCGATCAAAAGGGCGGTGAGCAGATAACAACCTAATTGGGTAATCTGCTCGAACTATGATTGTCAAACTTTCAAACGCGTACAGTATGCTCCTCGATTACTTTGTTATAGTGGGATGTTCATTTGTTATGAGCCCTGGACTCAGTGTTCGTAATATATAATATAGATCTATACTTTTTAGCGCCCGCCAGATGGAAATACATGAAAATATTGAAATCAAAAGATCAAGATCTGCGTCTTGTTCTTCTTCGCCGCATACCGCTCACGCAGCTCGGGTCGAGTAAGCAACTTCAGCAGGGGGAAATGTGTGTCCTTCATGTCAAATATTCCGCGCTGCTTTTGGTCAATGTGCGATCCATCAATGACAATGCGTTGAAGCTCATTCAATTTCAAATCGCCTATGCAACCACAATTAGTAACAGTCTTGGGACCATTCATGATTGCGGGTAACTTACCAGACTCGACCAAGTCAGACACCCGGGTCGGCGTTCCGATGCCAATACCCATCCTAGAGATTCGTCAGCTAAACATGTAATACAATGAGGTACGTGGACATATTGAGGGAAATCATACTGCGCACGCTGGAGGAACTGCTTCGCTTCATCCAGCTTGATATGCTTCGCGAACAATTTGCCAACAATAGATTCTTTGTTTTGGAAGGGTCGAAGAGCCCTGCACGCCATGTTGTTAGCATCGGTGCTAATTTGTGTGAAGTAGACTTCGTCTTTATCTTACCTGACGATGTCTGCTGCTCGAAGGCCAGCGCCCGTGATCACAAGTGTATGGGGAGTACCCTTCTGCTCCGATGACTTTGACAAGTCAGAGCCCTTGGGGCTAAATGTCTTGAGGAACTCAGGGAGCTTCTCTAGGGTTCTGGGCTCGGTGTAGGCGCTAGTATCGAGGAATGTAGAATCTGCGAATTGTCAGTATTTTCCATCGTACCACGACTAAAATAGCAGTACATACCCGAGACGGAAAGGTCATTCAGTTCAACGGCAGACAGTTCCTTGTCCAGCTTCTGTGCTCTCTGGGCAAAGTAATCAGCCAGCAGCTTCCCATCCATCCTCCCAATGGACTCGTCGATGCCGTTCTTGCGATCCTGCGCATTCGCATCCTCCTGGGGCTGCTTCTTCTTTCCCTTGCGCTTCTTCTTGCTCGGACCATCTGCCGAGGCAGCCGGAGCTGCTGCAGGCGCTGTGTCGGGCTTGTCTTGCTTAGCGTCGTCTGCTTGCCTCTTGCGCTTCTTGTCCAGCTTGGCGGAAAGCCCTTTTGGTGCGGGAGCTTCAGTCATTTTGGCTTATTATTACAGAACCCCTGTAATTGAGACTGCACAAGAATTGGAAATCGTGGTGATATCAAGTTTAACCGTCGCAAAAAAAAGTCCGCTCGAAAATCCGCAGCTAAGTCAGCGGGCCTTATCGATAAGAAACACGGTCAACCAATTAAACGCGGGCCCGCATTGTTATGGCCGACGCGCATCAAACACTTCAGATCTTGTTCCTCTCTGTTCATTGTAATCTATGTTAATCCCACCATTCTACTCGTTGATTTGGGCCTCCTGGGTTTTATGGCTTGATTGATATCCTCGTTTAAATCACGGAGATGTCGACCCCGAATCCTCGTGGCCGTCGGTCATTGCGCAATTCGGGTGCTGGGACTCATACCCCGTCTGGAGATACTAAAGTGACTGGGGTAATTAAAGCTGTCATTAACAAAGATTGAAAACCATTTAGCTGACTTTTCTTAGCTGCAGCGACTTCCGAGCCATACACGATACCCACTCACACCCAGCCGCCTTGTCACTACAGCTACTCCATCCGCCCAAAGATCTGCATCTCGATTTACCCCCCGGGCGCGGGTCACAGGGGCTCCAGCAACACCGTATGGACTTCGCGCACGGCAGCAACGTGCTACGAATACTCCTGGTCGTGACCGCCGACGAAGTGGCAAGATGCAGCGTGAGACCACGTTTGATATCCTAAGGAATCTGGGCAGAGCGCTGGCGCCGGTCTCTCGCCCAATTCAATCATCGCCACAAGAAGAACCCCAACCCGTTGAAGAGCTCAAGGATGAAATTGAAGAGCTTGACAATGAGCCGGTGATTGAGCCGCCACGGCTTTCTTTGCCTATTCAGGAGAGCGAGGACGGGAGCGAGGAAGCGGGCTCCGAGACGCCGCCACCTCGCATGTCTTTAGCTTTTGATGATGATGATATCACATATCGATCTGTGGAATACCCTCGAGACCTTGCCATTCGAGACCGGGAACGACTTTCTATGATGCCTGGTGCTGGGAGGCCTAGTGAAAATTTCGGGGGTATACAGCTGGAAAGTGACTCTGATGACGGAGATCGTACGGGTATCGTGGGTGATTATGATGGCCACGAGGATACGATGGTTAGTGGGGGCGATTTTGAGCAAGGGTAAGTCTAGTGGGGAATTGGTATTGTCTTATGGTACAGTATAGGCTAATATGAAAAACAGTGGAGAGACGGAGGATCTCGGTCGGTTCCATTTTGACCTCGACTTTCCATCTCCGCCTCCAGCGGCAATCGATGACCCAGATGATGAGCATTTAGGCGACATGGACGGATTCGAGCTGTCTGCACCAGACATTCAGCCCATTGCCCGCTCACTTTCATCAGATGATGATGCTGGTGGTGATTTTATGGGCTTTGACGGCTTCGATGTTGCACAGCCTGCTTCCAGAAGCCAGAGCCCCGGTATGATTGGGGGCGGCTTGCGAGACGAGGGACTGCCAGTGCAAAGCAAGGAAAAGAAGCTTTCTCGATATGGAATTCCTGTTCCCAACTTACCTACTGGTGTAGTCAAGAAGCTAGCGACACGTTTTGCGCGCACAAAGGCCGGATCAAAAACCAGACTCGACAAAGCTGCAATGGCTGCCATAGAGCAGGCGTCTTCATGGTTCTTCGAGCAGGCGAGTACAGACTTGGCGGGATATTCCAAGCATGCGGGACGAAAAACAATTGACGAAAGCGACGTCACAATGCTCATGAGAAGGTCAGCTATGCTAGATAAACACCCAGCCTATAAACAATTTTGCTGACTCTAGCCCAGACAACGCCATATCAACAACTCGACAACCATGTTTTCTTTGGCGCAAAAGTATTTGCCCAAGGAGCTTCAGCAGGATATGAGGCTAGCTATGCCTCCGTGAATGTCTTGCGCCAATCAGAAATCTATAAAAAAGAACTCCAAACACCGATGGGAAATGCGTCAAATATGGAACACCCCGACCAAGCCAACTACCAGCTCTTGTTCTGGCGAACTCGGCGCAAGGCCTCGTTGGGCTTTCTCCGGATAAGCATCCACATCATAATGGATGTCGCCAAAGACAGGCCATACCTGGAAATCAATAAGCAATACGCTCAAGGAACTCAAGGGTTCTAACGTATAGGATATGTACTTACCATGTGAAGATGTACTGGGCGTGATTGTTTCTCAAATTGACTTCCGCGGCGCGGCCGATAGGCATACCCTTCGCCAGGCGGTCATACGACTCAAGAAGATCAGGCACTGCGAAGTAGTCAGTGTCTGGGCTCATTTCATCAGTCTGCAGTTGCAATATCATACCCATAGTGCTCTCAATCCACACGGGCTGGCTCCCACTTAGCTCAGCCATCTGCTCGATGTCTGGGAAATAGAACTTCCCCTCCAGAGGCTTGTTATCTGGCGTAAACATATTCTTTTTCCACGGCTCTCGTAGCAATCCCTCTACCGTAACCTCACCCTCCGGTAGACCGTCGGGTCGATCCTTCTGATCAGCCATCTTCCTAGAAATCCAGCCTCGGTTCACGAGAACTGTGCTCTGGCCGTCTGCACGCTCGAGGGGAGTCACAACCATGAACCCATCCTCTCCTTCTAACATGCGAGGTCCAATAAGCATCTCCTTGTCATGTAGGAAATGACCTGTGGCATACACGCGACGGTAATCGAATTCGGCAATGGCTTCTGGATCGATGCGCGGCGGGAGGGGGAGCGGAGGTCTAACTAGGCGATCCTCGAATTTGGCAACCATCTTGGTTTTCTCGTCCAATCGCTTAACTTGCCACGTTCCAAGGCCGAAGGCGATGATCGGGATCAATGCTATGCGCAAAATGTTTGTCAGATATGGTATTGTCGGAGAATTTCCAACTGTAGGAAGTCACGCAACATACCAAGAATGATGAGTCCCGGTCCATGTTTCTGATTAACCCTCACAAGTTTTGCGGGGTTATCAACATCCAAGAGACCCTGGGTGAGCTCTCGAGTTTTCGTGAACTGGCGCCTTTGTTGCGGGCGACATCTAGTGCAGATCGAGTCCAGCTTTGAAGTCGCGTTGGTGGTTCGGACCACTCGGGTGGGCAAAGTCCACGCCGTGGGGGCAGTTCTTTGCAGGAACGAAAAAATGGGCCGCATATTGAGCAGCAACAAAAAAGAAGCTGTTCAATCGGTCGAAAGTGCAATGAATGATCGTTGATCGGGGGTACGAGACTCTATCCGGATTTTGGTTCGGAGATTCTAGGCGGTCACGCTGTGGCTTCCGCTTGTTGCTCTCCGCATCTCCACAGCTGTCTACTTGCTTAGCACTTCTCGAATTGACAGATTATTCCTTCTTGGTATGCGATAATGACCAGTTTCTACGAAGGCAGTCTTCAAGACGGCATTGCCCTTGCCCTGAGGGAAACCAAGGCCGTTGTTTGCTTCGTCCGAGGTCAGTGATAGTGATTCCCCGCATGCAAGAGCCAGCCACCTAATCGCGGTGCATGTGCAGACGAGAACCAGACGAGCTCGACGTGGGAAGAAGAGTATTTTGCTGGTGAAGAGGTAAAGTTTATTGCATCACGCAGAATTGTTCCCCAGGCCTGGGTTGTTAATCATTCTTCTAGATTGCCCAAATCCTTGACGCCGGAGCAGTTCTATTACGTATTACCGCCGGATCTCAGGAAGCTGGCTTTTTGACGTCGCTATGCCCTATCGCCAAATTCCCGACGGTTATCGTTATCAAGTATGTCAAATTGCTTGCCTCTTGGCATTATATGGTCCTGGCTAATTGGTTGGGATGGAAGCAATGGTACATTAAAGGAGTACCTTGTGCCTGATATCTCAAAGGATATCTTTCAGAGCCGGCTTGGGGTAGCTGTGAAGGGCCAAACTCCTTCAGAGCCTGTTCAACAATCACAGAGCAGCTCTCCTGCTGTATCGCCTGTTCCAAATATCACGCCGGCACAATACCCAACACCACAGACCGTCCGTGAGGCTTCCTCTTCAGCCCAGCCGAAACCCCGTCAGGACACCAGTACTGCGGAAAGTGCCACAAGAAATGCGCAATCCAAGAAGCCAGTACCAGCAAAGCCCCAACCACCGAAAGTGGAGCAGAAGAAACCGGTCGCCCAACCAAAAAAGGAACCCCTAAAGCCGAAGCAGACTATTCCCAGCAAGAAAGCTACACCCTCTAGCGAAGAGCGCAAGCCACAGCCACCGGTGCCCCGTGGGCCCCCCACCCAGTATCGACTACAAGTGCGACTATTCGATGGAAGTTCTGTCCGGTCCAGCTTTACACCGACACAGACGATTCGCAGCGATGTGCGCCCTTGGCTGGATGGCCAAATGGGCACTGAACAGCGTCCGTACAATCTTAAGCATATCTTGACTCCTCTTCCGAGTCGAACGCTCTCAGTTTCTGAGGAAACCCAGTCACTTCAGGACTTGGGGCTGGGGTCAACCGCCAACTTGGTCATGGTTCCCGTTGCATCATACACAGATGCATATTCCACTGCAGGATCTAGCTTGCCTGTTCGTGGCATTTCGGCTGTCTACAACGCTGTTTCATCGGTTGCAAGCACAGCTACAGGACTAGTGGGGTCATTGATTGGGTATGGGCCGACTGCACCAGCTGCAACTGGGAGTGGATCATCGTCTGCATCTACATCTGCATCCTCGGAGAACACTCAACGACCACGCAATACGGGATTGAACATTCGGACGCTCGGAGATCAACAAAATGATCGTAAGGACAGCCAATTTTATAATGGAAACCAAGTACGTTATCTTGATTGCCCTGCGCATTCCGACGCTAATCATTTGAAAGTTGAATTTTGAGCCACGGGATCAGGACAGGAAGGACAACTGATCAATTTCGATGGTCGGCTACTCTCCAGCCGAGCAAGCCATGATTATCTTCACGGGCGTTCACGGATTGCATATGATTACTTATTCGAACCATTGCATCTTGATGAAATTAGGTTCTACCAAGTTGTTTATATTGGGCAACAATGGCTGTAGCACAGCTTCGTAGCCGCTTTTTCGGTACCAAATATTGTTAATCGGAAACCCTACCTTCTACATTAAATTAAGAATTGAATCTGTTGGATATTGGTTTGTCTCTTGAACAGCCACGAGTGGACATATCTGCCATCAGCTCAAGGCTAAGAGATCAAGTCTTGATTTGGTATAAACTCGAGAAGAGATGGTATAGTGTACAAAAGCGCGATGCCAGAGTCGCGATGCAGAATGATTACATCCAGTAAGGGGATTCAGATGAGAAAATTGCATTAAAAAGACCGTCTATTCATTTCCGTCAGGAAACGCTTAGTACGGCTTAGCAGCAGCCTGGCAAGCCTTCTATAAGATTGTTAGCAGCATGTTCATAATGTGTCTAGTCCCAGACAAACAGATGCGGGAAGGATTGGGATAGAAACGTACCAGCTGGTCCATGTACCAACCACAGATGCTGATGTTGCCGTTGTTCTCATCCATGCAGTTGCGGAAGTCACGAACGTTAGCCTCACAGGCAGGGTTCTCCCAGGACTGGTTGGTAGCGCTGCTCTGCCAGAGACCGCTGTCCATGCCCTGCGACTGAGCAGGAGGGGGCGCCTGCTGAGCCTCAGCGGGGGCGCTGGAGCCACCACCGCCAAAGAAGCCACCGATAGCGTGGCCAATGGAGGAACCGACTGCGACACCACTATAACCCAAGAGCAAGTATGTTAGCGATGTTTTTCCGGAGGTAAAAAAAGAGATATGTAGTCCGGGATTTACCCGAGGTTGAAGCCGGAGAAGAAAAAAAAAATATCAAAACAGCTGGGTCGGTTTAGGGGCTGTGCACTTACGCAGCGGTGGAAGCCATCTGGCCGAAAAGACCGGGACCGGCGCTCTGCTGAGGAGCAGCCTGCATGGGAGGAGCGTGCTGCTGGGGAGCCGCGGCGGTCGAGTGAGGCGCCTGCTGCTGAGCAGAGGGGGCCGGACGGGCAGGAGCAGCCGTAGGGCGAGAAGGAGCGCTGCGCGCGGGGGTGGGAGCGGCACGGCGTTGTTGGCGAGGCATTGTGATGTGTGTGGGTAGTAACGGGTTTACTGAGACTCGGTAGTTGTCAAGAAAGAAGAGTAGATATAAGGATTCCAAGTGGAGACTGGAAGAAGCTAGAAGCTGAGTCAGTCGGTGAACAGGCAAACTCCGATGCAAATTCTATGCAATGTGATTGGTTTGGATGGGTTATATAAGCTGTATGTTCATCACGTGGACCAGGACATTGCGGGCGTTAACGGGATTTCTACTACGAAGTACACTAAAGCGGTCGCGGTTCAATAGGCTTGTTGGGTATCTAAATCATGATATACAAATTTTGAAAAGACACGAAGATAGTAGTAATGATAAAGCCTCATGCATGAACTGCAAACCCCAAGAACCCAGGTATAGCTCATTGGCGAAAACAATAAAAACGTTGAAGTTTGAGGATCGGCCTTGCAGACAGTGGCGACAATATGCATATCATGCCTTTTGGGCCTTACGTGTCTTCTCCTTCTTCTTTCGTCGCTCTCTTTTCTCGTCGTTGCGCTCAGCTTTGTTGAGCTTCCGTGCCTTCTTGCTTTTGGCCTTGATTTTCTCTTCCTTCTTCTTTTGCTTCTGTACTTTCTCTTTGTCCGATCCACTTGGTTGAGCGTCGGTATTTGTCTCTTCATCGGAATCGAGGTCTGAGTCGGCCGTGGACTGTGCGGTGGATGGCGCAGCACTGGATGCGCCGTCGTTTTGAGCCGAGGGGTTCTGCGCTTCAGCAGCCATCTTTTTTGGCTATCATGGCAGCTTTGAAAGAAGCGCGCGCCCTCTCCTTGGCCTCTCTCTCTGCCCGCTCCAGATCGTATTTCTCGTTGCCAGCCTGAATATTATTAGTTGCAAGTCTTCATGCCATAGTATGATTGTAACTCACAAGGCCATGCTTGACAAATCTATTTGCAGCCCCCTTATCAAGTGTCATTTTTCGCTGCTCGGGTTCAGTTTCTAGGGCCTTGATCTTCGCAAAGTATTGTTTCACTCGAGTGAGTTCCCGGTACACTGGATGTTGTGTAGCGTTGACGCCATATAGTCGTAAATAGGCTAAAGATGCATTAGCATAAATCAACGGAGTAGCTTCTTGATAAAACATACAAAAAAGTAAAGACTCGAGTGTGTAGGTGACGAAAACGTGAAGTTTAGCTTTGTCCATCACAGGCAAATTTTTAGAGGTCTTGGACAGGGATTGACCCAAGAGTGGTTCGAGAGCCTCCTCCAAATCATCCACATGGTCATCCAACTGCTCAAGCAGCGGCAATAAACTTGCTGAATCCATGGTGTGAGTGGGTGTACGCAATAAAAGTGGAATTGGCGACAAGAAAAATTAAGGCCGGTGCAACTGAGGCGGTAGTTGCGGGCGGTGGAGCTTCGCGGCCTGGATCGTTTCGCGCATCACTTTTCTGCATGTCTAGCGCGCGACCTTTTTTTTTCTCATTTACGCGAGTACGTTTTGTGGCGGGAGAGTGCAAAAAATGATTGATATCGTGCTTCGAATTCGGGCATAAATTGCAATCGAACCGCTTCACTGTATCTGACGCCGAATTCCTTCTCAACAACCCATCTCCGAACCTCCGGCACCTACTCGGGGTTCCCCGACACACCTTCACAGTGTTTTCATTATTTGTCCGCCGCCCGCTATGGCGGAGTGGGCTTTTCGACCTATGTTATCAATCTCGCTCACGGATAAGTGAAAGACCGATGGTCAGATATGCATCGACGTGGATGAACGACGTGGAAGACGTGTCCCGCGAGACTACAAATGCCCCATTGTCCGGGCGAGTACATATTCTCGGTCTTGGAAATGTAGGCTGCTTTATTGCGCATGCTCTGGCCTCCAGAAAATCCCGGCCGCCAGTAACATTGCTTTTGCACAATTGGTCTGTCTATCAGGGTTTCCGCCGCAAGAAGAAGAGCATATCTCTCCAGTATAACGGATTGGATGACATCAAGACTGGGTTCGATGTTGAAGTGTTATCTGATGGCGTATGGCAGGAAGTATTGAAGGACGAGAGCAAGGAAAAGCTCGAGTCCGACATTCCCCTCGATCAAGTCGAGGATATATCGACCGATGTGAACCATGAGCACATTGAGTGTTTGATCGTTACTTCAAAGGCCAGTGTTGCCAAAACGGCTATCAAGTCTGTCAAGCATCGTTTGACAAAAGAATCAACTATCGTCCTCGTGCAAAATGGCATGGGAGTTGTTGAGATGCTCAATCATTCGCTATTTCCGAATCCAGAAGATCGTCCGACCTATGTACAGGGCGTCGTCAGTCACGGTCTGACTAGGATCGACAAGTTCCATGTTGCCCATCTTGGTGTCGGTACCATGGTCTTCGCGCCAACTATCTCGGAGAAAACTCCAGCGCTTCTGGCCGAGGATGATACTCATTGGGCTCCCACCACAAAATACATTTTACGCCTTTTGGCCCTTACTCCATCTTTGGTTGCTACAATCGACACGCCTGCTGCATTACTCCAATATCAACTCGAGAAGCTGGCAGTGAACTGTCTCATCAACCCCCTGACCGCGCTGAATGATTGTACGAACGGCGAGTTACTCTACATCTTCAATATTACCCGAATCATGCGCCTGCTTCTCTTTGAAATCTCGAGCGTGATCTACGCTCTTCCTGAGCTTCAAGGGGTCCCGGGAATCGAGGAGCGTTTCTCTCCTGAGCGGCTGCGCCGGATCACATTGGCTATGGCCAATAATACCTCAAAGAACACCAGCTCAATGCTTCACGATTTGAGAGCAGGGTCTGAGACCGAAATTGAGCACATGAATGGCTGGGTTGTGCAACGTGGAGAGGAGTTGGGCATCAAGTGCGCATTAAACTACATGATCAGACTGTTGGTCAAATCTAAGGCGATTATCCATGAACGCAGAAGCAATGCTTCTATCCCACTTGCTCTTGACGGCGTCCCTACGGTCGATGAATTTGCCGATCAAATTACGACCACCAAGGCAAAATGATCAATTCACATGAGGATGCTACCTTAGTCGGCATTATATTCGCACAAGCAGCACCCGCACGGAGACTTCTATGTTCATAAAGTGCTTTGATCAATCATCTAACCTGACCGCTGAAGCGCGTTCACAGATGTCCTTGATCTGTTCCCAACGGCGCAGCAACGTCTCTGCCTTTTGGCGGTGTATTTGAACTACCGCATTAGACTCAAGAGCTACCTTTATTGCGCTCATTGTTGCATCCGCCTCCTTAGCATATGTGTGCAGCCAACCCTTGATGATGGTCTCCGTCTTTTGGACATCCACATTATCAGTCGAACCCTCGAGGACATGGTTCCTCCAATCTTCCTCTTTCATGTACATTAGACACGCTGCAACCTCGGTGCGGTAACAAACCCCATATGGGGTGACTTGATATTCACTGTCAAATATTAGCGAACGGAAATTTGTATGTTAAAAACGATTAATTGGAGAACAAACCCATAATATTGGTTCAACCATAGCTCCTCCTGCTTGTCCGGGTTGTCAATGTCACGGAAGACAATGTCATCGAGGTAGATACAATCTGATTCGTTCTTCTCAAGGAAGAAGCCATCTTGAAGAAAATCAGTTTGGTAGACATATAAATAAGGGTATCAGAACAATACTCACATTCAGCCAAGAGGAAATCATTCGGATGACTTCCATAACTCATGTAGACTTCATCGCCCTTCTCATAATCCTCCGTAGCTCGAAGGGTATATTCTTTCTCATCAAATTTGACATCGCACTGCATCGTAATTGAAAGTGTCAGACCAAACAACCCATCATCCCCAAGAGTTACATACCTCGACATCCGAATGATTAAAATAATCTGCAAAAGGTAACAAAGCCATCGCATCATTCCGATTCTCCGGGGGTTCCTGATCAGGCCCAACCCAATAGAAACTTCTCGTGTTAAGAATGAGCCAGTGGTAAGAAAAGCTTCGCCAGTCAGTCTCCGGAAGAACTGAAGTGACATCTGTCCACGCCTTGCGTAGCCGTATTTCCTGCTGTGGCTCCAGGTCCTGGTGCTCTGTTTCATAATTCTTCGTTCGCAGCCCTTTCTCGATAGAGTTCCACCGACCGGCAATACAAGGGGGAAGCAAATTGGGAATTGAAACGGACTCGGTTGTGACATCACTGTCTGGCCAGGTAAGACCGCCTAGTTCCCTTGGCCAGAGCAAGGGCAAGCTATCTTCAAAATCTTGACGGGTGGGCCAGGCTTTGAACCACAGCTGGTACTTTTCAAGCTCCTCTTCGCTACCGTGAGTCAAGAATGCAGCCATGATTGATTGCACGGCTGTGCCTTCAGGAAACTGGGACCTGAATGGCTCAGGAATTTGGTCCACTGTGAAGATTACGTCGGTAGGTACTTGTACCACAGCTTCACCTTTCTATATACAGAGGCTTGGTCAGTATTCTGTGCACTTCCAATTGGGTTGCTGCATCCTACCTTGATTTTGCGCGTAGCCATCATTCCTAAACCGCGTCCTGGGAAACGCGCCGGGGTGACTGCATCGGTGACTACACCTTGAGACAGAGCCCATTCGGTGAAGGCTTCATGATTGGCACCAGGCAGATAGTTGGGATCCATTTTCAAAGCTTCAGCGGAGAGCACTTGTTGAGAATTTCTGTAGATCTGGAATTTGTCAAAAAATATATAACCAGTACAAGGCTTACGGGGGAACAAACCAGACGTTCAATGGCAGACAAAAGAAATTATAGTGAGAAGATTCCCGAGGATCATCTCAGAGAACTAGCAACCACAAAGCTTCAACATCAATATTCAATGGAGTGTGTCAAGGTAAGTGCCGTGCAGATCAGATCCAATGAGGGCTGTGGAGTAATGTTTTTATCGATAACCCGCTTATCGGCCATATAGGGCAGCCGATAGGGACCTGATGCGCCGTATTCCCGATTGTCGTACGATCATCTCGAGTTCACCTTCTCAAATCTGGTGATCTCTAGCTTCCAAGGATTGAAATTCACCATGTCGGTGTTTGGAAAGCGTGGAGCTTTTGAGCTTCGAAATCTGGCCGTTCCGGGTCACAAGCTTTCCACATGCGCATTGCGCCCTTTCTCCGTTCTCAACCGCCCGCCGCCAAACTATCCCGGCCATGTCCCATTAACAACCATTGAGCGAGGTGCGCTGGCCGTGGGCTCAGCAATTGGGTCTCTGATCAATCCTCGCAGAGCAGGTATGTGCCTATGTTGTACTGAGACCGTTGGCTTCCAAGTCTTTCCAATTGAATTCCTATTCTATACTTCTATAAATCAACATAATCACTAACGTGTAGCTCTAGATCTAATCGCAGCTCTCGGCGAAGCAACTGCTACTCCGTACTTCATCTACCGTCTCAGAAATGCCATGCTTTCTGACCCAACAGGCCGCCGCATCCTACGCGACCGTCCCCGCATCACCTCCGACACTCTCCAACTTTCCTACCTCCGCACCCTTCCCGAGAACTCCGTTGGCCGAACATACGCCACATGGCTTGATCGCGAAGGTGTGTCACCAGACACTCGGGATCAAGTCCACTACATAGATGATGAAGAATGCGCCTACGTTATGCAGCGGTACCGGGAGTGTCACGACTTTTACCACGCGGTGACAGGACTTCCCATTTTTGTAGAGGGTGAACTGGCGTTGAAGGCGCTGGAGTTCTTGAACACACTCCTGCCAATGACGGGCTTGAGTCTGTTCGCGTTTGTGAAAATGAAGCCTGCCGAGAAAGAGCGCTTCCTGTCACTGCATTTGCCGTGGGCCGTGCGAAGTGGACTTGGAAGCAAGGAGTTGATTAATGTATACTGGGAGGAAGTATTGGAGAAGGATGTTGATGAACTGAGGGCGGAACTGAATATTGAGCGCCCACCTGATCTCAGGGATATTCGGAAGATGATTCGACAGCAGCAGAAACGGGAGAAGGAGAAGCTGAAGCAACAGCAGATGTCGGGCTGAACTTGTCGCATTATCTTTGATTTCTCTTATCATCTTACTGTCTGCTCCGCAGGCAAATGTGTACGATTACCGCTTTTTGTATAAATATTCTCAGCGCGAAAATAGAATTTTGAACGTCAGATCAGACGAGTAAACAGACCGGAACACCTGAAGTGGATTTTTGAGAAGGCCAAAGAAGGCCTGGGAGAATAGACAACGCACCCCCGAGGTAGTACTAAAGCGTGAAATAGACAAAGAAGACCGGCAAGCTATGAGTAAGTCATCGCACGGTCTACTTCTTACATGTCAAGTAGATCATCGTCATCGTCCCAGCCGCCTTTGCGCCGGGTAAACACGACCTTGTGTTCCTCCTCCTTGCGCTGGTTCTCTGCAATAGCGTTCAAGAGCTCCTTGAGCTGGTCCTCAGAGACCTTCTGTCGCAACTGGCCAGTCTGAGCCAGCATGATGAGTCGGGTCTCGATGTCATTTGCGCGCGATTCCTTGACGAGACGGATACGACCGAGACGGTCTGCGGCGGCGGGCTCGAGGATTTGGCTCAGAATAGAGGCACGGCGTTCAGCTGATTTTGTGTGTCGCGTCAGAAAAATATTGGTTCATTATTGGTATACTTGGACTGCATGTGGTGGGATGCATCAAGCGTGCCTGCGCAGGATAGTGACGGATTAGATGGTTACCTACATTCAGCTTGCCTGGCGCACAGCTCGTTAGTCTATAGGTACTTTGACATGGTGAGGCATATATGTACTCACTTTCGCTGTTCGTCCTGGCCACCATCTTGGCTAGGTCCTCCGCGGGGGCCGCCCTGCTGAAGCTGCGCAAGACGAGCTCGCCTGATCTGTATCGCATTTGAGTCTTTGAACGCTGCTGCCCAAGGAACATTCTTACCTCTTCTAGCTCTGAGTCTGCCATGCTGAGAGTTGATGCACGTGAGCAGAGTTATTATGTTATGCGATGGCAAGTTCCCGAATTGAGAGAGAAGATTGCGGTAACCCCACCTCTTCCGCCTGAGGCTACCACGCGGGGAGAAACTATGCGTGACAGGTCATGTTGGATATATGAGTAGGAAAGTATATCGATATCAATGTTGACTTTGCGTGAAAAGAAGAAATCTCGCTATATTGGATTTCTCCGCATAAATTGTGCCCCTATAATTTCTTATTCTTTGTCGGATTTAAAGTCCGCGTGCATGATTATGGATATAGGACCCGTATGTATAGATGCATTTGTTTATTTTCCGTAATACGCTGTCTCTTGATAAAGATAATCAAGATAACAGTTCAGTTTAATCTAATACTAAACGCCACTGCAAAGCGTAATCGTTTAACCCGTAGACGAGATAAGAACGCGCTCCAGTGCTAGGGAGATTACGTGCTGCGCCCCCTCTCGTGTTTCGTGTACGGGGTAATTAGCGGGGGCAAACTTCAATGCAGTCTTTCCCTTCATCTTCAGTCTAAAAAATGAGATCCAAAATACCCGAGTGGAACTGTGCGCGATCGGCTGGCAGCATTCGGTTTAGTCGCGACAGACTATTTAGTATGGGAAAGTTTGTCAAGGACATAGTTCGATCGGAACCCACATGCGTTCGTGGGTATACTACCGATCCTCAACAGAAGCCAGGGGGAAACATAGGCACGGAGTCTCTGCATAGACGCATAGAGGACTCCGTACGGAGTACGTAGAGAGAAATGGCCAAGTGAAACACAAATGAAATAAATGAAATCGATTCGTCACGTTCATCTACATAGTCGATCACCTGCTTCCGGGTGTGATAGCCCAATGACTAAGCTAGGCGCATGTATTCGCCTCTTCGACCCTGATCACTTTTATCCTTTCTATCCACCAGGGAAAATTCTATCCCAATTCTTATTCTTCTCTCCTTTACTCTTCTTCATTGTCAGTCCTTTCACAGTCGAATATCTCCACCCGGGACCGCCATCTTCCGGTCCGCCCGAACTCCCGTTCGCTTGGATCATTTGCGGGGACCTCGAAATTCCAATTCTTTCCTGGTCCGTGTGAATGGCTCAGGCGCTTTATTGACCAGAGTGTTGCTTGGGTGCGAAATTTGGTGGTTTAATCGGTTGAGAGCGATCAAAATTCAGGCGCTCATCTCACATTCCTTCGACGCCGTTTACGTCACCCATCATGGCCGAGTAAGCCTTCAGTGGAGAGAGGACCAGGCGAATTGGATGATCGCTAACCGTTTTGGCAGCCTTATTGCCTTTCAGACATATCACCATAGTAATCTACTGCCACCGACGAGCTCGACCATGATTCCGCGTCACGCCCATAAGCGATCGTTGTCCTCGGAGTACCGAGGCCTTTCCCCCGACAAGACGGTCACCAAGGCCAAATCCACCACCGATCTCTCCGAAACCATTTCCAAAAATGGCTCCAACTCCCAATTGGCTAGATATGAAGAAGACAGTTTCAATACCTTGCAGGATCCTCGACTGGCTACCAAAGCGGAGGTTTCACCTTCGACGTCATCAACCCATCACCCCGACCTGAGCAACGAGGTTGCAGCGCTAAGTGTGAAACTGATTCAGGCGATCAACAATCAAACACTACTGGACGATAGCCTGGGTGCTACGCGCCAGGAGCTGGAACTAGCTCAGGGCAAGATCCAGGCTTTGGAGTTCCAGAATGAAAAATACCGACGCGACATTGACGAGAAGGTCTACATAAAAAAAAGTGATTCGGACCGTGAGATCATGCAATTGGGGGCTGCGCTTGCGGAGGAGAGAACGCAGCGCGAAATTGTCGAGAAAGGGAAGAAGACAATTGAGCAGGAGCTCGAGGCCCTTACCGCAGATCTTTTCCAGGAGGCCAACAAGGTGAGAATCTCCATTTCATTGCCTGCATTATGGTCCTGAGCTCAGACTGATTATCGTAGATGGTTGCTGCTGCCAAGATTGAACGGGAAGCGGTTGAAAAGAAGAACGAGCAATTGCGGTCCCAGATCAAAGACACCGAGCTGCTCCTCGCATCGCATCAGGACCAGCTGGCAGAACTCAAGTCGGTCATGCAAGGGATGCACATTTCGAAGGATGACGTTGATTCCCGCGCGTCCACGGCACCTTCATCTCCGGCGGGGCCCTACCAAATGCAGGGAGCCACGCAGGAACCCGAGCCGAACCATGCTGTTGCAACCCCGTGTAACCCCGAGGAACTCGTTCCTGGCCCCTCGTGTAATTTCCCCGAGATTCTTCGGGTGGTGTGCCGGACTGATCTGCAAGCCTATGATGACTTCCGAGAACTGCTCACGCTTTCCCGGAGCTCCAAGCCCCCTAGTCGCGCTGGCAGTGGTTCATATGCAGGCTTGAATGTGATGAGCTTAGCTGGCTTCGGCTCTGGTTCAGCCTCTGCGAACAACTCGCCCACAAAGGGAGTGACTAGCTCTCCTAGTAGTTTGGCGTCTCAGCTGGGGTCGCATATCCCTTTGAAAGACACCCGATTCTACAAGCGGGTCTTGATGGAAGATATTGAGCCTACTTTGCGGCTTGACTTGGCCCCAGGTATTTCATGGCTGACAAGACGTACGGTCATAAGTGGCATCTGTGAGGGAACTTTGGTGGTGGAGCCAATACCAACGACGACAAAGAAATATGAGTTCCCCTGCACTGTCTGTGGCGAACGCCGACCAGGACCCCAAAATGAAAGGACTCACCGGTTCCGAACTTCGGAGAGTGAGACAGCCCAGCGGTACTCATTGTGTATTCAGTGTTTGGAGCGAATTCGTTCCTGCTGTGAGTTCACTGGGTATTTGCGACTGATCCTTGATGGTCACCTCAAAGCTGGTGACAACGATGAGGAGAAGGACATCTGGGAAGAGACGATTCGGCTCAGAGAGCGAATGTTCTGGTCCCGGATCGCGGGTGGCATTGTTCCACTAGTCCGCCGGGCCGCTGAGCCTGAAGCTGACGTGGAAACCACAAAATCGAACGTGAATATCTCGGAAGAAACTCATGAGAATGGGCTTCTCCACCCAATAGACAATGCCACCGTTGAAACTAAACCATACGATATGTCTGGTTCGTTGGAGGGCACCCAGAGCCAGAGGAATTCTAGCATTTTTGCACCTTCTCTTCCGGACTTTGATATGGCCAAGCCGGGGACACCTGATCCTTACAGCTTGCAAAACGAGAGAATCGAAGATTGCACTTCTGATGTGCCCCAGAGGCGAGACTCTGTTGATTCAGACGTCAGTGTCTATGAAGAAGCCAATGCCAATACCCATGCCAATGCTGAGACCGAATACCCGGAGTCCGATGAAGCACAGACTCCGACGGTTCATGAAAAAGAAAGCGCTGAAGCTGCTGGCCAGAGCAGTCAATGAATCATAGTTGATTGATGCTAGCCATCAATATGAGCACTAACTGCTTGGCCAGTGCTACTTTCATGACCCATCCTGATGCATTTTCTTTGGTCCTCCTGCATTTGAGCATATTTTGGCAAGACACTGATAGACCCTACTTACCTTTCCACAGCAACGCTGCATACGCTTTTAATTACCTAGCCCGACCTACCACCTTCATCATCGTTGCATTTTCACACCCTTCGTCGATATCCCTTTGATTTGAGCAACTTGCTTCTCCCATGTATTATTATTACTACCCTATACCTATCATGTATTCATAATGTCTTGTTTCCCCTTTGTGCTGTGGACATTGATTGCTCACCCTGTCACTTGCATTGCATCATTGGAATGCGATATCCAATACAAGTGCCTTGTTTTCTGCCAGAGCGGAACAATTCCACTCGCAAATGATGGCTACCCCTGCTTCATCTATCTGTTTTTGTTGGCGTTTGGCTTTTATGTTGCTTGCCGCTGCATTCTCTGGGTTTGCATTGCAGTCCGCAGAGACTGGACGGTTGAAAATAGATGACATACAAAGATTGTTTAGGATCTAATACATACCGTACTATGCAACCTCCAGTGCTCAATCATGATTTCAGAAAACAAACAAAATACTAGATTAAAGATATACTGTATGTAGCTGCCATTCGGCTGGAAGGTATTGTGTGAGGGGGTCTGTCCGATAGGTATGACACGACATACAAGTCCACAAGGCGATTAGAGCCACAGTTCAACAAGTTTCAGCTCATTTAGACTTCAATTGCAAACCTTGGGAATGGCCACACGGGTTTTCCATTGTAGGTTGAATTTGGTAAGCATTCCGCTCATCAATATACATCATTTCAGTTCCTGGGCGATCATTGTCGCATATTAGCGAACGTCGGGTGGATAAGTGGGGCTGCGCATCAATATGTCGTATGTAGACTTAAAGCATCAACGGAGTCCATTCTACCTAAATATTCACAAATCCTGCAAGCCACATGGCTGTATATGGTTGGAAGGATCTCGGCATGTATGCAAGACCACACAGGGCGACCCGGGACAGAGTAACCGTGCGGACAACAGTTATTTGTTCTGGAGTTAATTGGATGGCGTTCAGACCTCTACCTTGTTAGAGAGCTTAAGCTTTTGTGGACTCCCAAGGTTGCAAGATCTCGTATTCTCAGGGCTTAAGTGGACCTTGCATACATTACAACGGAACCGCCCGAATAGTGGATTCCAGGCCCCTGAACCACGATCCATGGCAGAACGGAAGAGTGCTTACAGCGCGCTGGAGTATTGGACCGGATCTGCGAGGGAGCCTTATATCTTATTTCTAGAGCATAGCTCGTGCGGATCAACTGGAAGTATGAGTCTATACGGACTGTGCTACCATTCGACGGGATTGTGGCCTGACCTTTGCTCAATACGACCCGAAAACTTATTCCCCGGGACCCACCAGAACTGGGCGTAAGGAGAGCTCGTATGCGTGCAGGATCGAGACGCAGATCGTAAGCAATGGCGTGAAGGGTGAGATTGATGTTGGATCTAGGTTAAATGGGGGCTGAGATCCGTGCGTTTCATTGGCTCAATAGGAATGTTTGTGGTCTTACATACCAGGACCCGTTGGTAGATCCACTGGTGGAATCGTCGTGGTCATTCATGCCATTGGCAGTAGTTCCTTGGCGGTACTTTCCGTCAATAGGATGAGAAAGAGGATCTGTGTCGGCCGCCACCCAATCAGCAACGGGTTCTGTCATACCTCCGATGAAGCCTGTATTCGAGCCGCGGGTGGCGCCGGATGGCAGGCTCTACGACTTCTCTGGTTCAGTCACGTAGGAATGAAGAGGTAACTTGACGATCATCTACAATTTAGATTCGAATCGCGAAGGTTAAGTCCCACGTGCCTCTGCGGGAGCAGGTCTTGCGTAATGGCTCAGAGCTCGACAGGTACCCCCTGGTCCAAAATCCCCTGTAGCTATAAGGGACTATGTTCCACCAAGCTCTACCAAAATAATCACCGGCTTGGCATTTTCTCAGTCATTTCTTTGTAAAGTTTTCGACCGTTCCAGTCGCCATGCCGTCCCCATTATATCTACCCCGGAAAGAACCAGCCCCGAGGTACGATCGAACTTGCATTGAAGAAAACGTGGCCCCTAACTTTGTTCAGCTACCAATATTCCACATATCCTGAGATACTCGATTGTGATCTTCCAAGCCTACATAATCAATCGTCACACTACTCACAATCTCAATTCGATTTCTCAGCTGAGATGTATGGCATTCATGAAAATCTATTCAATGATGCAACAGCCACAGATATGGCAGATCAAAATATTTCCACAATGATTTACGATGAACTGGAAAGCCGGGCTTCTAGTAGCCCGGGACAGCTCATGCAGAATTCAAGGTACGTGGTAAAGAGATGGAGCACAATCAATTCTGACACGAATTAGCCCAGGAGAACTTGACCCTAGCGCCATGTTTCTTGATGATTCAACTTCTCAACCACAAGACTTCCTCCTGGAAGCATCTCTTTCAATGATGCAGTCCTTTCCAGAAACCATTCCTTTGACACAGGAAGAAACAAGTATAAACAGCCTGGAGGAGACACAGGCTATGTCGACTCTTGACGAGATCCCAATATGCTGGGACCACGACTGTAACGGAAAAGTGTTTTCAAGCTGGAGCAACTTAAGGCGGCACCAGCGTGAGCGTGCATCTCAGGCTCCCAAGTGCTATTGTCCCCGGTGCGGGGCACACTTTAGCCGTACCACAGCCCGAAACCAACACCTTGCCAATATGAGCTGCAAACGAATTCGACGCTATTCCAATGGGCGGGTGAGACCAAGTACACAAAAGATCCAAGAGACATATGGAACACAGTTATGAGAATTGCGAATCAATGATAGTCTCGGGGACAATTGTCGGGGGAAAAGTAATTTCACGATGTTTGCTATATATAGTGATGGCTGTGAAAAGGAAAAAAGAAAATACCGGAATGCAACTACCGCTTCAATAAGCATTACAAAGGAATTTCTCAGCAATTTGTTATCCAGTTCGTTGCACAGTGATTATGCCCAGACGTTGGATTTCGTAGATGCCCCTTGGCGGTACCACTTCAAGCGCGATGGCTGGCAGCAACCATAATTCTTTGCCACGTGCATGCAAGATCATCGGAGAAGTCATCCTTCTGCATGTCCATATATCCTCGAGGATCCTCATGTCTTGGCACAATGGCAACGCAGCGACCTGTTGCACAATGAGCATCAACCGTGTGACGGTATTAGGGTTTGGGGCCTACCGTTTAGTAGGGGGTCAGAGGCGAGGTGCATACTTGCTGCAGCCGCATCTGCAGTCTCTGCCCAGACCACTCCTTGACTTGACAGCCGATCTTGGTTCTCGGCAGGGATTGCGGGCGTCCGCACATACCTATTATAGATTAGCATGGAAGTGAGACGTTGACAGATCGTTTGTCTCACCATGGTGCAAGCAGGTTCACCCGAACGTCTTGCTTGTGGGCGGTCCTGCGCAGACTGGACATTATACCTCGAATGCCATGCTTCGATGCACAATAGATCGGTGTTCCTGGTTGATCGCAGTACCCAGCAATACTACTCATCAGGATGAGACAGCGATCATGTTTCTCCGGATTCGGTTGGCGCGTCAAATAGTGCAAAGCCAGCTTGCAGGTATAGATGCAGCCAACTAGATTAGTGTTCAGGACTTTCAAGGTGGGTTCAATCGGCTCGCCATCCTGTTCGCTATCTGTACAAGGCTGTCAGAATGGGATGACTAGCGTAGTTTACCAAAGCTCTACTGACCATCCCAATATAGCGAATCCCTTCCCGAAATGCCAGCGTTCGAGATGACGGTGTCTATGAGATGCGATGGCGATCGAATTAGCGCCGTTTGAAATAAATTGACTTGGTCAGCCCATTTCGTCACGTCAGTCTTCACAAAAGCCACACGGTCGCCCAGTTCGTCGGCGAGCTGTTGCCCACTCTCCTGCAGGTCGCCAATTGTGACGAAGGAAGCGCCAGCAGATATGAACGCCTTGACAATTTCTTTGCCAATCCCACTCGCCCCGCCTGTAATGACGACACTTTTCCCATTAATGGTGCTGACGTCGAAGCCCTCGCCAGCCTTCAATGTGTACTCTCCGGTATATTCGGGGACGGGCATGATTCAATTGAGGCCAGCGTTTAGAAACAAAAGCCAATGCTTTAGTCTCGAATGCTGATTCACTAAACTGGCAATTGCCTGGGAAAAAGTTGATAATGTATTTGTTGATTAAGGATTGCAGGATGACGGGATGCAGGATGCAGGATTACAGGATCGAAGATCTAGACAAATATTGGTGATCCTCATTTTCTCTTCACGACAGCTATATAAAAGAACATTCGAATCTATGAATTTATTTTGATAATGACCATTAAGCAAGATCTCTCACTTTCATGTCGCTCACTATGAAGGCCATCATCTACACCGAACCCAAGCAGACCCGTCTGGTCACCGACCGGCCTTTGCCTAAACTCCGCGAAAACACTGTAATTGTCAAAGTGGCAGCCGTGGCTTTGAATCCGACCGACTGGAAGCATGTTCACTTTGGGATGGCAAAAGAAGGATGCATCCTCGGTGTGGACTATGCAGGTACTGTTGAGCAAAGCAACTCCCCCGAATGGCAAAAGGGCGATCGTATCTGCGGATTCGTGCACGGAGGAAACTCCGTCAACCCCGACGATGGATCATTTGCCGAGTACATCGTTGCGCCTTTATCCACTGCCATGAGGATGCCCGAAGGTGTCTCGATGGAAGCTGCATCCACTCTCGGATGTGGCATCACCACCGTCGGACAAGGACTTTTCGAAGTTGGATATGGACTTGGTCTCAACACGCCTTCTGACCCAATTCAGAATGCGGAGCCACTCTTGATCTATGGAGGAAGTTCTGCGACTGGCTCATTGGGTATTCAGTTGGCCAAAGAGTAGGGTTCCTTCGTGCGATGATCTAATTCTATATGCTGACCACACATTCAGGGCCGGGTACTCTGTTCTCACCACCTGTTCTCCCAAGAACTTCGAAATGGTTCGTGCCCGCGGTGTAACGGAAGCCTTCGACTCGAACGATCCCGAGGTGGGCAAGAAGATCAACGCGTATACCAAGAACTCTCTGCGATTTGCGTGGGATTGTATTGGAACCGAAAGTGCGGCTCAGGCCTGCGCAGACGCGCTCACCACCAATCCCGGGGCACGATTTGGCACCATCCGGGGTCCTAAGCTTCCTCGGGACGACGTGAAGTATACGGCAACGATGGCCTATGTGGGTATTGGCGAAGACTTTGAAAAGGGCGGGAAATGGACCCGAGGCAACGGAGAACATGCCCGGTGGCAGTACAAGGTGTGGAAGATCGCCCACGATTTGCTTGCTGCGGGCAAGCTCCAGGTTCACCCGATTCGGATTGGTAATGGTGGACTGGAGGGTGTTTTGAATGGCCTGAAGGAACTCGAGGCAGGGACAGTCTCTGGAGAAAAGCTGGTTTATGTTTTTTGAATACGTCATATTTGAATATGTGTAAGAGAATATTAGTTAACTAGAATTATGAAATCCATTCGTAATATAACCAATATCTTTCTGAGATTTCAAAGAGAAGTGCTTTCTGCACCCCGATTTTGCTACATGTACCTTGATTATCCCCTGTAGCCACATGCTTTAGCTCTGTGTTATAGTATGTTCCTGCATGATTGTGCTACTAGAATGGCACGGACCTAAGTAATCTAATCAAACTTCCAATGGCCCTTGGGGCCACTGATCGTCTAAAAGCCCAACCTTAGAAAGCTTCGCCATTATTTTAGACCCACTGGGTACGTAGCTTACGCCCCACTCTCTCGGTCCAGGATTGAAGGATCAAACCATTTCAAAATTGCGGATCAAAATGCACAGAATATAGGAGATTGATCCTGAATTAAAAGATGCAGGATTGCAGGAGGAAGGATGGTGTTCGTCATTCTCTTTCATGGAGCCGGGGAGAATTCTTTCTCTAGAGATCAATGAGCTTTAGAGAGGATCAGATGCACCTAAGATAGAAGATAAGATTCCTGAAATCTAGCTTCAAACATATCAGTAGACCGCAAATTGCATATTTATAGCAACATTCGAAGCACCGGAATAGTTTCACGATTATTTGTACTCGCAAAAGGATTTGTCAAGTTCTGATGTCACTCTATGTCTACTTCTTTCCAATCTCGTACCGCACTTATATACAAAGATATGTGCAGCGCATCAATCGCAACCAGAGTCCACCAGCCCTGTAGAACCACGCCACGTTCATCAATCTGAAGCCCGTGGGGTCAAAACGCAAGGAGCAAGGATAGCTTCTTGGCGGGCCCAGACCTTTCTTGTAGTGATGCGTAAGTCCCGTTCTCGGGGTAGAAGACTTGGGACGGGAGATGTGTGACGAGCTGGTGACACTACATGAGACAGTCAGTTGGTTCTTTGTCGCCAACCGCAAGGGTTGGGATTGAGAAAATCACGTACACAAACGCCTATTCGCTAAAAGACGACAGCATGGCTCCAAAGGTGGGCATTCGGAAAGAACAATGCATTTGGGGTATAGACAAATTGCGAAACGTATAAATGGGCGATCATTAGGGGTCGTCAAAGCTGATAGGATATGGTGTCTCCACTTCGAGGTAATCTGGTTGGACAAAATGAAGGATCGCGGGATTGAGGATGGCAGGAACAGGAGTTTGGGAGTTTAGACCAAGTTGAAGGCTCGAAGAAGCAAAAAGGCAAACGGACGACTTTCCATGTTTCTTTGAATCTTATTCTTGGACGTGAGGTGCAAGAATGGAGAAACACGCTGCCACAGAATCATCGTCCAACCCGGATCTGGAGAAGAACGAGCCAGCATCTTCCACTGCCAACAGCGATGAGACTGACAGAAGTACCTTTCAAGTTCAGTTTGACGATGGCGAAAATCCTAAGGCATTCAGTCCCTACTATAAGGCTTTTCTGACCTGGGAAATGAGCATGTTGGCCTTTGTCGGTTCGCTAGGGTCATCTATAATGTCGCCAGCGCAGACCGATTTGAGCGAGTATCTCAATATCAGTAAAGAGCTTACGGTTTTAAGCTTGTCGCTTTTTGTTCTCGGTATGTGTTTGTGTGGGTTGGTATCGTTTCTCGTGTTAAATTTTCCTAGGATATGCCTTCGGTCCGTTGATTTGGGCCCCGATCAGCGAAGTCTACGGCCGGAGATGGTCCATGCTGCCGGCAGTATTTGCGCTAGGTATTCTCAGCATCGGAACTGCGGTCAGCCAGAATCCGGCTAGCGTGTTTATTACTCGGTTCATCGGCGGCGTTTTTGGGTCTGCGCCCATTAGCAATGTCTCTGCTGCTCTGGGAGATATCTACGACCCTCGTACTAGAGGCGTACCGATGTCATTTTATGCACTTTGTGTTATTGGTGGACCGGCTCTCGCGCCTTTGGTTGGTGCTTCTCTGACAGTGAATCCGCATCTCGGATGGCGATGTATGTGACCGAGGAACATAGACCAATTCGATGCTGATATAGACATAGGGACCGAGTACATGGAAGCCATCATCGTTTACGTGGTTTTCATGATCACTGTCCTCTTTCTGCCTGAGACCTATGCGCCAGTCCTTCTGCGGAAAAAGGCCCAGAAGATGCGCAAAGAAACTGGAGATCAGAGATATTGGCACCCGTCGGAAGGAATGAAAGTTGATTTGAGAAACATCGCCACAAAACAACTCAGTCGGCCATTGAGGTACATGTCTTGAGCTCTTCAGAAGGAAATAACTGATCCATGAACTAAATGTCATCTAGGATGTTCTTCACTGAGCCAATGGTTTTTACGATTGCTCTTTATGCGTCGTTCATCTACGGACTACTTTTCCTGACTCTGGAAGTCTTCCCAATTATTTTCCAGGAGAATCGCCATTTCACCTTGGTAATCTCGACTCTTCCGATCCTGGGCCTTTTGGTCGGCGTTATCTGCGCCTTGTTCGTGAATCTCGCAAATCAGCCTCTATATACGCGTGCTGTGGAGAGAAACAATGGGAAAGCAGTCCCGGAAGCTCGCCTTCCACCAATGATCATTGGGGGATGTCTTTTTTCGAGTGGCTTGTTTTGGTTTGGATGGACTGCAGATCCCGAGATCCCATGGGTGGCTCCCACGGTGGCAGCTGGTATGTTTTACCCACACTGAACTCAAACTTTGGGCTCTGCTAAACTGCGTAGGATTCATTGGCGCGGGTTTCAATATAGTTTTCCAACAGTGCCTAAATTTCTTGGTTGACACGTATGGAACGTACGCTGCAAGTGCCGTTGCGGCGAATAATCTGCTACGGTGCCTCATGGCTTTCGGACTCCCTTTGGTGGCAAGGCCTATGTTTCTGAATCTAGGGGTGGGACCGGCAGCGAGCCTCCTGGGTGGAATATCTTGTCTTGCATTGCCCGTACCGTTTCTTTTCATGAAGTATAGTGAGCGTCTCCGTGCAAGGTCGAAATTTGTGGAGAATTAGGTGGTTAGACGACAAAGACAAAGACTTAATCACATTGAGTATATTAAGAGAAGATTTGGTGATGACAATCATGAGCTGTGGATGAGGTCGCACTTTCCGGGGATCACATCTGAGTCACGATATCTCCAAATAAGGAAGGCGCGGTTTTCGAGTCCAAACCCCTCTTGTTTGAAATTCCAACCTTCTCTTCTTTTGATTCTGGGCCTTTAAAACCAGACATAATGAAAAGAACGAATATATACACATTGCTCAGAGTATCAATTAGACATGCAAATAAACTCATACAAAATGCAATGTTCACGGAGACTATGCCTATGAATAAAGTCTGTGTGTTTGAATTATATCATTTCTCCAGCCAATCAAGCTTTATATGTGATATTATACAGTCCTAATGTGTCGCTTACTCAATGTAAAGTCCAAGAGCCTGTGTCTGTAATCATCGCAAGGAATAATAGTATGACAAAAAGAATCTTCTGAATAATAGATTACTAAAGATAGCCATATATCAATGAATGGTGGAGAATCAGTCCTGCAGGCTCGGATAGGAATGATGGATTGCAGGATCGAACACGTCAAACTTAGCATATGGGAATGGAGGACTTGGTCCTCTATTTGTCAGATATCAACATGATGTGAGGCAGAGGCTGAACAACGGCTATATAATAAGCTCAGAATCTCATGAACCAGGAACCAACCAAGATCACAGCCCCAATACGATTCTTCTCACTCCAATTCCAACATGCCTTCTGTCGCCGAGAACCAAATCGCCACCACCAAGGACTTGTTCCAGGGTTACAACGAATACAACGCCGATGCTGTGCTCCGCACTCGCGCCGATAACTGCATTCACGTCATCCTCCCAACCACCCTAAACCGTCCGTCCAAAAACAATGAAGAGTACCGCGAGTTCTTCGGTCCCCTGCAGAAGATTATGCACAAATTCCAGGTAACATTAGTACTTCTCCTGTCCGTTCCTGATCATGTACTCACTAGAGATAGACTACCATTCACAAGATTGTGAACGATCCCGAGAACCACTCCGCCGCTGTCCACGCCTCTGGCATTGGCGAGTCCCCCGTTGCCGAGTACAAAAACGAGTACGCCTTCTTCTTGGAGTTTAATGAGACCGGTGAAAAGATCACTCGTATCGAGGAGTTTGTGGATGCCGAATTCAGCAAGAGCTTCCTGGCCAAGGTGAAGGAGTACCAGGCTAAGCAAAAGTAAAGGGCACATGCACTTAGTACTTAGGGATCTGATATGTCAAGATACATGAGATCATTATGAAAATATATGAGAATTTCTCTAGCAAAGATGTCAAAAAGGTGTAATACTTGTATAACCCTAACGGCACCACCCAAGCCTGATTCGCCGATCCAAGCCAGACCTGGTCTGCTTCCGAGTAAGCTAATCTTGGAAAAATTGGCGCTTATAAGTTCCCGTACCCATAGTCTTGCATATTATCTTCTACCGGTTGATTTCACTTTTCATTTCTGGCAGTAGTTGGAAGGACAGTGAATATACTTCAGAAATATACCCCATGAGATCTTGGCAAGTTGGTGGCGGTGGAGCGTCTACGAGTGACAGTGCCCACGCTTGCGCCTTAAGACTTGGCTTCGTATCTACCGTCAAGGTAGCCTGGGGACTAGCTCATTTGTTCTACCGTTGGTCTTAGCTTGGCCTAGCATGCCAGCCACAGTCGGCCGTAGCTGCGCCCGACCACGGTTGATGCAGATCCAGGATTGCAGGAGCACTGTCAGACTTAGGAATGCAGGATTTAAGGCAAAATCCAGGCTGTGCCTATCCCACCTAGCCCGAACAATGAGCAATATAGCCATGATGCGGTGTTCTTAAGGAGCAGTCTGCCTGGGCAACCTTGAGTTGTAATTACACATGAAAACCACTCTAAAATCATGACTTCAACTACGGTGCTTACCTATGGTGAGCTCTTTGCTCTCAAAACTTCCGGGACGAAATATGTGGAGCATACAGTCACGGAGGTTCTGTCAGAGTCTGAAGATGGTTCGATTTCCCTGGCCCGCACCCACACTAAGTTTCAGCAACTCACAAATCCACAGGAAGCTCCGAATGCTCGACCATCGCAGACCACCTCGCCGATAAGGTGATGGATGTTATGGAGTCCTACTTCTGGCGGGCCGAGGATGACGCAGGTCGTGGACACTCGTACTGGCCGGGACGGGAGCGCTTCAAGGGACATGCTTTGCATTGGATTGAACAGAATGAGCCAGTCCGTATGGCTTTGCCTGCATTTCCTTTCAAATCGGTGAGGTAGCAGCTTGAGATGCAAATTAGTCGGTTACTGATTCCTTCTAGACGAACCTAGACAAGGTTCTTGGCGCACTGCCCGATTATGCTGAATATCTCGGTCTTGCCCGAATGAATCAAATATGTCTGGATGTGCAAGAGGTGTACAGTCCAGGGGCTGAGATTGCCATTGCCACCGATGGCGTGGTATTCAATGGTGATTGAGGCCTATGGATTCCCATTTTGATCTCCGTTGCTAACATTGTCTCCAGACCTCCTCATGATTAGCGATGAAGATGTGTGGAACTATGGTCAAGCCATTCGAAAAATGGTCAAGGACCATCATTTTGATCGAAACCTGAAAGTTTTTCATGCGATGCAGATCCTAGGAATGATCGACCCGTCAACAACAAGCACCGATCTCACCGAAGAGGTATTCTACCAAACTATCGATTCTTCCCGCGACATGATCAAGGACCGATACTGTCAACCACTGGAGGTGACAAAAAAGCTTGTTGACGAAGACATCGATTCACGTCTAACTTATAATGGAATGAAGACCTTTGTCAAAATTGACTTGAAGAATACCTCTGTTTCCAGGAATGCAGCAAGTAAAAAGGACTACCTCGAAGAGATGTCCACCTTGGCTCTCATTATGATGGGTCGTTCCGAAGGCTTTGGGCATCTCATCCGTGCCGCGATGCCACACCATATTAGGCTTTCTATTCATCCTTCATACGGGACAGCAAAGTTATCTATCTGTCTTGTACCGCAGCTGCCAGGTTTCACTGCCCGGGCACCTTGGATGAGCTGTATTGCTACCGACACAGATGGAGCACACCAAACAGCCCATGCTAAGGATGTTCGAATCACCCATAAACTAATCTATGAGAATGGAATGCCGTGGAAGTATGTTGAGCGAGAAACTCTTCCATTACCAGAGAACATCTTGTCGCGAAACGCAATGTTTGAGGATCTATGGCAACGGCATTTGAAGACTTTAGAGAGCAAGCCTCGCGAAGAAATCAAAATCATCATTGATATTGGTAACGGGTCGGCTTTGATTACAACAGCAACTTCTTGGGAGTCGACTCCTTCGACATTGCTACCGCATCTTGCAGAGGAGACTCGCGACAAGGTTTTAATTGCAAAGGTAAATCACGAACAGTATTGGGATCTAACTCGAGCGCTGGAAAAAGATTGCACTATTGAATTTTTAACATTCGACCACCCAAAGGCCCAGCAAGCGTTTTGGCGATCATCTGCTAGCTGTTTAGCTGAACTTTGTGAGCAAGAATACCAGTGTATTCTGGCCGACTGTACAACTACCAACCAGGGACTTTTTTGCGACATGAGATTTCCTGCTGAGTATGAATGACCAAGGCCCTTCTAAGAGATACAAGCTAATGCTACATAGACGCGCTATAACCGAGGCTGATCGGGAGTTGTTGAACAAGAGAGTGGTGCAGCTGTCGCAAACGTCCCGAGGCTTTGACCGCTTGGAGGTTTCGAAAGAGACTCTAGAGAAGATGTTTTCCTTCAACAAATATAAAATGCATACTATAAGCAGTATGGCCGAGGGACAGATGGCTACAATTTATCGCGGCGGAACTTTCGTGGACATCTCTGATGGCCCACATATCCCAAATACCACAATGATCAAGGCTTTCAAAGTGTTCAAGGTAAAAGCCGGTGAGACTCACTTCATTAACATTAAGCTTACTTCAATAAAAGGGTTCATCGGCATATTTCCTGGGTGATCAAACTCAAGATTCACTCCAGCGCATACGGGCCATCGCATTCCCAGAAAAGCAACTCATGCAAGAGCACCTCAAAGGCTTAGCGCAGGCACAAAGCGAGAGCCATATCAGAATTGGACAGGAACAGGGTCTTTTTACATCTCACGAGCTCTCCCCCGGATCTCCATTCCTTCTTCCGCGAGGTACGCGGATCTTCAATGCGTTGCAGAAGCTTCTGAGAAAGGAATACCACCAGCGAGGATATAGCGAGGTTCAAACACCTAACATGTATAATTCCTGTCTTTGGAAGACATCTGGTCATTGGGCTCACTATAAAGAGGACATGTTCCGCTTCAATCTTGGGAAAAAGGAGTGGGCGCTTAAACCAATGAATTGCCCTGGTCACTACCTGCTATATACGCAGCAGCCCAGGAGTCACCGTGATCTGCCCATCCGGTATGCTGATTTTGGCGTTTTGCACCGCAATGAAGCATCAGGCGCTCTTCACGGTTTAACACGTGTGCGGAAGTTCCAGCAAGATGATGCGCATATTATCTGCCGGTCAGACCAGGTCAGCAAGCTAATTTCAGTCCTCTCGCAAGACAAACGCAAGCACTGACACGTTGCTAATAACTTCAAATAGATTGTCTCTGAGATTGAGGGCATCTTCGATCTTCTCAAATCAGTGTACGCCCTTTTCGGCTTCACGTTCAAATTGACTCTCTCAACCCGGCCCGCGAAATTTCTCGGGGACATTGAAACCTGGAATGAAGCTGAAGATCAACTCCGCGAAGCTTTAACCCGGTTCAATGGCAATGAATGGACCGTGAACCCCGGTGATGGGGCATTCTATGGCCCCAAGATCGATATCACAATTGCCGACGCTCTCAAAAGAGAACTGCAGTGTGGCACTGTCCAATTGGACTACCAGGCTCCAATAAACTTCAACATGAAATACACCACCGAAGAAACGGGCGAGAAGAGAACTGCCCGGCCAGTCGTCATTCATCGCGCGATTATTGGAAGTTTCGAGCGGTTCTTGGGTATTCTTATTGAGCATTTTGCTGGCAAGTGGCCATTCTGGATAAGTCCGCGACAGGTGCTTATTGTACCTGTTTCAAGTGCGCAGAATGCGTATGCAGAGGAATTGAAGCGGGTTTTGACGGTTGATAAGCTACATGTCGATGTTGATCTGAGGGATTCGACGTTGAATAAGAAGATCCGCACTGGCCAGCAGGAGAAATACAACTTCATTTTTGGTAGGTTTGACTATCATCGAGTTCAGTGATCAATAGAGCCATGCTAACTCTACACAGTTGTCGGCTTTGAGGAACAGAGGACTCGGACTGTTAATGTTCGTAACCGTGATAATCCCGAATCTCAGGCACGGGGTGCGCCGATTGCCTTTGACGAGGTACGCACCCAGTTGAAAGCTTTGAGGAAGGAGCGAAGGCTTGAAAATGTACTCTGAACTCATGTATTTTTGCTCATATGCTCGGGTTGTGAATATGAAATCTTGGTATCAGAATGGAAAGCATCAATGAGAAGGACTTGTGGGTTTCATTTGTCGTGATTAGGAGTTATCTGGATGTGACATAGAAGCATTGAAGATTGAATGAACTTGCAAAAGTCGAAAGCATTACCCTCCAGTGTGCAATTGAGTAGATATGAACATTCAGTTGAACTCGTCAAGGGATATTTTAATTGCGTTAGAAATGATAAGGCTATTATACAAAAACAAGCACATCATCCAATATCCCTTCCCAATCGGCCTGAAATGAGAACACGCCCTGAAACTCCAGATGCAAAGGAATAGATAGAAGCAAAAGGGAATACTTTGGTCAGCCTTTATCGGATCAAACGTGAAATCATTGCCGGGCCCGTTGATGAATGTGTCGGATCTGGTCTTCGATGTTCATACTCTGGGGGTTATGCACACCCGGGGGACCAATCGGCGCGGGAGGTGCAGAGGCGCCAGGAGGGAGCGGGCCATCTGTCAGGCCACCAAGAGCCATGCGCTTGCGACGAGCCTCTTCCTCGGTGTCCATACCAGGTGCAAGGGAAGAATCAAATACATCACTGCGTTGGCTGGCCAGACGCTTCAGGTTGTTGACCACATCAGCTGTAGAAAGATTGGTTGTGGCACTGCGCGCTTCTTGCTTGGCGCGCTGTTCCTTCCAGCGTGGGTCAAGAAGCTCGATACGAACGTGCTCATCCAACTCTGCAACGGGGATTTGCTGGTGACAATTCGGGCAGATTGCCGTGGCACCTTGCTGGCGACGGGCCTGGGCACGTGGGACGTAGTCCTGGCGAATGCGCATCGGGGGTTGGCCCGGGACAGGCGGAGTGGAGGTCTCAGGTCGAGCTTGCTGCGCTTGAATCGGTAATGCACGCGGGTACTGTGCATTGTAGTCCGCAGCGGGCTGTGGGTATGGGGCTTGGAATTGTGCTGGGTATGGGGAAGCGGAAGGTTGGGGTGCGAAAACCGGTTGGGGTTGGGCCGGAGAAGCGTTATAATAGGTGGGAGCATCGAGATCAGTGGGCATAGCCTCTTCGATACGCAGCGGGTTGAGAGACATGGCGGCTTTCTGCTCCAGGGAAGCGGACTGCAGGTCATTAAGCGATGTTGGGGGAGGCAGATCATCCTGCTCGTCGCTTTCGGTAAACACAACCGTCTCCACGACCACAAAGTCGTGCCAGTCGATCTGTGCATATTCAATTCGCTCTTGTTCCTCTAATTCCTCCTTTTCTTGTTTCTGTAGCTCCTGGTGCTTCACCCAGTCGGCGCGCTGCTTGGCGCGCTCCAAAACATGATACTTATTCTTCACACTGTTCTCCAATTCGGCGATGCGCTTCTGCTCTGTGCTTGCCTCGTCTATGCCTTCTGATCGCAGCAAAATGGTGTATTGATCGACTAGCCGGGTGAAGAATTGGTGGAGACTATTGAAGGGTCGTAGGAATTCAAACTGAGGGTTGCGGGCCTCCCGTTGCGAAAGTGCGGTCAGCCAGGACTTGCCTCGTTTGGCGACGAAGAGTGCAGTGAGTTTGACGACCTCAAGATCCTGCGCATGGCTGATTGGCATGCGCGCAGAGAAATGAAACGCAGGTGGCTCTGGTGGGCCTTGGGGCTTTTCAGGTTCGGCGGCAGGAGTAGCCTCGCCCGCTCGTCCCGCAGCAATTGATGTTCCCCGGCCATCCTTGATCTCGGTTAGGCGCCATTGATAGAAAGGCGCGTAAGCATCGCCAGCGTTGAGGAAGGAGAATTTCGGGTTGTTCTTTTCCTTATCACGGACACGGTCTAGATGAAGATGGGCAGAAGTCAGTATGAGGCCATTATTCACGGCGGGAATGTTCTTGAGGAGACATACCCTCAAAGACTGGTCCATTCCGAGCAACGTAACCGGCGGTCTTCTCGACGATAGCTGTGTTCCGAGATTAGCTGTTTTCTTGTCGCGTGAAGTGAGAAGCTGAGACTTACCTTGAATATCCTTAGGAGGACGTACCAAGCCCTCAGGAGGCTTGTTCATATCCTCCGGCAAAGGAGTATTTCCATTCGAGGAGTCCATGGCGACGACGATGGGAAGAAGTGATAGGACCGGGGAGTTCTTTTTGGCCTCATGGAAGTTGCTGACTACTCTCAACCTGCCTCCAGCCACGCAAACCTTAAGTGTCAGGTGTGAAATGTGGCGGTGCTGGTTCCGATGGATTATGTAAATGTTTCTTTGTTTGTCTGCATTTGCACCTGACTCCGCATTCATCGAAATTCATTATGTACATATTGTGTTGTATATTCACTCAGAATCTTCAATCTAAATTGAAATATATAGACTAAAATGAATTGAACCCAAGTATCGTATTTGTCATCGTTCAACTCAAAGGTAGCACAATATAACAAGCAGTCTCATAGTACTCCTCGGCGCTAACTAGAGGCTGAAGTTTAAGGGGCCGCTTTCTCTTGTCCACACTCCGCCTCGGTCGATCTGGCCTCTCTCTTCTCTGCTTTCGTCCATTCCCTCATCCTCGTCTTTTTTTTAATATTCTTTTTCTTTTTCTATTATCTCAGACCCTGTCATGGGGTCTTTTCTTTTGACCATCTACGATCATTAAATCGTCTACCTTCTGTGGTGACGGCTGTTGAGAGCTGCAGCAAAGCTGTCAACAGTTACTTTTCTCGACCCCGATTTCATTAATTGTCAGCGATTAGTTCGTTATCCGACTCTACATCTTTTTCCTTGCTTTTTTCCCGTCAACATTCTATTCGACTGCCCCGTCCTACCCTCCGGTTGATTGCGCCCTCATACCTCGTGCATCCGCGGAGATCGTGACAATGGGTCAGAAAGGCAAAGACACTCTGGCTGTGCGGCCACAGAGCCGTGGCCGTCGCTCACCCAGTCGTTCGCCACGACCCAAGAACCGTAAACCGGTGCAACCTCCACCAAAAAGCTATGCCTCCGATGGTGTCAAGGACAATGACATTTTCAACCTCCCCACCTCCGACTATACACTCCTCGTACTGGTGACGCTAATTGGCGCCGCCGTGCGTCTCTTCCGCATCTACCAACCCACAAGTGTAGTCTTCGATGAAGTCCAGTATGTTTCGATCTTTCAGTTCCATACACACAACAAGGAAGTGTTTGCTAATGGATACCCCCCTGAACAGTTTCGGTGGATTTGCCAGCAAGTATATCAAGGGAAAGTTCTTCATGGATGTGCACCCGCCTCTGGCCAAGATGCTACTTACGCTAGCAGGTTGGCTGGCTGGTTTTGATGGAGAATTCGATTTCAAGGACATTGGCAAGGACTACCTTGAGCCTGGCGTTCCCTATGTCGCCATGCGTATGCTTCCAGCGATCATGGGTGTTCTAACGGTCTCGTTGATGTTCCTTACGCTCAAGGCCAGTGGTTGTCGGTCTTCCACTGCAGTCATGGGTGCTAGCGTTGTGATTTTCGGTAAGGTTCGCGAAGCTTTCATGAATGAGCATATCGAACTAACTAAAACTATAGACAATGCACTGACCACTCAATCCCGCCTGATTCTTCTGGACTCCCCGCTGGTGTTTTTCACGGCCCTAACTGCTCTGGCATTCACATGTTTTTCAAACCAACAGGAGTTGGGACCTGCTTATGCCTTCCGAGGTCCCTGGTGGTTTTGGCTGGCCGCAACAGGTATCTCCCTTGGTGCCACTCTCAGTGTCAAATGGGTTGGACTATTCACCATGGCCTGGGTTGGGTCTCTCACAGCCCTCCAGCTGTGGGTAGTCCTCGGAGACTCAAACACTGTCACACCCAGATTGTGGTTCAAGCACCTGTTTTCCCGTGCCTTCTGTCTGATCGTGCTTCCTCTTGGATTCTATATGGCCATGTTCGCGATTCACTTCACCTGCCTGGTGAATCCTGGTGAGGGTGACGGTTTCATGTCCTCGGAGTTCCAGGCTACCCTCAACTCCAAGGGAATGCAAGATGTGCCAGCTGATGTGTCCTTTGGATCCCGTGTCAGCCTTCGTCACTTGAACACTCAGGGTGGATATCTGCACTCGCACAACCACATGTACCCAACTGGTAGCAAGCAGCAGCAGATCACGCTCTACCCCCACAAGGATGAGAACAACGTCTTCCTTCTGGAGAATTCAACTCAGCCCCTAGGCTCCTATGGAGAGGTTGAAGGACCATTTGCCTGGGACAACCTTACTGCTACCGATAACTTTATCGAAGATGGAGCCATCATCAAGCTTTACCATTTGCTAACTCACCGACGCATTCACTCTCACGACGAGCGTCCCCCAGTGACAGAGGCTGACTGGCAGTTTGAGGTCTCGGCCTATGGATATGAAGGTTTCCCTGGAGATGCAAATGATCTGTTCAAGGTCGAGATTGTCCCCTCAATGTCCGAGGGAGACTTGTCTAAGAAGCGTCTTCGGACCATTCAAACCAAGTTCAGGCTGGTTCACGTCATGACTGGCTGCGTTCTATTCTCCCACAAGGTCAAGCTTCCGGACTGGGGATTTGAGCAGCAAGAAGTCACCTGTGCTCGTGCTGGTACTTTGCCCAACAGTGTTTGGTACATTGAGTCCAACACGCACCCTATGATGCCGGCCGATGCCGAACGAGTGAACTATCGCAACCCAGGCTTCCTGGGCAAATTCTGGGAGCTGCAGAAGGTGATGTGGACCACCAACGCTGGTTTGGTTGAGTCCCACGCTTGGGATTCTCGTCCTCCATCATGGCCTACTCTGCTCCGCGGTATCAATTTCTGGGGCAAGGAAGCCCGCCAAGTCTACCTCTTAGGTAACCCCCTCATCTGGTGGTCATCCACTGCTGCTATTGGCATTTACCTTGTCTTCAAGGCCATTGCGATCCTTCGTTGGCAACGCAGTTGCAACGACTATCGCCATGTCTCATGGAAGCGCTTCGACTACGAAATTGGCACCAGCGTCCTGGGATGGTTCTTTCACTACTTCCCGTTCTACCTGATGGCCCGCCAACTTTTTCTGCATCACTACCTGCCGGCTCTTTACTTTGCTATTATGGTTCTCTGCCAACAGTTCGATTTTGTTTTGAACCGTATCAAGATCTTTGGTATTGCCTCGCGACCTGGTATTGGAAAGACTCTCATGGCTGGATTCGTGCTCCTTACCATCGCTGTTTTCACTGTGTACTCGCCCTTAATCTACGGCAACCCCTGGACCAAGAGTGCCTGCTACAAGGCCAAGCTCCTGAATACTTGGGACTTCGATTGCGAGAGGTTCCACACCGACGTAAGTGTTCCGACGTGGAAGCCTCCCCGTCGAGGATATTGAGTGAAACCGACGAGACGTGTGGCTGACATGGAATATTCAACAATAGCTGAGCCAGTATCACTCTGAGGTTCCTGCCCTGAGCCAGGCAGTTCCAACGACACCCATCCCTGCGCCTCCCCCTCAGGTGCAACAGGAGCAACCCAAGGAGCCTGAGCAACCTAACCAACCTCAACAGCCTCCAGTCCAAGAACCTGTGGGCAATCCCCAAGACCAGCAAACAGAGGAAGCCGCTGTCACGTCTCCCAAACTTGCGGGCACCATGGCTCGCATTGAGTACCGTGATCAGCATGGCAACGTCCTTCCCGAGGAACTAGTCGCCTCCCTCCGCGCCGACGGTAATGTCAAGTTCGAGACTCGCTATGAAGCAAAGTCCCGTCTCGAGCACGCACATGAGGTTCCCATTGTGGATGGTCAACTCGCGCCCCCGCACCCAGACGTCGAGGGGCAGAACCCTGAGACTGGCGGACGTCCGGAAGACTCGATCCCACCGGAGAGGCCTGCCTCCGTTGCGCAGGGCAATGAGCGATCAGTTGAGAAGTCTAGTTCCCCTGAGGCGAAACCTGCTAGCGAGGGCAACGAAGCTACTAAGCTGTAATTATCACAGCTTGTGTGAATCTGCACATGTGTGCGGTTGGATCACCTGAGGATGGAAAGTTCGGAGTGTGTTGCTAAAATCTCCTAACATGTATCATGAACCTTTTTTGAAACATTCATAGTGATTTGTTCAATGTTTTGAAATGTTTAGAGTTAATTATTGTTTCTAAACTTCCAAAAAAAAAAAAAGACCATTGTAATTCGAGCGTCCTCGGTTCTAAATCACCTGGCTGTCTACCTACCTTAACATAGTCGTGGTGGGTCTTACGTTTGATAGTAAAGTTGCGGCCCTAATAGAGATCATACAGACGCCTAACCATACATAGATATTTAATATGGAAGGGATCTTCAAGGTCAATATCTGGCTAGAAGAGATAATAAAACCCGCGGGACGGGTGATACCGGGATGTTAAATGTGGGCGCACCTCGATATATATCCACAAAACAATACCATTGGAACTTGGAGCATCATCAATAAAAGTAACTTCAAGCACCCTGGAGCTTGAATTAATCCTGAGTTCGTTTAAAAGAAAATCAGCTCAATTAAACATAAGAAAGAGACAGATTGTCAATTGATTCTCTTTACGAAAACGGAATACTATGCACAAATCTCTGGTAATCGCAAACACAAGTCCAAGGCCACTCTCCCCAATTCTCCACCAGTAGTATACAGCATTTAGCCGTTGAAACGGCATGTTGCTCTCACAACGTCTTTTAAAGGGACTCAACTCAGTAAATTTAGTAGTCCCACTCCTCCTTACCGTACTTGTTGAACTTCTCGTGGAGGTCCTATCAGATGACGCGAATCAGTCAGCAATTCGAAAAAAAAGACCGAGGAAAAGCGCCCATGATAAATGAGACGGCAGCTGGTGACTAGCATAGGAAAAGCTGGCTTAGGGCCAGACAGGCTGGAGGGACTGCATACCTCAGGCAGGGTGACATTGGGAACAATGACAGTGTTCAGGGCGCTAGGGGCAGCGCGGAGGGGCTGGCTCTTGTCACCGTTGGGGTGGTACTGGTACTTGTAGATCTTGCCATCCTCAGAGGCGGCGTGCCAGGGCATGGAGCTCTCGCCGATACGGACGTTGCTCTCGGAGGTGACGGAGGTGGGCTTGGAGCCGAAGTACCTAATAAGTCGCAAATATCCAAGTTAGCCAATTGTAATTTCCAATTCGTTTGCGACACTGCATGCGAAGCTCATCGATCCGTTGGTCGGGTGTTATGACGACGGGGTGGCGGTTAGCCACCCAAACGTCACAAGGAGCATCGGAAGATCGGGTAGTTGGGCGCGGGAAGAGGGGGGTGTTTACCAGCCAGCGCCGAGGAAAGCACCGGACATGATGCCGAGAAGGACCTATAGCAATTGGAATTAGACTGGGCGGCTTTGGACAGGTCAATGGCAGCAGGATATCCGTACGTAGAGCTCGGGATCACGCTTAGGAGCCTTGTCAAGGCTAGCCTCCTCGACCTTGGAGGACATGAAGCGGCGCGGGGTAGCGCGGAAGATGGGCTGGCGAGCCAGAGCCCGGCGGGAAGCCATGGCAGCGATCGAAGACATGGTGGCAGCGGGTTTTGCGTGGATGAGGGGGTTATCGCGGAGGGCTGGAGACGGGGTGGTGTGAGAGAATCGTGAGTATCGAATGATGTTCCCAGGTCACGTGGTAAAGTAGATGAGTCAGCACGGAATTGAGCTCATCGATTTGTGGACTTGGGAACTTCGGGATTCTGATCTGCTAGTCGCGGTTGTTCATCTCCTGCCTTTGACTCTCCTCGTTGGTGATTTAAAGGAGGGTGATGTAATTGGGTCTTGATTGTCCTTTTTTATAATATTCAACTTCTGATTGCATTGCAGCCAAAAGGTGTGTTGCGTCTCTTGTTACTATTTTTCATTCTATATCAGGGGGTTCTGCGATCTTTCCTCCCCGGATTTCCGGACGCGTTGAGATGAAAAGAGCACACTCAACCCATTCACCCGGAGACTTGAATACTAATTATCTTGCAGGCTCTTCTTTAGTCCTCCAGTCTCTCCTTAGATTCTTTCGTCATCCAACCGTCGCTCTTTTTTTGAAGTTCGTTTTCGCTCTGCGGAGCATCGCCAACCCCCAATACATCGCGATTCATTTGCGCAACCAACGAATTTTTTAATCACCAACGGGAACGAATATGAGAGCACGCGCAAACTGCTAGTCCCATCTATTGCCCTCCTCCCTGGGATCCTGAACCATGGCGAACTCCGCAGACAGCCCCGAAACCGGCGACACGAACCAGCCCCCGGCCCAGCAACATGTTCTGGGCATTCCGCGGCCTCCCTCAGTGGGAGGAATATCATCGCGAGTGACGGATATGGCATCCGAAGATGGAGAGAACTCGCAATCCTTTACATCACCACAACCATCTCTCCAACAACAGCGTCATTCGGCCTCCCGACGTGGTCCACCCCCAACCAGGAACTCAATGACAAGCAGACCAGGAAGTTCGGGCAGTCGGCTGAGCAGGACGCATATTCCTTCTTTAACTGCATCGGCGTTTTTCCGTCCAATGAGTTCGCAACGACTACAGGCGCACCGAGGCACTCGACCAATGACCAAGGGAACAGTATCTTCGACCGACGAGTGGGGAGATCAGACAAGTCAAAATAGAAGAAGCCTGATTTCGAACAGCACATTTCAGCAGGGGTCTCTCCCTCCCGTAGATATGGAGCCCCCACCCTCGCGGGGTACAGAGTTCACAGATCCGATTATTCCTGATCGGAATACTTCAAATGCCAGCCCGATAGGCAATACAACAATAAGAAGTTTGGGCGAGAGCGTACGACTTCTACGGGATCGAGACCAAAATAGCAAAAAGCGTCCCGACCACTTGAATCTTAATGTGAATTACAGCGTGCACAACCCGCACGATATGCCTCCAAAGTCCCCACTCTCATTCTTGACATCGCAGAACAAGGGATCTGCTCAAAATGGGCATGATCCTCGCGGTCATTCCCGGCTTTCCTCCGCTGGCTCTTCCCCTGGACCTGCAGATATCAAGAAGCAGCAATTACCAAGGGGTAACATGGGCAAGAACTACGAATACTTTGTTGGCAACACCTTTTTCTGTGGCGGTGGTCGACTTCAGAACTCGAGAGACAAGCCCATCAACATTCTCACGGGAGTTTTGCTGGTCGTTCCATCGGCCTTGTTTTTTGGATTCTCAGCTCCTTGGCTATGGCACAACATATCCCCTGCCATTCCTATTGTTTTTGCATACGTCTTCTACGTTTGCTTCTCGTCTTTTGTGCATGCATCCGTTGTTGACCCTGGTATCATGCCTCGTAATGTCCATCCCATGCCTCCAACGAATCCCGCGATTGATCCATTAGCTCTTGGACCACCAACAAACGATTGGGTTATGGTGAAGCTTGCTACCTCGGAGTCTGCCGCTATGGATGTTCCCGTGAAATACTGCAAGACGTGTAATATTTGGCGGCCGCCTCGTTGCTACCACTGCCGTGTTTGTGATAACTGTGTGGAGACACTCGATCATCACTGTGTTTGGCTGAACAACTGTGTTGGACGTCGCAACTACCGTTACTTCTTCGCGTTCGTCAGCTGGGGCACCTTACTTGGTTTGTTCCTTCTCGGTGCTAGCTTGGCACATATTCTGGTCTACATGTCAAATGAGAATATTTCCTTCGGCGCTTCGATTGCGAAATGGCGTGTGCCCTTTGCAATGTTTATCTATGGTGCCGTTGCCACCCCTTACCCATTGTCACTCTGGATTTATCACTTGTTCTTAACTGGTCGGGGTGAAACCACTCGAGAGTACCTCAACTCCCACAAGTTTGCGAAGGCTGATCGCCACCGGCCATTTACCCAAGGAAATGCTTTGAAGAACTGGATCTCGGTTCTGGGACGGCCTCGTCCTCCTACCTACATGCAGTTCAAGCAGTCATACGAAGAGGGCGACCAACGCTATGCTATGCAAAAGCGCAAGTATCTCGTTCACCGTGACGTCGAGTCTCAGGCGGGGATTGAGATGCAAGAGGTTGGTCCCCATCAATAGGAACCACCACCATAAAAGCAATATCTCAATTCCCCTGGTTATGACCCATGAAGACGCCACGATTTCCTTTCTTGATCATATACCGCTTTTGGGATATGTTTTCCCATTCTACTGTTCTAATCTTTACACTCATACCCTTCCATAATTTCCTATCTGCTATGTTACCTCTGGCGAGGCATTATCATGTCATTGACATTCTCTGGATTATTTCTTCCTTATCTTCCTTACCTTCCTTTTTGTCTACATTTCCTCCTGAATCGATGCTTCGATCCCAGGATAATCTCCAGTCGTGAATATCCGACGTCTTACTTGCCCCCCTACCTTCTATTCCTTTACCTTCGGGCCTCCCGCTTAAATATTCTATCATTCCATGGAGAAAGTATCCGTGTCCTGTGAATAAAGACATAAAGACAGATGTTTGTATGCTTCAGCTGTAGAAATGTTTCCAATCCACCAAATGCCATAAATCACGCGTAGAATCCATTAATGCGGGAGCAAGACTTCTGAGGAATTTAAACATTCCAGCTGCCATGTCATACGCCTTTTGAACTCCTTTCTGCGCTCGCCCTTGATTGGATCGTCGGCAATTTCGTTGGCAAGGTGGGTGTTGATGTTGCACGCGTCAGACATCCCCATTCGCCCTCAATTGATAAGAGGCGCGCGGCTGCTGATCTTCCAACCTTTCCACCCCTGATATCACCCGACCCAACTACTCACTCAACCCCATCTTGAGAAGGACGAACCCACCCGGTGGATTGTCTTTCTCCCGAACTGTGGATCTTCAGTCCAACATGGCGCGCCGAACCTCCCGCCTGGCCGCGTCCGCAACTCCCGCTCTCGCTGACGTCCCTGCTACACACGACACCCCCGACGATACGATGAGCCTCGACATTCCAGAGCAGCTCCTCACCCCAGAGGCTAGCCGCTCGGAGACTTCAAGCAACAATGAGAACGCGTCGACGGAGGAGCAACCGACACAGCGGCGGAGATCAACACGAGTCGTACGCGCATCGTTGCGGGCCACCGAGGCGCTTGAGAATACCCCGGGCAAGAAGGATGAGAGCACCACCTCATCAAGCCAGGCATATGTAGACAGTCTGGCCAAGGCAAAGCGCTCGCGATCTGGGCTCAGACATAGTATCGCCGTGATGCAGTCGTCGCTGCGGACCGACTCGGCCCTGCCTACTGATGATACTTTGATCGAAGACCACTCAATGGCTCCCGATACCCCTGTTTCGAAGTCCTCGCAGGAGCTGCAGCCCGAAGATATGAACACTTCGCTTCAACAACGGACTCTACGAAAGCGTGTAGAGAGAGCACTGGTTCAGGATGAGGAATCGGCTACGGCAAAATCAAACCCCAAGAACGACTCTCGTCAACCACTACGTCGATCGACTCGCGCCAGTTTATTGGGCAAGGCCTCGGAATTTATGGAACGAGCCAACAGTGTTCTAGGTAAGCGCTCGAGGGATCTTGGTGACAAGGGCAAAGAGGTTGGTCGACGTGCTAGTCTTCGTCCCCGGCATATTGCGCCGACCAAGGAAGAAGGGCCAGCCTCTGTAGCAGAGCCTGCAGCTAAAAAGCGGCGGGTCTCCGAGAGCGATCTATCGAATCTGAAATCCAAGGACGAAACGCCCTCCGAGGAGTCCACTGCCCCGCCCGTTGTCAAATATAAGCCCAAGGTGTGGATGAAACATGGGCTGTACAGTGGACAGGAGGCAAGCAATTCTCCCCCAAAGCAGCGAAAGAGCAAGAATTCAGGAAAGACCAGCCTCGATATAACCAGGCGACGGCGCCATCTTCCCATGCCGATATTTGGCGGGCTCCGACTTATAAAGACTGAAAGGGATTATCTCCTTCCATTTGACATTTTCTCTCCGCTCCCACAAGGTCAACCCAAACCAGACGAGTGGCGAAAGACCAACAAAAGTATGTCTCAATTTATTATGGCACGACACTTATTGTAACGGGGACTAGAGCTAATCGATTCTTCTTAGATGTCTTTGTGGGCGACGCCGCCAGCGAATGGAAAGCAAACAAGAAAGTAGAATTGTCTACTTGTATGTGCGATGAAGATACCGGTTGTGATGAAAATTGTCAGAATCGCTATATGTTCTACGAGTGTGACAATGGCAACTGCCGATTAGGTGCAGAATGTGGCAACCGAAACTTCAGCGAGCTTAAGAACCGAACAAAGGCCGGTGGCAAGTACAATATTGGCGTGGAGGTTATCAAGACTGAGGATCGAGGATACGGTGTGCGTAGCAACCGATCTTTCGAACCAAATCAGATCATCGTGGAGTACACTGGAGAAATCATCACCCAATTCGAGTGTGAAAGGAGAATGAGGAATGTGTATAAGAACAACGAAGTAAGTAAATGGCCGAGGATCCTATGCTGCGAGGTTATTGACCAGAGACTAGTGTTATTATTTAATGTACTTCGATCAAAACATGATCATTGACGCCACACGAGGATCCATTGCACGATTTGTCAACCACTCTTGTCAGCCCAATTGTCGAATGGAGAAATGGACTGTTGGCGGAAAGCCACGCATGGCTTTATTCGCAGGAGATCGAGGGATCATGACTGGAGATGAGCTGAGTTACGACTACAATTTTGAGTGGGTTCATCGTGCAGTCGTTCTACCAGCACTTACTGACTACTTCTAGCCCTTACTCCAATAAAAATGTCCAGCAATGCCGCTGTGGAGCACCAAACTGTCGCGGCATCCTTGGACCTCGGCCGAAAGATAAAGACCAGCGTGCCAAAGCAGAGGCTGCCAACGTGAAGGTCGCCAAGACTGGTGGTACGAAGCGAAAGCGCGCAACGGCGGCTGGAACCGGGGCGCAAACAAAGAAGCGCAAGTTGCTCAGTGCGAAATCCATCAAGGTCGGCGTCAAGAAGGCTGTGAACAAGGTCACAACTGCGCGGGGCAAGACAACCACCAAGAAGACTACCACTACCACAGCTCGTGGCCAAACCAAGACCAAAACTTTAGAGAAAAAGACCGTCAAATTGCCCACAGTCAAAGCAGCATCGAGAGTTAAGGCGGCCATTCGTGCCCCCCAACGAAAGACAACATCGGCGAAGGCAAAGGCAGCTACTTCACCGGCTAAAAAGACCAACCAGCTCAAGCGACCTTCCGCTGAAACTAAGAAGCAAATCCTCGCCAACGCTGCGAATGGAAGCAGGTCTCCGACCAAATCTCCAGCCAAGCCACCTGCGAAAGGCAAAGCACCCAAGGCCGAGAAAAAGTCACCCCGCAAACCCGTCGCGAGAAAGGCCCCTACAAAGGCCCCTGTAAATGTCAAGATGCCTACCCTCAAGGCAAAGGGCTCAGCTAAGAGCCCCGGTAAGACCGCACAGGGCAAGAAAAGCCTGGGCAGCAGCGTGAAGAGCGCAGCCCGCAGTGTCGCTCAAATTGTGAAAGGACGCCACTAGATCAAGCCCAACAATATTGGACCAGACAATTTGGCTTGTTACACAGCTTTCACTCTTGGTCGTTGAACCTTGATTTTTTCAGGCTACATGCAGAGTTCCTTAAACTCTCATCTCCGATTGGGGAGATATACCTACTGGCCTAGATCAACCCATTCCCCTTCCCGCTATTGTTTTGTTCTTGCCCATTGAGCTAATCACCCCTGCTCGGCATCTTCCCGTTACGTTACCTGGCACTTGAGATGGCGTTTGGCTTATTCCTTGAGTCCTGGTTGCGCTGACTTATTTTTATTTCCTTTCATATTTCCCTATTATTTTTTATTCTTATCTTCCCCATTATTCCCTAGTCTATTTTTCTTTTCTCATGTTCGAATTTCTATTAGTCTATTTCATCTGCGCCATGGTCACGAAGTGGGTTTGCTATGGGTGGGTTCTTTGTCGGTATTGATGGAAGTCAGATTGATGCTGTCTGTGTGCCTCGAGATGTTGTTGATTTGTGGGTATCTGGGGTAGGTAGAAAACCTTGGAATTAAACACGTTTGGGCTGTAAAGTCCAACCAAGTCTTAGATATATATTGGGCCAGTTTGATGAGCAATCTGCAGCTTCTAGTGTTGAGAACCAAAGTGTATGGAAGCTCGGGTATTCAGACATTTTATAGTAGAAGAAAGTTGTCAGAAATCTGGAAATATCAAAATCAATTCCAGTTGAAAAAATATGTTACAAATAATACGCCTATATCGATCATGTCGACTCCAGACAAGACTCCAATCACGCCGCAAAAACCGAGGATACATACATCATAAAATCAGTGAAGATAACAAACACGAAAGAAAAGGAAATCGCAGAGGCGCATTCAGGCTGAAATCATGTAATGTTCATATTATACATGATCGAAATTATGCAGATTCGGGAGCTGGGGCGGGTTGCGGCTCTAGCTCATCTTTTTTTCTCTCCGGGAGCCGGGGCTGGAGCCGGAGCAGAAGCAGGCACAGAAGCAGGTGCAGGCGCAGGGGTAGGTGCAGGTTCTGCCTCTTGCTGGACTACCTCTTCGGTTGGCACAGGCGGTGATGTCTCAGCTGGCTCCTCTGGTTGGACCCCTGTACCTGGAACTTTTTCCTCGGTCGTCGAGGTTGCAGCGGCTGGCTCCAGGGGAGAGGGCTGGGGAGCCTCATCGATAGGGGCTTGGTTTACTGGAGGTGAGGGGGAGGCGGGCTTTGTAGCAGCAGCCTCGGGTGCAATAGGTTCCTCTGGTTGGGTTGGTTGCGGGGTTTCTGAGTGAGCATAACCCATTTTCACATCTTCATTGGGCTTTGCGGAATCAAGGCTAGGATCAGAGACACTGGGGAAATCCTGGTCACTCTTTGTCTCATTCAAAGCAGGAGCAGGCTCGTTATTTTGGTTTTCAGCTGGAGATGGGATAGGTGCGTCGATGGGTTCGGATGGTTTTCGGTCCGGCTCATTCGACGTCTCTGTAGGAATTTTCCCAATCGGCCGATCAAGACTAGTAGATGCCGAGGCGTCTTCAACGGGTGGCTGTGGTTGTTCCTTGAATCCGGTTACTGGAACCTCCGCCGCCACCTGAACTGGCTCTGGCACGGGCTCTGCGGGGATAGAATGCAAAGTAGCGTGTGCTCCAGCGGCAGGAGTGGGCTCAGGAGCTACAGACTCCTCCTTGGGCACCGTCTCTGATGCCAAGTGAGATGGGGCCTCGGGTTGATGGGGCGCTGCAGGTGGTTCTTCTAGTGATCCCGCACCGGCTAATTGGTAATCAAGACCACTATGTTGTTCAGTTGAGACATTTTCGATTTTCTCTGTAGCAGGAGCAGGTGCGTCAGAAGCAGCCGGAGCCTGGGGTTCGGCTTGCGGTGCCTCAGATGTCGCCGAGGGTGGTGGGACCGCTTCTTGTCCCGTCACAGTAGGCTCTGAGACATTGGGTTGTGGCTCGAAAGTCGCGTCGGACATTTCAACATCCTTGGAATCAGCTGGAGTATCAACTGTGGGCTGGTCCCCAGACTCGGCGACGGATGGGGCTTGTGGGGTTTCCGGAGTTTTCGCATCCATCATGGACTCGTCTCCCTCATCACTGTCATCGACATCCTCACCATCATCTTCATCGTCGTCCTGGCCAGATTGGTCGATTGACATCTGTGAAGCATCCTGTCCGTCCTTAGGAGCACCATCACCAACACCTGTACCAGAAGGAACGCCATGCACAGTCGAAGCATCAGCTCCTTCTCCTGGGGCGAACATGACCTTCTTCTTTCTCCCTTTGCCAATGCCCTTACCCTTGCGCTTTGGTGGCGGGGGTCGTCTCTTGGGTGGGGTCATCACAGAAGCTGAGCCAGCTTCCGCAACCACGACACCCTCTGAATTAACAATACCAACGCCTTCCACAACGGTGCCAGGCGCGGGCATCTCAGAACTAACAGGCATGGCACTCTGCTGAACAATAGCCTGGACGTCACCAGTGATCTCGCCTTCAATGCGATGTCCCTCGGGGACCCACGCTTCATAAATGGAGATCTTGCCCGTTTCAGGGTCGGTCTTCTTGAACTTCGTGCGTCTCATGGGACCAGGTCCAGACCCAGATCCATCGACAGAAGTTGAACCACCATAAAGAGACGGTAAGCCAGATCGTCTCTTCGCCAAAAACTCCACCTCCGCAGGCTCCAGATGTTTAGGAAGTGTCATCCATTTGCGACTGGTAAAAGTGCGATCCGCGGAATGAGCACCGGCTCCTTCCTCGCCATCCGCAACGGTTTTGTCGTCCTCATCAGGAGCACGAGCATTCTGGTGGATGTAGATACACCCAGCACGAGCGGCGCGCAAGAGGGCGCGACTGCTTGCGCCCAAAAGCTGGCTGTCCCGCGGCATAGCTAGCTCCGGCAGTGCAGCAGTTCCACCGGGCCCCTGTACTGTGAAATCGGAGTCTTCTGTCTTGGCAACTTGGGAATGAGTGTATGGTTGACGCGACCAGCGGCGAACAGGTAATCCTTCGAAGACATCGTGATCAATTTGGCCGGTTCGGCGGTTACCGTCGAGTTGACGGCCGGAACGTGATGACCGGAACTATTAATATGTTTAGTGGGAATGTTCTATCGAAAATTGTACTTCCTTGATTGCTTAATAGCTTTGCTTGGAGCTTCTAGCATTCACGGAATGAGAGTGTTGCGGTCGCAACAAAGACGTACAGTCGATGGCATTGTGGCCGGTCCTGGGGTGCTCCCCACGCAAAAACCAATGAAAAGATACCCAAAGAAACCCAAAGGGTCGACGTGGAAGGCGGCGGAGGGAAATCGACGTGGATGGGGGCGGAGTTGCTTTCGGCGCGTTTCCCAGCGTCGCAGGATCTCGTCCTAAGGAGTATCATCACGTGATATTCCAACATATCGATTCATAGAGAATCAGGGATATACTTGGAACGCTCTAATGAATCATAGAGGGGAGAGACTAAATTTCTATTCTGATACTCGGGAAAAATGATTTGCCTCCAAAGACAGCGCTCGTTTATAATACAGGAAAAGAATCAAACCCAACCTTCAATGTGGCAATACTCATTCAACGCGATGAAATAATTGGCAATATTTGCATTCAATTATGTTGATTAATTCCAGCTAGCATAGGTCAGCATAAGAAATGATTTGGAAATTCAAATAGAAAACCTACCCAGTTTCCGTTTGACGAACAATGCTGCCATGGTCGCCGGTCTCCTTGCCCTGAAGAGCGTTATGTATTAGCGGAGCAGCTCGACATGCGTTAGTTGGAAGTGCTTACAGTCTTCTGGCCCTCCACCACCAACTTGTCCATTTGATAGAACTGGCTGATAATTGTTTGCCTCTGTCGTAGACGTTAGTTTGATGTTTCTTGACGTAACATGAACCATGATGAGGTCCTGGAGTGAATCTCAGACACAATGCACCGAAGGAAATCATCTGCCAAGGCAACCCATCTCGCGCTCCAAATGGTGGATCAATATATCAACTAACCTTCAGCAAACGCAGGTCCTGCAGACCACTCTGGATTAGCTCCTGTATCCGGCGGTCCTCCGACTCGTTTTGGTGCTCGCGGAACGCATCGCGCGTCTTCCGGCGGGCGTATTCGCGGAAGTTGTAGTTGGAGAACTGAGTCGATTGGCGCATCAGAGAGCGGAACTGTCCAAGCAAATACCGATATTAGTTGGATGTAGACAATTGCGCTGCACTTAAGGACTGCGTTTTCTGTTGATCGAATATCATCGGGCATGACTTACCAAAGACCGCACCTGGAAGCCGGTTTCGCGATGCAAGCTGGCGACAGACATGATAAAAAATTTGGAGTGGGGATTGGAGATAAAATAATTGTTGAAGAAAAGACAGTCACTAGGGAGAACGGGTGCGATCTGTCAAACTATTTGATTGTTAGATATCGGTGCCACCACGTCCCACAACACTATCACTGACAGGTCTGATCGTCGCAAAAGGATCACCAAAAGCGTGCGTTTACTGTCGGTCTAATCCAAGAGGATGCGGACAATGTTTGTGTCAATAGGTGCCGTGCGACTGCAGGGTTTATATGGCGTTGACGAAGGTGGCGGTACAGTTTCCAGCGATATCGCAAGGAGATCGAGGGGAAGGTTCGATACCAAACGAGTTCGATAGACTTCAGATGCTTTGTTGGAAACAGTGCAACAACAGTTCCAGCCAGAGATGGTAGGGGGGTGAAGAGTGAAGAGAGTTGTGATCTCGGGCAAAGCGCAGGGCGGGAAATTCTTTTGCGTTCGGAGTCGCCAATGACGGAGTTACCGGGGCCGAGCTCCTGCTCCATGGTTCTTCCTCCCCCACAAACTTTTGCGTCACATTCTTCAATTATTGATAGTTTATGAGGAAGGTCTCTTCTTCTATCATTTATCATGCCCCAGATACCCACGCCTCCTGCATCGCGACCAGGGTCGGAGGCTCCTGAGGTCGAGGTCAAGTCCGCGGAGACCCCGGCAGCTTCAGCGGATTTGCTCCAGTCGTTGGATACTCTCCTGGAACAGTACTTGCACCTGCTTGATCGACAGCAGGAGTTACAGTCTGGGCTGGCAAAGCAATTATCTTCGGTATATGATTCTGTTGTGCGAAGTCATCATATTGTGCACCGCTAATCCTGCCTAGGGATTTCTTGCCCTCGCCCATGCAAACTACACCTGTCCACCCGGCCGACGATATGGCGCGGACTACTATGATGAGCGGATGAAAGCAACCAGGAAGATGTATGTCACTCTAGATGAAGTCGTTGGGCTTGACCATTTTTTGACGTGTCGATATCAACAGTGCGATCCAAAGGGCACCCGAGGAGGACGGATCCACAAACTCGACAGAGGCTAGCAGCGCCCAATCGAATGAGTACGAATACCAGTTTAACATCGAGTATACTCCAAGCCGCGCACCCGAAGCGCAGGTGGGGACAAAAGAAGAATTGCAGTCTGAGGACTCGGACTCGGAGAAGACATCGCAACTCGACACCCCCGGTGCTGGGGCCGAGAGCGATTCGCCAGTTGAAGATTCCGCCCCTGCCAAATGCTCTGTCAAGTCCAAGGCGGCCAAGAAATCTAGACCCAGTGATCCTCTATATTGGTTCGGAATCCTGGTGCCGCCTTCATTACGCAATGCTCAAAAGTCCTTTACCGACGGTATTCAAAACGAAGTACCGGCTTTGGCGGCCGTGGTGGTCGAGATGCGCGGCCTAGAGGACCAGATCAAAAGACTACGGACGGAACTTGGAGGTTAAATTCCTCCACCAGAATCTGACGAACCATGTCCAATCTTTCATGGCTACAGAGCGCAGACCTGTCAAACTGTTGATCATTTACTGTTGATCCAAGGGCTCTCACAACGGGTTTATGGAGCTAGGTTTGGAGCCAGGGCCAGACCCGCTTGGATCCAAAGATGGACTCCGTAGTGCATGGGCTCCACAGACCAGGATCAACGTTACGACGTGAACGGTGGAAATTTTTATGGGTGAGCTCCGCCATTTGTATAGTCCCAACTTCTAGGGTATAAGTCTGCTTTAGTCCCCCTTTATACGGTTTTCCGAAGCCGTGGCCAATTCAGTCTTAGAAAAACGGCCACTTGCCCTGTGCTGTGGTCATAGCACTGTAGTGATCGGGTCTTGTTCTCTTAGCCGTTAGAGTGTTTCACTCCTGGCGTTGACTAAATTAAGGCCACTCCGTACCACCTAACGTATGTGCTTGTGTTCATAACACCCAAATAGTCCGACGTCAGAGCTCTTTTGGGATGAATTAGTACGAGAATCGAAAGTCAAATATCCCGTTCCTAGTTTCTGATTGCTTTGCCATGGTAAGCGACCATGGCCCCTCAATGTGAGACGTAGCGTCGGAGACTAACGTCTGGAACGAACCCCACTGGTCTAGCGTCGTCTGTCATTCGCTCGGCCCCAACACCCACGTTTGATTCGTCGCAGGGTCTAGGTGCCTGGATCTCATGTTTTCTTGCGCGTTGTACCGAGGGTTTCTGATAGGATACGACGGTCGCAAATTCTGAGCTTCGACTTGATAGAGCTAGGGAGGTTGAGGGGCTCCGTGTGATTGGTCTGCCAGGCCCGTCTCTGATAGATCGGGTGACCTGGAAAGATTGAGATTGCAAGGAGACACGGATACCAAAGATTAATTAATCAAGCTAGCCTGCTCCACCGGGACAATTACTTTTTTCGCACAGGGTTTAATCTAAAACCGGGGGTTTGAGGCTGGGGACTATTCCGACATTGTTGGCGTTTTCTCCCTTTTCTCTTCTTTTCTTTGTTAGCGACTTTCTGAAGAGAGCTGGAGGCTCTTCCCCTTCTTCCTTTCGTTCTTTGTAAGTCCACGGTGGTGTCCATAATCCCCGGCCATGACAGCTAAGATGAACGATAATCGCCAGGCTCAGTTGTTTGAAACGTCGCTGGTTTGATATCTGCGATCTCTTCTCGTTCTTTTATTTCTTCGACACATTGTCCAACTGTAAGCCTCGTTCTATAGACAATGATCTGCCTGGGCCGAATCCTGACTCTCTTTCCATTCCAGAGGCATTGAATGCCCTTACATTCTTTATAGATATTTGGCAGTTGGAACCAGTGGTTCTAGCTCATCATTCTCGGTAGACTGTTTGAGGCAGTCGCTGTAGAATTCACTGCTTTGTTTTTCAAACGACACCATTCACTCGTTCCGCGTCTTACCGCTATATACATTCTTTTCATCGCTTGATCAGGGGATCGAGCAAATTCTCCACTGCTATTCAGTTCATACTGTCGCAATCCAGCAGAGTTCGGCCAGATTTAAAGTTCTTCAGACTTTATCACCGCCTACTTGATGCTATAGTAAGCCCTAGCTGCAGATCCGCAATACGAACAACCGATCTGTGATTCGACAGCTAGGCCAAGGGACCAATGCTTCCCCCAGATCATGCCAATCAAGGGCCAAGCCCGGACTCATCGGGAAATGAGCCAAGCCGCTCAGGCTCTGTCAAGAGAGCGCGCCAGTTACTGGAAGCTGGAGTACGACCAACAAGAACAACATCCCAGGTCCCAGCACCACCGCCTCCTCCACCAGTCAGACAGGCCGCTCACCAGACGCAGTGGCCGCTGCCAGCATCAGGACTGCAGCCTCGGCCTCTCAACCCCCATAATCCACGTTTCATGGCACCCCGAGGGCCCCCACCACTTCGGCCCCCACGCCCTAGTGATGTGCCCTCGCAGATCCCTTCGCCATCGATCTACTCTGTACGAAGTGGCGAGAGCCCCGCGCCCAGTGTGAACCTTCACCCGAATCCGTATCCTTACCCAACACGGCAGGCAAGGTCATTTTCGCATCCAAATCCGCATCAGCAGCCGCACCCGCCTCGCCCGTTGACCAGCGATGGCTCCGCTAGTCCAACGAGCACCGTGGACTTGACTCCTCGTATCTCGATTACAACTGATGATCTCTTCAGGCATTCAACCTACTCTGCTACTTCGTCGACTGCTGGTATGGCTACGATCCCGTCTCAAGAGCCACCTTTGCCAATAGCTCAACCGCGACGCCCGCCGGCTGGGTTGAGTGCTGTCCCCCCAGGTGCACGACGCAGCCAGGCTCGTAGATCTTCTGTGTCGCCGATTCCAGAGGAGATGCCCCACCCCCGCTATACACTGGGATCCTTCGCCTCTAGTCGAGCAATCCCGTACAGCTGGGGGTCTGGACCTCCTGAATCAGACATTCTGGAAGCATACCTGAGCGACGGGTCAAGCGAAGAAGAGGATGCCCATACCAACAGCCATGAAATAGCGAGCCCCGTGCGCAGTGCTAGCGTTGGCAAGAGGCAGAAGCCCACAATGCGTACAATCATGAAGTCGAGCCCGGGCTCCGAAGTGTCGATTCCTGATATGCCCGAACTCACACCCGCTTGCACCAAGGAAGATTCCAGCAAAAATACTGTAGGAACACCAGTCGCGGCAGGCACACTTCGAGTCGTAAACGTTGGCCGCACAGAAATCCGCACCCCTAGCCCGGTGCGCCGTGGGTCAATCTCTTCGCTGTCTGGAGAGTCTTGCGTGGATCCTGAGAAGCCGCGCTTCGCTAAGCAGGATGATAATACGTACCGTGGCGCTTTGGAAAAAGAGCTCGAGGGCCTGCCTTTGGCTGCGCCAACGATGAGTGACAAGAGGCCGAATGGAAGAAAGCCCCCGCGGCTGGACATGAATGCTGTGCGGGATGCGGAGGCCCGTGGAAGTCTCTCGAGTTTGTCGGATCTGATTCGACGCGCTACTCGATTGGCCTCGAACCTGGACCGGGGAAAGACTGCCAGCCGGGCTGATCTTGCGGGTGCAGGTGCAGACTTTAGAGAACTAGGTGAGTTTGGTGTAAGCCCTATGCGCAAGAAGTCAGTGCTAACGGTATCTAGGACACCGGGGTCGCAACTCTGGATCCCTATCTGATATTCTGGCGTCATTTCCTAATCCGACCCCGGACGGACACAGCTCCTGGCCGGTGTTCTTCGGCCGGTCTAATCTACGTAATGTCGAGCCTCTCGCCTCTCACGACGACACGCCCGAAGCGTCGAAACCCAAGCGTCGATGCTGCGGAATGCCTCGAAAGTGGTTCATCATTCTCTGTATCGTCATTTTCATCATCGTCGTTCTCGCCATTCTGCTCCCAGTCTTCCTGGTCGCTGTGCCCAATGAGAACGCAACTGACCAATCTTGCGCGCAATCGACACCCTGTCACAACGGCGGCGTCAGCGTATCAAGTGGTACGGAATGTTCCTGCGTGTGCGCGGAGGGATATATGGGTATCCAGTGCAGTATCGCCGGCGATAGCACCTGTGTGGCAGCGGAAGTGAACAACGGTAGCGTCAACAAAAATGCGACGATGGGCAGCTCCATCCCCACTCTACTGGATCAATCGGACTCGAAATTCGGCATCGAACTCGACGGGGTGACCATCATGGCTCTCTTTAGCATTAACAATGTTACCTGCCAGACCGAGAACGAGCTGGTTGCCTTTAGCAAGGTGGAGCGCAGCAACAGCAGCAGCAGCAGCAGTGATAACGCCCGTCGCGCAGTTACCCTCCCAGTCGAAATTGACACCGAAGAGAAGACCTACAAAACCCCTTCAAAATTGGCTGGATTAAGTGGTGTTTCCCACGTGGTGCATGCGCGCGCCATGGCCACTTCCAACGGTATTCTTTATGATAGTGGAGCCGATTCCTCCAATACTCAATCGTCCAGTGACGAGGACTCCACCGCGACCACCACCAGTTCGCCCACGGCAACCACCACCGGAACCGGAGCCACAACTACGGCATCCGCCACAGCCACCAGTGTTCCCTCAGGGGTCGTGGAGTTCTCGCAGGTGGCAGTGCTCTACATCCTGGAAAAGACTGGGTCGTTTGACTTGGCACAACAATCTGAATCGGAGATCCAGACGTACTTGGTCGATGAGTACAACTCAGCCGCACACCCGTCCGTGGAGGTATTAGGATGGTATGGATTAGACTTTGCCAACAAAACAATCAGCACGGGGTGAGGGACTCCGCATCGTTGCTATCCCAAATTTGAAGAGTTTCAACCGTTCGGCTCAGTGGGGAGGGGGATTAGATTCTGTAGTTACATGTACATAAACCAGATACCACATACGTTAAGTTTTCAGGGATTCAATTTCAGGGACTCAGGGTCTAGATAAATTTTCTACATTTCTATTCGTGGAACACCGGGAAGGTACTGAAGACATAGCCATCATCAAAGTGCTCCAAAAAAGGTGGTAGTGGATCCAAGTGGATGCCAAGCACTTTTCTCGGATGAATCGAGCCTTCGATCACGACATTTTTGGCGGAGGTTGCGTGACGGTCACGTGGCACGAAGCCGCGCCAGCCATCGACGTTGAAGCACAGATGTATAAAGAACATACGAGTTCTTTTCAGGGATCATGAACCCTATATCAATTTCAGGGGCAGTGGGACGAGGGTTCGTCACCGGGAGGGCTGAGTATATACGTCGTCAGGAGAAAATGCCGCCCCCTGAAAATCAGGGAAGAGAGGAGATGATCCCCGCTGTAAACGAGTACGGGCCCCGATCTCCGCGGCCGGAGAACTGTTCATTGGGGACGCAAGTATGGAGTACTAGGAACAGATGGCTAATACTATTTTATTAGTGTATCAATTATGGGAAGTGGCCACCTGGTCAGACTTTATACTTCCGTAATATGTATCTGACATTAAGGATTGGATCATCAGTGGAGGATGATGTACTGTAACCCTCCGATACAGAAAACGGTTAGATGAAACCACGGAACTCCATCAGAGACCCTGGATGAAGCACAACGCGCGTAGAGAAGGGGGAAAGAAATAATTCTAGATAAATCCGAAACGTCAAAAGGGAATTGATAGTCCCGAGTTCCCCTGGTTCACGTTTCTGTCTGGATGATGCGGCGCAGCCAAGACTCCAGTTGGACCCACTGTTGACGACTGTCCAGGCCATGATTGTCACTGGGAGACGTACGACACCGAAGCTTGGTTAGCATGATAAGACGGCTGATTTTTCTCTTTCCGATTCCTCCTCCACTTTTCTTCCTTCTGTATATTACCTGGGGATTCCCTCAAAAAAGTCTCGTTTGATTTTCTTCTTTACACACACATTCACACACCATGGCCAACGCTCCTCACGGTGGTGTCCTCAAGGACCTGATTGCCCGCGATGCTCCTCGCCAGGAGCAGCTCATCGCTGAGGCCGAGACTCTCCCCGCTGTTGTGCTCTCTGAGCGCCAGCTGTGTGATCTCGAGTTGATCATGAACGGTGGTTTCTCTCCTCTGGAGGGTGAGTTCATCCATTCCCACTTTCCATTGACCCAATTTTTCCCAATCGCGACCCAGAAAGCTCTATGATCAATTCCACTGCCACTGCATTCATTGCCAATTTTCTGAGGTTGAATGGGGGGAATCAAGATCACAGCTCCTTTTTTGGGGGGAGAGGGGGACCTTGCATACATTAGAGGGGTAATGGCTAACTTTCGATCTCACCGCCCATAGGTTTCATGAACCAGGCCGACTACAACGGGTATGCTTAGAAATGATGCCATTGGACTTCGATCACGCAATATCTAACTCGTGCATAGTGTCTGCGAGGACTGCCGCCTTGCTGATGGCAATGTCTTCTCCATGCCCATTACCCTCGATGTCAGCAAGCAGACCATCGACGAGAACAAGCTGCAGGCTGGTTCCCGCATTACCCTGCGTGATTTCCGTGACGAGCGCAACCTGGCCATCCTGACCATTGACGATATCTACCGCCCCGATAAGTGAGTTTATAACGTTATTTTTATTTTCTTATTTCCTGTTCCTGTGCTCTCGTGCTCGGGCAATAATTTTGGGAGGGGTGGTGGAGGGGTTGATCTCCGGTTTCGCCGCACTTTCCTGCCGATCCCTCTCCGAGACGAACCGGCTATGAATTTTTTTCTGGCTTGGATATCTCCTAGCTGGGGATTCTTGTTCATTGGTTTCATTCCAAACAAATCCCGCCCCTCTCCCCCCTTTTTTTGACCCCGGAGATGAGTGGCGGCTCTGGCCATGGCCTTGACGTCAAAACTGTTACGCAATATGAGAGATCAAGGACCGTGCTTTTGGTAGTGGGGCAGGGCTGACGTGGATGTTCCCCTTATTTAGGACCAAGGAAGGCAAGCTCGTCTTCGGTGGTGACCCTGAGCACCCCGCCATCAAGTACCTGAACGAGACCGCTCAGGAGTACTACATTGGTGGTAAGATTGATGCCGTCAACAAGCTGAACCACTACGACTATGTTGCTCTGCGCTGTAAGTTTTGTTTTGTTTTGTTTTTTTTTCTTTGATTTGTAATTATTTGCGCCATTGATCTAACGCGGATCTTCAGACACTCCCGCCGAACTCCGTGTTCACTTCGACAAGCTGGGCTGGTCCCGCGTTGTCGCTTTCCAGACCCGTAACCCCATGCACCGTGCTCACCGTGAGCTGACCGTTCGCGCTGCTCGCTCCCGCCAGGCCAATGTCCTGATCCACCCCGTTGTCGGTCTCACCAAGCCCGGTGACATTGACCACTTCACTCGTGTCCGCGCCTACCAGGCTCTTCTGCCCAGCTACCCCAACGGCATGGCCGTCCTGGGTCTGCTCGGTCTTGCCATGCGTATGGGTGGTCCCCGCGAGGCCATCTGGCACGCTATTATCCGTAAGAACCACGGTGCTACCCACTTCATCGTTGGTCGTGATCACGCTGGTCCCGGTAGCAACTCCAAGGGTGAGGACTTCTACGGTCCTTACGATGCTCAGCACGCCGTCGAGAAGTACAAGGACGAGCTCGGCATTGAGGTCGTTGAGTTCCAGATGGTCACCTACCTGCCCGACTCCGACGAGTACCGCCCCGTTGACCAGGTCCCCCAGGGTGTCAAGACCCTGAACATCTCCGGTACTGAGCTGCGCCGCCGTCTGCGCTCCGGCGCCCACATCCCCGAGTGGTTCTCCTATCCCGAGGTTGTCAAGATCCTGCGCGAGTCCAACCCTCCCCGCGCTACCCAGGGTTTCACTGTCTTCCTGACCGGTTACATGAACTCCGGCAAGGACGCCATTGCCCGTGCTCTCCAGGTGACTCTCAACCAGCAGGGTGGTCGCTCCGTCTCTCTGCTGCTCGGTGATACCGTCCGTCACGAGCTTTCCTCCGAGTTGGGCTTCACCGCTGAGGACCGCCACACCAACATCCAGCGTATTTCCTTCGTCGCCTCTGAGCTGACCCGCGCCGGTGCCGCTGTCATCGCTGCCCCCATCGCTCCCTACGAGCGTTCCCGCAAGTACGCCAAGGACGCCGTCTCCCAGGCCGGTCAGTTCTTCCTCGTCCACGTCGCCACTCCCCTCGAGTACTGCGAGAAGACCGACAAGCGTGGCATCTACGAGCGTGCCCGCCGTGGTGAGATCAAGGGCTTCACTGGTGTCGATGACCCCTATGAGGCTCCCACCAACGCCAACCTTACTGTCGATACCTCCACCCAGAGTGTCCGCAGCATCGTGCACGAGATCATTCTCATGCTCGAGACTGAGGGCTACTTCGAGCGCAACTAGGAAGTTTGATTGGTTGCTCGCCTTTTTCTTTTTTACGTTTTGGCTCTGTCCATAGAGATGTGTACTCGCTTTTTAATTGCGATTGGATTCCCCTGAATTAGACTTCACAATCAATTCCTTGTCCACCTATAAACATGAAATGTTATTGGATTCTAGATTATACCACTTCTGAGGGTTACCCATCGTGTTCAATCTCGTTCTGATCTGTAAGTGTATGTGACATTTGAAGGTAATGAATGGTACAGACCATTTACAACTTGGCTCCATTACAAAGCTTCCTTTAGTAATGAGAAAGCCCGTCTGTCAGCAGCTAGTAGTGTAACGTGACCCATGAGGGTCGTTCAATCGCTGCTCTATCTACTACGAAATGGCCAACAATATCTATCTTGATACCAGGTCTATCCACTATTTGTCTTCAAGGGCATATCTCCAAGACGATATTTCCGCTCTCAAGATAAAAGTACATGATTAGAGGAGGGGTGTACGAGAACCGAATATAATGGTCAGCACTAAGCTGATTATGAATCCAACGCGGAAGGTTCCTGCAATCCTGTAATCCTCACCAATCATCGTCCAGCATATCCATAGTATACCTGAAATAGTAAGTCGACTAAGAAGTAACGGCCCTTAAAAGTTAGCACCGCAGCGTAAGACAACCCCGCGCCTCACCTTCGATTTTCCAATTTTTTCAATAACCCCAATACAATTGGAAACCTGGGGCGCCTTTGGACCCTGAGATAAAAAATCCCGACCAAGCACAAAATGTCCAACATCAAGCTCTACTACTCCCCAGGCGCTTGTTCACTGGCCCCGCATATCCTCCTCCATGAAACAGGCCATGCTTTCACCACAAAACAAGAAGGACGAAGTGCCTCTGACGAGCTCCGCGCTCTAAACCCCAAAGCCAAGGTCCCCGTCCTCTTAATTGACGACACGGTCATCACCGAAAATATCGCTATCCAGACTGCAATCTCCAATCTCGCACCGGAGAAGAGCCTCCTCGGTGCCCCGGGAAGCCTGGAATCGATCAGGATCTTGGAGTGGCTTTCATGGCTAGCTACCTCGGTCCATGCCACCGGCTTTGGATTGTATTTCCGTCCATTCCGGTTCACCACGAGTTCCGATGAGAAGACACATGAGGAGGTCAAAGCCCGGGCCAAGGAACTGCTCAAAGATGCATTTGATCTTGTTGAGGAAAAGTTGACCGGGGTTCATGCCGTGGGTGATCGATTTACCGCAGCTGATGCTTATTTGTATGTGTTCTATCGCTGGGGTTCGACCATTTGGGATATGGAGGCCACATTCCCAAAGTATGCGGCTTTGGCAGCGGCTGTTCAAGCTAGAGAGTCAACAATCAAGGCTCTCAAGGAAGAAGGCCTGTGATATTCTTTTCGTCAGTGATCTCATCTTGCGAGAAAATCTATGGTTAGCCTGCTTCTACACTGAATGGATCAATTTCAACAATCAACTAGGTTTATATTGCGCATTTATTACAGTCTATTCTAGCAACATGTGCAAACGTCGTAAGTCTAGTCAACCTTATACCTTCAAGATTTCAGTCGAGCTGGAAGGCGATCTTGAACGCTCAATGGGCCTGTTAAACAACACCGCTATACTCACAAGAGCCTTCCCAAGAGCGCACAGTAAAAGGGGAAATCTCGAATTAATCTCGCGTTGAGCGAAAGCCCCAACAAAACAGCCCGCGACCAACATGATGATGAACATGACCCGCCGGTTGCGGAGCCGGTTCTTTAATTTGCCCAAATTTGGATCCACCACCAGATCTATAAATGCAGCAGTCGCCATAGCCGTTGTGATCTCCGTAATCTTCAACGAACGACTCATAGCGACCTGCGCACCCGAGGAAAATGCCAACAACGCAATCACAGCCATTGCGGCAGGTCCATCTCGCTTGACAGGCCATCGATACTGGATAATAAGTGCACAGAAAACAAACAGCGTCTGGATGAAATTGCTGATCAACAGCCAGAGCCGCCGCCGCACGCCGACATAGTTCCCGAGCTGGCCCATGATAAACCCGCCCGCCACAAAAAGACTCAGGCTGACACCTATATTGGGGAAGCTATATGCGTTTCGGGTCAAACCTGCGACGCCGATCGCGAGGAAGAGTGTGTTGCCTGTTTGGTTGGAGGCAAAGCAGGAGTAGTCGGGCCAGGCGGCAGCATCTTGAATTCCTGTTGCGAAGGAGAGGATCAAGAGTTCGCATTCAAGGAGCAGATCTTCGCGGATATCTTCCATGAGGAATTCATGGAGGTGAGATTTGCGGCGATCCTCTGTTTTTGGGAGGGTGGGCGCCATATTGGTGTATGTTTCTACCGCGCGTAACTGTTAGCCCAGCCGACCTTCAGTCGTTGGCGCGATTTTTGAAGCGTTTCGGATTCACAGGGACATTCAAACTCACTCGATTCCAGAATGATGCTCAATAAATCTGAGGTGGGTTGGTCTTTGAAGTTGCTTGCGGAAGTATGGCCATAGCCAATTTCAAAATATTCGCCGGTCCGTCTGATTGACGTGCTGGAATACGCCTTTATATGCATGAGATAGTCGTGTTGCTCATGATTGGGACCCTTCCTGGGCTGTGCCGGCTAACATTCCTGGCTGACGTATATCCATACGTTGTACATACATTGTGAAGGGGATGTGGAATTCCAGGATTGAGGTTCCAGGGCAGGTCGACCACGCGAGTGGAGAAAGCCAAGTTCTGGAGTACGCAACAGGCTAAAACATCCTGCTGATCGGGAGAAGACCATATGGCGAAATGACGTGCCTACTTGGCCGATCATCTTGTAGATGCATTGTTGACCTGTCCCGCGTAGAATCAGATCTGCCAAGACAGATGGCGTGGACTTTGGAATCTGGAACGACACGAATTCTTGGAAGATCCTCAAGGAGGTATGTCTCAAATAATGCACGCATTAGCCCGATTCATAAAGATATCTTGAATTGCTTAGATAAGGTGTCACGAAGCTTAAACTGCCGATCAGCATCATCCCGGATCTTAATCATGTCAGGAGTGCGCGTCAAGCTATAAGCAGCTAGAATAGGTGTTGACATTTAGACTGGAAGGACCGTTTAGTAATAAAAATCAAGCTCAGCACTAAGAGAACAATAGCGAGGATACAAAATGCAGAGTTACTTGCCTTGTTTCCTAGTTGGGAAGCTCTAAAGCAATCGCTTCACTCACTTCTTCTCCCTCTTCGTCTCTTTCTATCCTCCATCATCTCTGTCTTTTTATGCTGCATCGATAACCCATCACTGTTATCACTTTCCACTTTCCCCCGGGCGTAACTTGTTTCAACCACCTTCACCATGCCGACCAAAGAATTCCGCCTGGATTTGCGGGATGCCTCCACCCCACAGCAATATTTGCACCTGCGCAAGGTTAAGCCCGGAGACTACGATGACTCCATCTCTTTTAATTTCCATGACCCCAGTTCAGGAACTGCTCTTGAATTCCAAGTTGTGGTATCTGGTGAGTGGATCACAGTCCCGTCCCCTCGGACCCACACTGACTTGAGCCTCAGACCCTTCCGACTACCCCACAGATCACAGCTTCGTGGTCTTCGCATCAACCGACAATGTCACTCCACAGGTTACAATCGCCTTGGAAAAGGCACAGAATAAGGGCATCTTCACCGGCGTCTCCCTTCACGACGCCTTGACTACCGTCGATCGTATCGTCCATAATGTACTTCGCGAACCAAACCCCCACTCTTCAGGGGAACGAAACCATGAACATAATTCTGATGACAGTGACGGAGCGATGGATGACTATGAGGACTTTTCTGACGATGAAGCAAACTTCCATCTAACTCCCCGACAGGGACCGACACTCCCCCAGAAGCTTCGGCAGGACCTTCGTCTTGCCAAGGCAGCGGGGTTCAAGGTTGGATATTTGGGAAGCAAGACGGGACCGGTCATTTTGTCCATCGCTCGCCGCATCTCCAAGCTGGATATCTCAAAAGAAGCCATGCAAGCATGGACTGTGCAGCCCTCGGAATACCTGGTGCTCTTGATCCGGTACTCAAACGTATATCAGGATCTGCAAGGCATTCTCGAAATGAACGAATCCGCGGCCCCTTGTCCTCAAATGCGCATCGGACTTTGCGACTCTTACAAACCATCATCTTTCAAGGCTGCCCTCCTTTCTTTTCAAGCCCCCACGTCATTTACAACTGAAGGGGATTCTTCCAAGCCCTCTGAGACGGGGCCAAAGACAAGTCTCAGACCGATGTTTATTGGGTCATCACTCAACAAACTTCTGAATGAACGACTTCTAGGAATTATGACCTATCGCAAGAAGTTTTGCCTTTCATGGACAGGCGCCGAATTTCTCTTTCACGCCAGTCAAGGAAAGGTCATTAGCGGGGAAGATGCAGGCGACCCCAAATTTTACGTTCAAGACACCTGGGTTTCGCCTCCTCCAAGTAGCCTAGCCTCAGATCATTACATGGAAGCTGGCTTAGACACAACTAAAACTTCGTTTCCTCTCGTTGCTATGCAATTCACGCTTCGCCACTTTGTCAAGTGCACAGAGTTTTGTCTTGTATGCCATTGCAAGACCTTCGATAGTTTCGAGGCCCTGAAGCCATATGTCTGCTCCAATGGATTGTGTCTCTATCAATACATGACCTTCGGAATGGGCCCCAGTGTGGAATACGATATTCGGACACAGCCCTTTGTCGTCGACCTACTTGTGTCTTTGGCATACGCCCGAGCAAAGGAGGGTCTCCTCGATGATTTTCCAACTGGCTTAGGGATTCTGGTCCCTGACGAGGATAAAGTGACCAAGGAAAAAAAGCCAGCTGGAACCTCTGAGTCTTCCAACTACCATACTGGCCACTTGATCAAATCCTCAATGACTATGATTTGCCAAGCACGTGGAATCACAGCGGGCGACTGGATCCAGATCATCCCTGATATGCACTCCCTGACGACCAGTTGGCACTGTCAAGTGAAAGATGTTGATGAGGATCTTGCGTCTTTTACAATTCTAGAGCCTATCGAAACAAGATCGAATCTTTCACTCAGCAATACTGTGCATGATGCCCAGCAGGTAAATTTTGTGTGTTATGATCAGAATTTCGATGACATGAAACCTCAAAAAAAGCAAAAAACCATGCTGAGAATACTGGATACACTACCAAGCATTGAATTGATGGCGCAATGGCTCGGACCCTCGGATTCTGAAAAAGTTATCTCATCTTGGCGTGGGCGGATAACTCCCGCCGCACTTGACATGCTACGGTGGATCATTGCTTCTAACCGATCATGTATTCTGCAAGACCACAGCGATGCAAACCATCTGGTCAGTGGAATGCCATGTTACATGCAATTTCGACTTGTTCAAGGTGCCCCTGATAAAGAACAGCGTTTTATCAACGCCGTCAAGTCGGTATCAATGGTCCAAAACCCAGAACACCCGACGTTATTTGCATGGCATGGTAGCCCCGTCTTTAATTGGCACAGTATCTTGCGAAAAGGGCTCAATTTCGAGAGAGTCAGTAATGGCAGAGCATGCGGGAATGGAGTGTACTTTTCAAGCCATTTTTCCACGTCAGCGGGTTATAGTTCTTCTCTTGCTAGTCAACGGGGAGCTGGGGATATAGTTGCTTACAACTGGCCTCAGAGCATACTGAACATGACGACTGTAGTGTCCCTGAACGAGATCGTCAACAGCCCAAAAGAATTTGTCTCTCAAGTCCCGCACTTTGTTGTCGACCATCTGGACTGGATCCAAACAAGATACCTTTTCGTGGGACACCGCGGGCTTGCGAATCCTCGACTGCCGGCCGTTCAGAGATCCAAATCCATGCCGTTCTTTAGCCAGGATCCCAAATACCCAGTATTTGGGTCAGGCAACAGTCATGTCACGATACCTCTTTCTGCAGTCAGCAGTATACGACGTCAGATGTTTGGAATCTCGTCTCCAGTGCCATCGCTAAAATCACCAACTCTAATTCGGGAAGAGTCCCCCGGGTCTGAGTCGTCAGATAACAAGGTTTTTGATGCAAACAGTGAGGATTGTGCTAGTGTCTCAACAGCAACGGATGATCTCAACCTACTGATATCCGAATCTGGGACCGAGGATAGCATCACTGGAATCATAGTTGAAGCTGGGATCACCCTTGAAACCGAGACCACAGTCGAAAATTCATCTGGAAAGAATTTTCAACTGGCCACACCTCCCGCTCATACAACCCTCGAGACCGACTTTGTACCAGGAACCCTGCAGGCAAGCTGCTTGCCGATCATTGCACCGCCCCGGCATGCAACGACAATTGCTACGAAGGTGCTCCAAAAACACCTCCAAACCACGCTTAGAGTCCAGAAAAAGGAGGCACCCGCAGAGCTTGGATGGTGTGTTGACCCTAATCTCATCTCAACGGTATATCAATGGATTGTCGAGATGCATAGTTTTGACCCTGCTTTGCCTTTGGCCCAAGATCTCAAGGCAGCGAAACTCAATAGCGTTGTCCTTGAGATACGGTTCCCACGTGAGTTTCCTATGCATCCGCCGTTTGTTCGAGTGATTCGCCCCCGTTTCTTGGAGTTCGCAGCCGGCGGAGGCGGCCATGTTACAGCTGGAGGAGCCATGTGCATGGAGCTGCTAACCAACTCGGGCTGGTCTCCCGTTACTTCCATCGAGAGCGTTTTGCTGCAAGTTCGTTTGGCGCTCAGCACCACCGAGCCCCGGCCAGCACGCCTGCTGGCTAGAGGAACCAAGAGGGATTATGGAATTGGTGAGGCCGTGGCGGCCTTCAAAAGAGCTTGTTTATCTCACGGATGGCAAGTTCCCAGTGACCTAGAGCTCATTTCGTACTGATATTCTCTCTCGTTTACATGTGCCCCCTTTGCTTGCCATCATCGACTTATCCTGAAATATTTCTCCAAATTTTCAAGGTACCTATGTAGGCTCAAGAAAAATATTTTTACTTTTTCTTTTGATATCCGACCTTTGTAGTCCCCAAACAGCGCACATGAAGCCATCTTGCTCCAAGGTTGTTAGGTTTGCTATGTTAGAGCTGCTCTACCTTTGAAGACATCTGTGCCGGTTTATGACCCGTCTTAGGTGGTGATATAAACCCCCGCGGAAAAAAGAAAAAAAAAAGGAAAGAAGAAGGTTCCAAGGACACAATGGATTATTAAAAAGGACTAGTTATTCAATCAAAGATTTCTAGAGGAGAATTAGACAAACCCCCACCCATCAAACTCATCTGCGAACCGAACAGCCGCCTTCAAATAGAAACTGTCCTGATCTTCCCAAGTGATGGCCATCTGTGCCAACGATCGAATGGCTTTCACGTAATGCACGTCCGTCGAGTTTTCACCTTTGACTGCCTGATTCGTGGCCCACTTCCAGTCTCGCCCTTGAAGGTCATACCCGTGCACTCGGTCCATATGAATCTCCGGCCGGTGCTGCCCAATAAAATTGGTGAGCGTCATCAACCACCACTGCCGAAGAAGTGGGATCTGGAATTTGGCCGGAATCAATGGCAACAAGACGCGGACTGCATGGCTGGTGGTTACTATATGCACAAGAAAGAAGTCGTACTTCTGGCTTCCGTGAGTTGCGCTGAAAAGCGCAGCGGCGAGTTCTTGACTCTCGCGGAATTGTTCCACAGGGTTCTCGATTTTCCAGGCATTCCAGTGGTTTAGTACTGATGCCTCATGGGTGTCGAGAAGGTTGTGGTGGTCTGGGGTACTGGGGAGGTCGTCGAATTGTTTGTCACTTCGGACTCTTTCGAGAATTTCGAACAGGTATGTTGTTTGGTATGATGGTTCGGTTTGTGAGTAGACTGGGTCGTCTATGTACTTATGTATGCTACTGTAGCAGACTGAGGCCAAACCAAGTGCTTCGATGGCAACTTCACGGCTATTGATCTCATATGCGTAGGCGAGATGAATGAGAGGGTGGCCCACTATGCGTATGTAAGTATTTGAACGTCCGGTTGAAGATTAGTGATGAAGTAGACATACAGTCTGCGATGATCGAACTGAATAGTGGATTGTTGCCAGAGAACAGATATTGGTCAACGACTTCTTTCCAATCGTAGTTAAGTCGAACGAGTTCATCTTCGTAATAGTCCACGAAGGCTTTTTGATATCTGCTCAACCCCGTTAGTTATCGAGTCTTGAGGCAAACTTCGCGGATCGAAGAGGGGTTGGTCAGTCTGTAGTATACATACTCTCGACATCCTAGGTGGCTTCTCCAATCCTCATCTGTCACCTCTGCGGGTGAGTCTTCCCATGCCTCCAATATCTTGGACTCTGTCTCATAGACCCGGGTGAGGTCATCTGCGTCAGCGCCCTGCAGGAACGCCCCGCTAAGAAGCTAGAGAAAAATTTAGCCGGATCCAAAGTAGTATGGATTGTCGAGATGGGTCACGAACATGGGGTGCGTGATTATGGAATTTTCGGTGATTGTATAGAATAGCATAATTTGCATGATTGAGTTTCAACAGGTACTTCAATGCCCGTGCCGGCTTCTCTGGCGCTTCGATATCGTGCGTCTTTACAGGTGGTATATCTATTACCTTCTTTTCCTTGGAGAACGGTAGGAATGATCTTAGGGAGGGTAATGAGACGGACAACATGTTGGTGGGTTGTTGTCTGATGCTCAGTTTTGGGAAAATGTTGTCCAATGGCGGGGAAGTGTGATGCGGTCGGTCTTGATCGATGCACCTATGAAAACCCAGGGACCGAGACAAGGACGATCCCAGTATTTTGATCGCAAGGTGTCGTATAAGGTTGACGGTCAAATCGGCTCACCGTCTCAACGTGGAAATCCGCCGTGGATTGTTGGGAAATTCAGGCATTCAGGCATATATCTCGTGACGTAATTGGCCACGTTTTGTCACGTGCCGTTGTCTACACATGTGTACCGTTGATTCGAGAATAATACATTGCTAAGGTATACTATACTAATCATACGCAGTCAAGCCTCGCCGACCACAGCTTATTTTTTCTGTTCCACCATTGGAATCGGTTGTTGCGGGTGATCGCCAACTTCTCCAGAGAGGATTTCTACCTCGATCCGGGGACCAACAAAATTCTTGCGACCGTCTATGATCCAGGTGATCGAAGAAATAACAAAAACAATACCGAAGGCAGCGACACAGTAGTCTATTGACTAGTTAGTCATCGTTGTTTTCAAATAATGGAATCTAGACATACTCATATTGCTGCCAGTGGCAGGTAGTTCCGGAGGGAAGAGGAAGAGGACAGTGGTGAGGGAAATGTAGACCAGCGAGATCTGTCAAATTCTTCAGTCAGTGTTTGCTCGTAAGGAAAAGGAAAGAGTCAAATCTGGATCCTTACAATATTCAATACCCAGCCGAGGACATTGGGTAGGACGAAGGATCTCTCAGGGAGTGTGTTGCGTCCTCGAATACAGTTGATAGCGATCGGAATGCCGTAGGCGAGATCCAAAAGAACCACTGAGGCCGAAACAATAGCATTGAAGGCGCTGGAAGAGCCGAGGAAGATCAGGCCGAAGATGATGACCAGGGCGAGGTTGAGGTAGAGGGTATTCAGAGGAACCTTCAGTCCAGGGTGGACCTTGGAGAAGAAGGGTGATGCAGGCAAGCCACCATCGCTGGAAACAATTAGCAGGAGTCATTTGAACAGACCGTGAGAGAACATACCGGGCAAATGCATAACACATACGACTGCTAGTAGTCATGATCGCAGTAGTGGCGAACAACATGCAGACAAGAGGGAAACTAGAAAGATCGTAAGCTCTTTGGCCCTGGAAGATGATGTGCAAAAGGTAGTGGCCTACATCAATAGGCAAATGGCGCCGGCTTTGTTGGCAGTTGCATGGTACAGAATGGCCAAAAGCGGGCCTGCAGAAGATTCGATGATCTCCGTGATACTGCCAGCCACGAAGAGTAGAACGACAAGGAAAATGGTACCAGTCACTGTACCAATACCAACGCATGCGATCATGATCTTCGGTCCCTCAACTGAGGGATTGGGAATTTCTGCGAATCGTTAGTCTCATCCTTGGTGACGATATCGACCTGATGTTACCTTCGATCATGTGCGCAACACCATCCTATTTTCATGATTAGCATGTTTAACAACAGATTAACGAGGGTGATTACTCACAAATCCAGTGACACCGAGTCCTCCTTGAAGAAGCTGTCGGAATGTTAGACAAACAACAAATACTTGAAATTGAATTCGAGAAACATACTCCAAGGAGCCAGGCAACACCATCGGGCCCTGAAATAAATGTCAGCAAACAAATCTAAATACTCCGGAGGAGCTCACATACATCCGGTCGTATTAAGGAATTCGCGGAAAACAAAGTCTCCAGTGTTGAAGTCTGGCGATGCACAGGCAAGGACCGTGATGCAAATAACGGTGAAACCAGTAAGCGACCAGGTAACTTGAAAGGAGTTAGTACCATAGAGCTAGTCGATCGAATGCTGACTTACAGGCAGCCTTGTTGAAATAAGGCAAAATGCTGTTGCCAAAGGCATTAATAAGAAATCCCGCAATGTTGTAACCGACATAGATCAGGAATTGGTGCCACCGCTCAGATTCGTAACTCTATGACAAGGGTCAGCCGCTGGTCCTTCAAACACATGGTGTACATACCGGGTGCATCAGAGAAATCACGCCAATAACCAGCTGACTACCCAGCAGACCACCGGTAGCAACTAGCGCGACCCAGCCAGCACAGTTTACCCAGCCGGTGATCCATGACAAGATGGGCATCCATCTTTGCCAGGAAATAACGGCCACCCAATGGTATTGACCTCCAGCACTGCTCTCATTAGTCCGAGCGTATCCAACGGGGTCAGGGAGTATCTCACGTGGGATAGGCGGAAAGGAATTCGGCGAGTGAGGCGGACATGCACAGATTACAAATACCGGCGGTAACCAACCCTAGCGCTGTCAGCAAGTATTGAGAAAAACCGGGAGAGGCGCATTACCCCAGACGACGCTAGTACTGCCACCAGACGGCAGACTGAGCGAAAGACTGGCAGACAAAGCAGTCCACGACTAATCGACTGGTTAGTTTGTATTCGTGAAATATGCTTCACCTCAGGACGTACATTCAAAATCGCAAAGGCAAGACCCAACATCGACCTGTGGATAATTGAGTTAGCCCTCGCTTCGGATGGCGCATCGAGCAACATACAACAAGGAGAATTGACGTTTCAACTCCGACTTGTGACCCATCTGGGCCAACTGGGCATCATCATCACCATGAGGGGCATAATCTTTGAGTGGAGGATCATCCATTTTGGCAAGGGATATACAAAGGGATGAGAAAGAGAAAGAAAGGGAAAAAGAAAAGATCAGAGTCTCATAATAAGGGCTGACATGACGACACTCGATGACTTTCCGAAATGTACTCCACGTTTGGATCGACGCGGGGGAGTGTATGCTTCACGTAATAGATTTGGAGTAATAAAATCAGTGGAAGCTGATAACGGGCGGGACGGTGTGATTGGCTCGGCACGCCGACCACGGTGATCTAAACCAATCACTGGCTTGCAGGGGAATTAAGTGTTTGGGCGCGGTCCGTGGGGCTTGGCTCGCTCCAGAGCTTATATCATTCTCTCCTTTCATTGGCTATTGATTCACGGGCAACCCTTGGAGTCGACCTTCTTTTTCTCATGTCAGGATACATTTACAGGTCCTTCGAGACGTGTGGTAGGTCGTAAATAGGTTGCCATCGATACATTGCCATCGGATGAGCTGTCCGAATAGGTGTCTGTTCCTATCTCAAATGGGTCATGGTGGATATGTGGGCCCTACTTATCTGTTCCTTCACCAAATCGCCCTATGTAAAGATTGTCACTCACCGATACGGACCGAGATTCGGCTAGAAACGCCTGAAACTCGGGCAATCGGGGGAGAAACTCACCGGGCACTAAGCCCAAAGTCAATTCTGTGGGAGACCGCGCATGCAGGTCCGCGCGGATCGGCCGTTTCTAGAAGCTTTCCTTATCGTTGCAAGGGGTCCCTTGGCGGATTATAGATACGTATTATCAACCTGAGATAAAACTCTATCTGGAAGCAAACCATTTCTCCTATAAGAAAGTGGGGGGAAGAAAAAATATGATTTTGTTTAAAAAAAGGGAAAAATGAAAGGAAAATCAATTGGACATTTCTGAACACACGACATTGCGATTCGTTCCATCGATTCCCCAACAAATTTCCCCGTGCTTTCAGAGGCCCACGGCAACCCCGGGGAGAGTGTGGAGAGGGTTGGGGTAAGTACATATTAGCCTCCCTTTGGCCTCTCTTTCGTATCCACTTTGAGCTCCATCTGGACGCAGTGGATGTGGATGCTTCGACCTACCAAATGTGGCTAGCTCTTGGCTGCAAGGTTACCACATGGCTTGATGGTCGGAACTTTGGCCTACAACCAACTACGATGCTCTCATTGTCGACACGTTCAAGAATCCTCAAATTTTCACGAAGTAGGGTGTCTATATGAAGTATTTTGCAAGTAATGTGGCACCAAAGAAAAGAATGGTCAAGTATTGGCTTAGAAAAGGGCCATAATGCCAGCCAACACGGTCGCAGAAATCGCTAACGGTCCACCCACAAGCACACTAGCGCTATTGGCCAAAGTGCCCGAAGCACTCGAAGCAGTGTGAGTTCCAGTGGCTCCCGTCTCCGTCGTGTTCGGGTTGGTGGACGTGGCATTCGCACTTGCAGACTGAGTGGCCAAGTTATTTTTACCAAAAGCAACTAGATTTGCCGCGAACACACTAGCTGCGCTGAGCTGCTGTTCCATCCCCTTCTCGCCATCGTATTCCTTGACGTACCATCGCATCCCACAAGTGTTATTTGATTCGCCGGTGCAAGCCTCCGCGGCTGCCGAAGCAGAGCCCTGCAGACGTGGCAGGATGTCATTCATTGTGTACGGGGCGACGGTAGAAACCAAGGCGAGATCACGCATAAAAATTCCCTTGAAGAGAATTTCGTTATTGTTGCAAAGCTCCCGCGGTTCACATTCATATTCTGACATGATATCTCCACCATATTTTGCAGGGAAGAAAGCGGTGAAACTGGTGTTCAGGAGGCCATCTACGCCAGATTTCCACTTCGAGTCTCCGTTGGTCTAGGGGGTGTCAGCGATCGTATGATCCAGGGAAGAACCTGTGTCCTCTTACCAGGTTGTACATAAAAGCTGCGCCGGTGACGTATGGACTATAGTTTAAAGACCACTGGGCCTTATCACTAGTCCCGCATTGGTGCTCGGTATTCGTAGAGTCTGTGATAATCCAGGTCTCATTGTTCAAGAGTGGGACAGAAGAACTCCAGCTCCAGATTTTCTCAGCCCAGTCGGAGTACGTTGTGTTACCCGTGTACCGGGCCAGGCGAGCAGCCAACTCAAAGAATTCACCGTTGGACATAGCGTCCTTGATACCATAGCCGGGCTGGTAGGTATAGATCTGCCACCGTAGCCCACCGCCACAGGTGGTATCATCCCAGCGGCCCACCTGCGAATTGAACACGGCGGCTGCCTTGGTTGCCCACGAAACTTCCGAAGACGATTGCGGGAAGCCAAACTCCGCAGCGGTCATGACAGCAAGTCCCCAAGACGATTGTTCATCGTTACCCATATACGAGCTATAGTTTGCAGTGAAGTAGTCATTGTTGTCGCCGCTTTGCCAGTTCATTCCCTGAATGACGGCCGGGTTGTTGGAGTCGTCGCCGGTTAGATACCAGTAGTGGATCATCGTATCGAACAGGACGCTACCTTCCCACCACTTGGAAGGGAACGCGCCGGGGATGTGACCGGTCAGGTTGCCTTGATAGTATGACATGGCGCCATACGCGGCGGTGTGAGCTGCGCTCTTAATGGACTCTGATATCTTGTTAGGGGGTTCCCCGGGGTCGAGGGGCTGTAGCAGATAAGGCAAACTCACGCTCATCCTTGATATCGAGATCAATGGCAGAGGCCGCGCCGGCCAAAAGAGTGATAACCGACGCTGTTTTCCACGTATTCCCAAGCATTGGATAAATGTGGGTTGGATAACCAACCAGAAAAAAAAAAAAAAAAAAAAAAAAAAAAATAAAAAAAGAAGGAAGTATGAGCGCAAACCAATGGGGGCTGATGGGTTTTAAACGGACTCCATCAACGAGGCTCTGCTGCGGGTGGTTTCCATGTGGGGTTGTGCGACCCCTTAATCCCTTCCCGGACCCTGATTCCCTGAATACGGCTGAGCTACTTCTCGCTATTGTCGGAGCTAAACAGGAGGATCGTTTGTGACTGGCTATATTAATCGCCAAGACGCATGGGTGGGTCCGTCGCTACTCCGTTCATTGGTTGAATTTCGCAAGGGCAGGGGCCAAGAAATTTCTACACTAGATACCCGTGCTATTCTGTTTTTTAGGGACCATACGAAATAGGCCTACAGGAATTGAGCTCGTATGCGCCCGTGAACAACCTCTAAAATATGCATCGTTGAATTTAAGACTCTTGTATTTGTAGCCTCCCATTAGCGTTGTGGCACGATACCAGACAGTACCCCCACAAAGGGCCCATCTATCCTCCAAAGACCGGGGGTGATGAGGTGAACTGTGAATATACTAGTGGACTAACCAGACCTGTTCAGAGGGTCATAGGGTCAGAAGGTCAATATGCCTGCTCCGGTCCAATAACCCGCCTCCAATTACATCTTAGATCTCGGCCAGAGATCATGACTGGCAAGATATTTCCTCAAAATCGCTCCATTCTACATCTAGGTGCTTACGAGCAGGTGGATGAGATCTTCGATAGTTCAAAAGTAGTACCATTATCCAAGTACTACACACTCTTTCGCCCACTAGGAAGGCTTGAATAGGAATATACTATTTCGCACCATTTGAGATTACACTGCAAGCAAATCAAGACACAAAGCCGGATATCATGGGATCATGGAAATATGAGAGCAACATATAATCGAGCTAGCCCATTTAGATAAACCTTTAAGCTAGATGTAACCAGTTTGGCCGGATGGCTGCTCCGAGCCCCTTGACTTTTCAAGGTCACATCGACCGTCTTTCAATCCTTGCTTCCATTGAAGTCCCTAATCAACCTGTTTTTCGTCTGGTACGACATGCTGCTCTTCAGTCCCCCATTCGATATTTGTGTAGCCATGAGCGACTAAGTAATTCTTCCACTCCTGGTCGCCATGATCTAAAATCTTATTGCTGTCTTGGAGCACAAACCACGCCAGGAGAGCACCCAGAACGGCGAACCCGGATCCAATGAGAAAGACGGCCTGGGTGCCACGAAGCTCGTCATCGCCCCAACTAGCCATAATGGGCTTGAATACTTGTGTTCCGATTGCCGCCCCTGCTTTGCTCCAAGCAGCTGCTAGTCCGACTGCGTGGCCGCGAACTGCTGTGGGGAAGCATTCACTCGCAGTAAGAACAATTGTAGACCCTGGACCAACTTCTCCAAGGGTGAGGAATATACCATAAAGCACGATGAACAGCGGCAACTTAGTCTCAATTGGGCCCAACGCTCCTCCGAGGATGAAACCAAGGATAGCCTGGAGAGTGAACCCTAGGGCCATGGTACGCCGGCGGCCAATACGGTCTGAGAGGAAACCACCAATGAATGCACCTGGGATATAGAAACAATTGATCAAAGTACCCCATGCCATTGTGAGAGCCAGAGACGAGGACGGATTGACCCTATCGACGATTGTTGATGCAAAAAGGCCGAATGGGTAGGAGATGTAGTTGTAACTTGATACAGTCGCTATGATTAGCTCCAAAGATATGTCTTGATACCCGGTCTTTGGGTGCTTACATGAACCACGAACCGCAAACACCTAGCAGCGGGCGCCAATACTTCTTGATCGCAAGCCAGTAGGGTATTCTCTGCCTTTTCATAGAGCTCTTGCGATATGCAGAGCTAACAACCATACGATAGCGAAACCAGAAGATCGAAAGAGGAGCAATGGCCCCCATGGCTAAGGAGACCCGCCATACAGCCTCATAATGCCGTACTTCTTGATGGAAACACAAGAGGAGAATGAGGGGCACCAAAGAACCGAAGGCAAAGCCAAGAGAGGCTGACAGGTCACCGATCATGGCAAAAATGAAGCCTCTTCGTTTGCGAATTCCCGGGGCTTCATCTGTAGCTTCAGCAGCGCCTGCTCCTGCAACGGGGTACTCTCTAATTAAATTCTATTAATGGCCCTGGGAATCAATAAGAGAGACCGCAATGAGCACTCACCCGCCTGCTCCAACCCCAGCAATACCTCGAGCAATGATCAGCATCCAAAACATGCCACTCTCATTTAGTCCGCTAGCGCCGGCACTCAGTGCAATTCCAAGAACTAAGATCGAAGTTGTCAAAGCTGCACCAGTCTTGCGGCCCAGTTTATCGGAGATGTAACCAAATGAGAGCATGCCGATAATCATGCCGACCATAAATGCATTGGATAGCCGAGAGGCTACTGCGGTGGTCAGCGAGTTTGGATAGATAACTGCCATGATCAATTCAAGATTTCCAATGATGGAGGAATTGAAACCGTCTGAGCCAATTGCGAGGCCACTGAAGACTACCATCATGACCATGGAGAGGCGAGAGTAACCTCGACCATTGTCCAGATCGTCTGTTGCTTTTTGGGCATCGGAAATTGCATTTGGGGAAGTTGCATCTGGGGAAATCGAAGTAGAGGTAGACGTTTGGGGGCATTTCTCCGATACTGGGCTCTTTTCACTCGTTCCACGCGTTTCGACTACAGCGGGTTCGTTCATGATGGGAGAAAATGTGCCTCTGCATATTGCTGGATATCCGACCACGACACGCAATTTATAATAAACCCATGGTATCGGCCAGCTCGGCAAAGATACTGTTGCAGATTATCGCAGCCGACAACGGCCAATCATGTGTAGTGCGGGGGTTGAAATGCCCAGGAAGCTTACGCGACTGAGCTTTGGCTTCGACGCTAACGGGAGAGGGGAAGGCAAAGGCGAAACCGGGAAGGTCAAAACGAGATAAGAATCCGCCCGCGTATAATGAGGGGAGATATTGTCCAAGCTAGGAACTTCCGTCCCTCCTTGATCAACTTCTCAGATCATGTCGAAACAACTACCCTTCCACGCCGTGGAGGCGAAACCCAGTCATCGCTTCTCAGCTCGTAAACTGGCATGGATTATAGCAAGTGCTGGGCTTTTGGCAACGGGTTACAAGTTCTCTCATTCTCGGTCGCTTTGGGCCTGTAGCCCTTCCGTATCTGGCCGCGAAGGCGCGTGGAATGATGCGGGCAACCCCGACCGCCTGAGAGATTTCCAGAATTGCGCAATCGATAATCTTCTTGAGACAGGACTTCCATTTATGAATGTGGCACCCATTGCAGTCTCGGACTTTGAGGAACGACGGGATCGATTGGCACAAGCACTGGTTGCTGAAGGGGTGGATGCCTTTGTGGTGGAACCGGGGTATACTTTCAAGTATTATGGTAACGTCAGCCAGCCCGAGTGGGAAGTGTGGGAGGTAAGAATTCATATTGAACTTTGGGAGCTGCTTAACTAACGAACCCAGCCGGAAGAGCGTCCGTTTTTGATGGTTGTACACCCGTTCTACGATCAGGCCACTGGCAATGTCAAGGCTAACACCACCTTTCTCTGCCCGTCGTTTGAGGCTGAACGTGCCCGCTTACTTGGGATGCCCTTCACTGATCCAATTCAAATTGTCCCGTGGGAGGAGCATTGGAATCCATATACGACTCTCAAACAATCAGAAGTGTTCTTAGGTCTCAGTCGACCGGCACGCTTGATGGTGGACGAAGAAATGAGAGATTTTATTCAGCGCGGACTTGGATCCGCGGGCTTTGAGATAGTTGGCTTGCAGGGCAAAGTAGAGGAAGTCCGGCAGATCAAGACTGCCAACGAAGTTGACATTCTGCGGGCTGTCAATACCGGAACTGTAGAAGCAGTGCGACAGATGAGAAAATGCCTATATCCAGGATTGACGGAGAATGAGATAGCTTCTGTCCTCGATAATGCCCTCCGAGCAGCCGGAATGGATCCTTTCTTTGACATCGTGCTTTTCGACGAGAATGCGTCCAACCCACACGGTGGAACCAACGGTTCTAAAGTTTTGGAACCCGAGACTTTTGTGTTGATCGACGTCGGGTTCGTGTCTCACGCACTTTTTTGGAATCTGAATCTGACCCCCAATCTAGGGCGCACCTCTACGGGTACTCGTCGGATATTTGTCGCACCTTTTTCCCTCCATTCTTGCCAAAACCTGCCAAGGACGATGTGCTGTCCCCGCGCATGAGTGAGAAGCTGAAGGCAAGGAATTCGTCTCCTCTTCATATGCAGATGGCTGACTTCAATAAAAGGTCTGGGACATAGTCTTCGAGGCGCAGACCCGCTCAATCGATCAAATGCGTGAGAACGTTACCGCTGCTAGTGTGGATATTGCCGCTCGCGACGTTATCAGCAGGGCCGGTTATGGTGAGGCCTTTACGCATCGTGTTGGCCATGGTATTGGGATCAAAGGTCGGTTTATGCACCCTTCTTATTCTAGATCATTGAGCTAACTACTTCAAATAGCTCACGAAAGTCCATATCTGAACAAAGGAAATGAAGAAAGTCTGTTAAAGACTGGCATGACCTTTACATCGGAGCCCGGGATCTATCTGGTTGATAAATTCGGAGTGAGACATGAAGACGTGATTCTTGTTCAAGGAGACGGAAAGCCCGGCCTTCTGACTGGAAGCCGGGCTCGAGGGCCCTGGGAACCATAAATCACAGTGGAATTAGATCACGGATCTCAAGCTTGGCTTGAAAGAAACATGCTGGGGGCCTATGATAAAAGTTGGTTTTGAAACCTATTTGCACTAATCCATGTGACCCATGTCGAGTTCGTCTGTCCAATTTTAGCGGTACAGCGTTATATTAGATATAGACTGTAGCCGGTAGAATGGTAATTTACACACCTGTGGCATTATAGGGTGTATTTTCTCCCTGGTGGTATCTGCTGCAACCTTTTGGGTCGACTATGTATGGTTTGCACTTCTAGAGTTGATCATCCTTCAAAAAGGAGAAAGGTGGAATTTTGGAAAGGGTAGCTCGAGATCAAACCTCGTGAGAGTATGTGAGAACATTATCGGGAGGCTAACTTTCCAAGGTAAGTGATATAGAAGTAATCAAATTCGTAAAGACCCATGGATGTTGTTAATGCTCAATTACCTGTTTATTCCATAGCGGTTACCTCAAACTTTACATTATGAAGTGGGCAATCAAGAAAATTAAGGTGAAATTGCTTTAAGAATAGTATTGAGATCTCAAGAAAGCCGTTTTACCAGACAGGTGATAAGCAAGCATCCATCAAATCATTACAGTATATTTGGGCCCTAGCCCTAGCGCTGGAGGATAAGAGAACCGAATAACTTCAGCCATGAAGAAGGAATGTAAAAAGCTATGTTAGTCAATGCAGACCGACGGTAATGGTGGTTCGTTGTCCATCAGATAATCTGCATTGTCTTCTGTGCTCGCTTCTAAGCATCTGAAACATATATGCCATGCCCTTGGCCTTTCTGAGACAAGATACTAAACAGCTGCAAAGCGGGCTGCCCAATTGCCATGAGCGCGAAATATACCTACACCCTCTGGGCTGTCAAGTTAGGTACTGTACTTTGTTCTAATTACTGCAGTTTTCTGCCAGCCTGAGGCCTTAGCCTAAGAGCCTAAATGGAGGCTTTTTTCCGCTGGTTACTTCCATCTCCCGTGAATTCTGCGCATCTCGTTGAAGAGTACCATAATGCTCACCGCTGCCATCTTAATTGACCGCATTCAGATTGGGTCAACTCTCACCTCTCGAAATGGAATCGGAGCACTACAGTTCCATGGAAGAACAAAATTCTAATTCAAACTTATACTAGTAAGTTATACTAGCAGACAGTCATATATTCAACGCCTTGATGTTTCTTTTTTGTTCATTCTCATCCTTCTGGCTTAATACACCACAGTCGTCACCACCACAACCTCTGACTCCGTGGAACCCGAAGATACACCTGCTGACAACCATCATGGATCATTTGAAAACCCTAGTCAAATCCTATTTTACACGCTCACACAAAGCAATCAGCCCTGTGTATTACTTCAAGAATACACTTCCCGGACTTCCGGCTGAATTATTACTGCAAATTTGTGACCTACTCACAGTGGTAGATCTTGTTTGCCTTTGTATCTGTAATGATAAACTCCATACGGTCTTTCGGAGATATAATCAGCTGCCCTCTCTCAGAAAAGACAAACTCTCGATCTTTGCCAGACTAGAAAGGGACCTTCCAGAATATTTTGCTTGCGATGTTTGCAACATTCTTCATCGATATGATGGATCAGAGAGTTTCGGGCTTAGTGGATTGGTCCAAAACAGGACTTGCCGACTTCCCTGCATTAGGAAAGGGGATAATCTGGAGGAGGACTGGCTTGGGGACTCATCAATTAGTATGAGAACCCATTCGAGATTCGCACATACAAGGAATCGTACTTCCTTCCTCCAACTCAAGCTTGCGATGAGAAGGTTTTACTATGGTCCAGGTTCTGGGATCAATACAGAATCTCTATCATTCATCCAAGTTGTCCGCTATTGCCACCCATTCGACACGGTCCGAAACAATGAGTTCAAGGAGTTAAGATACCCGGCTATCGAGACACTATTCTCAATACAAGCGCAGATATTCCCCGAACCTCCTGGGGTCTATATAAGGATGCAGGACATAGTGCTTCTTGAAATATGGGAAGATTCAAAGATCATTTCACCTTGGAGTCCTCTCGAGGACTATGAAATCTGCAGACACATCTCTCTTCAAAGTAAAGTCGCTGATTGAGAGTCTATATACGATGGAGAAAAAGACTTCTTCTCCTATACTTGTCGCAAGTGCAATACAGAATCATGGGTCGAGATTCATAGGCTTGGTTCTAGAATTGCCCTTATCATGACAAGATGGGTCAATCTAGGCCCCGGTGGAGACAAAGAGGATCCTCTATGGAAGATTCATTTACACGGCTCCTTCGCCTTCCCAGAACGACTTGAGGACTCGCTCATCACACAAAGCCCTCGCGTATGTTTCGAAGATATGGCGCCCCTGTCATTCGAAGACTTGCGATCTCGCAACCTGTCCTGACTTTGCAATAAGCGATTCAAAAAGGGAAAGCCTTTTGTCAGACAAGAGGGAAAACTTTATCACATATCGTATAAGGAGCCGTCAAACACATGGAGGATCTTATCTATGTGCTCTCGATCAGGCCGTTTGGTAGGATCTCAATAACCGAGGATCGTTACAGATTGTGGTCATGAAAATGTGGTGAATTTTCGAATGAATGGATTCGTACGCTCATCCGGATTTGTAATTGAAATGTCTATAGATAACATAGTACGAAGCTTTTATTTGTCTGTCGCTATATTCCTCGTACTTTATTATCTTCCTATTAAGGATTGCGCACCTCAAGTAAATTGCCCCTAACAACAATATGTGCCAGATAGGCTGGATGAATTTAGGCGTTTTCAAATGCACAAACTTTGGAGGCGTTGACGGGGCAACTTTTTTGTCGTCGTCAGTGGTCTCAGGGGTGAACAACACAATTCTGCCGTCGTAAGTCGAGAAGAGCTTCTAGAACGTATATTTAATCAAATATCACGGTAGGGGAGATGAGCTAGGCTCATAACTCTCTGAACACGTATTTACGATCGAAAAGCATATACCAATTAGGTGGGACACGTATGCGTACTTGACTGTTATTCTCTAGTTTCCGCCAAAGCTATTTATGTGGTACGCTGACTAGTAAAGCTTATTACATGATCCATTGCTCCGACACGTCTGAAAAGCCGCTCAACATCCTTTCCTCATTCTCTTCCTCTCCCTCTCTCTACTGCCACTCCTCAACTCGGTCCCTTCATTCGATTGTAGTTATTATGCCCTCACTAGACCTTTCCAAGCACGGTTGAATACAATCTTTTATCGCAATGCTGCGGTCATTCCCTCGAGTCTATCGCTCATTCCGTCGCCAGCAATATCAAATCATTCGCAGAATGTCATTCATGTCCTTCGGGAGAAGATATCCCACTTGAAGGAATCCGAATGTCCCGGTCAAACACTTTTTTGAAGAAACCAAATCTTCCATGGGGCATTTCAATTTATCGATGCTCATTCAAAGACGATACTGCATGGCATAATATGCTCCAGCTAATTCAGCGAGAGGTGCAAAAAACGGTCGAACTTTCGCTCTCACCTGGACAAGAGAGAACAGAGCTACTTGAGTCTCATGAGCTCGTCATTCATGATAAGCTAGAGCAGCTTAACGATGCGACTTCGCACGAGGTGCGCGACCATTTTAATAATTGGGTGGCGGGACAAAAGTGGTCAAAACGCATGAAGTGCTGCAAAAGCTGATGGAAGAGCACAAAATGATTCCTGCCTTTGGCCCCGAATATTCTCTCGGGGCGCGACTCAACTTTGCCTTGTTTGTTGATGATGTTTGTTTGGAGTCTTTGGTCCATATGGACCAGCCCTTAGTGAAGATCCTGAACAAGCAATGGGGAAATTTGACTCTCGAGGAGAGGAAGTACAAAATTGACCCTGACTGGCACGATGGAGTTACTGAGGAAGAGGAAGAAGATGTTGGATGGATGTACATGTCTGTCACAGACTACGTCGATATGTATGATAAGTTCGAGTGGGCTCACACTGGCGTCTGGCATGCTACCTATCTTCAGCCTCCTCAAACGATGGACTATTATAATGATATCGAGAGCCAACCAGGCTTCTGGCGGGCTTGATAAATTGCCATATTGATTCTCCGACAGCAACAGAAGATTACATAACGAGATATTGAATAACCTTCTGTCCAAGGTTTCAAGTTGAACAACAATCCATCTTTCTATCCATTTTAGGCGTATCCCACTCACCTATAGCGCCCGAAGCTCCCCAGAATAAATTGCGGCACCAATTGTAAAGAGACCACATTGGATGTGAGCTTGGCGTGGCAGCACTGTCCATTATGGAAGATAAACGCCCGCGAGATATGCCAGTGGCTGATAAAATGCCGTCTCCTGGTCTCTGTGGACAACATGTGGCGCGGTAGATCAAGTGAATGGGGGTTTTAAGATCAACTTACTACTCGGGGCTTAATCGTCTCTCATCAATGCCAATGATATAGGCAGTGAGTAAACAGTGAATGCACCCTTTATATAATGGATACTCATAAGGTCTTATTTCTATATAATATGATCCATCATCAACCTATCGTAGCTCGATGATCTCTGAGACAGTTAACCTACGTGCGTGGGAAGGACACGCTAGCGCTTCAGGCACGTATAGGATATTTAGGTGTAAAACAGTGGTGCTCAGGGCATTTGGGTAAGTAGCCTAAATAGGCTGAACGGTAGGGCGGCAAAGGAAATTTCGTTGACGAAACAAAAAAAAAAAATTGAATGAGCAAAAACATATAATAGTGAGTATTCGCTGGTGGTCACCCACCCAACTACTAATCTATTATGTATGGCAGAGCATACAGTATCCCCAGTTCCCCTTAAGTCTATGGTCGTTGTGGGAAGACGTGTTTGCATCTATGTTCTTGAAGCCGATGGGTGCACGCCGGGCGAGCACCCGCCCGAGATTCCTGTTTCAATCACTACTTCTGCGCAACCCAAAACAACACTCCATTTCTAACTTCTGCATCCTCACCGGAATTCCGATTATAGATTCAACAGTGATGGACACTAGCTTTGATCAATTACGAGTGCGAAAATCTTCAACCGGAACAAGGAGCCGATCCGGCTTAACATGGTAATTGTTGATGCCGTTCCCACGGCTCTGTGACTAATGTAATGACTGACTGGGCTAACGTTCCATGCTACAATATTTCCCGAAATGACTTAGCTATATTCAAAAGACTTCTCAAAGTCCATGAAGAGGTTCGCATACTTGCTCCTCTCAAAATTCATTGAAGGCATTAATGTCAAAGCCATCCCACAACAGCTTTCCATACTCAAGTTCGCGGGAAACTTTTCCATCACTATCCCACCAAATTGCAGATAACATGATCATACCCGAGGAGTCGCCCTTCTTTATTCCAGGAGGAAGGTTAGGCTTGGCTGCCTCGGGAGGATCAATCTTCAATGTGAAATAATTCACGCTTTCCAAGACCGAAAACGAGGAATCGCCGTGGAGCGAAATGGCTTTAACTGAGATATCCGTCATAAGACCGCCAAATCCCTTGTTCTGTTGGTACCAAGTATCTTTAGGTGACCTAACAATACCGAGGGCTGGATGAAAATAATGTTAGAATGGTAATTGAGAAGAGAGAAGGGAACTTAGCTCTTACGGATATCGGTCATGCGATAATCATCAGCCACCATACTATTCATTTTGTCGGCATCGGCATTGCCGAAAGCTTCGAAGTACTCAGTAATGCGGTCCACCAATACCTTGTCCTCATGGTCTCGGATACGGCTATTATCAAATGCGGGCGCCATGTTGTATGAAATGGGATTTCGGCGGTTTAATTGTCTCGGTAGGTGTTGCAGATTGACTATGGTTGCTGAAGGGTTAGGCAAAGGATTGAAGCCGTATTTATAGTTTTATTCCTCAATTCGAGTAAATGCTAAATAACAGGGTCCTCAAGTTCTCCTTACCTACATTATGCCTTGACGCGCAGTTTGTCACACTTCAGCTGCAAGCTAGAACCAGTTAACGCTTTTGGGCTTGCCGGCGTTGGGTGAATTAGGTCATTGCCAGTAAAAAATTATTTTAGAGTTACACCATCGTGTTTGTAATAATCTGCATCACCGCCACCTGCAGCTTTTGTTCCACAGCGCAGCATAATACATTATGCCCCACGCGCAGTATGTCACACTTCAGCTGAAGCTAGATGCCAGTTAAGAAGTATTGGAGAGCTACACCATAGTGTCTAGAATAATTTACATCATCGCCGCCTGCGACTTTTGTTACACAGCGCATCACAATACATTATGCCCCACGCGCAGTGTGTCACACTTCAGCTACAAGCTAGATGCCAGTGTATAAATATTTAAGAGCTACATCATATTTTCTACGTATCATAATCTACATCATCGCCGCCTGCGACTTTTGTTACACAGCGCATCACAATACATTATGCCCCACGCGCAGTTTGTCACACTTCAGCTACAAGCTAGATGCCAGTGTGTAAATATTTAAGAGCTACATCATATTTTCTACGTATAATAATCTACATCATCGCCACCTATGGCTTTTGTTCCACAGCGCATAACAACTAGGCAAGGTTAAGGACAGTATTTTACTTTACTTAATAAGAATTCATTGTACTTTCCTCTTAAGGCAAAAAGTGTCTTGAGACAGAGATTGTCCTAAGACAAAGATTGATATAAGATAAACATTGGTATAAGACAATCGATTTAAGTAATTATCAGTGGAAAAAAGCGTAATCAAAGGGGCCTGGTAAAAATAAGATTATTCTAAAGTATCTAGCCTTATAAGGTACGAAAACAACAACCGCCTACAGGGCTGGTCAGGCCGTTTTGGAATAACCAAATACCCCCCATAGCCAACCATAATATATATCATTTGGTTTTACAACGTTAATGATAGTTTACTTTACAGTTACTACGGTGATTAACTTTTGCGTGTGATGAGAAGTTCGTAGCTTATTTAGCTAGGTACTATATATTGTAATAATAAATGATTGGCTACTTAATAAGCCCTTCTCCACTAAATTTACAGGTCCGTGCATTTTCCTAATACCTCTACACCCCCCACGTCTTCGACAAAAGATATTATTTCAACCTACTTATCATAATCACCTTATTACACAACAACTGCATGTAGTCAGTAAATAGGCGAAACTTTTTGATCCCTCAGGTACTTTCTTCAACAAGGTAAGCCAGCTAGCATTCTTAAAGATAGACCTCATGAAGAACATTTAGAGGGCCGGTATCCCCCGCACTCCGCCCGGCCCTCCAAACTTAAAGGGCCGCCCTGATCGGCCTTGATCGGCCCTCATCGGCCCTCATTTGCATAAATTAAGTTGACTAATCCATAATTCAGATGTTTAATCCTGCTGATTTACGTTTTTATGCTTTTTTTGATTTCCAATCCTAGTTAGTCTATCTATGTTTGTTATGTTTGTCCACCCTCGAAATCGCCAGCGAGCCGCCCTCTGAAGGCAGGGTAGAGACCTACCCGACCGGCGGGCAGGAGGAGCCCGCCTCCGCCCGCAAAAGTGCGGGTCCGTGGGCGGCCCTCAGAGGGCGGCTCGCGGGCCGTTGTTAGGTCTATTAAAAGAACTAGTAGTGATTAAGGCGCTCTCTAGTCGGCTAGCTAACCGAGTCTATTAGGCTAGGTACTAGATATTGTGATGGGCCGATACGTAATGATAACATAGTGCACGCGAAAAACGAATGGTATTGGCTATGGGGAAAGGAAAAAGAGTCTACATGAAGCTATTGCTTCAACTTACATGGATCCACATTGATTGGGTGTTGAATTATCCTCTACCTCTGTAAGCTTAAAGTAAATTTAATTGCCGAGTTTCTCGATTTTGAAGCCACTGCATCGCTCAACGAGGTGGTGATAATAGTCAATCAGCAGTTCCGGGTTGGGAACAACCTGTCATTCACCGGGAAAGGTTTATTTTAGCTTCAGGACGGCTAATTCAGCTGGACTAACCCCGCCGCCCGGCGTATGTCTTGTGCCTCAAGAAGGCGTCACTTAGACCTTTGCTGGCCACCGTGGCACTGACAATTAGAAATAGATGTATGGTCAAGCTACTAACAATAAAAATCGGAGATATGTCACAAAGCAGGTCAATATAATACAAGAAGAATTAGAGGCGAAAGATTAGCATATGTGACCAATCGTTGAAGGTATGTAGCTGTGCACAGGAATTTGCCGCGGGGATCGCGAATGGAATCAAGTCAGCTAGTTTTTATAGAATGGGAATTTGTTATTGATATCAGTCAACGCATTGTTTCCATGGAGACTTATCCAGAAGTATCACGCTCGACAAGATCTAAAATAATAGCCGACTCAGTGATGAGTCATGAAGCGAGCATATCAGCTTCCTTAAACGCGATGTTTTGAGAGTCTACAAATAGAGAATCCCGAGCGCATGAACAAGCCGAGAAATTCCATTCATAATAAGGTAAATGAAGGTAAATGAAGGTATGTTACTAATGCTGTAGTAAGCGGAAATATAAACTTTACGCCCCGTAATAAATATACGGAACCCAAAGAAACGAGTCAGTTTGTTTCTCCCTGTGAGGAGGGGTTTCAATTAGCACTGCATCTCGTTGTTTGACAACAGATGACTCTCTGTTGAAGATTCCAAATGCTTCGAAATCCCGTTCCAAGTTCTCCAGTTGCTCCTTTAGGCTTTTCTTGATTTCATCATTGTAGTCTTCCCTTGAAAACGAACATTCTCTCAAAGTCACATCCAGACAGCTGTCACGAATATTCCGAGTGGCTCTATGCAGCCCCTTGGCCACAGTTTCATCATTTAAACCTTCTTCCTTCAAGACTTCATAGACAACCTTGGCCACTTTCACGCAATGAGGATCTGAGACCTCCCACAATGCTCCGATGACATGACGAAATCCTGCAAGCTGGCAGGAATTGATGAGATGTATTGATTCGTCTGCCATATTATGGATCCTGACTGCACCAGTTGAGCAAGAAGAGAGATAAGCAAGAAATGGAGAAGCATCTTGTAGACTCTCTTGCCGGAGTCTTTCTACCGTCAAAGGATTAGACTCCCAATCAATTGTCAATAAACAACTTTTTGAGGGATTAGACGCATGTGACATCCCATGGCCAGCAAAGTGCAAGATTTTGCTGCTCTTCATCAATTCTAGCATTTCATTCGTGGATTCTTGTTCTTTGCAATGTGCGGGTGTTAGGCCAATCGTGTGGATGAGAGGTTTGATGGCTTTGATCTCGTCAACCGCGAATGGGAGGGGGTCTTGATTAGGAGTATTCAACATCGAAACAAGCAGTGCGTGTTGTATTTCTGGAACATCATTTTGAATTGTCCCCTGGCGGCTATGGATCAGAGATTTGACTGACGATGCATAAGATGATATTGCTCGGTCCATTACTGTCTCATGGGATTTCTTGCCATGGATTCCTGCGGCATGGATGGGCAAATGCGTCAATGCCCCGGTAGGAATCCACCAGATATGGGGCCAGTTATCATCTTTTGGAGGGTGCGATATTCCAAGGTATTCCAGGATAGGATGAGCGGCAACAGCCCAAAGCCACTCAAGCAAAGGTAGCAGGAACTTCGAAGAATGAGATTCAAAAGGAAGATCCCTGAGTTTCTGGGCTAGGTCATCGACCTGTACATAGTGCATATGAGGTAGTGGGATAGAGCCGATTTGCTGTCTCTCAATGATGATAGCATCACACCGATGAAGACTGACGTTGATAACCGCGATAGGTCCATGGCTTGCCGCTTTCATCATCTCCGTCGTGCTCGCAGGCAAGAGGAAGTCTGACAATCCAGGTTGCCCGCGAATTGTTGCAACAAGCTCGTCGAAATCATGCTGCAGAATGATTCTACGATTCATGTGGGTTGTTGTCGATTGACCAATATGAACATTGGTACGAGCTTCAAAAGGGGTTTTATCCAAGTCCGGATCAGAATTGAGCTGTTCTCCGAGCAGTTCAAACTTTGATGCCAGCTCAGGGTGTTTCCGTTTGAGCTCATGAAGATCCGTCCGCGTATCCAAAAAAAGGCCTGCCACAACACCGCGACCAGCTTCTAGGATTTCTAAAGCATAAGAAGGGCTTTTCCCGGCACTTAATAAGGTTCCAGCGGACATTGAGGCTAGACCATAGCATGATTTGAGAAATTCTTGCTTGTCATCGCTGCTAGAGGATCTTGAACAAGCCATAGGCAACAAGCGGACCGCTTGTTCTAGCACTTGAGATGCCTCAACATAGTTGGAGGATTCAATAAGCTTTACACCAAGGGCTTTAGCCATATTGATTCGTACCCTGGGCTCGTTATGATGGCAGTTTACTCCTTTTTGCAGACAATCAAGCAATTTCTGCAGGTCAGCAGGATCATTGGTGATCTCAAACCTGGCGGACAGTGTCGCCGAAGTTTTGGCCAACAGCATAGCTCGGTTGGGATTCCCTGAGGGTATAAACTGGAGGGCAACCTCTTGAGCTTCGATCGCAAGGTCAAGCTCGGTATCTGCACCCCGACCAAGGTCGGGACGGGTCAGGAACATCATGAACCTGTGCATCAAAATATCACCAAGATGTTTGTGAAAGCTACCCCACTCCAGAACATGGCAGCCTAGATTGGCCAAGTGCTTGGGGTGGTCGGCATGGCCGAGCGTCATGTACACTGCTTGTTCCGCGTAAAGTACAGCTTGGTCCAAAAGCTCGTGGTGACTGGTATGATGGAAATATAGATTCAGGTATTCCGATGACTTGCACAAGCATTCAGCTCTCTGAAAACCTAATGGTGCCGCCTCAGTAGCGAGTCATTAGTCTGAGAGCTTGGTCAAGATATTCATTGTCTTTAGTGACGCTGAAATGGTCAGCAAGCGAAGATGCGGGCCCGATCAAGGTCCTATAATAAGAAAAGTCGCCCCCAATGCCCCTCTTCAAGTTAACTTCGAGCAACTTGATGGCTCTATTGATCTGAGTCTGGCAACCGCAAGCTCCCAGGCCCTTTGTCAGAGTGTGGATAGTCTGAACTAGGTTCATCATCGGGGCTTCCTTGGTGGAGGAATCGATCGGAGGGCATTCCAAAGCCATCTCAATGTAGTCAATGGCACGACCTAAATCCTCATATTCCCCAGAAATGCTGAAACTCATCGCCGCACAGACAGCCAAGCTATTGAAAGCGGTGACTCGACCAGACTGACCAAGCGTGGGACTTTCCAACAAAGTTTCAATTGTTGCATTTGCTTCATGAAGTTCGGTGGGATTTCTTGTTTTCACTGCTCGCACCATAAGCATATTCGCAAGTTCTGTACAAATTTGGCAGTGCAACCCATCGGACTCAAAGGGTAAGCATAATGCATGACGACAAGCATCGATCGCATAGCCGAGGGTTTTCAAATCCTTGTCACACTCGTACTGCATATTGAGCCACTGGCTGACAAGAAGTAACAACTCCGCGCGAGAAAGAGGATCGACTGCTTCAACGCGTGTCAGAGGCTGGATAATTTTTATCGCTGCCAGGAGGTCATCGAGATGAAGTTGTTTGTCCTTTTTAAATCGTACGACGAGCCACTTGGCCAAAGCTACCATGGCTTCCGGTCTTTTTGGGTGGTTCGGAGGCAGTTGACTCAAAAGATTTCCTCTAAAGTTGATCGTGTCGGTGAGGTCTTCAATAGACCCTGTCACCCCATATCGAGCTCCGCTAAAAAGATCATTTAAGATTTTCATTTCGAGCTCTTGGTCTCCGAGGAGGGTTTCATGGCCATGTTCACTGGCGAAGTTCCTGATCGAGTTCCTCATCCGATAGCGTCGCCTATATTGGCTACTGTCAAGCGGTGTCAACGCGGTCCACCGTTGAGCTCGTCTGAATGAACGGTCGGCCCAGTCGATAGAACCCGTTTTCTTGAAAAGCAGGAAGCAAGTGAAGATGAACAGCTCGACTTCTTTGTCATCAGTCAAATCCTCGTAGAGCCCTGCAAATGCTTCGAGCTCATCATTGTCTAGTTGTAGCATGGAGCTGGTGATCTCCTCGTCAATTTTGAAGTCATCTACTCCAAGAGCATCCATTTTGAGAGGAAGGCAATAGAGATAAAACCAAAAGGTGACTGCGGCGTTGGGGAGAAACAGGAATGCGAAGGAGGCTGAAATGGTTCAGCAAAGCCCCATGGCGCTAAACTCACTTGCAGTAAACGCCAATGTGCACACGTGCGGCATTTATTATAGCCCTGAAGTGAGTGACAAGATGCGGGGCTGTACACTGTAGATCTCTTGCGCTCAGATACCATTCCCTCTGCCATGCCCGGGGCATTTGTGAGGGGCTACAACATGGTTGCTTTGTGCAAATTTCAAGAGCGATAAGTGGTCCAGATTGAACGCTGCAATCCAATGACTGATCACTGCCTCCTAGCTGGTATCAAAGCGGTTGTCGCGCGACGGAGGGTGATTCTCACCCGGCTTTTCACCCTATCTATAGCGCACTCGCCCTTCCTCACGCCCGGTCGCATGACGCTAAGGTGGCGCTCGCCCACTCTGTACCTGAGTTAGTAGTTGAGTGGGTAGTCACTAGCGAATCCCTACTCCTTACATTGCTTGAGGGTAGTTATGTGCCATCTTTAAGTATGCTCTACCACATAGGACCATAGGATGCGGAGAACACGGCTTCCCGTTCGCTCAGCCGTACTCGAGCCACACTTGCCGGTAGTTGAACAATTATGCAGGTGGGTTCCCATAATGTAATGAAAGTTGAATACGTGAACCAGGAACACATCGGCCCTGACTAGTTTTGGGACTCAAACTTCGTCACGAGCTATGAGCAAGCGTTTCTGTTCGTTAACTGAAGCAGTCTTCCTTGGCGAATTCAAGCGGTAAATATTCTTGAGTGAAAGGTTATCTTTGCGAAGTACGATAAGTGTTGAATCTGTAAAATAGAACCAGAAGATCAATATAACATGGGCCGTCCGTATTCGTGGCTGGTTTCACGATCCTTAAATAGAGGCAGTGATATAAATGTTGCTTACTTTTCTTGGCGTATTATATATTCGCTGTTAGCATCCTGATTGCGCACTAATAGAGAGATAAAGAAGACCAAATCAGAGTGGTGATAGCCACAACGTATCTATTTTCTTTAGCGGCAGCCTGTCAGGTTTTAGAACGGTGCTTGGAAGAGAGTAAGAGAAGTGGGATTTTAGCGAGATGCACACGTTAACGGTTGAGGGTTGTGCAGGGCACGCAGGTGAAGAATAGAGGGCTGCATGGCATTCAGGGGAAGAGGCCGAGAGAGCTGAAGAGTAAGGCGGCAAGAGAGATCTCCCCGAACTAATATATATATAAAAAAAAAAAAAGAAAATTGACATACAACAATCAGTCTTAGGTGGTGATCACCTAGCGCCCAGGAATCTGGCGTACTATATGTAACAGCAAAAAAATTCTTCAACACAGACCCACGCGGACCAAGACCCAATCCATAGATATTGTTATTTAGGGTAGTGTATAGTGTGGGATTAGGGCTGTATATGCCCTTCGCAAAGCCCTCAAAGAGATTGCAGTCTTATTGCTATTATCGCCCACGTCGAAACTCAACTATCCTCTTTAGTCTCTGTCCATCGAGGCGTGTCTCTAATCGAGCCTTGTCGCAGGGCACGCCTACAAAAACGAGGAACGAGACGGTTGTCATAGTCCTGCATCTATGAGTAAATTTGAAATCTTCTTGCTCAGCTCTTTTTGCCTCATGGTCATCGGGTCTTCAAGAGAGGCATGCGAAGTGTTGGGAATCCGGATACCCCGAAGTAATGACCACGGTGTAATGCAATTATACCCATTGTCTTCAACAGACATTTTTTTAAAGACAGCAGACATCCCCCCAATTTTTTTCAAATGGCACGGATTGACGACCTGTTGACAGACAGGCTGCTTAGAAAAGTCAAGCAAGACACCCGCAGTGGCGGCTCCAATAAATGTTGCAATCGAAGTACCACTATGTCGACGAGGTTGCTCTGCATCGCAGAATCGCACCTCTACATCCTCTCCAAGAATGGCGAAGTTCGACCCCCCACTCTCTCGTGCAGATGGATTGATGGATAGTTGTGTAGGTTTTGCATGTCCGTTACTGGCGAACATGCACATAACGCATTGACGCATGGAAGCGGGGAATGCGATTGGTCCCATGTTCCCATAGTTTGAAGCGGCAGAGAATATCAGTGGCGGATTTGGCGTTTCTGATATGATTTCATCGCGGATGCAGTCATGGTAATCGTCAAAGCCCGAGGCAATGGTGATGATATCAACATGCCATTCATCTCTGGCATGTCTAATCGCCTGAAATCAGTTAGCAGATGTTTTTCCGATGTTTGGCTTTGGAAGAATAGTCCGATATGTACCTGGGCTAGAAGAACAGGCGTATCGTTATTGGCCTGTGATTTTTCAAAGACTCGGGCGACGTATACTTGCGCATTAGATAGTAGTTTGTATATTAGACTCACTCCGATCGAGCCATGACCGGTTAAATCAATATGGCTCTGACTAGGGGGACTTACGAAGTCTTTGTAACCGGTAATGTGGGTGATGTTGTAATGCTGAGGATGAATTCCAGTATCGAGGACTGCAATTTTCACCGGCTTGTAAGACTTTCGATCTGCTTTTTTTGCACGCAGAAGAGCACAAAATTCCTTGTCAATCCTTTCAAGCCATTTGGTAGAGGGTGAGTTTGTGGTCCTATAAGGAACAGTCAGCGCTTTAATTTGAAAGACGCAGAATATCATACTTACGAGAATGTCATAGTTGTACCAGTTTCTAATGGCTCTGGTACAGGATTTTGAAGGGGCAGAAGAGGCTGCGAAACAGGCACACGAAGCATTTCGGTAGCATGCAATGATTCCGGCACATCTTGATACACAATGGGTAGGATTTGAGACTCCTCCCCTTCCCATTGGGATCTGAAAAGCGATTCAAGAGGTACAACAATTTCTTTGAGAAGAACAGACCGTTGGGAATCGGCATCTTCACAGCCACGAAGGATTTCTTGGTTGAAACAAGCCTTGATGATGGCTTTATGCTGAGACGTTGTCCCTCGCTCCTCCCAACCTTCTGACATTCTATCGAGAACATAAACTGCAGTCATGTAATCTGTATTGCGATCATTATCTTGATCCTCTTCAAGGATAAGATGTCGATATTCATCAATACCACGCCCTAGCTCAATTTCTAAAAGCAGAATCCCAACAGCTAGGATCTTTGGGTATTTGTGTAAGCTCAAGCATCCAGCAATCGGGTCATTCCATCCGGTATGCTCTGTGTCGTGATGAACGAAGCTTGCCCTTAGAAAAGGCTCATCTGTAGATAGCAGCTTATGTCTGCCACATTCACTTTTTTCTAACAAAAAGTGAACATTCTGCCGAATAAGACCATTCTCTATCCATCCAGAGTCATAGCATTCCCATGCAGCCTTTGCTACGAGATGTGACAGGTACAATCTTTTCTTTCTTGATGTGAAGAACCCTTTTATGCCGAAGAGCTCAGTCAAAGAAATATGGCAATCTGTGATCCAGTTTTTGGATTGTGCTTTCGGCTCTTCCAGTTGCAGACTGTCCCCCTGGATATAGAAATAAAGACAAAGCAGTGAGTTTGCCCTTGAGATTATGCTGCAAAAGTTGTCCTGGATTTTGGTGATATCATTTGCTGGCGATGGCTCTGGTAACTCATTTGATACATTGACTCTCCTACAAGCCCACAGGGTTAGATTGAAAATGTCTTCCCAAGCGTTCCTTGTGACAGAACTGAAGACAAACTCACCGGCTTCTTTTAATTCGCATCACTGTTTCTCGCAATCGTGAACCCGATTCTCTGGCATAAATGTCGGTTGAGTGGCGCGCGAAGAAGATTTTGAATGGAGTGACGTGCTCTTCAACATGGACGAATACCTTTTTCTCATTCAGCCCAAGATAAGTAGCCATCGGTCCTTGGGATTTGGGCTCGCAATTGCAAACCCGGTGTCTTGCGACCATCTGGAAAAGTGCTTTGATCTGATGCCTATTATCAGGCTGATCACAACCCATATCTGTGTTGTCAACTGGCTCCAAATAATCTTTATCTGGCTGATGATTACGAAGGCGATATGAGATTCTCGTGAGGCAATCTAGTAGTCGGCCTCTCTCATCAGAGATTGTAAAGCATTCGAGACGATCAGAAATCCATTTCGGAATCTTCGATGCATCATGTATAGCTGCAAGTGCTTGGAGCGAGGGATATGAAGATCGTGATTGGTCTGATCCTGTCCGATGACTAATCGGGTGTTGCTGCCCGATCGACCTCGCGGACTTTTGAGACTTTTTGGACTGGATTCTTGTCAACAGTCCAGCTCAAAATCGAAGGGAAAATGGTTAGACAGCTATACACACCGAGTATGAGCAGACGCGATCCAGATTACGCAGGAGACATTTGATGTGCTTGGCAGTCTTTGTGTGCGAGTAATTTGACTGATTCTTAACGCTCTCGATAATTTCAATCATTTCAGCAGCGCAAAGGGCGCAAAAAGCTCGATACTGTTCATCTTCGCTGGATCTTCCAGGCCGCCGTATAGCCAGGCTAACCAACTTTCGCTCAAGTAAATTACAGACGTGAATCAGTAGTTGAGCCTCCATCTTGGTGTCTACTTAATAACAACTCGCAGTCAATCAGCCAATTCGTCTGTTATTACTGACTAAACATACCTGAGGCTTGACTATCACTCACCCGTACCTCTCAATCAAAGCATGGTTTATACATGCATCCATGGATATGCTATATGCCAGGGTAAGCAAGGTGTTGTGGGACACTGGCAGTAAACTGGGATGTCAGAAATGCAAGCGTGGGCGGGGACAAACCTACGATCTATTATGTATGTGACAACGTGACAAGGCTCCACTACGTCAGCCTTCGCTTGCGTATTACTGCAATGCACCAATATCAAGCGCTAAAAAACAACAAATCATTGGTCGTCAATACGGGCGACTCGAACTCGACCTCAGCCGTAGCGAAGCCCTGTGATAAACCATGGATCTCCCCAAGCCAAATTTATCCCTGACACTGATACCACTAAAATGGAAAAGTGCTGGTTTGTATTGCGCCAGCAACAATATCCCCCGCCCAAAGATGGCGCGGGCCCGATCCGCCTTGGTTCAATCATCCCAAACCTTCGTAAGATCGATTCCGTTGTGAATGAAGATGGTCCGGAACCATTACCCCCCAATGTTCAGGTTTATTCTACTCGAAAGAGTGACTTCAAATGGGAGAACGGCAAAGGTCGAGAATACAAAGTTGACAACGATGTTGGCCTCCCTGTTGGCACGGTTCCAGGAATAACTGTTGGTGGGGCCGCTGGGGCCGCCTTTCAGCGGTCAGTTAGCAACTATGCTGAGTTTAATCTAGAGGCTCAGTTTATCCAGCCGACAGAGGGTTATTTGCGAGACAGCGTGGATGATGAACATGTTCGACAATATATTCAGCGCGAAACCAAGTTACTGAATAGATGGTCCTTGTTTATGATCACTGGGCTCATGATTGCTCGAGGCGCCCGTGGGAATTACAAGGAAAGCAAAGAAACAAGTTTCCATGGCGGGCCAACAGTGTAAGTGCCTGAAGAAGTCTTTAATTCATACATATGTACCGTTGGAGTAAAGCTGACATTTCTCTTCAAGATCTCTTGCAGGTATAGTCGATATCAGCAACGACGACACCGTATCGAACACATGGAAGACCTCAACATCATATGGAGGATCGGATGACTTTATTTGGGCTGTCCGATTGATGAAATTATCGAAAAAGCTCTTCTCCGACTATATCGATCATGAAACATGCACAAAGGGAGCTACATTCAGCACCGATGAGGAGCAAACGAACATTCGAATCATGATCAACCTATCCGAGGTTGTGGATACTAAATTTGATCTGCTCTATGATGAGTGCGATGGCAATGAAGAGGTATTTGTGATGGCAGAAGATGTGTAATTAATCTATTTCGATGACGGGAAGAGCCCTTAAGAATGTTTCTAGAAAAATCCATAACTTCAAACAGCAATAATGTCATCAGCAACCTGGCATTAGCTTGGAAGTGACCCATTGATTAACGACTTCCCTGACCCAGTTTACACAGAGCCCGGCCTATTGTCTCCTTATAAGGTCATTATCCCTCTTCCGGGATTTCTAACATTTTTTCTCTCATTCTACTGTATAACGGAAACCCAACGATAAGACCAACCCATTCTGGTACCCGAGAGCAATAGAGCTCCAGCCAGGGGCGATAGCACAGAATGAGCGATACCTTTAGTAGGTAACATCGGGGTTTTCGACCAGCTCCAGCACAATCTGAATTTGCTCAAAATCCGGGTGCTGCATGCAGATCTTGACAGTATTTTGTGTCGAACCGATCGAATCAAATACTCCCGGCACTTTGCTACCATCGTCAAGACGAACGACATTGTGGCCCGGAATTACCTGCTTCAATCGACCGTTCATTGCATTTCGAACTTCGACAAAGTCATCGTTAAAAAGGATGAGAAAATTTCCTTTTATACAAGCAGTGTGCGCGCTGCCCACAAATTCCATCACGATACTGCGTGAAACATCGCCATATTTGTTGACATACACGCCACATTGTTGGTATGCGATTAGGAACTCATCATCACTGAGCCGAAACATACCTAGTGCCCGGAGGTTTTTAATACGATAGGCGATGCTCATGAGAGTATCCGAGGCCTCGGGAGCCTCTGATTTGAAGTCCGGGACTGACCAGGATTGCTTTTTGTCCAGCGTGAGAACTTCGATGCCTACCATAGTAGCAATAGCGAAGCTAGTGCGAAACATGTTGATGCCATAGCTTTCGACCGGAATGTAGAATTCGTCGTATTCGCGGAAAAGTTCGCTCTGCGAACGAAAAGCTTTGACGAAGAGCCTTTTGCTAGAAGATGGCTTCTGTATGAGGGGTTCAAGGACCTAGGGTAGACCGTGTCAATAACTATTTCATCATCTACAAATCAAAAAAAAGGGTTGAAACAAACTTTGAAAGTGGAGGAAAATCCATCACGCCTCTTGTACACAATCAAGCAGCGATCATTCATCTGACCCGCGGCAAAGAAGCCGACTTCAGATTTTCCAGACAGCTTCTGTGCTACTCGACGGACATTATCCTGTGATTTAGAAGTAATCCCGCTAGCAGGGCAAACAACATCAAGGTGGTATGCAATGAGAGATCCATCCGAGATGAGTAGTAATATGTTGAACTCCTCGAAGACAGCAACCTGGGTAACTCGCATAAAGGGAATCGCCTAGGCTTCGATTAGCGGTTGAATATATAATTCAAAGACAAGCAGATATATGACTTACTTGATACCAGTCACGTGGTTTGCTGAGATCAGAAACCCAAACTCCATAGTCTGTTCCCACTGCACACATCTGTTGGCCTGTGGGCTGCTGGAAGGCTGTGGCGCAGTTAACACCGGTCCTGCAGACTGGTGGAGGTCGGAGTTCAGACCCCCCGTATTTCTTCTCAAACTCCCCGATCGCATGGTGTAATGGTGTGCCGCTGATTGTGATACTCTCTGATCTAGATGTCTGGTCCGGGTATTCAAAAGCAGTATCCGCTAGCACGCGCAATCGAAATGGTTCCACATTCTGAGAAAGCAGAGCAGCAGCGTGTTTTGTCTTCGCCTCAATGATCTTTTTACACCAATTCACACGGTCCTGCGCGGAGAATGCATAGAGCACGTAGGTCCCTGTTTTGCCAAGATGCTTGATCTTGAACGGGAACAAAATCTTCTCATCCTTGTTTTCGGAAATGGCAGCACTGCCTTTTATGGAAGCACCAGGCCCAGTGTGGGTTAGGGGGCTGACGCTGCCCTGGGGTGTCACAGTTGCGACATCCCTGACGGAAGATTTGACAACGGGATCATCGTTGGTGCTTTCCAAAACGAGGAGAATCATTGGAATAGGAAGCTCCGACACATCGTATTCCTCGTACGGGCGGATATCCTCCTTTGTTTTGGTTTGTTGCTTGGCGCGAGATTCGAAAGGTAATGTTGCATGAACGTCATCAAAATTGTCGATTGAGGGTGCGGTTTTGGCTGACTGTGATTGATCTCTTGCAATGAAACTCTTGGCTAAGACCAAATAATGGTCAAACAGAATAGCATGTGTATCAACAAGGAATCTTGAACCAGTTCTTGGTCGCTGAAGGTCGCCTCGGAAGATAATCTCGCGACCCAAATGCTCGAGGTTGAGTTTGACTCCTTTCTTCACCTCGGGGCGGAGTTCCAACTTGGCCGCAAGTTCCATTAGAACTGCCCTACTCGCATTGAAACTGTTAGCAGCCGCGATCTCTCCTTTCACTCGGGTCAAGGGTTTCTCCCGAGACGCCTCGGCCTCCGGTAGTATCAGAGCTGAGACCGAATCTTCAAAGTCTTTGTCCAAATTGTCACACCTCTTGGCCATGCTAAGTCCAACGGTCAGTTTGGATTCATCGCGCATGGGGCATACATTATAGTGAGAGTTTCCTCCTGAAACACATACTTCTCATCACGAAGACCACCCGAAGGAGTAATGACTTCTTCAAGTTGTTTGATGATCCAGCTTATGTCCAGCAAGCCCTTCTCCATTCTTCTTATCGCAACCCAGTTAACGGGCTTTTCTCCACTTTCTGAAGAATAAAGACTGCTTGCAGCATTTCCCACTTGCTCTAATTTGGCTTTATAGTATGGAGGTATATTGGTATTGAGGAGATTGGCTTGCCAGTCGGCAATCACCAGAAGAAATTGATCGAGATTCTCAGATGTCGTGGTAGACTGCTCTTCACTTGCAAACAATTCACGGCTATCATCAGAGAAGTCAGACGGAGCCTTGTCATCCATTGCCTGAGCTACAGTAGATTGATCTTCATCAGCATAGCTTTCCCAGGGAAGTGACCGAAGAGCAAAAGAGTGAAGATGTTCCGCAATGTGCTTTATCGTTTCTTCTTCATTGATTGGACTTGAAAAATAGCAGAGCGGGCAACTTTCGATTGAAAAGTCATGGATGGTGTTTGTTCCAGCGACTATTTGGAGCTGTGCAGCGCTGAATTTGGTCTGATTATCCGCACTCTGATGAGTCGCCATATGATCAATCCAATCGCTTTCATTCGCGAATATGTACTCGGGTGTATTCTCGCAAATGTCGGGAAAGGGACATTGCCAATATTTCTTGCTGTGTGTAGCACGTAAATGCTGGATCCATTCTTCTTTTGATCCAAAAAAGCTCTGTTGATTAGGACAGTCTTCGAAAATGCAGATATATGGTATGAGATCTCCATGTACGTGGGATCTAATGAGTTGGTATTAGTTACTGCTGAGCGTTAAGGCGCCTGATAAAATTTGAAGAAATCATACCGCCATCCAGATCTCTCCAGATACTTCTTTGGGAGTTGTTGGCAGCAGAAAGGACATTGAAAAGATGCATCATCCGGATTTTCAAGCTGTGGGCATTTGGGATACTCTAACTTTTGGCCCGTTGATGACATTTTCGTTATCCTTGTTGCGGCTTTTGAGGGTGTTGGCTCAACTGGCGTAGTGATAGTACCAACTTGAGTTGCTGTTTCCACAATAGAAGGCCGTGAGAGGCTCACTTGGCTTTTTGCCTCCGGACCCTTGGACTGTGGAGTTGACACAGGAGCCAGAGTCGGCGCGGTCGGCTTCTGGGTTGGTGGTTGGTGTTCAATCAGCTTTGGTTGTGGGCGTGGATTCGCCTTGAGCTCTCTCTTCTTAGCGAATTCAAATCTATTTCGTCTAGTGATATTTGCATGTATGGCTCGCTGTTGAAAGGCCGACAACCTGACCTGGTCAAGAAGCTCTTGTCTGGTGACGAATGGAATGGCTTCCCTAGATAGTTTTTCCGATACTTGCTCGTTTAGAAGAACAAATTCAAGATGCCTTTTGAACTCTTCATAATTGGAAACATCTAGAGAGCGATCTGCCAGTTCATGCCGAAATCGATCGCCAGATTTTCGAATGACCATACCCAAGCGAATCAGTCTATCGAGTGTTGATTCAACCCCACTGATTGGATCAGAAAGGATAGAGGCGGAGACTTGTCTTTTCTTTGAACCTCCATTATCTTCGTCGGAAACATCCGACCAAGAAGAAACCGAATCATCGCTACCTTGTGCCTCGTAATCGGACTGATTACTAGTAGGCTCCTCAGGTACGCGACATCTCTCCACGAAATCGTGGAGGCTCCGCAATAGACCCGCAATCACGTTTCTCAGTTCTTCCCGATCGCGAAGTCGGTAGTCGAGCGATGCATGGCCAGGTTTCAAAACTCGGAGATTTGTGAGCCACAGGTTAAAGTCTCCCAGTCGGTTCTCAACCCAACTCTCATCATTTAATGACGGAACAGACAGGCATTGCCTAAAGGCTTGCTGACACCCGATGGCGGAATCTCGTAGGATGTGTGGGTCCTCCATCGCTAACGAAGGATTTACGCTTGATGTCTATAGCATATTTATCGAGCTGTGATTCAATCCATCCAAATCGCGGAACAAACTCCAGATGTCGGAATTTGTTCATATCTTGATGGGGAGTAATGCGATGCTGATCTGCGGTGGAGAGAGCCACATCATCGTAAACAAAGGCGTGCCCCTCTTATCACCTGACTAACATCGTCGCCCTACCAAATTAATTGTTCATCTCCAGACCCCTTCAGCAATTGACATTTGATTTAAAGAGAGGTTCTCAATTTCTTGAGAACTGAGGATTTCCAAGTCTTGGAATTTGGCTATCGCAGCTCAATCTGGGTACAATTATTCCGAAAATCTTCGTGCTGGTAAATAGCATCACTCTCATACATTAAACCATGTACCCAAGCTTCGCCCACGATGGTATAATGCTGGTCCTGGCGACGAAGGTACCAAGGATGGCTGCATGCAGCCAGAAGAGCGACAGTATCTCCGCATTGGACACCTGGGGGTGCTAATCCAAAGTATCCTTGCTTTGTTTTAATGAGAATGTGCTTGGTCATTTCCAAGAGTCCTCCCAAAAACCCCCACCGTGGCTCATCCAGCTCCAAGAGCTCCAACAATCGCATATTGCCCAGAGACCGTATGATTTCTTGTATCTTGTCATCGTCCGCTAGTGGGACGGGCTTACTCTCTAGACGCCGAATTGCTTTTTTTATTTCATCGTTGTCGTCGCCTTTGAGGAAGTGACTCAGGTCATGGCCCTGAACGCGAGCGAAGGCCGGGCCAAGCATTGGACGATACTTCAGCTCGTTCGACCATGCTTGGCGAGCTTGACGATAACTGAGTCGGCATTGAGCTAGCCATTTGTTCACTTCTTCCAGCTCATGAAAATGGTAGGTGTGGTCAGTGAAGGGCTTGGTGCCGATCGGATTGTCAGCGATGATAGTGCGCCAAAACCCCTCGAATTGGGCTTTGAATCCACCATAGATGCTGGGAGTTTTCTTTTTGTTTTCTTGCTCAACTAACATGTAGCACAGATTTACCTCCTGAAACATTTTCTCGTTGCAGTCAAGGATTTCCGAGCAGAAGGTGACTTCGTCCATAACGCAGCCGGAGATCATAAGGGACTCTCCCTGTACTTGAGCATCGAACGGAATAAGGCGGTCCGTCTCTATGATATGCCTTGTGTTGAATACGGCATATTCTCGTTTAGCCGACCAGTCAGGTACCCATGTCGGTAGATCCAATTGTTCGGTGGGAGGCCCTATATTCCGTGCAAAGAAATCCAAGATATGATAGCTCCCCGGCTGAAATGCCGTATCTCCCTTGTCTACCTCGTAATTATTCTCCGCGATATGTTTGGCAGTGCTGAGATAAACATCTCGCACATCAAGGCTGTAATCCACGCAGCTTTCAGCCCATTCCAGTACACACGGCCGCTTGGAGAATTTCTGTAAGAGACCTACAAAGCCGAATATCAGATCTCGCCGATCTGTTGATTTTTGCTTGTCAAAGTTTTTCAGTAAAGCTCCAATGTCGAAGAGCGCAAGCTTGCCCTCACGTCCTTTGCTTCGAATGTAGGCCATTTGGTTAAAGACATGGTGAGTTTCAGAAATAATCAAATTGGATGGTTTCGTAAAGCGGGACCATGCTTGGATTTTCTGCACATTCTCGTGTGCTTCGAAGTATTTGAAGTCATCCAGTATAAAATTGTTTATGCTTGTCGGTTGGAGTCGATCCAGGCCGAACACATGCCAGAAACTCTCGAAATCCACCTCATGTTTCCCACAAACAAGTTTAGCTGTCTGAGCAAGAATAGTCTCCTGCACAATCCAGGCACGCTGAAAGTATGGCTTCTCCATCAAGTAGTTCAACGCACTCAGCACCTCTGCAGATTCCCTGTCTGAGAGTCTCATCTCTGCTGGTTTTGTTGCCTCTTTTAGGAAATCGGCAAACGTAGCAAATTTTTCGCTGGCCACACGTCTAACATGAGCAACATCCCAGTCAGGTAATATCCCCAAAAAGACATTGTCATATTGCGATGAGTCAGTCTTTGTAACATTGTCAACGTGCCGGCACCCGATATGCATGAGAAGCGGGTGTTTAGGGTAATCTTCCCATGATTGCCTTAATAGGTCGCTTACTACTTCCGGAAGGCTTGGGGGTGGTCTTTCGGTAATTTGGGTGGATCAAATCGTTGTTGCACCTCGTCTATTAGGTCAAAAAGATCAGGATCCGTAATATACAACAGCGCGACGGCGGACCCTTCTGGCTGATCGAGACTGAGACACTGAAGCCGATAGTCTGTCCTCGTTGAGACTACCTCAAATGCTCGCTTGATATTGACTTCTGGGCTGTCTTCACCGAGCCATACCAGAACCTCCTCAGCCCCTGCGTAGATCTGGCTCATCATCCGCACCTGCTGACTTCGCTCGCTGATGGAACCCTGGTGAATACAAATCGCGTCGATCCATATTCTTTGGGCCTCTGATGGATCGCGGAAACGAGTTAAGGCTTCAAAGAGGTTTGCTGTTACCATAAATTCATAGCCATTGCAAAGTATTAGGCGTAGATCATCTGTTGTACTCCCGCACATGTAGGAGAGCGCTTTGTAGGCTCCAGGGTCTGCTACCGGGACCACATGGAGTTGAACTTCAATCAAATCGAGCTCTGAGCCTGGAAGCAAGTCTAAGACTCTGATGTGATGCGAAGGGAGGGTGCTGTAAATATGTTCATTGTTCTCTTGCGCGGCCTGAACTGTCTTGGCGTGAACGGTGTCGTCCTTCTTGGGCTGCTCCATAACTGTGCAATGTGAACACTCAAATCAACTAGTTGATGTTTCGGTCCAAGTGAGTTATGTTGATGCAGGTTTGGAATTTGCAGGTTTATGAGTTTCAGTTGATCTCGGAAAGGAGAGGCTGGGAAGGATTTCAGAGCCAGCTCAGCGTCTTTGAGGCTCATTTGATTGTCCTGAGCTGGTAGGGAATATCAGAAAAGACAGATAACTGCCTAGGCCCAAGAAAGCGAATTAAACGCCAGTGGCTGTTTCCAACCCTGCATTGATACCCAACCAATGCTGCTAACTATTCCTATCCCGGGTTGTCATGAACTGATTATCGCAAAGGAGTCACTGCGATAGGCTCCAGGGCTGCCCCGCACAACAAGCGACATTCGGTTAAATGGAAAGCAGTCAGCATTTAGCCTCACCAAGGTGTGACACCACCAGTCACAGCCTCACAAATTTGAACATCAGGCTGAAAATCAGAATCGGTATCTGTTGGGTATAGCACCACATGATAATTTCCATGCAGGTTCTTCTCACGCAGAGAACGCAGCGAATATCTTTCACCCGATACGAATATGATCGTATAACCTCTGATCCTTGTAGAGGTTCAGCATAACAGCCAGTCTTCTTTGCCCAAGACGCAGGATTGCAAACAAACCGCAACACCACTTAAAAGATGGCCCAATCTCAGTCTGCTCTCCTTCCTGTGATTCTTATACCTCCACTTCTAGACCAGGCCTTTGGAGTTCCTGAACCGACAATGATCTTAAGAGATTGCGATGACCTCCCACCCTTCACGCTTATTCTCGACTGGAAATGTCCTGCCTGCTCCGAGGATCAACCCTATGCGGCTTACAAAAAGGACTCAGAACCTGACGAGCACAGTCAGAATCATCAATTCGCTACTTCGTTTCCATTGATGGAGCTGCGATACATAGACCAGCCAAGGTACCTAATATGGCCTGCGGTGACAGCATCCGAAGAATATAAGGATCTTTTCACGCAGAGCATGCAGCTGCTGGCGTCTAAATGCGAATATGCGGCACAATGGCAGCCTGGCATGGGACAGAAGGCTTATTTAAAGGTTGTGCCCGGCCCAATAATGAGCCCAGTGCAGGATCTTGCAAAATACGAAGTCCCGCTCTTTTTCATTCGACCATCGAAGACAGTCTGGGATAGGATCGATGCAAAGATCATCTTCTTTGAACGCGAGCAGTTACCGTCTATTTGTATCCTTTTGAATCCGCCGTCAGACGAGTGCTTCATGATACACGATGTAGAAGAGGGACATGAGGAATTCATGCAAGATTCTCATGAGGGTGATATCAATGCGAAGGAGCCCCCAGAATACCTCCAAGAAAACCTGGACAGTCAGAATGCTCAGGCAAATGCCGTGCTAGCGCCTAACCCTGCCCTAGACAATTCAATGCAGCTATTCATTGCGGGAGTCCCAGATCCTACCCTCCGGCATCTTGCTGTCTATGCATTCAGAATATTAAGGTGCTACAAGATACATTATTTGCACACTACGCTACTGCGTTCATATCTGAAAGACGAAAGAATATGGGACACAGATATTTGGAAGGTCCCAAAATACAGAGACTCAATTCCCCTGTGTACTGCACAGTGGTGGGATCCCGAAAGGACTATCGATTCCCTTAACGGTCCTTTCCGTGGTAGACAAACAGAGCTGCTACACTTGAAGCATCTCAATCCGAAGGAACTGCTCAAACTCCTTATTAACCATTACACATTCTTGGACTACGAAGATCTTGACATGTCCGCAAGCTCTACTCAATTTCGACTCATTGAGTGTGACATTTCTAAGGAACACGAAGTGCCAATGAATTGGAATTTTCACCACACAGCATTGGTTGCAGAGGAGTGCCCGTCTTTTTGCTACATTTATGATTTTGCATCGGATTCCCCAGACGCACGACCTCAATGTGAGATCATTTGCCTGAACGGCAGGGAAGTAGCGATACCTGTCTCCATAATTGCCACCTTGAAGGATTTGATGAAGGAAACAGAGAGATCGAGTGAAAGCGTTGCCAAATTCTACTTTTTCCTACAACATCTGTGCGTCAATACTGCCAGCCGTGACGAATTCAATCATCATGAACCACTATATCCTAGGATTCGCGACCAAGCTAAATCGTCGACGTTTACTTTGATGGGCGGCAACTGCTCCTCGCTTCTGAAAGTACGTCACCAGGGCAGCTTTTACAGCCCTCTTAAGAAAGACATTCATCAGATTCGACTGCTTCGATTAAAGCCCTGCCACAGTCCCGATGCCCTTCTGGAGGCTGAGATGATTACCACAGACCTTGAGAGCGCACCCAAATTCATCGCCATATCACACGACTGGGAGACAAGTGGTACACCGAGAATGATCATATTAGAGGGACGAGAATTTTTGATATCCAACGAGTTGGATTCTGCGCTAAGACAGCTGCGACGCGTCTCAGAAGGTAGCTATGTGTGGGTAGATTTTCTGAGCATCCACCAGCTAGATCTTGATGAGCGCGCTTCTCAGACGAATTTGTTGCCATACATTTACGGGTCAGCCGACTATGTATTTGTGTGGCTTGGAGAGATAAAGGGCGACTTTGTTCGCATACTGAACGCTCTCAGTCGCATAAAGATTCCTCCTTTCATTACTGAATTGCCTGGACTGTACGTTGAGATAATCCGGTCTTTACTCGACATCGAAGGGGCCATAGAAAGTGTCAGAGGATTTCTCGAATCACAGTGGTGGAAGAGGATCTGGATGATACAGCCATTTGTCCTCGCAAAGTCTTTGGAGCTCTACACTGGAACAGCCATGATTGAATGGGAGGTTTTCGGCAAGGCGATAAAAGTGCTCCACGCGTACGTTTTCTTGACCCCCGCAAGCTCCGAGGTTCGCCAGACTGCTGCATTTCAGCAAATCTTACCTCTTATTCAAAATGTGCACGAGATATCCATGCTGCGAGAGTGGCACAGGCTCGACGATGATTCGTCTCCTGCAATAGCCAGGGCGAAGGACTATTTGCTATACTGTCTGTGGCTCCTTTATTCTCGCGAGTATAGCGATGCACGCGACATCATATACACTGCGTGCATGCTTGCCCAGCGGAATGCACCAATTCTTCGCCTGAGCTACAGAAGTACGATTAGGGAAGTCTATCATGACGCTGCTGTAGCGATAATCACCTATTATGGGGACCTGAAATTGTTGTCACACACACTTTTCTCCCGCAGACGTCATGAATCAAGGAAAGCCAACTCAGACGTTCCTATTGACCCCTCCTACTACTGGCCTAGTTGGGTCCCTGATTGGCGTCTCCGCCCATGGGGTCTAGGATCAACGACATTTGATCTTAGCGATTTCGTGTTATCTCCACAGCTTGTTTTCAATGCATGCGGTGGTCTCAAGGCGCAATTCATATTTTCAGATAATTCCAAAATCCTCAACGTTGTTGGAGTACAAGTCGGAAGAATCAACAAAGTGTTTAGGGCGACAGAAGCCCACGACTCTGTTGACCCGGTCAGACAACAAAGTCCTGACACTGACTGGGGGCTGCTACGCCTCACACCACCGTTAGGCCAACAGCAATACATTGCTGGCGGCTCCTGGGCAGCAGCTTGGATTAACACATGTGAGATTATGGATCGGGAATCGTACCCTGGGACCGGCAAAAGGACACTTCGTCTTCCGGAGAATGGCTTTGAGAATGTTTTACGGAGCATGAACTATCATGGTCAAAGACCTCCAGAGACTGTTACTAATGATACAGGAACATACCAATACGGATCCCCCGAGCCTCTTAGTTGGGATGGAATCAATGTCATCCTTAAGCCTCAAAGGGTCAAGACCCCCAGAGGAGAATCATTCGTTGAGGAGCGATTCCATCTCATCTCGCTAGATTCAGGTCACGTTGGCTTCGGCGGGTACGCCGTCCGAGAAGGAGACTTCGTATGTATCCTCAAGGGGGGAAGCTATCCGTATGTCCTTAGACAAAGGAGGGACGGCCTTTTCCACCTCATTTCAGACTCATGTGTGTTCAATGTTACTATCTACAGACAATGCACGGTACTGACTACACCTTTTAGATGTACACGGCATCATGAATGGCGAATTCATTTGCAGCAACCCAGGTGTGGATGTAAAATGGCAGGATTTTGGGATTGTGTAGGATATTGTTTATTGTTGGATCTGCCCTCGTTGTTGATCGTTGTGGAACTCGATACGCATCCTGGAGATAGATATCGCAGTAGCCGCTTAGTACGCGAAACTGCTGCTTTCCTACATGAAAGATAGCAGTGAGATTAATGACATAGCCTTGCATTCCAGTAAGTAGCTAGCTATAACTATCCATTGACTAAGAATCGATTCCGTTCACCGGTCTAGTGATTGCAATTCTATGTAAACGAGCTCCTTTTAAGTTCCTTTGATATCAGCACGGTATTATAACTCAATCATTCTACAATACAATACTTTTAGTTTCTCATAGTCAGAGTTTTGGTATTCAATTTACTCCTATCTCTAAGTTAATCGAAGACTACGTAGAGATTGAGGTATTCTGCGTATTGCATAGGTACCCCGCGTGTAGCGAGGTTCTTAATCAATACATATTGCGCCTTTTGTATGTTTCTCGTGAAATCAAGGTATAGATTCTCAAAATGCTGACGTGTCAATACCCAACTGAACATCCAAAGTCAGACCTGCTATTTCAAGCGCGTGCGCCAGAGGAGGCGGTGGTGACCATCGTCCGGCAGGCTTGCACTCTTGCGTTTCAGTGTCCCATATAATTTCGGGCGACGCGATAGATATTCTCCGTAGATGGGGTAAATGTTCCTCTTTATGCACCAGCAGGCCCGACAGAAACTCGTCTTCTTCAAAGGTAGTGAGATCCGAGTCATCATAAAATATCTCTAGCTCCTCTAAGCTACGAGGAAGACTTCTCCAGGCCTCGAGAGGATCATCTTCTCCGCATAAAAAGACATGATAAATACGTAACGTAGTTAGAGCTGTGAAATCTCTTAGGTGAATGCGTGGTCCGTTGAACAATCCTTCATGAACAAGCCAAGGCCGGGTAAGGGTCAATTCCTTTAGGGACCCCTTTTGTGGCTGCAACGTTCGCACAAAAGCAGCGCATGTCCAGCGTCTATCAGGCTCATCAATGAAGCCATCCCACTCCCCTTGCTCGACGTCATAATGGAGCACTTCCAGCGCAGCTGGCCAGCTTAGCACAGTAGCTAATGCCTCCTCATGAGCCCCACAGCGTATCAAATTCAGGGCTTTGACCGGCGACTTGCCGATAAATTGGCGCAGACCACTTTGGTCTCCTAAAGGATCCATGGGGTTAAAGCGGAGAATGCTGAGTGTCTGGATGTTGGGAAACCAGTAAAAACAAAAAAAGTCGTATAATGACGTTGTGCAAGGAACAACTGCTGAAACAATAAAGTTTTGAAGATTCGGTTCATCTCTAAGTGTGCGTTTCAGCCGATCTAGAGGATGATTGTGGAATGAACCTTCGCGGACGCAGATGTTTTCGTAATAGTTTCGTTTCAACAGCCTATAGAAGCGACGTGAAACAAGGTATAAGGACCGTAAATCTTTGTTTTGTTGCGGTTGTTCTGGTTTAATCGCGCGTTCATATAAATCACCCCATTTGTAAAATGGCAACTTTCTCTGTCCCTTTTCTGCTTGCACATGATTGACAATGATAAAAATTAGTTCGTCCGGAAGGTCCAATAATTGTACCATCTTTTGAGCGAGAAGAGGAAAATGGTTTCAAGAGGGCCGACAGAAGACAAAGAGAGCAGCTGTCTAGATTTTTGGACCTTTAAATTCAGGGGTAAGTCAGCCGCAACAGCCGGAATTGTCTAAGCGCGATTCTACAAGTGAACCGAATGGCATCCAAATGTGGGTTAGGGCTCGTTGAAGTCACATCGGCCGGCAATAAGGACGCCACACGCATCGTTGTCCAGTCTGGCAAATGCAGAGTGACTGCTGTGCAGGTGCTCTTCCCATCCATCTTCATTGCCTTAATCCAGACAAGGTAGAGGCTAAGCCTCTTTGAGCGTGTCGCGAGATGATTGGCTCTGAGGGTTTCCAGGTCCAACCATTGATGTCCGGTGGGTCTCGCGAAAGAATGTGTATCTCTTATTACCAAAATTTCAGGGCCCATCTCGCATCCGCTCCACTTACAAGGATTCCAGCTGTACGAACATCACCCCAATGATCTACGATCCAGTTGTTACGAAACGTCGGACTCAGAATTCTGCTTTTTAACGTCTCTCACTTAAACACCCTGCCTGGACTCCAATGGATAATCTACGACCATGCAAATGAAATATATATTTATTTTTGTTCAGCGCTCTTGTTTACTATGCGAAAATCGAGTTCGTGCATAACAGTGGCATCCGCGTTCTCATCCGAGATGCAATTTTGTCCAAGACTCTCCCCGGCTCCAATCATGCGTTGAGAACAGCATTCACCGGAATTGCGAGAGTTGATCGTGAACTCATGATCCTAACTTTGTTTTTCTATCCTGCTGTAGATGGGTAAAATGCGACGCTGCTGCTGCATACAGTGGGCTTCTCCGGCTCATTCGGGTCAGCATGGGCTCTTGTGACCATGGAAGCTTGGAGAAGTGGAAATCGGTGGACAATAATTGCTGTGTAAGTTCATTGTCCCTATACGACCTTTTCTTCGAATGGAAGAAAGGGAAGGAGTTGGTCGCTATCGATAGCAAGAAACTAACGAGTGTAGTCCTATGGTATTTGGCGTCATGGAACAGCTCAAGACCTTCGCCCTGTGGGGTCCCCTTTACTGTGGTCTTCATCTAGCAACCTCTATCACCGCCACAAAACCCACGGTACAGAACATTCGGATTCCACGCATCATACGGCTGTGTATCCCCATTGCCTATGCAATCGGCTATGTGATTCCCTCAATTTCAATGGTCTTACCCGCACCAAGTGTGATTAGTACGGACCAGAAGCAGATTTTCATTGCTGTTTGGCAGGCATGGGCGATATCTGTCGGGTGTATAACTACACTGGCCTTCTATTTTCTGGGGCCACGGACTAGAGATGTTGTTTCCACCGACCATCGTGGTGTCTACGCTTTTGCCTTTGTGTATGCCGCTGTACCGCATCTTGTCTCGTGGACTATTTCCTTGGCAACTGTGGTGGCACCGGCGCTCTTTCACGATCGGTACGTGCAGGCTTTGCACCCGTCGAAGGTTTTCCTGTTGCCTTCGCCTTGGAACTCCGCGAGTTTCCCGGTCGAGGACGTCAGTATCGCAGCGCATCATTTCCTGAGGTGGGATTGCCTGATTGGGTCGGCTTGTATGCAGATCTGGGCGGTGACTCTATATGTGAGGGCATGTAGGGTTGGTGGTGAACCAATCAATTGGAGTGTTTTCGGGGCCAAGATTGTTTTGTTGACCATTTTGGCGGGGCCTATTGGGTCAGCAGTGGCATTGATGTGGGAGAGAGATAACATCATTTGCTATGGTGCGAGGGACGTTACCAGCCACGAAATAACACCAAGAAGACCCTTTAGAAACGGCAATAGGTATAATGCGTTCGATTTAAGTATGACAAAGGTCATGACCAAGATGTGTGGAATGTAATAGATCTATGTTCTTGTAACAAGTCTCGCATCCTTATATCGTCGATTGAGTGCATTCTGGGTCAGCCGATCATCCTGACATTCAGGATTTGTATGATACCGTAGAACTTCAATAATCACCTGGACACTCTCTGTCTCGACAGGAACCCAATGCCCGGTCCTAGGTAAGCTGATGACTTCACTTCCCGGTGCCAAGTATTTATGGACGCTATCAGGGCAGATTTCCGGCATCGGAACGTGGTCCTGGATGCCCCAGATTACAGTTGCTGGAGCCTGTAGTCTCGACTGATTGCTTTCCGCGCCAGGTTGACTAGCAGTGTGTGGTAGAACCCTGGTTTTTGGCATCGACTCCAAGGTCTCTCTTGGTTTCAACAGGTCCCACGTAAAACGCCATTACGATAAAGACCCGTCATCTGCCAGAGAAGAGCTGCAGGTGATCTAGCACGCTGCATGACCGTGTTTCCATACCCTTCGGAATGAACCGTCGTCTTTGTTTCGGCATCACACTCACTTGGACCCAGGGAAGCAGCCATTGCTTAAATGAAGTCAAAGTCAAAGTTTTGGTGGTTCGCCATTCGAACAAGCCCACGAAGAACGGCCATCCGGTTCCAAGCACCAATAAAATGACGGACAATCTTCTCTAAGAATGTATCCCCGGTAATAGACAAGGTGAGAACTAAGATCAGAACAGGTGATAGATCGCCCCAATTGATCGACGGTCGCACGGGCCTGTTCCAGTCGAATCATTACACACCTATGATCATGCAGCTTTGATGCATCTCAAAGGTTCAGTCTTTGTCAAGGGATGTCATAGCTTTCTGAGAAACACACCCCTCGAGTGAGAGCTCGTATAGTGGATAGAGCAGCCATGGTGGGACAAGTTGTGTAATTTAAAATGAATTATAGAATAACTATGAAGCTCCGGTTGATTAACTCTACTACGTTTGCTTTTCCCTAATTACTAGAGGCCCCCATAAAACTTCCTATAGCAGTTTAGCCCGTAACTTCGGTACTTACAATCTCTGTAGATATCACTTATAAGTCGATATGCCTCCACTAGGCATCAATCTTTTTAGCGCCTGCTTAGCGCACACTAAGCCTCGGGCAAGGGGGGGTGGGGGGAAGGGGGTTGTAGCACCAGATATATCAAGTGCATTGTGTAACCTGTTAATACTTGGCCACCTTGGATGGATCTAAGGTCAGTACTTTAGACATCTGGAGATTGGTTACATAAGCCCCACTGTCTTTCAACTACCGACCTGTCATAATTTCTCTCGATGATGGAATGCCCACTTTACTTACTGATGTACCGACGCTAACAAGGACCACAGGTGACCGAAAGGCTAATCGAGTCACCGAATGAAGTTGATTCAGCTCCTCCTTTACGGTTGTCATATCTTTATTGTATTATATGACATTGCCCCTACTACTCTGCAAGCACCAATTTGGTTTATACCATGTTACCTATTATATACACACCGACAAGCAAACAGAACAATAACAATGAAAAAAAAAAAAATTATTAATTGACTTTAGCAGAGACAAGATCCCGAAATTGCTGGACCTACCTCTTCAGAAATATGAATATAGGCCATGTAATGCTCGCCTCAGGAAATGGTTTTCTCCCCCCGATTTGGATTTTCTTTTACGTAAATCAACAACATTCTGTACTAAAGACCCAACTCAGCGAAGGAATATGAATCAGTATTTTGGCCTTCGTACGTATATTCAGCTACACCGAGCTGTCTGTGGCTTGCTTTGCAGATTTATCTGGACCAATCACGATGCTGGTTGACTAGGGACTTGCTGCCAGTTATTATCAGAGCATGATCTCGGTACGCGATATCCAATAGCCATTCTGATGGGTACATGAACTATAATGATACTACATGTAATATGTCAACCGATGCATTATGCATATGTTAGAATATTGATGTGATGTGTCGAGAGCAAGAAGAAAGATTGAAGCTGAGAAACAGCTTTACAAGAGGATCGTGCTCACAGATCTGAACCATTGCGTGATCCCTAGTTTCAATCTTTGGATCAACATTTAAATTTCTCTGCTTCCCTCCCACTATTGGGAATAGTGAATCTATTACTACCACAATTACTCTTTATACCCTGCTCCTTTCATGACTTGAATCCATCTGAACTACACCTTGTAGGAAACAATGGCATCATATCTCAATGGTGGAGCTACGGCAAATGGAGCATCTGCTGAAATACAACTGGTTACGATATCTGCCGCAGGTCTTTTGAAAGGTGAAAAGCAGACCCAAAATGACCTCTTCGACGCCTGTAAATCCCTCGGGTTCTTCTACCTGGATTGCCGTGATCACCCGTCCAAATCTACCACAAGTCTGGTAGACAGAATCTCAGCCATGGCACTTGATTTCTATGATCTTCCTCTACCTTCAAAAGAATATTGGGCTGAACTGTCTTTCGATGAGGTCAAAAGTCGACCATTTACGTTAGTCTTTTACTCCTCCAATATTTTTACACCGTTTTCCCTGTACGGTAGTTTTCTAATATTACGTCAAGGTATAAACCAGCTGGTAAGCAGGAAGGTTCTGTGAAGGGCAAAAAGGATGGATGGGAAGGGTTGATAGTAAGTTCATTCTCAATTGTCTTATAAAGCAGTGTGAATGTTTCACGGGTTACTAACAAAGACTCACCTAGATTATGGAGACCCCGGTGGCTCAGCTTTCTCCAAGCTCACCCATGCCAGTACCAAAAGTCCTTCAAGATTCCGTGGGTCTTATTCTGGAGACACAGGGACATCTCGGCGAGCTCAGTCGGGCAATTGTCGAGACCTTGTCTCGTTCACTCGGGATGACCGACAATGAGAGCCTAACTCGTTATCATCCTATGGATATATCTGCTCCAACTGATCTCGAGATCTTGAAGTATCTTCCATACACTCCTGGGTCTGAAAAAGTTGGGCACATTCCTCATACAGACCTGGGAAGCATTTCTATGGTTTTTGCCGAGGTTGGTGGCTTGCAGGTCTTTCACCCCATCAAAGAGGAGTGGATGTTTGTCCCACCAAAGCCGGGTCATGCAGTATGCAATATTGGAGATTCTATGGAGTTCTTTTCAGGGAATGTGCTGCGATCATCATTGCATCGGGTTATCCCATACAAACAAGATTCGGGGGAAATCAGACTATCCGTCATCCACTTCTTGCGTCCGAGTGAGGTCGCAGAATTTGTCGGTGCGGATGGACGTCAATGGAAAGTCGCTGACTGGAATACGATGAAGCACAAACAGTTCTATGAGCGTCAACATCGTCTGGATGTTGTGACTCGTCGGGAAGGACAGAACGACTTTTGGCAAGGATAAGGCAAGTGGGCTAGAAATATGGAGATAGATTGGCCGGAACTCTATAAGGACAATCAATTTTCACAAATTCACACGGTGCTGAAATTATCCTACTAGCAGTGCATTACAGTGCCCCTCCCTTGCGATGAGGGTGCGCCACGTCGTAAAAACAGATTTGACACCGCTACCATGATCAAAGGTAAAACAATGTCTCTCCCAGGACGACATCTTGAGCTTTTTTGGGTGCCGATCCTTATTTTACAGATTCTATTGGATGATAAATCCAGCAAGACAATCTTTTGGACAAGAAAGGGTACAAAGTCAGCAAGGGACAGGATTCGCTTGTTTTACTATAATCCTCTGTGGGTCACGCACAGCTGAACTCGAGTGGTAGTTTGCAGGCGACACGTATGTAATAACCGGCCCCAAAGATTTTCCAAATCTTACAGGAATCGGCATTTGATTGGAGAGCGTGTCTCCCACTGCAATAAGTAACCCTAACGCTATTGGGAAGCAAAATAAAACGAGAAGGCTGATCGCACACATTTTATGTACCAATTACTACTGACTAGCCCATTTGTCAAATCTCCGAGATAGCTGAAGGCATTTCTTGTCAATATACATCTCCCAGAAATGTGCGACCACGACCATGATGACAGCACAAACAAGTGTCGCAACCCCCCAAGCTGAACCAAACAATAGAGAGTAGTTGATGGCTTCTTCAGTCCCAGGGTAGGTTTGTTGCGTGATAAGACCCCACAGAATATTTCGAAGTGGCCTTTTGATAGTGTTGTAGATGGTTGGATGGACAAGGTAGAGTGGAAAGGAAATTTTACCTAAATATTGCACTGGTCGGCAATTGAGCGGATATTGAAGATAGGAGGATTGGCTGATTGCATAAATGACGATTAAAGCACCCACGCTTCTCCAAGACCTGGTCATCATTTCAGGATTATCCCAGTACCCGGGCTGAATGTAGAGAAGCCACCGGTGCTCGATGGATAGTTCCTGTTCGGCGGCAATGCAAAGAAGATAAACACCGAAAACAAAACATATAATGGTGCGAATCAAGCGGAGATGTGGCGACGTAATAAAGAGTTTCCAGGCTGCAAAGTTGTCTTTGGTCTGGTCATCGCAGCTCAGCTGAACCTCACCGTCCGCCTCGGGGTTTTCGGAGGCGACGTGTAATTCTGCGAGGAACAGCCCTCCGATGAATGAGAGAAGATCCCATTGTCCAATGTAGAACCAGTATGAAGTGACAGCCAGTATGGCGAGACGCCTAGGCCCTTGTCTCCAAAATGAGAACACCAAGATGCAAAGATAAACAGTGCAGGACCCGCGATACTCCACTGGCATGGTCCACAGATGCGTACTGAGATTTTTCATTATATCTGGTCGGTAGGTATTGAAATTCATATCCGCTCCGTGATTGCTTATATCGAAAGAGTGCAGAACGGTCCAGAAAGCGTACTTGGTATGGTACCATGGGGTCGATAAAGGCTTCAAACCAGCACAAAATTGATCGGGGAGTCGAGAATCTAGTTGAAATGTCCCCAGAAAGAATACCAATTGCGAGATGACAACCACAAGCGTGGAAGGCAGGTAAATGCGAAAAATCCGGCGAGTTGCTGTTGAGGACAAATGGCGAAAGAAAGGAACACCAGTTGCACTGCTATCACGGGTCCTGAGGAGGGCAAGGGAAATAGCATACCCCGAAATGACCATGAAAAGAGATACCATCGATGACCCTTGAAAGAGAAGATTGATGGGCGGAATTGCAGAAAGTAGCGATTATCTTCGGGCGGATTAGCCCAAAAGGACCGACGGAGAGGACCCCAAAGCTGCACAGGCTCAAAAGCAAACGCATGGCAGACTACCACCCCCACAGATGCGAGGCCTCGAAGGCCATCGAGCCACGAGGCGCGCTCCATCCGTAGGACTTTCCCAGTTGCAATTTTGGGTTATGGATGCAACTATCTCCTGCTCGCCTGAGTGCGGTTGTAGGGTGATTTGTACTTTTGAAAGTGCTGGAATTCATCACATCACTGAGTGACTATGCCTATGCATCCTTAGTAAGTGGGGACGGACTGGTGTGCAGTGATCGACAGCACCGTGCATTGCAGGTGGCTTGCTATGCACTACAATCGCCAACTTGAAGTCCCTTGCATCCTGCAGTGCATCGTACTATATATTCAAAAGCAAAGATAATTAGAGTGGTACAGAGTACGTACCTACCTTGCATGGTTCTCCATATTGCAAGTGATCGCTTGTCAAAATACAGCACAAGTTACCATCGATCCGGAATCTAAACTGAACACTCGGATCATCTTGTCATGTTGAAATCCGTGTCATTGCTAATTCTGTCTCATAGGTTCACTCACGTTGCGTTGGCGGACATATATCCTTTTACGGACCCAACCAACGCCCAAGCAAATTGGTGGCCTTGATTTGCCATAATGCTGAAGCAGACGCCAAACCCCTGATGGCCACGCAGGGCATATCCATCGTACTCCACGTCGCCGACCTTTACTTGAGCATGTTGATAAGAAGGTTTGAATCAGACTGAGAAGTATCTTGAAATTATCCAGTCAAAGGTGCGACAAATTGTCCCTCTTCCACCTTATCCAACGCCGAGCATGGTTAACAATAGAAATAAAAAAGGTATATGTACAAGAGAAAGACAAGTGCAATGCGTGCATAGGTGGTAGTTATATGAAGTCACGCCATCTAAAATCAAATATAGAGAGGCTGATTGGGGGAGAGGTGAGGAACCCAGATTCCTCGATCAACGGGCTGTTGTAATGCGAATGGCCAAGGTATATGCATCGTGTGTTCTGGCGTGAAAATGATCGCTTGAACGACGTAAAAGACAGGAAGTAGTAATAGTGCAACAACGTCGAACGGAATAATAAACAAATGAGAATGATGGATGATGGAAACGAAGAATGAGTTGATCCGAATCGACGTTGCTTGAAGGGGGGTGGAGATAATGGAAGAATAGAAGGGTCCCATTCAAAGCCTAATACGTCGGGCGTCAAAGTAGGCCAAATTCACTGCGGTGTCATTAACACCTACAAAAGGTGCCGCATCTTCAAGAAGTTCCCAAGGGCGGTTTGGGTACGGACCAACAGTCCGCCCCCGTTGTTGAAGACGGAGTCGAGATGCTGCGAAATTGAGTCCTTCGCCCACACCAAAATGCGCGCCTAAGTGCGTAGCGTTGGGTTGTGATGAATGAGCAGTAGCAGGCAAGTTGGATGTTGGAGTGGAACCTGCTGCCGGGGATTGTGCTGCTGTTGATTGAAGGTGGGACGTTGTAGAGTCTGCCATTGGACCTAAAAGGTAGAGAAATCGGGCATCACTCTGCAGACCGAGCGTGGGGCACTTCTCCCTGAGAAAACGAGAGCACTGATGTCTTGTCTCATCGGGAAACACATCAATTAACGACGCAGCAACATCTAGGGCATGGGTTTGTAACAAAATGCCTGGACAGGGGCGGTAGTCTTCAGATGATCCCGGCCGGGGGAAATAGTCTGCGCCGGGAAACAGGCGTAGAACATCGGCTGGAAGACGGGAAAGCGCTATACAGAATATGGAGACCAACAACCTTGATGGTTCATGGGAGGCATTGACTTTTAAGCCAGATGGGAGCATGAACGAGGCACGATGTATGACGACCATCCTCAGCAGAGCTGAAAACCAGAAGGCAAGAGACCGCTCAAAATTCGGCCGCGCTGGATTGGGCGTGCTACCATTTCGATCATCACCTTGCATCGAAAGAACCTTCTGCAGAAGGCCATCCATTTTATCGACGAGGACAGACACAATGGCAGAAGTTGCAGCATCCGGGGTGCTGCCAGCAAGCTCCTCAATTATTGTGAGGTACAGTTTTGCGGTTTCCAAGGAACCTGAACCGTAAGGTGTGGCCGAGGAACTACTTGGCAGCTCTTCCAGTACGGGTATGGAGAAGAACTCCTTCTCTGCACGTTCGCGAATCTGACGAACAGCATCAGGACTCATGAGCGCAACAAGATCGACCCAGTGGAAATTCTGGGCGCGGGAGTTGGTTACAACGGTTTTGAACATGGCATCTGCGATGCTATTCCGATCTTCATTGTCGGAATCCTGATGGAAAAGGATCTGCAGCTTCAATTGACAAAAGGGGAGAGAAAAGTCATCGGTTGTGCTGGCCAACTTTTCGACTTGTGAGATCACAGATGATGTTTCTTTTTGGAGATCAACCCCAAGCAAGCTGTCGAGTGCCTTTCGGAGCGGGCCAATGGCGTTCGGGTACTGATCGACGAGCTTTTTCATGCAACTTTGCTCCACGCAACCGGGGTTTCGCACGAGAAGTTCACGCAATAGCGCCACAAGGGAAGCCTCTCGGTCGTTGCGCTTGCGGACATCGCCAATATCGAGAGATGACGCAGCGTCACACACGATACTAAGAACTTCATCAAAGCTCTTGGCTAAGAACTTCTGTTGTGACAAATGGAACCGGTAAGAGACCAGATCAAGATACCTGTCTTCTGCAGGGGGAGAAAACAGATCAAGGTACCTGTCTTCTGCTGGAGCAGAAAGAAGAATATCAACAAGCTCTGCTGGCAGATCTCCTGCATTGGGAAGCGGAGTCGTGGAGTAGTTGAGCCTTCTCACTAGAGACAGGAACGATGAAATTGTAACACATCCAACCCCAATCAGGGAGGGAATCACACTCAGTAAAGTAGAACGGTCAGAGGATCGTAAATGGGCGCATACCCAGCGAATCAACATCCCATCAAAATGTTTTGGCTGAAAGGATCGCAACTGCGCTAAATACTGACAGGTATCGTTTGCTGAGAGTTTCCCCTTGCCGAGCTGAGATTCCAATTGCTTCGTCAAGGTATTGAAAATAGTATCCAGTGTTGGCTCATCCATGAGATTTCCGGAGAGTAAAAGGTGATCCAACTTCTCGCGGAACAAGGGATCTGCATTCCCAAAGGATTCGGGGATGTGATCCGAGACTGGAGATGATGCAGCTAGAATAGCCTTGTTTCCGATGCGTGAAAGGTCTTGACGAAGGATCAAAACTGTGTTACACTCATGGGGAATACGCAACCCGAGTTCGATCAACGAATACAGCAAATCCAGACTTGGTGTGTTGAATCGTTTGATAATAGTATATGCATCAACCAGCTTGCGGAAAAGATCCGAGGTTGCCCCAATCATGCACAGCGAGTCAAAATGATAATTTGTGGTATCAGCAACTGACGCAAGGACGACACTATTTTGAGAGCTTGAGGCATATTTCAACACATCCGCCAACATGGAAAGGTCTTCAAATGTCTCGAGAATATCGCGAACAATCTGAAATTCATCCGGCGTAAGCATTGACACGGATTGGGACCCACCAACAAGAATGGATGCCCGATTGGCTGAGCTAGTGGCCTCACTAGTATGTTGAGCAACACCTCGCCGTAGCCACTGGCCTATCTCCGCTTTCACAGCCCAAGTTAGATTAATGGATGACGAATCAAGCGTCATGTCATTGTGAGATTCCATGTCAAATATTCCCGGGAGACGCTGGCTGATAAGTTGCTTTATATTGGCAAGCATGTTGATTTCATCTGCAGCAGAAAACCCAATTCGGGCTAGCAAGGTGCTGCGCAAATTGCCAACATGTTCCGGGAGACGGCCAACAGGAAGCTGTGCTATCAATGCAATATCGGTTTGCGAATCAGGCATTGATTGACGGTAGGAAGAGGCATGACTTGTAACATCTTTTGCCATCAGCCACTGGAGATAGCGACCCACTGAGAAGGTTTGCGACCTAACAAGCTCAGAGATTGTATGATATACATTCTCCATGTTCAATTTCTGATTGCGTCCGGCTCGAGCAAGAAAGGACAGGATGTGGTCATCCACATCTACTCCTGCCGCCTTCCATTTTCGCAATAGACGAGCACCAGCGTAGACTCGGTAGATCCCGTGGCGGAATGGAGTGGAGAGCCATTCCAGCAACTTCGAGACCAAGACTGTTCTATCCTCAACAACTCCCAAGCAGGCAGTCGAGACTGCATTGATGTCATATTCAGAGAGAATCGAATCAAGAAGGCGAATAACGCGTTGGTTTGGGGATCGCTGCGGTGTTTGTTTTGGATGGCGAGGCCGTTGTACTCGGAAATTACGCTCGGTGAGGTTTTGCAACAAGGCTCGGTCGACATTGTCTGTGAGATCAAGGCACGATATGACCTGGCTTTTGTATTTCTCCCATGAATTTGGCAGGAGCAATGATGAAGTATGTTCCTGAATCAATTTCTTCATGAACCGGGACAGTCGATCAATGAGGGGTTTAAGGGGCTCTCGTTTGGTCTCTGTGGCTTGACGCAGCTTTTCAAGTAGAAGTTCGGCTAGCCGTCGCCCTCTACGACGATACCGTGTGATGCTGTTCCAGTAAATTCCAAGCATCATAAGCCAGACGGGAACCGTGCCAATCGAGGCGGCTTCAAACGAAGATAGGAACCACTCAATGAAGTGGTCATGATCGAGAAGATTCTCAAAGAACAAACGGGCAGTCAAACCAATCGCATATGTCATCTTCGGTTTCCAGTCAGAGGACTTGGGCGCATTGAACACAGTCTCAACAAACTGCTGAACGTTTGTCGTCCAATCTCGTACCCATTTCGCCTCCAACCCCACAGCCAGAGCACCACTCGTTCCCTTCCGCTTAAAGGCACGAATTTCATTGGCACCGACACACTTTGCGAGCCAAACTGCTCGTGCAACCGGAATCCACTTTCCCAAGCATTGATCCAGAAGGACTTTGCCTCGGATACCATGGGGGATGGTTCGGCTCAGCCGGCGCAGCGGTACGGATGGATTGGCAAGATCTCGAAGCCAGGCTTCTCGTTTATTGTCGGTGAGTGTCACTCTTGGTGGCGGCTTAAAACTAGATGGCGCATGAACAGTGTTGTGGTTCTGACGTTTTTCCAATGCAGCAGAAAAGACGGTTGAAAGCATCTGAAGCCCTGTGCGGTGTTTTAATTGCCCATACAATGCAGGTCGGGCCGTATTGGATTCGTTTTGAGAAACCTGAGTCCTGCTATAATAGCCTTGTTTCGCTGCTTGCTCATTCAAGACATCTTCTGGGTGATTCCCGGTCCACGGCGTGAAATCCGCCACTTCTGATTAAAGACATTAGCGACATTTGATTACTCTTGATAGTCAATCAACTTACTCTCGCCTTTAATGGCCGGCGCCACAGAAGGAGTCACAATGCGAAATGGAACTGTTTGAACCTTCTTATCCGGAGAAGCCTCTCTGGATCTTGACCCATCGTCTAGTGGGACATTACTCCAAGGCTGGGTAGGGAACGGGGGCGGTGATGTTGGACGAGATCCCGTCGCACTACCTGGAATCTCTGACATGACCGCCTGGAAAGACCACATGGGTCGGCCGCGCCATGACAGTTGAGGTCGTGAACTAGCGCTGGCCGGTGTACCCCTCGCATCCGCACCCTTTACGGATGAACCTGCATCACTAACCTTGGAAACACCCGATATATCCAGTCTTGGTCGTTTGGGTGGGGGCTCCTTATCGTTCGTATCGTATCCGTTATTGGTTAAATCGACCACGGCCGATGGGCGCGCCGGGGGTTGGGACAGCGGTAGGGGCGGTTGAGAGGTCACCGATGAGGGATCATATTGAGAAGACATTTGTGCCAGATCGACTCTTCCCGGGCCACCATTGAGTGGTCGCATCGGATGGCCCCATGGTTGGCCGCCGGCAGAAGAATGCGGTATCATCTTAGGCTCATCGTGTACCGTCCGAAGGGCGTGGTGTATGAATCATTCGGGCCCGAGGTCAACAGCGAAAAGCGCCGATCTCGATCTATTGCAAGAATCCGAATCTCAATGTGTGAAGAACCCTTGATCTGATAAGTCCACGGCAATTCGAGGTTTGTTGAGATGCGGATGCGATGCGGATACGGATGTGGGCGAATAAGGCTCGGGTTCGGAGTAGAGGAATCGAGGGAGGGTGGAGGAGGTCAGTGCCTCGAGGACTTGAAAATGAAGAGGTTTAGTATATGTCGATCACATCAATCCAAGGTACTAAATGAGGGATCAAGTGAGTGTTTATGAAGGAAAGCGATAACGTAAGTCACGGGCCAAATCAGCTCCGTCCTCCTCCGCCTAGATCCACCAATATGGCCGGGGATCAGCTTTGCTAAGAATGGGGGGCCCTGATTTGCTATGTGATTTTCCGAAATTGCTGTTTTTCTTTTTTGTTTTTTTCCCTTCTTCTTCTCTGTTCATTCCACCTAACAAGATCGTCATTTGTCTAGTGCTTGCCGAGTGGGCTATAAGTACTTCGTAGATGTTCCCCTATGAGAATCCCACAGGTCGTACCGGTATAGGTTTTTACGTATCATGCCAGCAGGACCGTGTCGCATCTGAATCAGCCCATAGATCTTGTTTGCCCCATTATGCTTTCTCTGATTTGCTTGGCCGAAGAATCATATGTAAGTTTGCCCTTCACCTTATCTCTCTCTCCGCGTCCACATTCCGTATCGGCCCACCGTCGGGTCGCTGCACAACAGATCCATCATACGGTGTGCTCTTATGAGTATTCGATTCTATTGATTTGATTATATTTCTTTTCGATCTCCACCATTTCGCTATAGCGATTTGCCGTGCGAAATGCCGACAACATATCCATTTTCGGGTAATAGATGTACACGATTGCCCATCTGCGCAATCTGGCCCGATTCCGTGCTCTCACCGACCATTTGGAAGCTGAGATCTACAAGGGATTTTATGCAGTAGCCCGATCATGCCCAAACTCATACTCGAAAATCGTAGATATGATAGGAACGAACCATTGTATCACTCAAATTCTCTATGCCTAAGTTCATCCTACTATACATCTACCCAACTGCAGGATACAATGGTGGATGTCCATAGGTATCTGCAACTCCCCACGGTTCGGGTCTAGCCCGAGGGTTAGCCTTGGCACGGGGGATCTCGAGACTTTCTGACATCTCCCATCTCCCATCAACCCATCAACTCATCATGGCGTCAAACAAGGATATGCGGAGGGCTGATCTCGGTAAGTTGTTTGCTATGCTATTTCCTACGCCTAGGCTAATCTCAACTGCTGCGATAGTGATTCCCTACGTCGACCCCCCAAAAAGCGGCAATGAGGCCGACATGTCCAGTACGTCCACGGGTTGCGCCACCAGCAATGAGCTGGATGCAAGTATAATCTGACGATAAAAATTAAACAGGCACCATGTCGAGCACAATGCCCATGGCGGCAGTAAGTGGATGGAACTCGAAGTTCACGCAATGACACGCTGACACGTTCACTAGATGTTCACCCGGAACAGGTGAGGCAACTCCGCAGATTAACGAGCGATATCATATCGTACTTATGTACTGACTGGAACTTTGGCAAAATTCAGGATGATTGGATGGTAAGCCAGACATCCCCCCGCCCCGATCGATCGTGCGACGCCTCTAACCTTGTCGCAGGGTGGCATTTGTCTTCTCACTCCAGGGCTGGCTTGCTGAGTCCCCTGAGCAGAAGAAAACTGCGGGGACACCAGCTTACATGTCTGTTCTCATGTCATGTACGTTTTCTCCTCATACTCTCCAGCCTGGAAGCCTGATAAACTAACCTCGGTTTCTACAGTGATGGCCCTCGTCGTCGTATGTCCCCCTGTGACCACTCACCTGGTGACTCTTTCCTAACCATCCCCTACAGACCTATTTCCCTCTCTTCCTACCTCCCCAGGCGAAGAATGCCCCCGCCGCTGCCATGCCGTCGGCATAGCGTCGAACCCTTGTGATACCTTCGAATCCACGAGTCCATCCCAATTACCATGTCCCGGTCCGTGTAATATGGACTCGCAGCTTGAAATTCAGTTCCGGTCTATGACTGGATAGATACCGATGGTCCAATGCTTGAATGTCCAAGTGATTGTTGTTGGCCTACACTGTACTAATACCCGACTGGACTTTTTTCCGTTGTAATCATACATTAATTCATGACTAGCCATACACGGTTCGATTTATCTGTAGGCTTACTCAAGTCATCAATCATCCTTGCTGTATTAAGTAAAAATAGTAGAGTGGCGACTTTTCACTGAGAGAAGTGCAAGAGTGCTGGAGGGGCAATCGCTGAGTCACACACCGCTTTCCCCACAACGTGACTCTCATAATCTCTTCCCGCCCAATATTCCAACCTCAACCTTTACCGCACTCCAATCTTTTCTCTCTTCATACGCAAGCCCTTGCGATCGCCTATCTTTCCAGAGATATTGAATCTCACTTTCAACTCCTTTTACAAAAACCGCTTTTAAGGACCATTTTTGACAAAAGGCCGAGTTTATGTCCATCGAAAACCTCAAGACCTTCGGTAAGTCAAGTCGCCACCATCCCCTCTGATAGCAAACCCTAGGCGCTTATATGACATGCGCCCTCATCGACTTGGAACTGGTTTCAAATGCTATGGATCATCGTTAGGATGCGTCAACACTGCTAGCCGTCCTTGTTGGCACCTTGATCGCCCAGGCTCACTGTCGAGGGCGGTGGCGGGGTAACGATTTTGTTTTGGGCCAAAGCTGACTCCTTTAACTTACGCAGACCCCTTCGCCGACGTCGACGAAGAGAACGGTGGAAAGAATAACGCGAAGACTGAAAACTACGTCCATATTCGCATTCAGCGTATGTTTATCGATACAATCTTATGACCCTCACCTGTCCCAACAATCAGTATCGCTACGGCTTCCGAATTGTACGTTCCACTAACAGTCCTTGTAATACAGAGCGTAATGGTCGAAAGACCCTGACTACATGCCAGGGTCTCCCAGACAAGTATGACCAGAAGAAAATCCTGAAGCGCATGAAGAAGATTTACGGTTTGTTCATCATCACCAACAGAGGCTGGCGTGAATCAGACACTGACTGTTGAGACCAGCATGCAATGGAAACATCGTCAAGGATGACGAGATGGGCGAGGTGATTCAGCTTCAAGGCGACCAGCGTAAAGATGTCTATGACTTCTTGACCAAGCCCAAGCCCCCCAAGGAACTAGTGAAAGCAGCGGAGGAGGAAGATAGCTTCAAGAAGCTCAGAGGCTACGGCATGGCGATGAAGGTCAAAGTCAAGGTATGTCTTCTTTTTTCATCTGTCATGTATCCCCATCTCTGACCATTTTACAGGTCCACGGATTCTAAGCTTGTCACCATACCTCGTTCCAGTCCTTTCTTCCAAGTCTAAGTTGCCCTGTGGACGGTGGAATAGAGACATCCCATATTCTCATCACTTGTGAGCCGGTCATGCAGATTCATAAATGGTGAAATGTCCTGCCTCCTCCCTGTCCCTCTGTGCCTGGCATGTTAGATTTGGACTGTCGTCGGCCTAGCATGTGCGCCTGAAACTTTCTTTCGACAGGAAAGCGTCCTTATTTCGATTGGCGTATTATTTTTCTAGGACGGGATCACGATGGAACGAGGCGTTGGAGATACCCATGTCTGCTTTAAGCAGACCCTGCTTTATTGTTCATCAATTTCAAGTGTTTTCTATTCTTTGCTTTCTTTCCTCGTCACCGTGCCGGTTATGTCGATTGCGCCTTGCATCGTCGCCCGATCGATCCAGTCAAGGAGATTTGGAACTAGGAGTGTCATCTTGCTCTCCTTTGTCGGTCCCTACCTACTTCCTTGTCATTCTTGTTGGCTCCCTCATTGCGCTTTTTTCCAATGCGGTCTTCAGTTAATTGCTATCAACAATGAATATGAATTGTCCATTGCATCTACTCTGCCTCGTGTACAAGTTTGTAATGAGATGATTTGGATCAACAAAAAATTGGATTAAACCTGCCAAATATTGGTGTAATATAAGAAGAGAACAGCCCTGTGGACAGAATGGCACTGTGCCCCGTAAAGCTTGGATTAGATCAACATGGGAATCTCAAGAAGTTACACAACTCCAGCCCTTCTATCTTAATCTGTAAATCAGATATCTTGGCGGGCAACCGCGTCCATGGCACACGAATCACGGATAAAAGACAAGGAAAAGAAGAACCCCGAAGCTGCCGAAGCTACAGTTCTCCTCCGGCAACACGATCGTCCGCAACCCGCATGCGTAGAAAGATTGCAACAGCCCAATCCCATAACTTTCGGGTAATCACGAATACAGGGACTTCCGGTTCGTTTTCGCGGGTCAGATGCAGCTGCATCAAGAGCGAGGACATGCTAACGAAGCTAGCAACAGATACAACCAACAGAGATGCTGCAGTTTCGCGCTTGATGGTTGCGTGGTTTTGTGTTGCATGATAGACAAAGGTAAGAGTCTGTAGTCATAAGTCGTCAGTATAAAGAGATTTAACAGGTAAGTAGACAATCGGTGGTAGTAAAGATCTTACGGTGGTTATTGAGATCCAGGCTGGTAGGAGAAGTCGAGGGTCAGAGGATGCGCCAGAAAGATAAAGGACCCAAGAAGTTATATATGCAATTAAGCCGTTTGTTGTCAAAAGTCGGATCACGACAGCCGGCGGAGTGTAATTTAGAAGCCTGTACAAGCCATCAGTATCAACAAGAGAGATCAGAGGCAGAAGCCCCGAAGACCGATATACTGACCATCGAGACATCATACAGTCAGCAAAGAAGTAAGAAAGATATGCGGATGCGCAGCACTGGTAAAAAAAAAGTTAGCATATGGCCAAGCAGGCCTGTCCAAATCCTACGGGCACCAGACAAGTAAATCCACAAAGGTGAATTCAACTTACCCACATAATGGCCAATGCCACTTCAGTAACCCGAAATCTCCTCTCAACATCCCATTCTTGACCCACGCTTCCGACGATCGCCGCCGCCCACCCCTCCCGTCCCATACCCGGTCGAATGTGCAATAGTTCAGCTAGGAAGGTAAAAGCGCACCGCAACCCCCACCATGCAGCGGGAAGTGTACTCAGAGCCCGGCAAACCAGAAGAGGGATATGCCACCTTCGGTCCACCCCCAGAATCACAGCCACCCGCGGATGAAGCGGTGAGGGAGCAGCCTGACCAGCATCGCTGCCAAGTGGGGTATGGGACGTAGAGGAGGTAGGGGACGGCGGAGTCACCGGAGACACGGCGGAAGCCACTTCTTTGCTAAATTGTCCCGAAAACGAGACTGTAGGCCGAAGAAGTTCCGGAAGAATGGTTGAACGCGCGAAATTCAGGTCTGGCTCGCTAGGTGTTTGGGCGGGAGGAGAGTAGGGCGGAGGAGAGACATTACGTCGAGGAGCCAGCCTTTAAACACAATTACGGCATATGCGGCCGCCACGCAAGCCTGTAGAATAGGCACAAGGGAGTAAGATCGCTGAGGGGTTGGGTTTGGGCAAGAGTTCGTAGCCCAGAGCGTGCTATTTTTCGAGTCCCCTAATCGCCTGGATCGTGGAGATGAAGGAATGTGTGGTACGTATTTGAGGAGAAATCAGGCTCCGCAAAAACAGTTTATGTTGTTAGCACTGACCGAGTCGAATATGACCGGGACAAGAGGGTGGAGAGCGAAAAGAAGAGTGGGTGGGGACCTTCGCTATGTGTAGCAGCTTCCCGTACCTTGAAATCGCGGAGAGCGGCACGTGACCTGCGGATTTTATTTCTCCTTCGCGGACTTTCACGGCAGACACATTCAACTGCCCGGTTACAGTTCGCCATGGCGTCCTCGCTCCGTCTTCCTGCTGGCAGCTTTGCCAGAAGCGCACGCTCAAGCTCCTTGATTTCCCAGACCTTTGCGCCGGCTTCACACCAATACCGATTCTTTTCCCAGGCCTCGCAACGATGGGCATACAAGAGCAACAACTTCTCGGCCAAAAATGTCACAGGCCCTTCGATGAAGACTCGGTCAAAAGAAGCTCTCGGCGGCCAGTTGCCCAACGATATAGGAGTATTGCCAGGGACTTTTGTCCGGCCGCTGTGGAGGGATATGCCCTCGATCTTCCAGAGCCCGCGGGATCGGTGGGAGATGGAATGGACTTGGATCAAGAGCAAGGTCACGGATTTCTTTAGGTGAGTGACATTTTTAACTCCTGGTCGCGTCGATGTACGTCTGTGCAATCGAAGTTCGTGGCATGATGAATATCAGATTGTTGGAATGCAGCAATTGGACTACAGCTAAGATTCTTGGTAGTTTGCTGGTATATTGCAGGAAGGACAACAAGTTCCCCTTGTTGTTGAAAGAGCGGCGGAAAATTGCGCGCCTCCTATATGGCGATATGTACACTGCCTTTGCAAGGTAAGCATCCTCATTGAAGCCCGTCTTCCCAATTGCCAACCCCGTATCTTACGCCTAATATTCAGGGGCGATACTTCTGGCCTCCGTCGTCTTTGCTGTGACGGTCTTTCCAAAAACCTCATCATGCAGATTGACAGCCGCCCCAAGAACCAGCAAGTGACTTGGAACCTTGTCAAATGGCTTCGTGGACCGAGTACCTATTTTACCGGTATTCGTATTGTGTCAGACCGCGCAACTCAGATCCCTGATATGAACAATTCGGGTATTCGCCAGATTGTCGTGCGTTTGACCTCCCGACAGTCCATGTCCAAGACCGCACCACAGCCTCGTGGGAAAGGATCTGTGGCAGAAATTGTTGAGGCCCCTGCTAAGGAGCAAAACTGCGAGGAATACTTTGTCATTCAGGAGCTTCATTGGCATGGCAAGAGCAATGGTTGGCGAGCTTGGGGCTATGTCAAGCCCACGGATATCGATACCGTTTACAGCGACCCCTACTTTGCTCCGGGCCTGACTCCTTTGGAGCGAATTGATGGCTTGAAGAAGACGTCAGACCAGTAATCAAGTATCATGCATAGTCTTCTGCATGAACTGTGTCTGGAGCAATCTCTTTCGACCAACATCCAGATGACTTATATTATTGCAAAGCCAGCAATGTGTATCAAAATGATTGTCCACACTTGTTCTTCTCTATTCGTTCTATCAGCATCAATCCCCCGTCTTGACATACTTCCTCGGCAGGCTGTGCAGGCAGTATTCGTTGGTCTTCCTCTCCCGTCTGTTTTTTTATGAATTTGTCAGCAATATAGAGCATCTACCATTTCATGTACCATAGTCAACCATCTTCAAGTCCCGATTTACACTACCATTTCAAAATTTTCGCACTTAGGTGTTCCTTGAGCTACGCCCTCGAATGTCAAAACAGGAGGTTCGTTGGACCACCTAGGCACACATCGCCTACTTTGTATCAAAATCAGACATTTGAGACGGACAAGCTACAAATACATTTCAGACCTGATATCTATATTATAGCCACGTGCATCAGTAGAAATACGTTATAACCAGCCTGTTGCAAGAAAGACAGATCAGTGTCCTCGAACTGGAATCGATAAGGACTGCAGCGGAAAAATATAAATCATGCCTGCGACGGGCGAACTTACCCTAAACAAAAGACAAAACAAACAATCTGGAACGCAAACGCAAACATCCGTATGAAATACAACACAGAACACCACTATCGGCCACTGCTTTATCTCAAGGTTTTCTTCAGATGATCTTTGACAAACAAGATCTTGTCAACGAACAGCTTCGTGAAGTGCTGGACCCACGGTCAATGAGCATTTTTTCCTTGGTCTTCTCTGCCTCCTGCTTTTGCTTCTCCAATTTTAGCTCTCTCGTCAGTGACAGAATCACCTCTTGTATCGCGGCTTCATCCAGGTCTGAGTCTAGTTCAGCCATCTGGGATCGCACGTGGAAGGCAATACGAGAAGGGGGAGAACAAGATCGAGAGCGCGAACTTGCATGGCTGGGTGTCGAAACTTGATCTTCGGATGGAGGCCCCGAGTTGGAGGTTGGCTCTGTAGTCTGTGTTTCATGTCCTTCCTCAACGTCCAATTCCTCATACTCTTCTTTGACTGGATTGAGGACTGGAATCAGGTGGTTTGTATCCGCAAGCTCGATTTTTGGTGTGGGACATTTGTGATGCTCTTCTTCGTCATTGTACTCCGAATCGGATTCATAGACGCGGATGAGCTTTGGCGCTTTCTCCGGCTTCTCGGGCTCGAGCAACCTTATTATTCCTTCATCCTCGATGATCTTTTTTCCGGTCCTTTCAACCATGTTCGGTGGCATTGTCACTTTAACTTGAACATTGGGCGGGTTTAGATATCTCCGGTGGGTCGGGTAGGGCTCGGGCTCAGTAAAGGGCTGTGGAGTGAAGTAGTCACCGGGATGGCTCGTAATACTAGTTGGTGGGCTCAAAAATCCACTGTCTGGCGTGAAGAACTCGTGATAGACCGCCGGGCTATTGCCGCCATACTGTGGCTGGCCGTTGATAATCAACGGCCCGCCAGGAATGCCGGGGTTATAAACGTCTGGAGATGGAAGGAGTTGTGGGTGATCATATCTCGGCTGGCTATTGACAATGAATGGATGGTTACCAAAGCCATCATTTGGGCGGTAAGGTGGTGGATGATAGAATGATGGATGTGGTTCGTTGTTGTATGGCAGGCCATTGACCCAGTAATGTGGACCAGGGAAGCCACCACGAAAATGCGATGGAGGCAATTCACCATGGGGATGAGTTGGAGGTAGGTTCTCTGGCTGATACGGTGGATTATGATATTTGGAGAATCCACGATAGCCACCCCTGTTGGCTCCGTTACGGTATGGTTTGTTGTACCGTGGGTGGCCGTTGTGATTGTTGTTACGCCCTGGTTGAGATGAGCCGGGGGGTCTGGTACGAAGAGGAAGACTACGACCTCCGTTTGGAATGAGAGGGCTGCCCTCCATGTCGAGGAGACTCAGGTAGTACTTGGGGTCTTTCTGGAAGTACTAGAAGCATCGATGTGAGTGGAAACATTCTGTACGAGGCCAGAGGGTGTCTTCTGCCTACCTTGATCGCGTCTCTGCAATCGTCGACGTAGGCAAATGTGACTTTACAGATAAAAGTCCATGTTTGAGGTCCCGTGGGGTATGATTCGATGCAGTAGACCTCCAAGTGGCCTCGGTCTGCCAGCGCAGAGGAAACATCTTCGGTCGTGATGGGGGCACCCGAGCGGAGACCAAGACAAGCGGTTCCTTCCCCTAGTCAGTATCAAATTTGGAAACAGCGATGAAAAAGAGCAAATCAATAAAAAGGAATGACTCAAAGCTTACGTCTTCCTTTAGCTCTTTCGATTCGCAACCACCGGTCATGGAGAGCAATACGTTCATTGGGATCTAGTGCTGCATTGGCATGTTCCACTTTCTGAGGAGAAGATATCAGAATGTCTGGAGGGTATGGAAACACGATAAGCTGGCTCACCTCAAACTGCACAAATGCACCCGGGAGGCCTTTCTTCTTATCCTGCTTAATCTTAACATGACATGGGCCATAGACGGCAAATGCCGTCTTCAGGTCCTCAGTCATTTCCTCTGCTGCAACCTTCGTGGAAAGACTGAAGGAGACCAATTAGCACTGTCTCTCCCGAGGGAAAGGTGAATCACTGACTTGCCAACAAAGATACAAGCATCTGGAGGGAATAAGCCCTGGGCATTTTTGGCTGTTGGCTCCTCTTGCAGGCGATCCCCACGACGAGGATATTTATTTTCGAAACCAGGCGCCACGACCTGGACAGTCATGACGGGTTATATATTCAAAAGCGACTGTGGGTTTCTATATTGATGCTTGATATGTCGGAGATAAAGGATGGATGAACAAGAGCAACAGATGTATGAACAGGAAATGGTAGTAGCGGGCGTGAAAACAATAGAACATCACATCACCACCCCACCTCCGCTGTCATTTTCAACGCCCGAATATCTTCAAGTGGATAAGACTAAGCCTTTCTTGGGCTGCTTACGCTTTGAAAATTTGGAGAAGGACACGCTACCATGGCTGTGTCCGGGGCTTACCGCTAAGGAGCAATTTTATTTGACTCACAAACAAACTATATCCGCAAATCCAGCATTCAGACAGAGACGAGTACACATACTTCATCCGCACATGTACAAAGATCCCCTGCACTCGGTTGGCCGATGACACTTTGGGTAGCGGAACTTGCTATAACTGTCATCGGAGCGAGACATATATCCATGGATCCTGGATCTGTATCATGTAGCTTTATAGTTTTCAATACAAGCTGGTTTTAAGGTTTGAGACTCGGCCGGTCTCGGTTGAATCTTACCTACAGAAGGAACATGCATGACGCTCAATATGCGTAACATATATCAACTCACACCTATCGATCGACCCTCGGAGGTTATGATACCGAAACAATCAAACACGATGGCCTTCCTTACCCTCCTCTATCTCTACAATCTTTACTCTAACATTCATTGAATGACCTTCCAAGGTTGTAAGTCTTATGTTTATGAAATACTTTGTGTTTGTGCTTGACATCGACCCCTGTAGCCTCGATAAGGCAATTGGCACAAACTTCAGGAACCTTGGAACCAGGCTGGGGAGCTATGGCATCTCAAGGCAGATGCGACGATGTGATCCAGTGATTGGACCCCTTCATGTAAAGAATTTTAAAAGACATTGCTATCACGACCCTCGGGAAGTATAAATTGCTCAAGGCGGAGCTATCTTATCGCGGGTGATCGGCGCTTGTAAGTTTCACGCCACCTCGGGAACCAACATCATTCTGAAGCTTCCTCTTCCAACTCTCTGGTCTAACCACATTGAATCCTCACATTAGCCATGATACCTACCCGGAGCTTAGCTGCTCAGGGCAACTTCTTCAGGCGCAGCGCCGAGGAATTTGGCCGCCTCTCGAAAATCGGTACGGCCCTGGATTCCCCCATAGGTTGCTACCAAAAACTGACCAACCCAATCTAGCCTGGAACACGGAGGCCCTCCACACTCCCACCAAACCCTACACCCTCCTCAATTTCGAAGATGAGCGGACTGTCTCTGATTGCAAGACATTCGCCGACCGTGCCGTGGGTGGTTTCAGCACCGCCGAGCTAGACTACGAACCAGCCGAGCCTTCCTCTAACACACCGGCCCACGTTCGCTTCCACGGAAGCATTTCTACAAAACTACCAGAAAATTGGCGAGTGGAGCGGACTGGTATGTCATCTGGGTCATAATGACCTGATGTCACGACAAGCAGCATACTGATCACGTTGGATTGCGAACAGGATATGCCGCATTCCGCAACAAAGACCGGGGCCTCTGGCTCTTTGGCCGTCTCTTCTGGGACGTTGACCCATACGCCTATCTTGCGCTCCGCATCAAGTCTGACGGCCGTCGATACACCGTTAACATCCAGACAGAGTCTGTCGTCGAGACTGATATTCACCAGCACCGATTATATACCCGACACCACCGCATACAAGACCGCTCGCCAATCTTGGATCAAGCCTTGCACGTGAAGCAGTCCGAAGATGCAGAGGCTGCGGAGGAACTATATCCCAAAGGCATTCCCTCGGCACTTTCTGATATCCCTCCTGAATCCACAATCATCTCCTCAACTTCCAGCACAACAACCTCCGGATCAACCGGCTGGGAGACGGTGCTTCTGCCATTTAACGCATTTGTCCGAACTAATCACGGATATGTGGTCGAGCCACAGACTTCTATCATGCGCCAGCGGGTAAAGAGTATCGGTATCGGTCTGACGGACCGTATCGAAGGGCCCTATGATTTGCGTATTCACAAGGTGTGGGCGACTAACGGTATGGGTGAGGCAGATATTGAGGAGGAGCGCCGGATCTGCGGCGCGGATGCATTGCCACTCGATGAAGGCGTTCAGTCGGCTTGGATCGAGTCCACCCAGCAAGCCGAGGAGACGCAGAGCCAGAAGAAGCCCAACACAAAACAGAAGGGGCTGAAGGGTCTCCGATCAGAGTGGGAGGAGTGATTCAATCTGCATATTATCTCCATCACAAATTGTACATTAAACACAGAGTAGATCTTGTCTTTTCCGCGCCACTTCGAAAAGGTAGAACGAATAATAACATTTGGCAATGACATTTCATTTCATTTCTTTTCGTCTGTGCATCTCATTTATGAGGGCTTACAGATAAGACGGCACTCGAGTTCTATCAACCTAACACCCACAAATATACAGCCATCGAAACATTCTTCTCTAGTTACCGCCGGTAATTTTCTCCCAGGCCTCCTTATACTTGGCAGCGGTCTCTTGGACAACCTCCTCGGTCATGCGGACACCATCCTTACCCTTCAGGCCCTCGGAAACCAACCAGTCTCGCAGGTACTGCTTGTCGAAGCTTGACTGACCCTGGCCAATGGCGTATGAGTCCTTGGGCCAGAACCGAGAGGAGTCTGGTGTCAGAACCTCATCAGCAAGAACAACCTCGTTTGTCTCCTCATCAACACCGAACTCAAACTTAGTGTCAGCGATGATCACGCCACGCTCGAGAGCATAAGCGTGCGCGGCCTTATACAGCTTAACAGCCAGCTCGGCAACCTTCGAGGCATATGGCTCTCCAAGAATGGCGGTAGCTGTGTCTCGAAATTAGCTTCCAACGTTTCCAAGGCAATATCTTTCAACGAGTTTCTAGACGATCACATACCCTGGTCCGGATGGATATTCTCATCGTGCTCGCCTTGTTCCGCCTTGGTGCTGGGAGTGTAGATTGGACCATTAGGGAAAGCCTCGCTCTCCTTCAATCCGGCAGGGACGGGAATTCCGTGAACTGTTCCGGACTTCTGGTATTCCTTCCAGGCGGACCCGGTGATGTATCCACGGACGATAGCCTCAATGGGTAGAATGCGCAGCTTACGCACTTGCATTGCCCGGTTCTGCAGTACTGGCTTGAGAGAAGCAGGGATCTGGGGAGGGAGGTCGAGCGTGAGGAAGTGGGTGCGCAGTCCAGGAACGCTATCGGAGAGGATCTTGAACCACGTCTTCGTGCAAAGAGTGAGGAGGACGCCTTTGTTGGGAATTCCCTGTGAACGATTTCTCAGTACGTATCGATTATATGTAATCGGGTCATGCGTGTGCAAGTCATACGTTCTCCATGATCACATCGTAGGCGGAGATACGATCAGTCGCAACGAAGAGCAGGGTCTTGTCGTCGACCTCGTACAGGTCGCGGACCTTACCGCGAGCAACAAGGGGCAGTGCGCCTTGCAAGTCAGTGTTTGTCAGAGCATCCGCCATGGTGGAGAGTGCAATTGAGTTTAATAGAAGAATTGAGGATTGGAGAAAGTAAATGCGTCACTCGAATCATTTTTTGGCGGGGCAAATCCGTTCCTGCCTCAGGCACCTTATCGTTCTTTATCGGCAACACGATCAAAACGCGCCCTGGATCGAATCACCTTTGATTGTGATATCGATGATGGGCCATTCCTAATCATGACGCGCTATCTGACACCGTGGAGGATCTCTCTACTGTGCCTGATAACCGTCTATACGGACGGCTTCGTCCCAAACTCATCCGCCATCCATGTGCTCTCGTTCCTGACCGCGGGTCTGTTTCCTCTAGATCCCGCCGATAAGCAATGGGAGACACACTATTTGACTAGCATCGCCGAGCTCGAGGAAGTGCTGTCGGGCCATGAATCTTCGGTCCCGGGTCGAACAATTTGGGATTTATTTCTGAAAAAGCTCTGGTCACTTGATTCCCTCGATGCCCTTGAGTGGTTCTTTTCCAATCATCTGCCGACGCTTCTCACCAAGACGCGTGAACAATTACTCCAGGATCGGGACAATGGCCTTGCTCCTGAAACCAATGGTATGCGGCTATCTCGCAGCTCACCGCTTGGCGCATTCGTGCGCAGAGCTTACCTTGAATACACCCGGTTGCAGTTCCATGACTCGGTCAAGTTGTGGTCGGGATTTGTGAAGTACCGTTTACCAACATATCATGTCTATGCGCGGAGAAATCCGTCTGACAGCCATGATCCAGTCGATATCAATCTCTTTGACCAAGGCCTGGACTCTACCAGTTATCTTTCTCGGGTGGTCTATGGCAACATAGAGGATGAGGTAAGGGACAAGAGCGTGGTCGGTGTTAAGGATGCAGAGCGTCTGGTGGAATTCCAGGTCGGAGAACTACAGAGTACGTTAACACTCTACTCATAACATACCGCATCAAGTATCATATACTGACCAAAATAGGACTGGGAGGTAGAGTGCCAGACGAGATGCGGGCACAGCTCAAGCGTATCATGACATCGGAATCTTCGATCCCAGTCCTAATGTACTACCTGGAGTAAGATCCCCAATAGTAAATGTGCACATGACTTTGAAACAACTTGCTAAAATGGCCAGATATCTCGACGCCTGGCGAGCTGGCGACTATACATCAGCCTTTGACAACCTGCATCGATACTTCGACTACACTATGCACAACAATCAGGACCGCAGTGCATATCAATTTGCGCTGCTGAATCTGGCTATTATTCAGGCGGACTTTGAATGTTTCAACGAAGCTATCTCGGCCGTGCAAGAAGCGGTAGCCATTGCTCGCGAGTCTCATGATATGAACTGTCTCAACTTTTGCATGAGCTGGCTTTACCATTTTGGTAAGGCGTTCCCCGAGCAGATGCGGGAGGTCCAGAACAGCGGTATGCTGGGAAATGAAAAAGAGGGCCTTGCATTCCTCAAGGCCAAGTCGAAGGAGACTGATATGTGGTCGCTCATGAGTACTACCTTGTTGAGTGAGGCCAAGCTAGAGATGCAGCAGGTTAGTTGTGGCGTTCTGAGCATTGTGCGAGGCCATACATACTGATCATTTTTAGGGCGAGAGTCTTGCATCGATTGTCGAATCGTTTGTGCGAGCATCCCATGTCAACGTGACAAAAAACCTGTCGACCCCCACAGGCGCGTACATGGTGCTGCAGAGCGCTATGTATGCTCGGATAGGTATGACCTTTACCTACAACTTCTGTGGGTTGCAGCTAACATTGTTAAACCAGGTGCTACTCACCTTGCTTGGCTGAATACCGAAATCTTCCGCGAGTGCTATACGGAAGGGCATCCATACGATGACTATGTCAAAATTACTTTCAGAAACTGCCAGATTGTAAATTACCCTTGGCCTCCTCTTCCTGCTTTCATAAAACGCTAACCACATCTATAGCTGGCGCAAAAAGGAAACTACAAAGAAGCTTTCGCCCGCATGAACAATGTCGAACCCGAACGACTCCGGGCCATGAAATACAATAATGCCTGGACGTATTACTCTGGACTCCTTCAACTCAAACGACAAATCTGCCGGTGAGACCTACAGCAAGTAGTCCTGAAAGAAGACAATAACTGACCTTTCACAGCGACGACAAAGTAGCAGTAGAACACATCCTCTCTCAACTTCAGGCCGTCCAACTAATAGACTTCGATCTTCGCCTCCTTCTTGCCTTCCACACAATTGAGTTCACAATCCGCCAGGGGGATCACGGCCGTGCTCTACGAATGGTCGAACAAGCCGCCCACTCAATGCAACCCGAGAACTTCGACGTCCACTCCCAAATTAAACTCCTCTGCTTGAAAGCTCGCATCCTCGAAAAATCCGGCCACCCAGAGCGTGGCTTTTCGCTGGCTATGCGCGCCGCTAGCATCGCCCATCGCTCTAAAGTCCTCTTCGATCTCTGGGAAGCCATCTGTACCCTCGCTGCTGTTCTTCTGAGCCTACACGAGTTCGAAGCTACAGCTGAGCTTATCGAGAGTATCATGCCCCAAATTCTGGAGAGCGATGATTCTGCGCTGATAGCTCGCGCATACTCACTGCTTGTTGATGCGAACATGGGCATCGCCGGTGAACTGTGGGTGCGTCTTGGGAAGGAGAGCATACCCATGAGGAAGGAGTATGTGAATCGCGCGATTGGTTACATCGATTCGGCCTATGATTCTTACGAGGAGATCGAGGATATCCTTGGCCAGACTGAGATGATGGCCAAGAAGGCAACTGTTATGCATCTTACGGGTGATCCGGTCTTGGCTAATGATTATGCTGCAAAGTACCTAGACTTAAGGACGCGGAGAGGTACTGAAACCTGATGCAGACGCGGGTTCTGTTCTGTTCACGTATCTATAGTTTGTAGCAATGTTGGAGTTGATTAGTTTATGGATTGACTGAACCAGTACAATTTGCCTCATTGAGATGCATGGTAATTCAGTGTCTACTGCACATTTCTCAAATCCAGGGGACTTGGCTTAGAGCAAAAATCAGCCTCTAGTAACTTCGACAAATAGACTTCTAAAACCAATAATATTGGATCTAGGAATATGAAATCTGGACAAATGAAACAGCACCAATGACGGAGTACGACGAATTTCACTTCATTCAATCACCGGAGTCCAAAGACTCCCATCCTTCGCGGGTCTACGTTCCCGTGAAACACCACTGCAGTAGATATACATGTAAGTTTGCAGCCAAATACACTCTTCCAGGCTCCCATCGGCGGACTCGGATTTCGAGCCTTGGGGATTATGATCAGGGTTGAAGGGTGCGCTTAGGTGGCCTTGTCCTTGTTGTGGTAGTTGACGTCCGAGTTCCAGCTGTGAGTAGTTAGCGGTAGTTCCGGAATTTGTGGGATTTTATTGATGCAGTATGGATATTCCCTTTGCGCGATTGACCTTGTCCGACATTAAGTAGGTGGTGTCCGCGATAAAAGGATAAAAGGATATCGAATCAAATGGCAATGGCAATGGCAATGGACCGGAACTTACAAGATGGTCTGCAAGGAAATTGTTAGCGACTTATGCTTGGGTTTAACAGCTTCAGAACAGAAAAGATCGCACTTACCTGGTCACCGTTACCCCAGGGGAAGTTCTTGGTGCGGATGTTCTGGTAAGGGTACTCGGTGCGCTCCTCAAGAGGGGGCATGTGCTCCCAGTGCTCCCAGTGCTCGTTCCAGAGGGTGTAGGCGTTGATGCCACCACCAATGAGGCAGGGGATGACGGCACTAGAAGAAGTATTAGCTAGCGTGTAATTTGGGCATGACGCATTATAGAGGTCGGGCCGCTAATTCCGGTGAAAACGTACAAGATCGAAAGCTTGCGCCAAAGGTCTACAGAGCCATTGAGTTAGTACAAGCCACTTGAAATAATCAAAATTCCCCAATATCCACGGAAATCCACGATTGGAAGCTTCAGTTAGAATCACGCACCGCTGGTGGAGGCAGCATGGTGCTTAACAGCAGCACGCTCGCGGTTGAACTCGTTGTCAGCGATCCAAGAGGGCTTGGCCTCAGCGCTGTTGAAGCGGCGCTGGGCAGCCGAGCGAATCGGTGCGGCACGCTGGCTCAGGCGGGCAATGTTGCGGGAGAACATTGTGGTGGTTGAGGGTGAGAAATTGTGGAGGAGGGAGGGGGTTCTGGGCGAGATGTCGTACGTTGAAATCCACGCCGTTTGAGTGGTTTGAGGTCCCGTGATTCCCCGGCTGCTTATGTAACCTGATGTCACTCGATCGCTTCACGTGATATCTTTCCTGCATTCGAAGGAGAGGTATTATTTGGTTGCACTTAATACTCTTTCCCTGAAACTTGATCACCTAACTCAGCTCGACTGAAGATTTCGGAGAGAGGCAGCTGGATATGTGTTGTTCCCTCGTCTTGTCAGTTGATCATGGGGTTTCGCATCACGACATGGAATGGTAAGCTGTTTTGTTTTGGGCCTTATCTTGAATCTTCTTTGCTGAATTGAATACTAATCTTCTGTTACAGTTAATGGGATTCGGTACGCATAGTCGTCTAGATGAACTCGCGTTAATGGCCGCTAACTTGAGAAGGAACCCGTTCTCCTATGAACCATGGAGAGGTACCCGCACATTCGAAGTATGTGGATGATGTTAGTCTCAATTTAAGATTCCTCTTAGCTGATTAGAAGTATAGTCCATGTTCGATATCCTCGAATCAGACATTGTGGTGTTTCAGGAGACGAAAATTCAGCGCAAGGACTTGCGCGATGACATGGTCCTGGTGCCGGGATGGGACTGCTATTTCAGCCTGCCCAAGTTCAAGAAGGGTAAGTCACATCTCTGTCTGGTTTTTAATATAGCTGACCCGGGCTAGGGTACTCCGGTGTCGTGATTTACACGCGTAATGCCACCTGTGCACCAATCCGGGCCGAAGAAGGCGTCACAGGAGTGCTTTGCCCACCAAACTCATCGGTAGCTTTCCGTGATCTGCCGGAAGAGCAGCAAATAGGTGGCTATCCTACTCTAAGCCAACTTACCACCTCACCTTCTGCATCGGAACAGAGCGATACAGAAGATCAGGGTGAGGGCGCACTATCCAAGGAACGAATCGATGCTGCAACTCTAGACTCCGAAGGACGTTGCGTTGTTCTAGAGTTTCCAGCTTTCGTTCTCATCGGAACATATTGTCCCGCATATAGGGATGAGAGCCGCGATTCTTTTCGCATGGATTTTCTCAATGCTTTGGACGCACGGATACGGAACCTTGTGTCTCTGGGGAAGAGGGTGTTTGTGACCGGCGATATCAACATCTCCAAGGCCCCTATTGACTCTGCACATGCGCTGGAGAACATTCGCAAAAGCGCCACCACCGAGCAAGAATTCATTCTTAGTCCACCCCGCAGGCTATTCAACGCATTACTGGCTGATGGTGTGGTGATTGGTGATCGGGACAACGACAAGGAGCAGCCAGTCCTTCATGATATTTGCCGGTCTTTTCACCCGAATCGACCTGGGATGTACACTTGCTGGGATACAAGGCTCAATACTCGGCCTGGCAATTATGGGTCAAGAATTGACTATGTTCTATGCAGCCTTGACATGCGGGAATGGTTTTCTGATTCAAATATACAAGAAGGCCTCATGGTACGTCCTGGGTATGAGGAGATACATTAATGAAAAGCTAACTTTGCTATCGCTAGGGATCAGATCATTGCCCCGTCTATGCCGTATTCAAGGAACAGGTGTTGCATAATGGAAACATGGTTCCCATCCTTGACATCGTGAACCCCCCTGGAATGTTTAAAGGTGGCAAGCGTCAGAAAGAATATTCGACCCAGTATCTTTTGTCCACGTCAGGGCGTCTGCTTCCAGAGTTTGATGTTGATAAGCGGCGGAGTATCAAGGATATGTTTGCCCGCAAGCCACCAACCATGCCATCCCAATCACCGCCTAAAGCTAATGTCGTCGAGAATCTGACCACCGCTACAAGGGTCGAGCATGGATTACCGACACCCAGCCAAATTGATTCAAATGGTCCACTGGTTACGCCGGATGGTTCCTCGGTTTCAAACCCTATGCCTCGAAAGAGACCACCGCAACCACCAACGGTCCCTGCAAAACGCTCGAAATCCGCCGCGGCGTCAAATGCTGCCTCCACAGCCGGCCAGAAAACACTTAAAGGGTTTTTCAAACCCAAGGCTGCTGGCAGTAGCTCATCGTCTCAGTCACCCACATATGCATCCCCTGCTAGTACTTCTAATCCCGACGTATGGACATCGCCATCAAAGGGTTGTGCCATGAACGAGAGCACTACGGCTAGAGCTACCCAAGGTACAGAGCCTCCACTCGACACTCCTGCCGCAAGCACATGTAATCCATTGGTGTCGTCCTCGCCCAGCAAGCCTGATCATGATGATACAGTGATCGACCCGATTGTCAGTAAAGAGGATTGGTCTAAGCTCTTCACCAAAAAGCCCGTCCCTCGGTGTGACTCGCATGAAGAACCCTGCATCAGCTTGACCACCAAGAAACCAGGCATCAACCGTGGCCGAGCGTTCTGGATCTGTCCCCGGCCCCTCGGACCCCATGGTGAGAAGGAAAAAGGCACACAATGGCGGTGCCCAACATTTATCTGGGCCAGTGATTGGAATGGATCTTCGCAACCGGAATCATGATGGAGAGTCAGGTACGAGACATACCTATCTAGATACCAGAACACTGCTCTCTCAATACCAATCTATCTTTTGGGCTTTTTTCAAATTTTCCATATCAAGATTGACGTGTAGTCAAGTTCGAGTGCTTACCGTTGGTCGAATTTGCAATTAGGGCTGAGTGGATTGTAGAGTGGAGTATGCCTGCAGCTGCCAAGTATGTGACGATCTGTACCCCACCTGGCACTTTATATCAATTAATTCTCAAGAAAGTAGCCCGAATTGACGAACACGTTTATGCATGCAGAGTCCGAAGTCCGTTTCCAGGGATTCTAGTGAATTCAAGTCTGAGACAGGGGGTCACCACGTGGGACATGAAGACTCTGTATGGCCTCGTGAACCTCATGCAGTGAATGAAAGTGGCACCAAGTGAATGAACGAATGCAATGGTTGCCTGGAGTATCAACGCGTCGTGGGTATTGAGGAGCAAACGGAGGGTCATGACTCACTTGATCGTCGTGGTAACGTCTTCCCAATCGAGACACAAAGAGTGCATTCACTGGTTCGCCCCACCATTCACTTCCTGTCCTTTGTTTACATTTGTCTTCTGTTTCTCTTCTCTCTTTCTCTTTCTTCCCTCTACCTCTCTCCTATTCTCTTCTCCTTTCCCATCCTTTCACCTCCACAGCTCTCTTGAATCCGTCGGATTTGTTGATTTTCCCTTGCTCCAGTGACACCTGGTTATTTTCTGATGCCACCTCTCCCGCGTGCCTTCTACATGGCGGGTACCGACGCTGACAGGACCGCCGAGGTCGTGTGGCATGACTGCGCTCATCCACAGCGGCTTCAAGCCACGGGAAATGAAGTCATCATTCCGTTCAATGTGAAGGACAAGATGGGCGAGACCAATCTTGTTAAGCTTGCCAACCGTCTATCGTAAGTTCGTATGACCTGAGACTATGAATTCCTGCTCACTTTCGAGAAAGAGTTCTTCTGGATGAGCCAGTGGAGATTGTCCTCGACATGAAAATCTCTTCTTTCCGCCTGGTGCCCTCTGCTATTATTGCGAAGAAGTCCCTCGGTGTCGACCTTCTTGAATATGACATTGTTGCTCAGACTACTCGTGAGGCTTTGCGTAATAACCAAGCTGCCGTTCCTCCGCGAAAGAAGCATATTCCCCGCCCTCCCAACGCTTGGATTCTTTATCGTCAGCATCACCACGGTCAGACAACGGCTTTGAACCCCGGGGTGGCAAATAACGATATTTGTAAGTCAGAGATAATCGCAGTCTCGAGGAAAATTGACTGACAAGTTTGCTTCTTTTCTTTGTTTAGCTCGCCTCATTTCCGCCAAGTGGCGATCTGAGACCGAGGAAACTCGTCAACGCTGGCACGCTTTGGCGGCTCAAGTCAAGAAACAGCACGCCCTTGCTTTCCCTGACTATCAGTATTCGCCACGTCGCCCTGGCGAAAGGCTGACTCGTCGCGCCCGGGTTCCAGCTGAAGCCGTTGGTCTCATCGGCGACACTCGGCGAGGCACAAATCGTCTCCAAGACACGATTCAGGGAGATGGCCCCAACCCTTGGGATTCGAACGGACTCATTGATATTGACCAAGAGTTCCTCAGTATGCTGGATCAGCATGATATGCTGGCAGGACCGAATGGCATTGATATCAGCTATGCTCAGAACCAGGACTTCACCGCCATGGTGAACACCCAGGTTCGACGTGAGCCAATTGAAACTCTGCGAACTCCTCCCCTCCAAGGAGACGAATTTGGTTCAATGTTTTCCGAAGAAAGCATGAACGCTCTTTTGAACCTTGATGGATAGTTGCAACTCATCAAGCTGCACAGCTCCATTTACTCTCAATGGGATCCATTTATTTCCTGAGACACTCCGAAATATTCCTGGATCTACATCATCCAATGTGCGGCTTTCTGATTTCTCTTTATTTTTTGCTGTTCGCTTTGCCCTTTGCTTTCCCATTCATGTTTACCCTTCTTAGTTGCTTTCCCCCATTTTTGTTCGAGGCCAGCGGTTTTCATCTTCATTTATCTTCACATTTCCAATTTGCTTTTATCCCGGGGTCCTATGTTTATCTTTTCAATTTGCTTTTTCTCATATGCGGTCCCGAAATCCTCGATGTACATTCCGAGGTCGTGTTTGTTATCTAATTGCGATGTCAGTGGTGAAGGAACTGGATCCCTGTCTGTGTGATCCTGGTTGACTGCCGATTGTAACTAGCTTAGCAAATACAGTTTTTCAATTATTTTTGAAAGCGTTCTGTTTGTTTACCCCGTCATTACTGCTAATCTTGCAGGCGCTCCCATACTCGACATTCTAAGTCCACTGAATCATGACGTGAACACTTCAATTGCGGGGGCTCAACCCCATCTGGCCTGTCCAGTTTCCTTTGTTCTAATTTATTCAGGTGCTCGCTATCATAGCTCCGTCTGCTAGACGTGTGTTCGCTGACGTCGGGATTTCTTTGTTTCTTCCTGCGCCAAGCTGCGGATCCGTGGGTCCGGGACCCACACCTTCCCCGTCTCTAAATCAAGTGGATCCGGGAGCTCCATGGCGCAGCCTCGACCTGCTTATGCAGGCCCGTTCGCGGTGGCTATCTTTGTTACAGATGCCGGGTTTGGAGATGCCGGGCTTGGGGATGAGCGATAGGGTGGCAATTGCTAGCATCGAATGGATGGTGACTTGGCTCGGGTTTTCTTTGCGGCGTGATTGGAGTTCACGTTGTTCGTATGCAATGTGATGAGGAACCTAAAATTTGGTGGTGTTGACGATGTGTTCGACTACTAACAGGGATTACGGAGATCGGGCTTCATTGTGGGTCTGGATCGGGACTGGGTCTGGGTCCAAAAGACCTCGAGTGTTAGAAAACTTGTGAACCTGATTGGCCAAACAAACAAAGGGGCAATAATATTCGCTAATCACTAGCTACTGGTTAAAAATGAGACACTATGAAATATGGAAGGAGCGGTCTCAATGATTTCAGGATATACATAGCCGAGGTTAGAAAGCAAGCCACGGGAAGGACAAAACATGTGCAGGGAATTTATTCTTCTTGGTATGAGATCTTGCGCATTTCGCCAAGGCGCGTGCGGGCACGGGCGAGGTTGTTCTCGAGTTGAAGAATTTCGACCTGGAAGAGCAAGGTTAGTTAGCTGAAGAACTTGAGAGAAGAGAGAAGAGAGAAGAGAGGGGACACATACCTGTTGCTCCATCTCGCGCACCTTGAACTCGTGCGAGCTCAGCGTCGTGTAATCTTCGGCTTCGTTGTCGCCGCTGTGCTTCTCCTTGATAATGTCCTGCACCTGGCGCACCAAAGCACGGCATGCAGCGCCCACGGCCTTGCTGGCTGTCTCCAGTCGGTCTTGGGTCTTGCTCATGAAGGTGGCCTTGACACGACTGGCCGCCACCAGCTGTGCGGTGCTCGCAGCAACGTCGTTGGAGGCAACGATGAGCTGCTCAGGAGAGTTGCGGCCCGAGATAACACCATCGGCGGTCTCGATCAGGGTGTTAGTAGAGCCGGCAACTGCCTTGGCCGCAGAGATGAGACCCTCAGTCCAGCGGTTGTTCTTCTTATAGAAAGCTGTGCGGGAAGAGCTTCCACGACCCTCACGCACAATCTCCTGTTGCGTCTCAGTGGCAGCCTTGATCAGCTCGGCGATGGCATTGGTCACAGCAATAGCAGCCGCCAAGATGGCATCGTTGATACGTAGTTCGTAGGTCGAGTAGCCATCCCGCGGCTTGTTCTTCAACTTGGCCAGACGCTGGGCAGCAGCTTCAATCGCATCAGCTGCCCGGTTCAGCTCCTGGTCTACAAGATCTCCCAGGTCGCCGTTGGTGTTGATCTTGCTGCTCTTGGGTGAGAAGGATTCAACCAGCTTGGATAGCGACTGGAGGTCTCGTTGCACTTCCAGGTTGTTGTTGATAACAACATCAGTCTTCTGCAATGGCTCCATGCCCTCAAGGCGGAAGGACTGGAGACCACGGAAGAAACGCACAGTCGCCTGGGCCGATTTGCGGGCCGCATTAAACAGCTGGTCAGAGCTTTTGTCATCGTTGGCGAAGCGAGACAATCCCTTTGTGTTGCTCAGTGTGTCAGCAACTGATCCGGAGAAGACGGATACAGTGCGAATGATTTCAGCATGAGGGCTGTTAGGGCCGTCTGCAATGAAGTTATTGAATGCCGTGGAGAATTCGGTGGCCGATGCAGAGGCCTTCTCAATCTGCGACAGCACGTAAGGTGGCGAGGCGTTCTGGTTACCGGCTTGCATAGAGGAGTCAAGCTCGTACAGAGAATCATCCACACGCTGCACACCGGCCTGTAGCACAGAATCAATGATGTCGTTGATCTTGGCCACGGTGCCGTGGAGGACTGTGTCAATCTGGCTGTCCAGTGCATGATCGGTATCACCTTGGTTCTACATAAGAGGCCTGGTTAGCATAAAGACACCAGTATGATTCATGGACTGCCCTTACCAGCCGAAGCTCCTCCAATTCCATCAGAGCTTGCTCCATGCCAGACTTGTAAACCTCAATTTCCTCATCCTTCTCGCGAAGAGACAATTCGTGGTCTCCATCCCACTCCGACTTGCGGTTGGAGACATCTTCAAGGGCCCGAGTTTTGTTCTATGATCGTTAGTCCTTGAACCGAAACATTACAAAGGGCAAAAACTCACTCTAAGAGCCTCTTCCAAATCGGCCATCTCACGGTTATACTTGGAGAGCATAGTGGAAATCTCCGTGCCCTTTGATCGCTCGGCATTCTCAGCTCGTTCGAGCGCCATGCGAAGTTCCCGCTTAACCTTCTCCAACTCATCCTTATTGGTACCAGTCAGACGATCCCGTTCATGCAAGGCACGATCCCGCTCCCGAATCATGTCGGCAAGCTCCAGGTTCTTAGTCTTCAGCTCGCGTTCTAACTTCTCACGGCGCTCAATGGCCTCCTGTGCCGAGGCTGCCTTGAGTTTAAGGCTCTTGGTAGTCTGCAGGAGATCCAGATGCTCCTGTCGTAGCTGCGAGTAGAGCTTGGCCAAAGCCTCATACTTTGACCGCCATGTGTTCACTTGCTCCTGTAGAGAGCGGATTTGCTCGTCCTTAGAGGCACTCTGCAAATTGAGGTTGGAGTTCAGTTGGTTCATCTGTCCCTCCAAGTCCTTCACACGGCGATCGTACTGCTGCAGCATCAGTTGGTCCCGCTCGTATTGAGCACGGGCGTTCAGGTTCTCTTGTTCCAGCTCTGCCAAGCGGCCCTGGGTGTGTGTGGAAAACTGGTCCCGGAGAAGCTGCTCCTGTGCTTCCTGTTGGGCTCGAAGTTGCCGCGCCTGTTCCGCCTCAAAGTTCGCCTGGGCCTCCTGCTGAGCACGCATCTGCTCCCGCTGCTGCTGCTCCCACTGTTGCTGGAGACGCGCTTGTTCCGCCTCATACTCTTCTTGTTGGCGCTTGGCCTCGGTCGTCCAGAAATCATTAATGGGCTCCGGCTCGGCGGCCACCTTGGGTGGTGGCGAGGGTTGCGCTTCAACCTCCTTCGCCGGTCGACGGGGGAGGGCCGGGCGATCATCTTCTCCGAGAAGGTTCGGGGGGTCTTGAGGCAGTTTGGGGATGGTGATCAGACTGGTGAGGTAGCGCAGGTTAGAACATTCGTAGTAGAACCGAACGAGACGATGGTGCTGGGAATCGTAACGGCCGCGGAGTGGCTCGAGAGCCTCGTCATCTCCAGTTGCTTGAGAGAGCAAAATAAGTTAGTAAGCGTGCAGTCACGACAAAGAATATAGTACATACTTGTGTGCATGGCTCTCAACATGCTCGTAATGAACTTGTAAATACCATAGCTCTCCTGCACAAGACCCACCAGCGCAGAGATACGGCACTCATTATTCGTCCCTGACTGGAAATTGGAGAAGATAAGTTTCTGGAAAGAATCGATCTGGTCTTGCAAGGTCATGAGATCGGTAATTGTCTCGTAGCTGCAGATGGGTTAGCTTTTGCCGCCGGGCTCAGGACAGGAATTCATGCGCACCCTTCATTCGGATCGTTGATCGTCTTCAAACTAATGTACTCCTCGTACTCGAACAAACCTGCATCCATTAGACAATCGTCCGTCCTCAGATTCACTCCGCAGCAGGTGACATACCATTGAATTCCGGGTGGTTGCGGTGGAAATTCAACTTCGACTCGAGGAAGTAGACGTATTCGCGAATCAACGGACCGTATCCTATTCAGAATTGTCAGTACTGAAACGGCGACCCAGCTGCTCCGGTCCTGTCCAATGCCATACCTCGAACTCCGTCACCTCCAACTCCTCGCATCAAACTATCAACCCAATTGGCATGTTGCTGTGCCTCTCGCACAACAATCGGATGGCCTTCTTGGAGAACCTTGTGGATCGTGATGAGAGCCTTGAACGTCTGGACCTCGTCGGCGAGAACAGGCTGGCTGCAATGCAAGAAGAACAATGTTAGCCAAATGATCCAAAGAGAAGGAAAAAACAACAATGAAGAGCAAGGGTGCCTTTAGACTCCCGCAGTCCCACATACACTTTCATGCCGGCCCAAAAGGCCGCTGACGACTTGTGGTCCCACGTGTACACAATACAACTCCGCACATGTTTTCCTACACAGTAACCAGGAAAGGTCAGTCGAGTCGAATAGGGTAATGAATCGAGAGCAATCCGTTTCTCGGCATGGATCAGGACATACGTTTCGGCGCAGTTTCCTCTGTCGCAACAATCAATAGTCAGCCTCTGAACTCCTCCTTTCCGGCGGTAGCCGCCAACTTTCCACATAGCCCCCACGGGGATGGAGTACATACCAATGCTGGTAGCCTTTCGGATATTGATGGCCAGATCGGCCTCCGTCCTATGCGATTGAGTTACTTGTGAGCTCTTCGAGGGGCAGGGGAGAGGGGGGGAGTGTCGCGAGGACATCGGGTCCCGCTTACCGACTCATCTTGGGTTGAGATGCAATGCGAGTTCAGGGGTATCAGAAAGGAGACGAGCTGAACGTCAGATCCCGAGTCCGTCAGATATGACCGGGGGGAAGATTAAAGGAAGAAGTTCGGGGTTCCGCACGTGGAGCGCAATGACGTTGGGGAAAGCTGGCGCCTGTCAGTCTTGGCGCCTAAGCCCCCCTTGCCATAGAACTACACAACCTTGTATAACTGTACGCGTACTCCCCAGGCAACACTGATTCACAAATATCAAGAAACAGGCAGATAGAACCTTCTGCAATTTGACCTTGGAGTTTCTTTGGACATGAAATATACGGGATAGGACTGGTTACAATGCTTACGAAGGTCGCCATTGCAGAATTCAAATCAATCCTTCCGACTTCTATGTACATCTGACACTTATGAAGGAACCAGGGCCTCTGTCCTGCAGACGCACCGCAAACCCAAGTAAAGTAAAAAGATTTCCCTTGACGCCGCGCAACTAAGAAGGAAAACAACACAACAACGACCTGTACCCAGATATTGATTTCTGCTCGGATTGGCTTGCTATCAGGCGACCACCATAAATAATACATCGATTATGCCGATGAAACTTCAACTTGTCCTGTGAAAGGGGTTAGGTCTTGGCTTCCTGTCGGCGAAGAGCTGGTCTGGTCAACAGATCGGACAGACCGAGCTTCTTGTCCATCCTCGTCTTCCCAATGGGGCTCTGTCTCAGCTAGGTCGGTGCTAGAGGAATTCTCCCTCGGATGGAGGCTTGTCAGTGTTGAGCCCTCATCCAAGTCAATTTCACCCACGACTGGGCTGTTTGGTGCAGAATCGTGAGGCGCTTGAACCACGAGCAACTCATCCACGGAATCAGAGCGCATGCCAGGGGGAATAGGTTTCCTGCGAGGCAAGGGTGGTGGCGGTACAGGTCGGGAAGCTCCCGTGCTTGGTCTTCCAGGTGAGGGAGCTGGTGCTACAGGCTTTCGTTTGGGGAGGGTACCCGACGTGGAGTTTCTCTTCAGGGCAAATTTGTCCGGGCGAGGCAAGGGGGCACCAGGTGGGGGATGAGGATGTCCACGTCCGATAGGCTGTTCGGGGGTACCTACGGGAGACCGGGTTGTTTCCTGGTGAGCATTCGAATCGCCTTTGCCAAAGACACCCCAGCTCCATTTCTTTGCCGCGGCTGCAGTCGTTCCAATATTGATGGTGCCGGCTTTGTCCTCGAAAGTATTTGTGATTGACTTGGTTAGAGTCCCCATGGTGCTACGACGCGGCTTCTCGGTGACAAGGGAAGTAGTAGAACTGCCTCGAGAGCTGCGTGGGCTTGAAGTAGGCTTGCCCTCGAAGCGAGAAGAATTCTTCACATGGTCACTGGAGAAGTTCAAGCCCTCAAGAGATTCTGCGATTGAGGATGCACGGCTGTGAACGGCACTCTCCGGAATCATGAGACCACCAGTCGGTGGCGAACCGCTTGGGGTTCGTTGCGGAGAAGCAGGCGGAGAGCGACTTGAGATTTCAATCATAGCACTAGTTGCGCTGCTCTTCTCGTCACCCTTGTTGTCGGACGTGGCTTTATTGAAATTGGCATTGTCTGCCGTTACTACGGGATCCGCTGCATGAGAAAAGGTCTGAGACCGAATGGCACGAGGCAAAGGGGTAATATCAGGTCTTTCAATGCCCGTTGACGTTGCTGTCGAAGGCTTGATGTTGGTTTCCGAGGATAACGACTTCGGGCCCCTGCGTGATTTCACCTTCGGCGAGCCAGACTCGGGAAGGACGGGCATGCTCATCGTTCGATCATCCTTGGCCTTCAAGACCTCAACGGAATCGGTGTGACCACTTTTCGGAGTTGCTGGGACATCGCCAGATTCATCGGGAATCTCTGCCTCATCACTATGATCAGGCACTTCTCGTTGCCAAATACCTCCGCGAAAACTCTGGCCCATGGTGTCCAAGAAGGGAACATCATCCCAGAACGGCAGAACAATACTCTCTGCCATCACTTCACGGATTTTGCTCTCAATGGTACGTAAGATAGGGCTGAAGGTAACTTGCTTTGTGCTGACGATCGGCTGAATGTCCATCGACATCTGCGGCATTGTTTCAAAGGACATCCAGAAACGATTGCTCGGTGGAGGTTTGAACCGGACCAGAAGATGACCTTCTAATTTCTTGAGCACAACTGCCAGCATGATATCAACTTCCCTGGCCTTGAATCGAGGACCCAAATCAATGCGCACAGTAGCTGAAATTTCGACGCGGAAGTTCCCTGTATACTGGAGATCCGCCTCAATGCAGCAATTACCATCGGCAGTCAAATCTTTCAGTCGAGGGTTGGTAATAAATGGGGCCCCTTCGCCCATATCAATCCTCTGCAAGCCAATCTTGCTGATAAAGTTCGGTTTATTCACACGGGAGATTTTCTTCGTAATCTTGCTCCGTAAGAATTCCTCCACCTCGGGAGTTCGGTAAAGAGCCAAAAACAATCGACCGAGGAATGCGTTGATCCATCTGGTTTGCAACTGTTCTTCGGAGGAATGAAGGCGTTGGACTAGCGTAACAATGTGTTTCACATCAAACTCTTGAGGTTTGGGCGGACGATTCGCAGAATCTCGCATCTTAGACTGGTTCTGCAGCATGGCGAAATAGAAATCCTCCTTCTCAGACAAATTTTCTGAAAAGAGGTAGAATGGAGGTGTTGGTCCACCAAGGTCTCCAAGCGAATCCAGTCGCCGCGAGAGACAAATGGCGTTCCTCTTGATCCAAAGCTCACCCTCGGGAATCTCTCCTTCACCACCAAAGATAGACACCGCATGGTGAGCAAGAGAAATCACATACCGAACCTCGACCTGGTTTGCGTCATCATAGAGCATTAGATGGCCGTGCCTAGTTGCCAGAGTCCGATTGTCAGCAAAGCCTATAGCAACTCATTGTTGATATGGTGAAATGCTTACCGAAGAACGATGTAAAAGACATTTCGTGCCCGCTTGGTGTTTTTCCCGTTCGATTTCGCGGGCTCGATACTAGGTGCCTGCTTCCGATCAAACAGACTGCGATACATGGACTGATACACGCTAGGGCTTTCGGCAGCAACAACCTCTCCAGCCGGGGTCGTTCTCTCCGGCGGTTTCCCATTGACACCCCCAGGCACATATTCGCGACAAACAGCAAAATATCCCGCAGCAACATCCGAGTCGTGTGTTCGGTGGAATTCCTCCGCCAGCTGATCTGTCCCGGATTTCAAGCTATACTCATCGTCGGCAGACCGACGGACCGCATCGGAAGCTTGGGCGCTTGTCTGCTGTGACGGCAGAGCATCCGGAAGGGTTAAATAGGCAAAAAGCAGGACCAATGAAAGGACCAGCGGGACAAAGGTGAGTCCTCCGAGCACGTAAACGACGAGGAAGCTGCCGAGCGAACCCATCGGGAAGCAGGTCGATCAATGCGGACAGGCCGAGATCTCCATAATTTGAGGGGGCAGGTTGAGGAGCTGCAGAGAGTTGAGCTTGCTATATTAATGAGAGACCGGCTCCAAATTAAATACAATGTCGGAAGTGCGATGGGGGAGAGTTTGGGAGAGCAGAGTAGATGAGAAGTGGAGTTGTAGCTTCCACATATGACGGAAGTGCTGGTTACCAAATCCGTGCCCCGCAGGATCCGACCAGCTGTCAGGAACGGCCCCGGGGAAAACGATTCAATCATCCATCAGATATTTTAAAATTGGAAATCTCCGATTGTTTGCGTTATTCTAGAGATCATCTTCCTATATCATGCACACCCAAACCAAAATAGTCCCACCAAGTCCTTGCTTAGTCTAGAACCAGCGCATTCTAATATATGTATACATGTGCTCTCGAAATGAAAGCCTGAAAGAAAAGAGGGGAAAAGATCAAAGAAGTATATATATGTTTACAAAAAAAGGGTACAATCCTCCATCAGTGGACTTCCACTTACTTGCGCCGCCTCATGGTTTTGTCACACATGTCGATCAGCCCAGTCTTGGCCTCACAGTCAGGGAAGTCGCTGATGGCCTCAACGGCCTTATCGGCGTAGTCTTGAGCCAAACGACGCGTTTGCTCCACACCGTCACTGCGGTAGACGATCTCACGGGCCTAGTTGTACATAATTAGCATCGGACACGGAAATGATCTTCATAAAGACAGCACTCACCCGCTGCACATCGCCTTCCTCGCGGAACTTGCGGCCAACCAACGGTCCGAGTTCGGGGTTACTCTTCCAAGCAAACAACAGCGGGGCAGTAGCCAAACCCAGCTCCAAATCAGCTCCGGAGGCCTTGCCCAGCTCGGCCTCGGTAACGGTATAATCCAGCATGTCATCCACCAGCTGGAACGCCAGGCCCAGGTTGCGACCATACGCGTAAGACGCCTCAATAACCTCGGGAGCGCTGCGGCCCAGGACGGCAGCAGAGCGACACGACTTACTGATCAGACTGGCAGTCTTCAGATAAGTCTTCTGGAGGTAGTATGACAGGGTCTCATCGGTGTATTGCGGGTTGGCCTCGTCCTGGGCGGTGTTCTTTAACTGCATGAATTCGCCCTCCACTAGGTTGGCGATCACAGTGGCCATCAGCTCAGTGACTTCGGGGTCACGCAGCCGGGCCAAAGCCACAGAAGCACGACCGAGCAAGAAATCACCTGCCAGGACCGCCATCTTATTTCCGAAGGCTAGGTTGGCTGAGCTGTTTGCGCGACGGGTCACGGCGTTATCAATGACATCGTCATGGAGGAGAGAGGCAGTATGGATAAGTTCAGTGATCTCAGCTAAACGGCGCTGCGAAGGGAGAATGTTGTCGTCGCCAGCAAAGCTGTACTCGCTCTCGGCATTCCGGGACACAAGTGGATTAATGGTTGGATTGGAATCATCGAGAATTGATGGTGAGCTGAGCGGGCTATCGACAGGACTTGGGCTAGCAGGATTCGTTTGCTTCCGAGGGTCCAACGCTGTCGCCTGGGACATGAGCAAGACCAGCATCGGCCGCATGTGTTTGCCCTCGCTGTGTGTATAATATTTAGCCACCTTATCTAAAGCCGGATGACCTGACCCCAGCAATTGGCGGATGTTCTTGCTGAGAAACTTCAATTCCTTGCCAACCATGCGTAATGGGTCCACGGAAATGCCCTCAGGTGCTTTTGGCATGCCCTTGAAGATGGCCTGCGCAGCTGACACGGCGGCACCGAATGGAGAAGCATCCTTTCGACGGGTGGGGTGGTATTTTCGGGATTGAATAAAAGTGTAGGATGAGTGGAGGTCTTCACGGAGGCATTGGGAGCACACGGAGGTCGAAGACGGTCGCGTGAGAATCAGCCCGGCGGCCGAGACGGTGCGAGCTCGCATGCTCAATGCAGGGCTCGAGAACTTTTGATGGTAGGGAATTCAAACCTAGGACATGTAAGAGCAATTCGAATGATAACGCTGCATAGGTTCGGGAGAATACAAGGTTCCGTAGGGAATAATCTTGCGGGAAGATTTCGAGCTCCCGGGCCGGCACGGACCATCTCATGTATTACTGGTTCCTCTCATCCCGATTGCAACGATTGTAGTCTGACAAAGATGCTCACTAAATAAAGCTCAACCCGATCCCATAATATAGATTCCTTCATGAAGATACGCAAATACTCTACACGTGAGGAGCCTCCCTGTCTAGGGCAAATCCAGAATCTTATGCAAGAGAATAATTCCAGTATAAGAGACACAGAAGATTGCGCCGGCCATCTTAGTCCTGCATATTCCCTTCGTACACATCCACCACAAAGGAAGAAAGAAAGAAAAGCGAAATCGCACACAATTAACACATAAGTTGAAGAAGGCCGCTACGAGGTTGAACCCATATAGATGGGGGCCAGTGCGGAAGATATGCTGTATCAATTACGAGGATCCACCGTACTTAGATGGCATCGAAATCACCACCAGCATCCTCATCATCCATGTCTCCTTCCTGGATCTCCTTGGCCAACTCACGCTCTCGCTCTCGTGCCTCTTGAGCACTCTTCAGCTCCAAGCGGTGCTGGTTCATGGGAAAGCGCATAGCCTAGTAGTAAGAAAATGTGATTAGAATAAACCTAGAAGTAAGGGTGGTATGGGGGTATCTATACCTTAACACTTTCATCGTGAAGAGTAAGACAGGCGCGAATGCGCTCGTGGAACGCCTCACCAGGTTCCCGGGTAGCGTAAATGTCACCAACCTCCTTGCTCTTCATGAAACCGTGCTCGTGGTCCAATGTAGCCTCAATGACGCCATCGCGGATGGCCTTAGCCACAATGTATTCAGCAGACTCCTCACTGTCAAGACCCAGACGGAGACAGATGTCCCGTAGGGAAATGCGCGAGTAAGACAAGGACATCATACGGATACCGGTCTTGATCACGTTCTGCCGCAAGCGAAGGATCAAAGTGTAAGTGCCATCCTTCCGGAAGGTGGAACTGTGAGTGTTGACGATATTCAAGAAACCATCTAGATCTCCAACACTGACAGCCTGCGCAAGCAGCAAGTATGGGTGCATGGCCTTCTCAAGGGCGGGCTGGCGGAAGACAGAACGATCCGGGATGTCACCCATCAAAAGTTCCACGACAACAAGCAGCTTGTGGGAGGCCTGGTAGAATCCACGAGCACTGTGGCTGGTGGGGGACTTGCGGGTGGCACCGATCAGGTGGCTGTGAGCCTCGGTATACTGCAGTTGAATGGCTCGGATACGACCGAGGTAGAATAGGTACCGGGCAATTTGGTTGTTGGAAGCAGCAGCGGGGAACCGGTTATGCGAGATCAAGAGATCTGCCTGGGTGATGTGGGAAGTTGACAGGTAGTTGCGGAGCAGCAGAGTCATGACGGTAGCCTGCGTGTCCACATCCTTCCGAAGAACAGATGTCCGCAGAGCTGTCAACAATGTTTGCCGAATATTGGTGACAGCGGCTGCAGGAGATGGGGGGAGCGGAGCGATCTGTTCAAAGAAGAGAGAATAATAAAAATACACGCGCGCGGCAAGAGAATCCAGGGTGCGGCGATTCAAGGTCCGAAGGCGTTCAATCAAGCTAGTCGAGAATTCGGCACCCTTCTGGATTTGTTGCTGGTCGAAAAGATAAATCTGTACCAAGATAGACAAGTACGCATCCACCTCAGGGAGGATCTCCTTCGGGGCTGTCTTATTTTTCTCCGAGTCTACCTCCATCTTTGAAGCTTCCTGGACACCCTCGAAAGCACCAGCCTGGCCAATGGCCTCGAGCAAGAATGACGCCGTCTCATTGGAGTCTGGGTATGTATCCACAATCACTTCGGCGAGGACCTCCGGGGTGATATATTTCCGCATCGACGATATGGAGCGTAGGACACGTAGGGTGAATCGGGGGTCGAAGTGAGCTACGGCTCGGTCGAGCAGGGTGAAGTTGGTCTTGATGTCTGTCAACCATATCAAGAAGACGGGTGGTGTCATTAGCCATGGGGTCTTCTGAGTTGGGATGGATGGGCATAGCACCTACCTTGGATGGCTTTGGTCGTTGGGTCGACCTCGGGCTCGGTCTTCTCAGCATCGTCATCTTCCGAGCCCTCCATCGTTACATCCTCGTCCTTGTCCTGTCCTGTCTTGTTGGATGATCTGGAACCCTTGGTTGGGGGCACTACAACAGTCATCTTCTCGTCACCATGCCAGTCCTTGCGGGTGTTGAATGAGGATTTAGGCGCACCTGCCGTATCCTCTCCCATCTCAACATCCTCAGAACCATTCACACCATTCTCGGTCGACTTGGATCCGTTGGTGTGCGACTGGTCATTCTCCTCCATTCCGTTGTTCGCGCCCTTGGCGGCGCCTTTCTTAGCCGGGGTTGCTTTGGCCTTGTTGGCGGCGGCGCGGGTAGTCGGCGCGGCCTTGTCTTTAGCACTCGAGCTTTGGGAGTTCGAGTGTGCCTTTTCACCGTTAGCAGATGAAGAAGCGTCAGATTTGTTGTTTGATCGAAGAGAACGCCTTTCGGCCGGCATCTTTCCCAAGCTGTCGAGCTCAGCTGAGCAGTACCCAAGCTAAGAGAGGTAAGGAGAAGGGCAGTAGAATGTCACTGAATGGAAATGAGAAGCAAAGGAACTAATGAAAGATCAATGAGCAGCAAAAAAGTAGTGGAACGATGAGGGAAAACAACAGAGCGACAGATGGATGAGGTGGATGGGGGATGTGATGTCAAGAGACGAGGACGGGCGCAAGACCAGAGGCGTGCTTAGTCAGGGGGGAGCTTACGGGCGCCAGACTCTTAAGCAAGAATCATGCAGAATCCGGTCGTTATGGCCTCTAGCAGGGATTAGCTCGAGCTCAAATCTGAAAACAAATTGCAAATGTAGAGAAGGAGGATTAGCGAAAGAATAAAAGGATCTATACTTTTTCTTCATGGAAATTGGATAATTCTTGTTGGGTGATTTTCCATTTTGCTGCCTGAGGTGTTAACCGGTAGCTAGTTATGTTGCTTTAACTACGGAGTATGGATCTTCCCATAACAATACGTTGGGAACTTCGCTCTCTATGCAACACACACATACATTTACCCCATTACATCACCACCATGCCGCTTCTCGACTCCCACCTAGAGCAGATTGCACTCTCTTCAAGTGCGATTGCAGAACTGCCGTGCGTCTCTATTGAACATGCTTGAAATTGCGCTTAGCTAACTTAGATCCAACAGGTTTCCAGCGCCCCGCAAATTCACAAACGCGTTGCTGGGCTCTCATGATATTACCGCTTTGATACGAGATACCGAAGCCCATGAAAGAGCCCTCTTTCAAGTAGATCCATCCGCCAAGGCTCATGGGTCACGACGTGCCACCCGACGCGCGACAACCTTCTCCGCTGAGTCCGAGAACGAATCTATGGCCACTCGAATCTACTCGGCGCGGAACAATCGCAACCAGTCGGCAGTGGCGCGTGTACTAGGATCGGACATGATGGAAGAAATCAAACGGTCTACAGGCACATCCAATCGGGGACCTCGGGGGAAGTAAACATTGAAGTGCTATTGCGTGGGGCGGAGATTCTATGCAATGTCTAGTCAGTTCACGTCGCAGCTTTGTTTGGCCCCGATAACTTGCTAATGCGATCAATAGCCCTGTTCCGGGAGCACTGGAAAAAATTGCCAACTTGCGCTACCGCCATGAAATGATTGCCGAGTCCGTGGCACACTTAGAAGGCCGCGTTGCCACAAATACCGCGGAACTGGAGCAGATGCGCTCTTCTTATGATGATGAGGATGACTTTGCTCCTGCATCTGTATCACAGCCAGATGCTCCCGATGTTACGGATGAGGATATTCAGCAAGAGCTGGCCGAGATCAGGGAATTGGAGCGACGGAAGCGAGCTCTGGAGGAGCGAGTCACCGGTATGGAGCGAGATCTTGGTGGTCTAATGGGCTGAAGCAAGCATATCTGATTATGTCCAATCCGAGCAAATTGGATTCAGCCTTGCTGCAATTTCGTGGGGCAACTTCTTGATGTTATGAGATGGGTCCGGCTGCTGAACTATTTCACAAAGAAGCCAGGCTAAGCCACGTGTTACCCATGCTCCAGGATGCATGAACCTTTTTCTTAGTCACCTATGCCTTGGTGACTACCAGCTTTGCGATACCAGTCATTCTAAAGAGTGGGATATCATGCATTAGCGGAAGCATACAGCCATTGGCATAGAAGGCTCACCCCTCCCATGAGTCCCTCTGAGGTGATAGGTCATGAAGCACGTTGACTATACTCAGCAGGTTACCAGAAGTCTTCGGTCTGGATGTGGGACTAATGATGATACATATTCCTTAATGACGCGTGATGATGCATATGAACTCACGGGGTTTTGTGGATAACAGCCATACCTATTAGATTTGATAGTAACCAAGCAGTGTCTCCATAGCCTCATCTCTGTTTCCATTTCTCATTAAATCTAAGCATGGGTGTCTTACTTGGCATGGTCAAAGCTCATTCTATGTGCTCTTAACTGCGAGTTCGAGGCCTTGCACCTATGGACAAGGTTCTATTCACTTGCCTATACCACCCTTCAGACTTGCCTATGCACATACATACCAGACAAGCTGACTCGATGATTAGGTACGTAAGACTTAGTCTATAGAAATATCTAGACTCGAAATGGTTCCTTGGACTGTCTGCGGCAGTCATGGATGCCCTATGTAATTCACGTGTGAAAATGCTAGCGATTCCTTGGATGTTAAATTATGACACAAAGGAGAAAATCCATTTTAAGACTCAAATTGGGGTTATCTTGATCATTGTTATAAAGTGACATTATTCACCCCAATATTTTATGTCGACGATGTAGTCCGTTGCCAAGACTCACCGCCGACTTCACTTCAAGGCTCACCATCCCACCTGCCATCCCAATCTCGTCAGGGCGCCATTCATCCCATTTACACGCGTCTATACCGGGGCGCATTGAAGACTTTCGTCGAATTTATTCACTCGGGTCTTTCCTTCGTCCATAGCTCGACCTGGGCGCCTTCCCCGAATCCCTTAGTGAATTTATCGATCGCCGAACATTCACTATCCCCGAGATGGACGGATCGCAAGGCCAGGCGGGTCAGCCCATGGGTCAGCCGGCCGCGCAGCAACACTCCAATCTTATTCGAACCGACCAAGTGCAGAAGCTACCACACCTGAACGAAGCCCAGAAAGCCCAGCATACCCAGCTCGTTCGCAGCTTTTGGGAGCAGCTGAACACGCGTGATCCCCAAAGCCACGAATACCAGAACGCCCAGATCAAACTCTCCCAGTTGTCACAGAATCTGATGAAGGGTATGCGGATGTTTCAGCAAAATCGTCAGCAAGCGATCCAGCAGCAGCAACAGGCCCAGGTTCATGCTCAAGCTCAGGCGGCCCAGGCCCAGGCTCAGGCCCAGGTAGCTGCACAGCAAGGTCAACAGGGTCAGCCAGTTCAGCGGAGCCAGTCTAATAATCCGCAAACTCTTAACCAGCTGCTGCCGCAGATCCAGGCCAAGGTCAACTCTCTCAACTTTTACCTCCCACCGAACGTCACACAAGAACAAGTACAGACATGGATCCCCGAGGCGCGTTTGCGATATGGCATTGCGCTTCAGAAGCAAGAGGTCGGACGCGCGCGGCTAGCAGATTTACGCCAGCAATATTCAACACGCCAGGCGCAGGCCAATATGACGCAGGAGGAGGTGCAGGAGTTTAAGAATCGGCAGCTAGCAGCAGAGAAGTTGTTTAGGGAAGGCAGTGACTTCCTCAACAAGTTCAAGGAGCAGCAAGAGAGCTTTAAGATGCAGTCACAGCAAAATCCCCAGATGAGCCAACCAGGGCAGGGCACCACTGCACCGGTAACTCAGCCCGCTCCTGCTGCCCCTGCGGCGACTCAAGCGGCACCCAACCCTCAGGCAGGCAATGCTGCCGCTGCCGCCGTAAGTGGCATGCCCGGCCAAGCACCCACTCCGGCTCCCCACACCATCAACTCTGCAGTGAATGCGGCTCGGAACCAAGCGGGACAAACTGCCATGTCACCCTCGACCTCGCAGCCTGGTCAGGCACCTTCATCGGCTAGTGCGACTCCTGCTTTGTCAAATGCGGCCCCTCCAGCCCAGCGGCCTCAGCAGCCTTCATCGCAGCAGGGGACTCCAGGACCAGGAGGTCAAGTCACTTTCAGCCAAACTCCTAACCTAGATGGCTCCACCCCGACCCCGACAAGCTCTCAGCCGGTCAACCAAGGGCCACCTCGTCCCCTGTCGCATCAGGCAGCGATGCAGCAAGCAGCTCAAAATTATAACTCTAATCAAAATCAGCAGCAGCAGCAACAGCCGCAACAACAACATCAGCAGCAGCAACCGCAGCAGCAAAACATGAACCAGGCTGCTGCCAATCAGCAAACTCACCCGCCAGGCTACCTTGCCAACCGGTCAACTGAGGCTTCTGCCCGTAACATCAACATGCACATCCCCAAAAACCTTAACGTCTCCACTCCTGAACCAGTCTCCATGCCTCCTTCTCGCCCCTCTCTTACCGGTGGCCCCAACCATAGTAATATGGGCGGTATGATGAGCCAACCTGCAATTCAAAAGCACCCTGGCTATGTCCTTGAAGGTGAAGGTCAACATGTCCTGAGCAAGAAAATGCTTGATATCCTCGTTCGCCAGGTCACTGGTGGTGGTGAAGGAGAGATACTGACTCCTGACGCTGAAGAGGTGAGATGAGCCATAATATGGAACCAAGATCAACCAACTGACTCTGCCCCCTCATTAGTTCGTACTCTCGATGGCCGATGATTTTGTCGATGATGTGATCACCCAGGCTTGCCGCCTCGCCAAGTTGCGTCCATCTTCCACTCTCGAGATCCGTGACATCCAGCTCGTTCTTGAGCGCAACTACAATATGCGTATCTCCGGTTTCTCGACTGATGACCTTCGCACCGTCAAAAAGCCCCAGCCCACCCAAGGCTGGCTGCAGAAGATGACTGCCATCCAGGCCGCCAAAGTCACTCAAGGCAGATCTGAGTAAAGTGGAGCTCGTCTGCTCTTTTTTCGTTTGACACTTTCTCTCCTCGTTGCGTGCAATCTCAATCCCAAATCATTGGACCCTGGAACCCTTCTATGTACCCACCGAACAATATCCTTCTATTTTCTCTTCCTGCGATCCAAATCTGGATGCTTGAACTCAGAATCCTGTCTCTGCGAACGAGATGAAGATTCCCTTATGGTGTTCTTAATGGCTCAGGAGACTATCCTTTCTTGTCACTAAATTTCCTCCCTTTACATCCTTCTCCCCTTCATCCAGGGTCCTTTGTTTCCTCGGTCGAGCTTCATTTACATTCATATCCCTGGGGACAGGATATCCGGGCTTCTCGACGGGGATGTCGCACTTGCTTTGTTCTTTTTTTCTGTTCTTTGCCTTCCTTTCTGTTTTACGGTTGGGTGACCTCGGCGGCGACTGGCGTTTCATCACTTTTCCCATGCCTACTTCTTGGGAGATCACCAAATACAACAGTCAGATAGTTATGCCTTATTGGACCAATTGACTTACATTTCATCTTCACTATGCTCTTTGTATATGTCTCGGCGTGCCATAATACTCGATCATAGACCTAGTGGCTATCTTGTTCCTACTACGACGATCTCGAAGGCTTTTGATAACCACTTGAATAATTGTTACCTACCTAACTACTAAGACCAGATTGAAATTCTCACATTTCAGGAATGAAAACAATTCTCATTCTCCACGACTATTTATCAAGTAGAGTTCAGGCATTACAGTGGCGACCGCTTTCGCCTTTCATGCGGCAAACACAGAAATTGTTTCAAACCCTAACCACATGATGTGAAATACATATGGATATTGTGTAAATAACCCTTTTTGTACCTACAACGTAAACATACTAAACATTTTCCGAGCCTAGTATGTAAGATACAAGAATCCAGGAGCAGCCTGAAGGACGGGAAAGTTTCATATACCTTTGTAAGCAGGATTGAGTTGCTTTAAACCCTTTGCGGTATGATGCTGTACGTAGAAAATCATGATTAACTGGCGTGTGCAAAGAAGATATCACATGATGCTGACACGTCAATCTACTTGATTGAGAAAAGAGTACCCCGCAGCTTCGGCCTGTAAGTGCCTCAAGTCTCTTTCAACCGTACCATCAAAAGGATGGTTCGCGCAACCTCCTTCGGCCATTCAAATCATGGCTTCCAAATGGGAGCAAATAACGGCACAATAAATCAGTTCAATAATCATGCAGGTAACGTAGATAAGCTTGTGGGCTGAAGGGCTGATGGGCTTACTTATGTAATTTAGACCCTTTAGACAAGCTTCCAGCCGCGCTTGGGGCTGGGTTGGATTCGTATATGGGCCAGCATGAAGATGAGTGTCTTTCGGGGACTCGAATGGATCTTCTCCACAACATCGCAGAGTGGGCTGTGTCGCCGCACGGAAAGTGTATCTTCTGGTTGAATGGCATGGCTGGGACAGGGAAGTCGACCATTTCCCGGACAGTCGCAAGATCCTTCAAAATGGACCAGCTGGTAGTTAGCTGCTTCTTCTTCAAGAGAGGTGAGGGGGATCGAGGCAATGCCACCAAATTCTTCCCGACGATTTCCAGACAACTAGCGTTTTGCATTCCTGATCTGGCGGCAAGCCTTAGGGAAGTACTCTCCATTGATCCTGATGTCCCGATGAGATCACTCGGAGAACAATTTAACAAGCTACTTCTACAACCTTTGCGAGGCTTGGAGAAGGCGAGTCCGCAGATCCCAGCGATAGTCTTGGTGATAGACGCTCTGGATGAATGCGAAAACGGGGATGATATACGTTATATCCTTCAGCTTCTACCACAAGCACAGCAGCTGAGCACTCTTCGACTTCGTATTTTCTTGACAAGCCGACCCGAATTGCCGATTCGCCTAGGGTTTTCAAAAATGGCAAATCATGAATATCAAGACCTTGCTGTCCATGAGATCCCTGAGGAAGTGACTTCACATGATATTTCCTTGTTCCTGAAAGACCGATTCAAAAAGATTCAGGAGGAGAAAAATGTTCCTGCGAATTGGCCCGGGGAGGACGTGATTCAAGCTCTTGTTAAAATGTCTGTTCCATTGTTCATTTCAGCAGCAACCGTATGTCGATTCATAGCGGCGAAACTCGACCCCGTGCAGTGTCTTGCTGATCTTATCGACGGTCAAACCAAGTATGCCACGAAAATGGACAAGACGTATCTACCAGTTCTGATGCGACTTTTGAATGGACAAGAAGATGACGAAGATGAGCTTCTTCAACTGTTCCACCAGGTGATTGGTCTAATAATCCTTCTTGCTATTCCACTTTCTGTGAATGCGCTCTCAAGACTTCTTGGACTCCGGACAAGAGTTATTGCCAATCTATTGGACCAGTTTCAATCTGTCCTCAGCCTACCAAGGGACCAGAATCTCCCTGTTCGGATTCTTCATTTATCATTCAGGGATTTCCTCCTTCAAACTAGGAGCAAGTTCTTTGTGGACGAGAAGCATGCACATAAAGAGATCACGGTTCATTGTCTTACTACTATGCGTGCCAAGCTTAAGAAGAATATCTGCAACCTTGAGAATTATGGAACAGAAAGAACCGGAATTGACTCAAAGTTGATCAGTCAGACTCTGCAGAAAGAGCTACATTACTCTTGTCGTTACTGGGTTTATCATCTCGACCAGTGTACAGATCAAAGTTACATGCTTAGCCAGGCACTCCTGTTTCTCGAAGAGCATTTTCTTCACTGGGTAGAAGCCATGAGCCTGCTAGGCATCATATCAGAAGTGGTCAGGATGATCGATGTCCTTCGAAATATTGCAGAAGTAAGTACCGTAAATATCCATGACTGTCACTGGTACTCATAGAGGTAGGATGACCACAATCCGCGAATGATTGCTTTTTTACATCACGCAAAGCGTTTTCTCCTTAAAAATCATCAGATAGTCAACGAAGCACCCCTTCAGCTTTATTGCGCAGGACTGGTTTTTGCACCTACGGCAACAATCATCCGTCAAAGGTTTCAAGCAGAGCTTCCTGCTTGGATAAACCTGTTACCACAAGTTGAGAAAGAATGGAGCGCAGAGCTACAGATGCTGGAGGGCCATTCAAATTCGGTTCGGTCAGTGGCCTTCTCGCCCGATGGCCAGCTGCTGGCGTCAGCCTCTGATGATTTTACTGTGCGGCTCTGGGACCCGGCCACAGGCGCGCTGCAACAGACGCTTGAGGGCCATTCAGATTCAGTTCGGTCAGTGGCCTTCTCGCCCGATAGCCAGCTGCTGGCGTCAGCCTCTGATGATCGTACTGTGCGGCTCTGGGACCCGGCCACGGGCGCACTGCAGCAGACGCTCGAGGGCCATTTAGATTGGGTTAACTCAGTGGCCTTCTCGTCCGATGGCCAGCTACTAGCGTCAACCTCTAATGATCGTACTATACGGCTCTGGGACCCGACCACGGGCGCGCTACAGCAGACGCTCGAGGGCCATTTAGGTTGGGTTAACTCGGTGGCCTTCTCGTCCGATGGCCAGCTACTAGCGTCAACCTCTAATGATCGTACTATACGGCTCTGGGACCCGGCCACAGGCGCGCTGCAACAGACGCTCGAGGGCCACTCAGATTGGGTTAACTTAGCGGCCTTCTCACCTAATGGCCAGCTACTAGCGTCAGCCTCTGATGATAAGACTATTCGGCTCTGGGACCCAGCCACGGGCGCGCTGCAACAGACGCTCGAGTGCCACTCAGATTGGGTTAACTTAGTTGCCTTCTCACCTAACGGCCGGCTGCTAGCGTCGGCCTCTAGTGATGAGACTATACGGCTCTGGGACCCAGCCACGGGCGCGTTGCAGCAGACGCTCGAGGGCCATTCAGGTTGTGTTAATTCAGTGGCCTTCTCATCCGATAGCCGGCTACTAGCGTCAGCCTCTAATGATGAGACTATACGGCTCTGGGACCCAGCCACAGGTGCGCTACAGCAGACGCTCGAGGACTATTCAAATTCAGTTCGGTTAGTGGCCTTCTCGCCCGATGGCCAGCTACTAGCGTCAACCTCTAATGATGAGACTATACGGCTCTGGGATCCAGCCACAGGTGCGCTACAGCAGACGCTTGAGGGCCATTCAGATCAGGTTAACTCAGTGGCCTTCTCACCTAATAGCCAGCTACTAGCGTTAGCCTCTAATAGGACTATTCAGCTCTGGGGCCTGGCCACAGGCGCGCTACAGCAGACGCTCGAGGACTATTCAAATTCAGTCCGGTCAGTGGCCTTCTCGCCCGATGGCCAGCTACTAGCGTCAGTTTCTAATTATGGGACTATACGGCTCTGGGACCCAGCCACAGGTGCGCTACAGCAGACGCTTGAGGGCCATTCAGATCAGGTTAACTCAGTGGCCTTCTCACCTAATAGCCAGCTACTAGCGTTAGCCTCTAATAAGACTATTCAGCTCTGGGACCTGGCCACAGGCGCGCTACAGCAGACGCTCGAGGACTATTCAAATTCAGTCCGGTCAGTGGCCTTCTCGCCCGATGGCCAGCTACTGGCGTCGGCCTCTGATGATCGTACTGTGCGGCTCTGGGACCCAGCCACGGGCGCGCTGCAACAGACTCAAAGTCTTCAAGTCTCCATCCAAAAAAACTGGATAAATGTTCGCAACAAAAAGGTCCTATGGCTTCCGCTCGAGTATCGACCTACATGCTTCAAAGTCCATGATGGTGTACTTGCGCTAGGACACATATCTGGGCGAGTTTCGTTTATTGGGTTCCAAATAAAGTAGATATCAATGATTTTGCATTCCTTTCCTTCCTCTATTTTCTAATGTCTGCAAAGAGGAAGGGCCTGGGGGGTGGGTTCATTTGATATGCCTATTATTAGTTTCTAGAATATACTACAACATCCTCGAAGTCAATCTGTGTGATCAGCGCAAACACCGTATGTATAGTTCTACATCAATGACTCTCAATGACGTATCATATGGTATATTTTGCGATAAGACAGCCATGTCGAACTCATCCTAGAGAAAAGCCACCATCTCTCCAACATAAAGACCGGTGTTTACCGAAAGATTGTTACAGATATGTCTGTTATCACGGGACTGATATGACGTGTTCGGCCAGCAGGGATTGGGGGAAGCCTCGCACTTTTGACAGAAGAATGAGATATCTGTTACTGCTGGGTTGAGATTTACTAGTTAGGGACACGTCATGTTCTGCAACTGACTGTTTTTAGATCAGTACCAGAACACGATTATATGTACAACCTCTGTAACTCTCATTCCTTTAGTATCATTACATTCGAACCCAAAAGGGCTAACTAAATACACATCAGCCGGATCGGGGTTAAAGGATCATGTGATTAGGATCTAAAATAATCTTCTCTGTGTTTTCAGCAACGAAGGCGAAAGCGGTCGCTATTGTATAAAATCGCGTAGTACAAAGGAACACGTCCTGATTCATGATTCTATGGTTTATTAACTTGAACGGCTAAGGTTCAACAAGGAAAAGGGAGGTGAAACACGAAAAAATCCCCCAGAGACACAAAAAGAATAGAGAAATCAGTCTTTCCCACGCTGACGCTCTGCTAGTCTGGATCTTGGAAACAAATAGAATAGAGACGACGCGGTCAAGATCATTTAAGACAAATGGTATAGTGATTGGTACAGGGTATGGGTGTAGCGCAGAAAAAAAAAAGACCGAGGCAAAACAAATATGGGCCAAAAAACAGATAGGAAATGTAAGTTGAACTTGTGAGGAATTGGAGTCCGCTAATGAGGTGCGGATTGATGATCCAATCCTGTAGTCGCTTTCTTGCCATACACTCTTTCTTTCCCATGTCGGCAGTTGATAGAGCGTGTCAGTGATGGTGTTTTGGTAGATAGACAAAGCCAAAAGAAGGAGGGTTGTTGGGTTGGAATTGTGATGCAAGGACGTTGTGGAGCACAATAGACGAAGATGAAAAAGGAAATCATTGGTGACCACTGTTTTAAGATCATCAAAGATTGGCAGAGAGAACGTGGAAAGGTAGTCGGATCAGTCAATCAGCGAAAGGAGGTCATGCGGTAGTACACTGTAGAGCATAGTGTAAACTGCAAGTAGATGCAAATTCTTGCAGACAAAAAGAGAGTTGGTTCGAACACAATGGCGGTTTCCTCAGGGAGAACGCAGAGAGGTTGGAAATGGCGGAGGCGAGACAGGGACACTCGACAACCAAAAGACAAATATACACACATCACTCGTGAACATCAGGAGTTTCTAGCAAAAAAAAATATGGCAGGTGGTGCGACAAATCCAAAGACAAAAAGGGAGAGCTCCTCTCCAGGACCCCATCAGAGTCGGCGTTGAAGAAGCAAATGGTCTATCGAGCAGTAAGGGGAATATCTCGCTGAACAAAACAAGATCAAGGACGGAAAGAGATGGGATGATCAATGCGAGAACCCAGGCACAAAGTTGACAACAATCTACCGCCGGTCTGGACTGGCAATCGGTCTTTCTCTTCGGTCAACTTCCTTTCCTTTGCTAGGGGGCACTGGGGGCCCATCCAGCGGAGCGGGAGGAAGTTCCTTGTCAGTTGCAGGACGACCATGTCGACTGTGTGAGCTGTGGCCACCCACGCTGCTAGCCTCACCTGCCTCATCCACAATAGGAAGTGTCGAGGTTGGTCCGGGACCCGCAGCATCTGCAGGGTCCCACACAGTGGCCAAGGTTCGAGGATGTGTAACAGATACATCCTTCGACGCCTCCTTCTCGGCTACCTGCATGGTTCGCTCCACAGAAGATGAGCGCGATTGCCTATTCTCTCCTGATTGGCGAGTCGAGACTTGCGATTCTCGTCGGCGCTCCGCCTCTTCTTTGGACATAGTGATTCCCTTGACGAAATTAATGAAACGATCCCCGTATCCCTCTGGCGGAATCGGGGAGATCTGAGTCCGGTCATGGGACAGTCCCTTGAAGAAGTTTTCGAACTTCTTGACGGTTCCGTACTGCGTGAGAACGTTAGTCGGCTGGTCAATTATGCAGTGGGTGTGGTTAGCGACTTACATGAGTCAGACAGTCAATGATACCCAAATAATAGATTTCTTCACCGGGCTGCCCATTTTCATGAGTAGCTCGGAAGCCTCCATCATCGGCATAGAAGACGTGGTATTTTCGCTCGTCCAGGATTTCATCCGGCATTTTCGCAGCCGCCTTATCCAAGGGCACAGGCCGCTCGCGTTTGATCAGCATGCGAAGCTCCCGGGCTTTGCGCTCATTCTCCAGTTTGGAGGGTGTTCGCATCAGCATATTTGGACTGGAATCCTCCTCACGATCACCACCAGGCTGGAAGACTTGTAGGGTTTTGTCCCGCAACTTCTCTTCGTTGCCTCGTTCAGCGTCATGGATTCCTACCAGCAAAGAATAATCCATGATTTTCAGCCTTTTGAGCAATTCCACATCCCGTTTCAGCTGCTCGATGAAGAAATCTCGCTTCGTGGGTCCACATTGTAGGTAGCGATTTCTTCGAACCCAGTTCAAGTCCTTCATCGTCGCACGCGGATTCCGCTCAAGGTCTGATTCCTGTAGATCTCGGCCAATCGTTGAGCCCTTCAGATCAAATGTTTGGTGGATATCTCGGTGGGGAGGAAACAAGTTGTTCATCACCACAAAATGGATCTTACGACCGTATGCCATCTTGACACGGTGCAAACCATAGAACTGCGAAATCAAAGTATTGGGGTTCTTTTCCACATGTCGGTAGTACTCTGGCAGTATCTTGCGGAGGAGCTTATGTTCGGCGTGATGGATGGTTTTGATGATGTACTTGTAATCGCGCGAGAAGTAGAAGAAACTCCCGCTTTTACCCGGCGATCCCAATTCGGACAGGATATATTTGCTGGTGAGGGACATCAGATAGTCAGCAGGATCAAGGCGAAACTTGGCTCGCAGTCTTCGGAAGACCCAGGGGGCGTAGTCTTTAAATTTGAAGTCGTATTTGGCCGACGGAATCAATTCGTTTCCGGTTCTGTTGCACGGTCAGTAAAGTTCTCCATGGATCACCAGATAAAACTCAAAAAAACATACATATCAAAGGAGAACTTGTGCTTGGCGTCAAAGTCCGCCGGAGTAAGTTCCCGGTCCATCTTTGCGTTGATGCGCGACACCGTGAAACGAATTCCAGTTAACATGTTGTACGCCGTAACGTAGTTGACGTGATTCTGGTCGACCTTGGTGCCCACAATGACTCGTTCGTCGTCATCGTCTTCGCGCCGCCGCCTCGAGGCACGCTTTTGTTTGATTGCTTCCGCCCACCGGGCGGCATCCTCGTCTTGCGGCGTCTCGTCGAAAGGCGGATCTGATTGTGACTTGGTGGCTCGGCGAATCAGGCCGAGTGATGTGCGTCGATTTCCGCCTACTGTAGGGGACAATCGACCACTACTGAAGGCAGTATCGTCATTCTGATCTCGGCTATTCCGACGAATACTCGGGGTGCGCGGAACCTGGAGCGAGTGCCGGTGTCGCATGCTGGACTGTTGCGATTCTTGTACAGAGGCGGTGTCAATCATGGACGGTACAGGTACGGGAGGGGAGGAGTAACGGTGACTAGGTCGCGGGCCCGGGGTCAACCGATCCGGGTCAGGGGAGAGACGCCCTGAGTCTTCGGCGGGGATCTGTAATAATGAGGTCGAGGGGCTGGTCGCCCGATCTGAAATGGAAGGTTCGTCGGCGGAGGGACGTGGAATGTCGCCATTGACCATTGGTTTCCCCTGGACTGAGTAACGGTGGCCGTTGGCAGCTGTGCCATTGACCGGTTGACTCGACATCGACGCTGTCATGGAGCCTGCTCCAGGTCCAGCGTCCGATGACTTCCGGTCCAGCATAGCAGATGGCCGGCCAGCATCCCGGGGGTCTCTGGCGGACCCGTTGCCTAGCGAATGCATGCTGCCGTCCTTGGAGTGCGGCATCTCGCGTGTATAGGAACTGACGCTCGATCGGCCATTCAGGGAGTAGGCACTGCCGTTCTTCAGGTTCGTGAGCAATTGCCGATCATTCTGGTGGGTATCGTGGGTCGCGTCGCCCGTGGGTGGGTGAGGCCAGTTGGTCCATAAGAAGGTGTTGCCTACGGAGGATTTGTCGTGGGACTTGCGAGGCGAATCAAACGAAAGAGGATGGGTGGCCGTTGCTGTGGCCGTTGTTGTTGCCGTTGCCGATGGGTATGAGTCGTTGGACAAGGACGGCATGATTTTTTGGGTGATCCTATTTTTCTCGGTCTTTCACAGAGAAACGGGGTGACGTGAGGTCTGCGTGGACCGGCAACCCGAGGTGACGGCAATGACCCTTATTGGTGGAGGGGCAGGAAAGTTGAGAACCGGACCTTGTTCCAGCGGATAAGAACGAGAGGAAGGGGAGGGGAGTAGGAAGAGGAGTTGAAGCCGGAGAAAGAGAGGACGGGGTCGGGGTCAGGATTAGGATTAGGATTTGTCGACTCCTCACGTTTGCCCGCAGGAGAAATTTTCAACCGATGAACATAATTCCCCGAGTGGGAAAGGAAGAGGAATGGAGATTGGGGATAGTGTTTGGGGGAGAAAAGACTAAAGGGACTTGCGTGTCGTAGTGAATGTATCCACTATTCAGCTGCACAAGAGTGCTAGATCAGGGAACACCCGAAATCCCGAGTATAAATCGCAATATGCAAACTGCGATACTTTCCCTCGTTCGCTTCCAAGTGCAAACCCTGGAAAGACACTACATATCATGGCCAACTCTCGTCTGCAAGGAGACCAGAGCGTGACGTATATCGTACACCGTATCTGAGGATCTTTGCCTCAAAGGTTCTTTACGCTTACTACTCTACAGCTCTCCAGTAAACCTCAGTTGCGTGGGGGCGGGATTGTCCCTGACCCAACCCGACATACACATAGGGTCTCATGGAGGGAAATTAGCTTAGGGGATGTGCCGCAGGGTTTTTGGATCTTTTCCCCCTGAATACTCATTCCACGTCCAAAAATAGCCCGCTCCACTGGATGAAGTCATATCGATGATGCCTGATTCTGCCACACCTTGACTCCTTAACGCCTTGTCAACTTAACTCAAACCAAAACTACGGTCCGTTCCGACAATACAAGACTAGTTCCTAGACAAGAAATTGGCTATCACTTTACTTAGACCAGAGACACAGGATATGAGGGGCTTTAGGAGGACTCTCAAACTTGTAAACATGGGACGGAGCTCCCTGAATTGCGTATGTACTTGGCATCTCTTCACGTGGCGCATGAACAATAGTCCCTTTGTTCTAATTTCCGGCAATTTGTGGCGCAGTGTTAACTGGGTTATCGTCAACATTCCCGCAGCAACGCCCCGTTTCAATCTCCAGGGCTGCGGGGTCCTGAAACCACATGGATATCGAGCTCGTAACTGATGAACTCTACCACAATTTGACTACACTGTCAAGAATATGTGCCTACAACTTATAATGTTCCTACAAACAGACCCACTTCGGATCAAGCAAAGCAGACTCCAATTCCACGAACGTCGTGAGATCCGATATGGACGAACAGATAAACAAAACAATTTCCCCATTGAGAACCCACCACAAGACGCCATCCCTTCGACGTAGAAGCAGAAGAAAAAAAAGAATGAAAAAAAAAGGAAAGACCAAGCCATCATAACGAAGATATCCCAGAACCAAGCACAAAGGAAACCCATTCCGAACCGCCAAATCAATGGGTCGAGGGAAAGAAATTACATGGGAAGAGAAAAACAAAAACAAACCCTGATGACCCTCCCGGGAAGAGCGCACGTGAAATGGGAGGGCATCGTTGGGTCAAAAGAGACCAAACGTCCTCTATTTCTTGGTCGCACGCTTCTTAGCGGGAGCCTTGGTTGGCGGCGGCGCAGTGGTCTTCGTGACCCGGCCGGACTTTGTCTTGCCGAGAACCTTGGGCTGCTCAACAATTGCGGGGGCCTGGGTGTGGTTAGCTTACGGCGATATGAGATGAAATGGACAGAACATACGGCAGTGGAGGGGGTCTTGGTCTTGCGGGCCTTTCCAGAGTTGGCCTTGGGCTTAGCAGCAGCCTTCTTGACGGCAGGCTTCTTAGCAGTGGTCTTGGTGCCCTTCGCAGCAGTAGCGGCCTTCTTGGGAGCGGCCTTCTTGGTAGCAGCGGCCTTGGGGGCGGCAGCCTTCTAGATGCAGAGTGAGTACGACGATATCAAGGACAAGAGTGCTTGACTAACCTTGGGAGCAGCCTTGGTAGCCTTAGCGACCTTAGCAGCGGGCTTCGCGGCGGGCTTAGCAGCAGGCTTAGCCTCCTTCTTGGCCAGCTTTAGAGGTCCGGAGGGGCCTGTCGCGCGACGCGTCAGTCATAACAAGAACAAAATTACATCAAGATCGATTTCGAATACATGCTATCAAGCATGATCTGGGGAACAGGATTATCCTATGGTAAGGAATACGAATGCGCACGAAAGCGCAAACAAGACTTACCCTTAGGCTGAGTGAACTCGCCCTTCTCGACACCAGACTTGATAGCCTTGTTGAACTGGGCATCAAAGGCACTCTGGGAAGCGAAGGTGATCTTGTTGTTTGCCGACACATACTTCTTGATGGCCTGGCGGCTAAAATGAGGGGATATCCTGTTAGTTGACTGGTTGCGAAAGCTCGAGGGAAAAGACGCGACCAGGGAGTCTTGGTCGCGCCGGTGGGAAAACGCAAATACATACCTGGAACCATTGCGCTCTTTGAGCTATATTCCGGTAGTCCAGTCAGTAATGCACAGGGTGATATAAAAAGAATTCCACTTTCAAGTGGTGGTTGGCCATGCCCAATGGCTGGGCGTGTCACGGTCGGGCGCGCGACCCGCCATCACAACATGGGATAACACGGTGATCTACTCACGTTCACAATAGCATCCTTGATCATATCTATATGGATAGAATCAGCATATGTTGGCGACACAGAAGATATCAACAACAATTTTACGCGATGTTGTGGTGGTTTAAGATCAGACAAAACATACCACGGTAGGAGGTGTGAGCAGCAGGAGCAGCCTTCTTGGCTGTGGCAGTGGCTTTCTTGGGAGGCATGGTGAAGTGAAGTTGATGGAAGATGTTAGAGTAGGAAGAGATGAAAGACTTGAAAAGACCTGAATATCGGACGCGTCGAGGAAAGTAAAGTTGGGAGCAGAAATAGAAAAGCAGCGGAAGGGGTGGGAAAGGCCGGCGGGGCATCCGTGATTTATAGGCGGCCGGTGTTGACACAAGATCAACCCCCCCCCCAAATTGCTAGCCCTTTTTCCTTTTTTTTTTCTTCCTTTCTTTATATCGGATTTAGAAGTCAAGTACTGTTATTCTCTCATTTGATCTATAATTGATGAGATGTCTTTTACTCGCTTGCTCTCTATGAGTTGATGAGACTGGACTCTCTGGGACGGTCACGCGTCTATGTTCATCTACTACTAACTTTGTGCGCATTCCCCCAGATGGCGGGATCCATTCTCAGCCCTGGGGCGAGACCTGGGAAACTACTCGAGATCGTGCATGAAGTCCAGCAAACACGATCTGAAGAAATCGTGCGCCTGCACCTTTTGCACTCAGTTCCTGTCCAGTGGATACAATACATCTTCCTCTGTGGGACATGGAATTAACATCGATTTTTCTAGACATTCCACCGCGGGCGGAGAGATCACCCTCTCTTCTTGCTGTTTTAGAAAGAACAAACTGGGGTATGGAATTTGATCATCGCCCTGGCCTGCGCGTTTCTGGAACCTAGAACCTAGAAAGAAGACTCCTCTGAAAACGGCGTGATTCAAAGCATAGAACACGTTCCACCTGAGATATCTATATGCAGCGCGATATACTTCATTATGCAGCGGATACTTAATCATACTCTTAAGCTTCGTCTCCTTGCTTGCACGGTGTTAAGGGACCTGCAGCGTCACGAGGTGTGTTGTCATGCAGCGCCCCGCTCAAGTCTGGATGTGCTGTGGCGTTGGTCCATGGTACAGTTTGGTCTGGGACTCGATGATTCCTTGACTTGGGTTCTGCGCTGTCCGTTGCAGTGCTCTGTTTGCTTTTTCGTTTCGCGCTTTCCAAGGTTTGGAAACCCTAACTTGGGCCCTTGTTATACTGTAACCCCATCTCAACTCTCCGTCCATCCGGACTAGTACCTTATCGCAGCTGAGGATTTTGTTATTTGAAATGTAAATGAGATACATATATATAGTTCTATCTCTAATTCCACTTGCCATATTTCTGCCCTCGAAAAGACTTCTGCAGGTCCATAGGAAATTTGACAAAGCTAGAGAATGGCCGTTAGAGGGTTGATCAGTTCCGGTTGCCCCAAATATATACCGTGCAGACTCACGAACGCGTTAGCCCCTGATAATGACAATCAACACCCGTGGGCAGCCAATCAAAAACTACCATGGAGTGATTTTCATCGATACTGCTTAGGTACCCACTGATCGCTACTGATGCGCCCACCCATCCCGAGGTCTGTGTGCATCCGACGGATTCGGTGGGATGGGCATCAACCCAGGCTATGACTCTACTGACCACCTAACCTACAATACGAAATCACCATTCCGACATATGATATAGAAAATAAGACAGGTCAAATAGGCAGATGCCGAATAATATCTACGCTATTTTTACATGAGCAGAGCCGGGGGTTCCATCGACCAGGGTGGGGGATCAAGAAGTTGGTCCGATTCGATGTTGCGGCATCGAATCAAGGCACTCCCCACACACCATCTTGATCCTATGTTCTCTTGACCATTGTGTGGAAAATAAAACATGATGATGAGTTTGAATCACTGGGTCGATTATTCCATGGCTTTCTTTTTTCTCATTGCAACATTACTGGTGGAGATCACTTGTTTCTTCATCTGCGAATTTGTCTCATCTGGCTTATCCCGTGACGATCTATACAACTGCACCAGAATTGGACTCCACCTATTGCGCAACTAACGAGCCTCGCACAAATATCTGGCTGTGTAGTATATCTATAGCGGTACATTTATTCATAATTAAGGTGATTTGTAGTAATTCGCTCTGCGTGGAAGCGAGGATCAGGCAAAAAGCGAGAATATCCGGGTCCCTTGCTTCACCGATATTTTCTGATCCTAGGCCTATACAGCCAAGTAGGCCTTGAATACCCCTTACAATCAACAAAACAACATGAGATTAAGCTTGATATCATAAAAATTGGTTCTTTTTTGGGGGTATGATATGCTAGTTC